AGACACGGTCGTTGTTCGTTACGTCTGCGTCGTAGTGGCCGCAGGTGCGGCGCCGCGGGCACCGGGGAGGGTTTCTGAGCCACGGTGGATGTGGTGCTCCGGCGGGCGTTGGGTGGCGTAGGCAGACATGGTGGATGATTCGTCAAGTGGGATGGGATGTATGCGCTGGTCGTGACGGTGTCGTTCCGAGGATTGGTGAGGGCAGGGCGGTAAGCCCGACCCATTCTTATAGCTGAGCGAGCGCCCGCCGAGTACACAGTTCGGTTGCGAGGACGTGTGGTGCAGCGGTGCGGAGGAGCGGGGAGTGCACCACGCCGCCCCAGCGGAGCTAGCAAATGACGATGCCTACGTCACTCACAAAAAGGGAAGGTCATTTACCATTCAAGGGAAGTAGAATTGGCGCACCTGTCAAGCTCAACATGAGCGCGAGCGGAGTGATTTTTCTCCTCTTTGGATGTGTCGCTGAGGACAGTACTATAACTTACGTAATTACATGCATATGTACCATCCCTGGCCTCGAAGCCTCTTCCGCCGACGCCGTCGTAGTTGTCGCGTGGCATGCTGTCCATCCACCGAGTGTACAACAGCTCAACCACCGATACCATAATCCTACTCCGCGTTAGTAGACCCCCTCCGACTGTCCTTCCTGACTTTATCATCGCCCTCTCCGCCAGATGTTGCCACCAAGCAGCTCGTCTCGTGAATGTATCAAGAAAAGGGCTGCATAGTGTTCAGTGAGCTGAGCAGGTCCTTCAACGACCGCGCTGAAGGATCCGGGGGCCTCAAAGACGCAGAACTCCTGCGCATACGTTTCTTGTATGGTACTAAGGTATATATAAAACGATATGCTAATGCACAAGCGCTCCCTGACGACGAGAACTGTATCTCACTCACGCGCATATACGTAGGATGAGTTGGGCACACTCACAGTCGTAGCAGTCGTTGTCGGGCTGCATAAATTAACAGCATCGCGAGAGCAGACTTGCAGAGTGGTCGGCATCCCGTTCCAACCAACTCCAGGGACCAGAAGAAAAGCAAAGCGATACAACCGTTATACGTACATCCACCGTGACGCACACTTCTGATACAAAGCCCGACTCTAGAACAAACCCAACAGATCCTCCTGCCCCGACTGCTGCGTCGGCGGAGACGCCGCCTGCAACACCGACGGCGTCTGCGGCGGCATCAGCGACATCGCACCCCCGCCGAACCCGAACCCTCCGAGCGGCGCTGCGCTCTGCGGCTGCGCCGTGGGCACGCTGAGGCTCGCGCTCCCAAATATCGACACGAGGTCGTCGAGCGGGTTGCTCGACGTGCCCGCCAGCAGGTTCGCCGCGGCCGGTGTCGACGTGAGCATTGTCGTCGCGGCGAGACCCGACGGTTGCTGCCCGTCATCGGCGCCGTCCGCGTCGAAGTCGAGCAGGTTCTCGGCTTGCTGGCCGATCGCCACGGTTTGGAGCGCTTTTTGTGCGGCGGCGCGGTCGTCGGCGAGGCTGTCACTGGTGTCAGTCATTTGGTGAGTAAGGAGCTACGGGACGAAACGCACTCGGCCCCTTTGCGCTGTACAGTATCGATGCCGATACGCCCCCGCCCGACGAAGGTCTCTTCCGGTTTGTGGTACACGCTCGCAAGGCTGGATACTTCGCCCAGGAGCTCTTCCAGAAGTTGCGGGGAGACTGTCGTCCTTGGCAGTGAGATCGGAGGTCGATGTGCGAGGACCACGGCCTGAATACCAAGGATCAGCCACGGGATGTTAGTTCTGACGGAGCAGTTTGGGCACCTTCGCTGCACCCGGGTCTGTCGACAATAGTCGCCAGTAGATGTATGCGCGATCACGGACGTCCGGCGAATCGCAGTCTTTCGTAGCAGTGTTCAACACTCGCTGGACGAGCCCCTGCGACCCGTCCGGCTTCTGCAGGAAGAGTTTGACGACTGCTGTCAGTGTCTGCAGTTGTACCTAAAGGGGATACAGTCAGCGAAGCATGGAGGCGAAGGTGCAAACAAAAGCGAACCGGGTATGACTCTTCTGTGAACGTGTCTACGAAGATGCCGAGGAGCTCGTCTGCGTTGTCGATCTTCTTAGCATACTCGCCGATAATCCAGATGAGAGACGCCTTTGCATCTGGTTCGTCAAGCTCGTCCAGGTTTGCACAAAGGGTGGGGATCACACCCTCATACGTCGAGGGGTATTTTCGGAAGATGTCCTGTGCATGGGGAGTAAGACTTTCGTATGACGCGCCGGTCTATGGGATCACCTTCATGACGACAACACCCTCCTGTACCACATAGCTGACGCGTGTGCCGATGAGCTCCAGTAACACGTTCACACACCGCTCTGCCGCAGCGTCGATCTTGATCGCGGTCTGGCCGATGGCCTTGATGCTTCTCCGCACGAAGTCGACGTCGACTTCCGAAGCGTACCTGTGCGAAAGTAAACGGCCTACTCAGTAAGATACTCCAACCTCACTCACTCCTTCAACTCGCTGAGAAGCGCATCCACGTTGCTGTCGCCCGCGAGGCGCACCATGATATCGAGCTTCTCGACCTTGACGTACAGCGGGTCGTTGTACTTGCAGAAGAACACGCGCATCTCGTTCTGCAGCAGGTCGGGTCGCTTCTGCAGCAGGAGGTTGATGTTGCGGAGCGCGACCCACTGCACCTCGGGCGGGTTGGAGAGCAGCGTTACGAGTGGCGGGGCCATTTTGCGGATCATCTGCTTGTTGACGTTTTCTGACTTTACGCCGCGCATGTGGATCATGATGACCTAGGGGAAGGCGTTGAGTGCAGTTCGATCGCAGTTCGAGTGCAGCGTAAGTGTCCGCACCTTAACGGCTGCGAGAACGACACTCGCGTTCGCATGTTGGAACTGCGGCACGACACGCTCACAGATGTGCTCGCTTTCTCGGTCGTCTGAGGTCTCGTAGCGGGCAAGTGCGTTCAATATCTCCACCCGGCCCCATTCCGAGCACTCGTTCAAGGCGACCAGGAGTCGGTTGAGGATGGTGGAGCTGATGTGAAAGGTGTCGCTTGACGAACCGGCCTGAATCGCGGCTGCGTGGATGTCCGACAATGAGGCGACAGTATTCGCAACGACCTGATTACGTTGAGTTCTCTTGAGTTGTGAGAAGCACAGGCGTACGCACCATGGGGTTGCTGTCCGCGATCATGTCCTGCAGCGTCTCCAGAAACCCGTTCTGAATGACCAGCTCCGGCTTGAGGTCGTATAGCTTCGCGACACAGAGTGCGGCCGTCTTGCGCACGTACGGGTTATCGTCGCGCAGACACTTCGTGAGTGGGTCGCAGATGTAGTCCAGGATCTTCTCCGCGCGCAGCATGCCCATCGTCCGGATGGCGAGGGCGCGTACGAGCGGGTTCGAGTCGTCGGTGTCCTTGACGAAGGTGTTCACGGCGAGGATGACGAGTTCCGGTTGCGTCTTCGCGTAGTTCATCAGGTAGAGGTACACGAGCTTCTTCTGCTCGAGATCATCGGTCTGCATGTTCTTCAGGACGTCCGGGAAGAGGCCGCTGACGTCTACGCGCGCACGGCTTCAGTCGGACAGCATCAGTGCGGACAGGCAGCACGTACCCTTCTGCACGGTCATGTTAGCAATGACCTTCTTGATGGCATCTTTCCGCTTCTCCTTGTACTCACTGTTGAGGTCGGCGCTGAGCTCGTAGTTCTCGCCCTTGCGAGGAGGGCCGCGGAAGCCAGACATGAGACCAGACGGAGAGTGCTAGTACCAGAGCAGTTGCTCAGCGCTCAGAGCTTGGAAAGAGAAGACCGATGTGCGGGGCCGGTTCCCGCAGAGCTTGGGTATGGTCGCTGACGCTGTCTGTAGCCTGTTGGTGAACGTCCGAGTCGATGGCCGTACCGCTTCTGGACTCACGGGCGCTAACTGAGTGTGGACCTCTGTAACTCAAAGTTACGAACTCTACCCTCGGCCGTTGCTTTCCGTCCACTCTGGTCTCAGATTTTTCCACATCTAGATATCTCCGTGCGGTGAGTGATTTTCACTATCAACCACCTAGATGCGTTCACACATCTGCGTGTGTCCGGAAAGACGAGGTGAGCGTAGCTCAGACTAAATTCACCTCTAAGCCACCTATACACACACTGGTGCACCTTCGAAGCCACAGGAGCGTATGACAACGACGCACATTATGTACCAGAAACATATCCACTGGCCGTAATGCTCAGATCACCCTTTAGGTCCGGGAATACGTACGTCCTCTGCCTTCCTACCCTGACCTTGTCAGGGCTCTCCTCCAATGCCGCAATCCTTTCCCTCCAAGCAGCCAAGCGTTCTCGCCACGAAACCAGGTTGCCTGGCCTGATCATCGCCATACCGTCGAGACCTTGGCACATCACGATAGCCCACCACAAATCCTGCCTCCACTCCTCATCGAAGTCTCCCCCGACCGCCGCGCGCACTTCGGACCAGGAAGGGTTCCACCTCGTGCTATTGAGGAGGTGTCCAAGCCCAACCTGATTCCCGTGCTCAGTGAATCCTATAGGATTGCCAGCTTCTCTACTCCCGAAGGGAGCATAAACACCGACAGCCTCGACAGCCCTGCGCGGGTCGATGCTCCCGTCCGGAAGTTTCATGTCACCGGCATACTTTTGGCACTTGTAGCACACCCAGTCTGGGATGCAGTACTTGACGAACTCGAGGCGCGTATTGACGTTCATCGCCTCGGGCACCGCGCCAGTTTCTAGGTACGCGTCGAATGCGGGTGCGAAGAGCTCGCCGTAGGTGGCGAGGTGGAAGAAGGACTCGGGTGGGTCCACGTCGACCGTGTATGCATCGTCGACGCCGCCGTTCCAGAAGTTGGGCGTGGCATACCACTGCGCGCCGACACACTTGTCGATGAGGTCTACGATGGGGTTGATCGTCGAGAAGCGCATCTCGTATAACTCGCGGATGCGCTCCATCGTCAAGCCCGCGTGCTCGAGCGCGAGATCTAAGACGCCTCTCATCCCGCTGCGGACGGCAACGCGAAGCTGGTTGGCATTGGCAGAGGATAGGGATGCCCATGCCCCGACTTGACGTGCGGTCGCGGCGACCAGGAAGTGAGGGTCTGGGCGGAAGAATGTCCTCGACGCGGCGGCCGCAAGGTGGAGGATGGTTCGAGGTGAGGTGTGTAGGGACAATTCATGAAGAAGACGACACGTCGCGGCTAGGCTGATGAAATCTTCTATGTCACGAAGGTAGCAGGGGAGAGACAGCAGGATGTCTTCCGGGAGTGATAGTAGAGCTGCGGGCGGGAAGGACCAGCGGTTCCAGCCATGGGTGTCGTCTACTAATGAATGCGTGGGCAGGTGCACACACTTAGCAACAACCAGCTGAAGGCCCGAACCCGGTGGACGCACCAGCAACTATCCTGTGTGATGCAGATTCACCTGTAGGTGCGCTGTAAGTAACGTACCGAGATACGGCTGTTGTGGTTTGGGCGTATTGCCACTTAGGCGCTGGTCACTGGGTCCGGTCACGGTTCGTTATATCGTTCTGTCATCAATCGATCTTGCTACTCAGGATCCCTTTCAGCAGCGACGCTCGCTCATCGTCGAGTACCCTAGGGCCATGCCTTCATACGCAACCCGATCTCCTAGCAAGAGGGGCAAGGTCGGTACGCCCGTGTCTGCGCCGCGGGCAACTTGGTCTCAGGGAGCTCGATCGTCCCCGAAGAGCGCTCCGAAGGTGATAACGAAGGCATACACTCGAGCCGTGAGCGCGACGCCAGTCAACTCGGACTCGGAGGTACATGACCGTGCTGGCGCCGCCGGATTGACCCCAGATGAGGAAACGCTCTTGGCGCTATTGCTCAAGAAGCGTTCGACGGAGCAGGCGGTGCGGGGCAAGTACATTTCGTGTTAGTGCAGAGATATTATACTTAACCGGGATTTCAGCCGAGCGTAAAAGGACGGCCCCGTCGACTGTTGCGACGGATGAAGGGGACCAGCCGTTGCGCAAGAAAGCGAAGAATGTCTACGACGCAGAGTCCAGCACAGAGGAAGGGGAAGATGATGCGCGCGTCGACAGAGAGCTGCAGTTGAGCGATGATGATACGCAGAGTGATGCTTCGGACAAGTGGTACGACAACAATGACACCAGTAGCGACAATTCGGACGACGTCGTGGTGAGTTCCTTTACCTGAAACGTCAGACTGTTGTTAAGTATAGGTGTCCAGGTTCCTGGACTGCGCACGAAGGGGATCGGGTTTTACTCGAGGATCAGTCGCATCAATGCTACCGAGCTGCCTGCAGATCTCAAGCCCCTTGTGACCGCGGCGCGGCATCACTTACTCCTCCGGCTTGCATTTCAGACCGCTTGGATCTCTGACGGAAGAGTGGTCAGCTCGCGGCTATCCAGTAATCGTGATCTTGTGGCTTCTGCACTCAAGGACACTGGTAATACACTTGGCAAGGATGACAAGATCAAGAAGGGGTATCATATGTTACAGCGAGGCAAGCCAAGTGACAGGCAGGAACTTCAGATGAAGGTGAATGGATTGGTGAGTGGGCAACCTTTTTTCGAGTGTTTTGCTGTATGATTGTCCACAGATTTGGTCAGCATCTGTACATATGCACAACGACATCAAGAATAAGGCCCAGAAGGTGGTGCGACAGCTCTATGGCCTTACTGCTTTGTCTGTCCAGCGACAGAAGCTTGCAGCCCAATGGCTTCTCAGGACTCACTTCATCAAGGGCCAGGGCTGTAAATATGAAGTTCCCAAGTTTGTCTTTGGTGAAATCAATATGGTCTGGTACAAGGAGACACTGGATACTAAAGTTAGCATTGAATCACTGTGCTGACTTGCATATTTATTGGAACCTTTCTTAGAACAGCCATGTCAAGCTGGAGCTACCATTCAGACACCCAGCCATTCCAGCTATCATCCAGAGGCTGATCCAGAGGTGTGCCTGTGATTTGGGGCAGTGGAGCAAGGTTCCAGATAACTTGATTTCCTTTGCCTGTAATGCTGTCAGTTTCATTGTCTATCATTCAAGGCACAAATGCTTACAACATTAATGCTGACTATAGATTGAAGTAGTCCTGATGGAGATAGCCATTGGCCGTCGGGTCCCATTTGCAAACACACGATTTGTACCCAAGTGAGTTCTAGTCTACTTAGAGTTAATAATCTAGTGAATTGCTGGAACATCTACAGATGGGACAACCTGATGTCAACACTGAATGCAACAAATAACAATGCCCCTGAATATTATAAGGACACAAAGAACTTCCTGTGGAATTCCATCAGGCAAGGGCTCTGCCTTTCATGTATATTGGTGCTTTAGTGACCCTGGCATAGTGTTGATATCAGAGGTCATTCAGAAGGGTCATCTGATACTGCAGATGTCATATTTTGGTCCAAGCTGAAATAGACTGCTAGGAAAAGACCAGGTACTGAACCTTTGACTTATCATAGAAAGAAGTGGCATGGATTAACAATTTTTGACCTCAGGCCAGTCTGCTCTAGGTGTGCTCACAGTCTATACAAGTCTACTGTGTTGCTTAGTGTTGTGTGCTGCAGCCACCCGTTGATCAAAGCATCTTGGCGAACAATGGCACACATGAACAGCACCATTCACAGTGCAGACTCCAATATGCAATCTCTTCTCGTAGTCAGTCGTGTCTTGCGAAGATACTCATATGATGTACACGTAGCCATCAATTTCAACTCCAGCACTCCTCAATTAGCCTGCCTTCCCTCTCCAACAGAGCAATGAACTCATGTGCCTCTTCTTCCGTCTTCGCCGCTTCCAGTCTCGCCGCTTCGCGGATCGCCTGCCGCACGCCAGCGGGCATCTTGTTCGCAGAGCTGTGACGATTCGCATTTCCTTAGATGACGCCATAGATTCGAAAATGTGTATTTTACTCACCCCGAGATTAGCAGCCAGCCGCCCTCTACGCCGAGCAGCCTCCATATACTCCGCGAGTCCTCGCGCATGACGTCCTGCACATACCTTCGCGGTGTGCCTTCTGGGACATCCTGCGAGAACGCCGTGCGGTATGTCAGAGAGCCGCTCTCTTCGTATGCGTGCCATTCGGCCGCGTAGTGCTGGTCCTTCGACTCGCAACGGCACCCGAAGTACAAGGTGTTGTCTGAAGTAATCCAACCGTCAAATTACTTTCCATGCATGCATAGAGAAAAGTACGCACTGTAGAAACCGTCATACGTTCTGTCTTCAATAATCGAACGCATGGGCGCAACACCTGTACCAGGTCCGACGCAGACGATGGGTGTCGCACCGTCTTGAGGTAGGCTGAATAGGCCTTTCATGAGGCCGATAGGCAACTTATCGCCTAGGTAGATGTGTCAATCATTTACTCGAAGGATACAACGTACGCGAGCTCGCTTACCTGGCTGCAACCGCGACATGTAATCAGTGCAGAGCCCCAGCCGAGGTATTCGGAGCATAGTTTTGTATCGAACAATCGCTACGCAGAGATCGACTTGCCGCGGATGACGCTATTGAGTATCCGTATAAGAGAACGAGAACGCTTGACATGAAACAGTGCGTACCTTAACTGAGCTCGCAATGGAGAATTGTCGAGGTCGTATAGGAGGAAATAGGTCGAATATGTATTCACGAGGGATGTCTGCGGATCGAAACTCCTCCAGGACTTCGCGGATCATCCTTCGCGGTCTTTGACAATATTCGTACAGTTCGTCCTGTGGGCCCGGATGAGGCGCCCCATTCCAATCGAAGACCACAATAACTGTAACAGACATACCGCGCCTTCCTCGCTGAGGAATTCATCTAGCCTCTCGGCTTCAAGCTCATCGGACACAAACTGTCTAAGCAATGCGAAGAATGATCTACGGGGAACAGCGCTAATATCTAGATGTTTCGTGAACAGCGTCCTGAGAGTGGTCGTAGGCGGGAGGAACTGAGGTAACGATTGGTCTGGTCAAATTCGTCAGTCAGGACATTGCCCACACGTGTGTTAGGCGACTGAGTCACCTAGAAGTATATGCGTGATAGTGATGGGGTCGTCAGCTGTGCTATCAAATCCGACAGACACAAGGAAGGCGTCTACGTCTGCAGGCTGAGCTTCTGGGTGGACGACTGCTACGTCGCCTGGTTCATATCTCGATGCAATATATCAGTCATGCCCGTGGAACGTCGATACGTACTACATACCGGATGTCTTGATCGAAGTTGAGCTCAAAATGCCGGACGTCCTGATACCAGTCTTCAGCTGTTATGCGGCGATTGCAGGAGACAGTCGCAGTGTAGTGCTGAGGATCGTCATCGAGAGGATTTGGACATGCAGTCAGCGTCTGTGCACCAGCGTCTGTGATCGACACTCGGGCGGGAGGTAGACCATCCGCGGATTGCACTTTCACGCTAGGTGGCAAGGGGTATAACTCTAGGATTGCTTCGCTCAGTTTGTGAAGCCACGGCTCGAATGCCCCGTCTATCCTGAGCAGGCACGTCAGTGACCAACATACCCGTCTTCACGAGCGACAAGGACGAACCCGAGATGATGTTGGTCGTCGCCCTCACCACGTGCGCATATTTCTCCCGCTCCGAGGCCTACGAGCCTTCGAGACAGCAACTTCGCAGGCCAGCAGAACTTCTCGTACGCAGAATCGCCGAGGCCAAATACGGCAAATGAGAGGTCTTCGAAGAGATCTCGTGGCAGATCTGAGCGCAGAAGCAAGTTCCATAGGGGCGTGAGGGCCCTCGGCTCACGACCTGACCCGGTCGTTGCAACGGAGAAGAGGACGAGGTCCTCAGAGATGAGGTTGTCCTGATTTTTTGTTGCCGTCTTAGCAAGGCGAATTTGAATGATCTAACACGTTAACGCACCGGTGTGTATGTCTCCAGGTTATGCACCCGAGCTCGTACGTGGATGCGACGACACTGCGCAGCAATTCTGTCCGCAACTTCCTGCGCTGTCCCTGTCTCCGTGGCATAGAGAACGGTCACCGAGCGTTCATGCCCGTCCTCAGCGACGGGCGCGGGCGAAGAAGACATTGCTGACCAGATGCGGCCCATCTCTGTCAGGGAAGTTATCTGATAATTCTCGCTTACTTCGGGGTTTTATCTTATCTTGAACAGGATCACGTGCTAAGTAGATCGCGCCTCCAACCTGCACGGTCCCCGCGTTGGGAGCCTTGAGGCTTGGAAGCCCTTGCCCTCTCGCCAACCATCATCCGCCTGTCTGTCGTGGGGACAAATGCGTTAGAAATGATTTGGCCATGGACCGTGCGGCAGGAGGCTCCTTCTCGCAACAAGCCTGAAACAAAGCCGCCTGAAATTGACAACCTCGACGATGTAGCTGCTGTGATCCGGGAGCTGAAGGCGAGGACACTCTCCCTTCCCGTCGATATACTCCTGCTCTCGGCATTTGTCGCAGGCTCAGCTACCGCAGCTGGAAGTATAGGCATATATAGACGGTATTGGCGACGGCTACCTAGTGCAGACTGGATTACTCCGGACATTCTAGCGAAGGGGCGTTGGGTCAAGGGATACGTGACCAGGTCAGCATCGAGGCTTCGTCCCGTGCATTATCCACCCCTGCAAACCTTACTCACCGCAGAAATGGCTCAGCGTAGGCGATGCGGACAACTTCCGCCTGTATCATACGCCAGGTATTGGCTGGCGATGGCCGCTGAAGTTCAGGGCCGTACCATCAACACGAATAGGTGAGATAGAGCGTATTCACTCCCTGGAGTTCTGGATGTAACGATATAAGGCAGATCTCAAAGACCGGACGATACATATACGGTTAGCGGGGATTGACGCTCCCGAGGTGCGCTATCAATTGTAACTTTCCCGTGTCTAGGTGCTCGGAGTGACAAGAAGCACAGGCCGCACACTTCGGCAAACCAGCCCAAGAATTCGCGCAAGAAAGTCTTGCTTGGCTCAAGACTTACATTGAAGGACGCATGGTGTACTGCCAGCTATGCCGGAAAGACCAGTATGGGCGCATCGTCAGTTCACTCGGTCAGGGATGGACCAGAAACTGACCTCGGAACATCTCATACCGCAGGTAGCACACGTGCATTGGAAGCCGCGCATCCTCCCGGGTTCACTCGCTACAGGGAAGTCAGTGCAGCTGGAAATGCTGCAACAAGGCTGGGCCGAAGTGTACGAGCAGTGGGGCGCAGAGCATGGGAATTTGGGTATTGATGAATTCCTGCGAGCTCAGGGCGAAGCTCAGTAAGTCGCTCACGTCGTCGACCTTGAGACGCGTTCTGACACCGATCGCAGGGTCAAGCGGCGTGGTATCTGGAAGCACGGCCTCGTGCGCGAGTCGGCCGCTGAATACAAAAGGCGACATGCTTCCGGCGACACAGATTCGGTGCTCGTCAAAACAAAGAGCAAGGATCAAACAGAAGGGGCCACAGGGGGTGAAGGTACTGCGAAGGCAGGCGGTATTTTTCGTGCGCTGTTCCGATTACTGGCTGGTCGGTCAGCTTGAATGGATGTCCGATTACTTTTGGGATACGGGATGCTCATCATTTGCTCATGCAATCGCCTTTGTGTTCTGTCCCAGACCCTTGCATCCTCTGACACAGATGTAACTTATGTGCATGTGTATTTTTTGCGACACCACTTTGTTCCGTTAGTTGGAGTGTCTTAGCCGACAGCGTCATACTACTAGATGTATTCTGTCGCCTGCGAACTACGCGAGTTGTAACCGTACCAAAGTGGTACCAATTTGCCACCGGCGCCACTGCTTCGCGCGAACCGGAGCCGACCATTTCTGTCGCGTCGCGCTCAAGCGCCTATATCAACCCGCCACAGACGCGACTGCGCCCCCATTCCACTCTTCTACCATCACGACCGACATTCTCAGTCGCGTCGCCCTTCTCTACAGCGACAATGGGTGTCGCGCAACAAGAACAACCTCCTAAAGCGCCTGCACGCGCGTCGCGACTGCTGGCGGCGCTGGACAATCCAGCTTTCTTCACGAATCAAGCGCAACTACTTCCACCGGGAACACCGACGGGCACAGGTGCCAAGCGATCCTTGAACACCCCTGGTGCATCAGGGAGCGGATCTCAGAAGAGATTGAGGCGGCTTGAAGACGAAAGGGATGGTAGTCCGGCCCCCTTTGATAGTCAGTGGTCTGAGCTAGCAACGGCCTGGGGCTAGACTGATTCGCCTCGAAGACTCTGCAGTGTTAAGGCAGATGTCTCAGCTGGTAGGATCGCAAGCGGGTGGATTTGCCTTGAATTACGACCGAGAGAGCGCGATCTTACCCTTCGATCGTGGAGGCGACGATCAGCAAATGCGGTTCGTAACAGCGCTCTGTCCTCTATATATGCAGCTCATATTTCACTCAGATTGGCTGAATTTGTGACGCGGTCCATCGACAACGCGGGTGGCGGCGTTTCTGTGAAGGCTGCGATGGAGAAGCTCGGACTACGCAAGTGTGTTTTCAAAGTGGCGCGTTGCTAATGGAGAGGCTAATCGTTGTCCAGCAACCGAGACTTGCTTCCAGGTATGGAGGTGCGCTTGCTCCCGCACCAGATCTTGGGAGTGGCTTGGTACGTCTGTCGCCTACGCCACATATGCCGACTCACATTCTGTAGGATGGTGCATCAAGAGCGTGTAGGCCCGCATAAGGGGGGCATCTTGGCGTATGTACACTATGCAGTCTTTTATGTCTGCATTATTGACCTACGATCCCTAGCGACGAGATGGGTCTCGGCAAGACTGTGCAGATGATCGCGACCATGGCCATCAACCTTCCGGAACCCGAGGAGAGCCACCGCACAACACTGATTGTTGTACCCGCAGCACTACTACTGCAGTGGAAAGACGAACTCCAAACGAAGACGAACGGCATGTTCTCGGTACACATACATCACGGCAGGGACAAGCTGAAGAGCACCTCCGCGCTCTCGAAGAAAGACGTCATTATCACCACGTACCAAACCCTCTGCCAAGACTTCGCGATCCCATCCGACATTGAGAGTGAAGACGAGATGGATTATCTGCTGGACAACGGGTATGGCGCTCGTCTCTTGAGCTTCGGTCTTCTGCTTATTACTGACTGATGTGGCCTCTGTAGAGGCTTGATGTCGCGAATGAAGTGGTATCGGGTAATCCTTGACGAGTCGCAGTTCGTCCGCAATAGGTATATTGTCTAAGGAATGCGCATACATCCCACTACTGACGCCTGAAACGCAGACGAACAAGGTCGAGCAAGGCAGTGGCTATGCTCCGCGCCAAATACAGGTGGTGCCTCACCGGCACTCCGGTCACAAATTCATTGTAGGCGTGTCTCAACTACTATGCTTTAAGGTATAGCTGAGGGCATTCATATAGGGCCGATCTATACGGTTTCCTTCGCTTCGGACGATTTCGTCCTTGGAAGTGCGTTCATGTGGCTTGTCAAAGTTTGATACCTCCGACTCATTGTGTCACTCAGCGACTGGCAAGATTTCGATGCGTACGTCGCCAAGGTGCAACTCGAAGACGCGCCGCTTGCTGGTACGTAGTTTAGTTCCGTCACAGCAAAGAATGCTCAGCGGGGTTGCCGTTGGACAGGTCTGCGCGCACAGGAAATTCTCAAGCCTCTCCTTCTTCGACGCACCAAAGATGCTGAGATCGTATGTGGTTACTCCTGCTCCTGGGCTTCCACTGAGACGACCATGCGGCTCGCTAGGAAGGAGAGCCGTTGTTGCAGCTCCCTGAGAAACATGTCGATCTCGAGTTCCTGGAGTTTTCAGATGAAGAGAGACAGGTATGAGCATAGAGACCACGCCCAGCAAGCATTGCGCTGATTGTCTGCACAGATATATGACTCCTTTGAGAAGCGTGCGCAGATGCAAATCAACCGGTATATCAGAGATAACACACTTGTTAAGAAGTACGTAATCGAGCTCGTACACTCAAATACCACAAGCTGATCAGTGTGGCGTTACAGTAATCCCGCTGTCCTCGTAAGCATCTCTGATAAATGTACCTGTGACGAAGTTGACACTGTAGCCGTGATAGGTCATGATCCTTCGTCTCAGGCAGCTATCTTGTCATCCTCATCTCATCCTCGTCTGTTCATGTTTCTCTCACTTAGCCTGCCAGTGCTGACGGGCTTTGTAGGATCAAGCGCGAGGGTTCGAAGATCCGACTATGCTTGTTGCCGGCGAAGCTGAGAAAGAGGTCGGGCGGGCCCACAAGCTCATGGGCGCCGAGTGGGTTACTCAGGTATGTCTATTCAAATCAAGATGACTTCTGAATGGTGTTAATACGCGTCTCGACTCGTCTAGGTCAAGAAGAGGTATGGTCCTATGATGCTGTCCGGGACGTGTTCTCAATCGTGATAGATTCATGGCTCGTGCACAAATGGCTCAGCTAGACTTCTCAGACGATATGGAGCAAGATGAGGAAGCGACTTGCCCCAAGTGCGGAGACCGTAAGTGGCGAAAACTGTAAACCTTTCAGTTGTTGACGCTGGCACGCAGTCTTCATGGAGGGTAGCGGCAGATTGCTTGCTTGCAGCCATGAAATCTGCAACGGTACGTACCTGCGGAGTCGCTGTAGTAGTTTTCTGATTCGCTGTCGATTATAGACTGTCTCTTGGTCCTACGCACCGAGCCCATAGAAGTGAATGGGGAATTGTACGTCAATTGCTCGTTGTGAACGACCGTTGTCTGACATCCGGCCTATTTCCAGTGGCAACGGCGACGAAAAAGAGAACCTACGTATAGAGAAGGACTTCGAAGCGGCCGCTGACAAGGGCTTGCGTCCTTGTACGTCGTCATCTAGCATTCACACTAAACATGTTACTCAACTCCTCGCAGGCCCCACTTGTAAGAAGATGCAGAACCTCACTCCCGCGCACGTGTTCCTGTCGCAGGCCTTCGAGCCTTCTCGCGACGATGTACGCTCCGCGCTTCGCCGCTCTCAGGCCGCGCGCAAACCCGCTGCAAAACCGAGCGTTGCAAAGAAGGAACCTATTAGCGTTGACAGTGACATAGAGATGAGTTCCAGCTCGGACGAAGATATGCCGGACCTCTCGGAGTTGCTCGCCGGTGTTACATCTTCGTCGCAGTCTAGTTCGGAGAAGAAGCCGAAGGAGACCAAGACCAAGGTCAAGGTCAAGGGCAGGACGGTTGTGTCAGACGAAGAGGATTCGTCCGTGGACGAGGTTCGTCCTTGGTTCCGTGGTTTGCCGAAGTGCTGACCCATCGGTGTTAGGATAATGACCTACACCGTGCCATGAACGACATCCGGGGCAAGCGACAGACACAGGTCAAGAAGGCCAAGGCTTCCTCTGATGATAGCGACAATGCCGGCCCGCGCGCGGTGCCGGAGTACATGGTAAAACGTGGAGGCGGGGCGGCGACAACATGGAGCCCAGCACGAAGATGATGGCCTTGATTGGCTACCTGCACGAGTGGGAGGTGACCGGCGACAAGACGATCGTCTTCTCCCAATGTGCGTTCCTGCGCAAGTCTCGTCTGGCTCACCTAACCGCGATGCGCCCTAGGGACGTCGATGCTCGACCTGATCGAGACACTGTTCAGCCGATATGGCATACGCAGCCTGCGCTATGATGGACGGATGTCGCGCGAGGCGCGAGAGATGGTCCTGGCTGAGTTTAGGCAGCAGGGTGGCCCGAAAGTCATACTCATCAGGTACGATACGTTTGGCGGCTGTTCACAAGGCTGAGATTGATCGCTTTCTCGCAGCACGAAGTGCGGTGGCGTGGGCCTCAATCTAGTGTCTGCGAATCGCATCATCAAGTGAGTAGTGCGGGTTTCGCTGTTGCAGTTGATACTGAAAGAGACGCCTAGCATGGACCTTTCGTGGAACTACGCGTCGGAGTCTCAGGCGTACGACCGTGTGCACCGTCTTGGCCAGGAGAAGGAGGTGTTCGTCAAGCGACTTGTCGTCAAGAATACCATTGAGGAGCGGTGAGCTGGGATGATTGATGACTGCGCGTCGAGTTGTTGTTGAAACAATACCTTCAGGATGCTGAAATTGCAGGATACCAAGACTGGTGCGTAGTAGCTTGGAGTATGCGGGCGCGTACTGTATTCATTCTCGATTCGCAGGTCTCGCGGAAGCTGCATTGGGTGAAGGAAGCGGGTCAAACTGCACAAGCTCAGTGTGAAGGAGCTTAGAGACGTACGTTCATCCACCCCAGTCGTTGATCCGCGATCATGCACTTACCTACTTGTCCCCAGCTGTTCGGCATGAACAAGGACAAACACCCGGCTGCAGGTCAACAAGTTCTGGACAATTCCGTTCAACAGTAAAGTGAGCGGCGGACCGAGATGCGTCGGACGTGGCTCTCCCTAATGTACATTATCGAATAACTTGCGCTTCTCGGAATACACTCGACCCACACCTGGGTCAGCTAGTGGTACTGATAGATCTTGCTTATTGAGTATATAGTAAGCTCTTCGTCATTCATCACGTCGTGTAATTCGTATACCGGACTATCATAATCTGCTCACTCCTCCCAAACTGCCCAGGCTCGAAACTATCCAAAATGAAGACCACTTGTCACTGTCATAGGAAGAGAGCTAGGGCACCGACGCCCACACCGACAGCCGCGTTCCAGCGATTCGCCTGTATCCCGACAGCGGCTGCCTTCGAGGGGCGCCGCACCGGCACGGCGATCGTCCGAGTCGCGACTGAGTACCTCGTCACGGTCGCGGTGGTATGTGCCCCGGTCGATATTGACCTGATCGTCGAGGTGGAAGCGACAGCGAGAAGGAGGTGCTGACGGAGCTGTGGTGGAGGAGAGGGCTGTCCCGTGCGCGTGCCAGCGAAGCTGGTCGAGTGTGAGGTCCCTGGGGTGCCGGTGCCGGTGTGGGTAGCACCTGTGGAATGTGCGGATGCGTGGGTGGCCGTCTCCCCGGTTCTGCGATGGAAATCAAGGTAAGATGAAGAACCATGAGTGCGTCTCGATCCTGGTACTGACCGGCGTTCCGTCGACGCGTGTGTGGCGCGTGGCGCGTTCTGTAGTACTGGCTGTGGCGGGATGCCGGCTGGGGACGCGCAGACTGCTACGATCCCGGCGAGGGCGAGGGCGAAGAGCAGGACACGAGCGAGGAACATCGCGAGGTCTTGGGTTTCCTTTGCGATGAGTGTGGGGGGCAGGTGGGCGAGGACCCAAGGATCCCGTCCACCGTCGTATATGTACCGCTCCTCCAAGGCCCAAGTGGACCAGTCCACCAGTCCAGATGATAGCGTGCCGCGCTTCGGATTGTGTGCGCGCGGCCTAAGCGCGCGAATTGGGCCCACTACTGACAGCTACGGACACAGCCTTCGAGCTTATCACTTTGGCCTGCATATGGCGGATGCTTGTAGATTTACACAGGCATCGCTCCCTGTAAAGCGGCCAGTGCACAGCCTGAGGTCAAGGCGCTGGATCAATATAGGTGCCGTCGGGATATTCGATTGTCAGAGCGATGCAGCTGTGTTCTGCGGTACCGGTGTCCAACTACAGTATGTCACCCAGGACCGAACAAGGTGGTGTAGATGCCGTTTGTCTGAAGTTGTTTTGAAAGCCATGATCGGTCTTCCTTTGGGCAGTGACAACTGGAAGCCTCCGCAAAACGTACGGCCGACTTCTGAACCGACCAAAGCGATGATCGCGTTCTGCATGTCTTGACATAGCTCTCGCTGGCAGTCGAGTCAGAACCCTGTGCACAAACCAAGATACGAGAGCACCAATGAAGCGGATCACGGCGAAGAGAACTTGCATTTCTGAGCCCTGTATGAATGAGAGGCTCGAACTCGGGATGCCAGCGTCGGGCACGAGGGCCAGGTGTCGGGTAGGCGCTTGGTAGCCACGTGCTATTCCCGTTAAGGAAAGTCATGAGAGTGAAAGACATGACTTGGGCACGATGGTCATGGCATGGAGACTGTTTGGAGATGACGGCCACATCACCCCGCTCCCTTGTGCACTAATTCACTCACGTCTGACAGACTTGCCCGGTGCGCAGCCAGGCTTCTGATAGTTCCAACGGCTATAAAACGAGGCCTGGCGTGCTCTCGGAACATCGTCTCTCGACCATCCCATTCCCGAACCCCCACATCTCCAATCCACACTGCACGATTTTCTCAATGACTTTTATGCGTTCTCTGATATTCGTAGTTGCGCTTGCTCTAGCCAGTGGTATAGGGTATGCTGTGCCACAAACGGAGAGCAGCAGCACGTCTTCGCTGTCTGTTCATCCCTCGGACCCGCTCAGTATCCTCCCGACCTTCAGCTTGAGCACCAGTGTGATCTCCTCTGCCAGTGTGTGAGTAGCCTCATGGACTATGACTAAAGGATAATCTGACACGTTTACAAATGATCAGGAGTTCCACGTCGGAGTAAGTTACTCTGTGCATATCCCAGACACTTGTTGATCGTATGACCAGGAGCACAGAGTCGTTCCCGAGCAGCTCATCGTGAGCAACTCATCCCATCCATAATCTTGCGGATGCGTCACATTAACTGGCATGCTCAGGTCGGAGACGTCCTCGAGCTTCTCCTCCACCCCCTCTGTCTCGGCGTCTACATTCCCGGTTTCCAGTACGAGCACCGAGACGACGCGCTCAGGGTCGGGCTCCGTGGCGAGCGTTACTTCCACCTCAACGTCGACGTCGACGAGGCAGCCCGCATCATCGTCGAGATCCACGTCGGCCCCCAGCACTGCTACTACCTCTACCGGCGCTGCGGTGGGTCTGCAGGCAGAGCAGTGGAAGCTGGCTCTCGGCGTCGGCGCCGGTGCTATTGCATTGGTCCTGTGAAGGAAGGCATACGCTGAATGCTTGATCAGTACTGGGTTGGTGCAGCGTCGTAGTGCGGAGGACGCGAACGGACAGGACATTCGATCTGACTCTGTAGGATCTAACATGCATATGACGGACACTGCTATATAATTAGCCATTCGTCACCGCACGCAATGGTATGCTTCCAGCCTGGTTCCTCCTTTCTCCCAACACCAAACCTTCCGTATGAGTCCACAGTGCTGCCGCTATTAGGCGGATCTCGTGTCCTTCTCACAAGAGGCGTGCAGACTGCGTTCGCATTCGCAGGCAGTCACATCATCAGCTGCTCCCCAGTGTTAGTGCCCGCGACCGCTCACAGTGATGCCCGTTCACGCTAGCCTAACTAGTGTGTGCGTTCGTCATCCTGGGTAAGCACAGACTTCCTCACGGGGCCAATGTGGCGCCACGACGCGACCCCGCATTCCGTTTGGTGTTTAAGTGCAAATGCCGTCGATCGCTTGGGTGCGCTCTATCTGCAAGAACCCTCAAGCTCGCGAGGCCATTTGTCAGTGGGCAACAGAAGAATGGCGGTCCGCTCCCCGACACCTGACCTGACTCCATAGCCATTCAGGTCACTTCTCTCCCAACGAACATGGGGGATAAGAAGGTAAACTGGCAGCTTGCTCTCGCTGACTGCTATCGTCGCTCTAGATAACCTGCCTCACGCCCCCTCAGCGGTCCAGGCCTACAACGTTTCGCGACGATGGTGAAGCTACCAACCAAGACGGGCGTCGCCGGCCTCTCAGGTACTCCTCTCATCGGCGCACTCACCTCTGTCTGCAGCGTCGGCTTCCTCCTCTTCGGCTATGACCTGGGCGTCATGTCCGGCGTGGTCCTCTCCAAATACTGGCTCGAGCAGATGGGCAACCCCTCGACGATCATGATGAGCACCATCACCGCGCTCTACGACGTCGGCGCGGTCGTGGGCGGCCTCGCCGCCGCGTGCACGACGGAGCCCCTGGGGAGGAAGCGGACGCTCATCCTGGGCACGACCATCCTGCTCGTCGGCGTGATACTCATGGGCACGTCCTACGAGAGGATCCAGATGATGTTCGCACGGGTCATCACGGGCATTGGTGAGTGCGCTATCACTGGCAGTCGCGTGCTCTCGCGTCTTCAAGGCTGACCCGGGCTTCGCGGCAGGGATTGGGTACATAACGTCCGGTAAGCCCGTCCTGCGCTTCGACGCGTGCGCCGGGAGAACCTCGCTGACGGACCATTTCAACCCCGCATCTTCGTGCGCACACAGTGACGCCTGTGTACCAGAGCGAGATCACGCCACCCGAGCATAGAGGATGGCAACTGTGCTGCCAGCTCACGTCGATGATCGGCGGGATAGTGCTCACCTACTGGGTGAACTACGCGTTCTACTTCTACTCGGGGCCGATCCAGTGGCGGTTCCCGCTGCTCTTCCAGGGCATCTTCGCGATTTATGTCATTTTCCTGACGATGTTCATGCCCGAGACGCCGCGGTGGCTGATTCGCCATGACCCTACGCCCGAGCGCGGGATTGAGGTGCTCGCCAAGCTGCGAGGGCTGTCTACGGACCACCCGGTGGTTCTGCAGGAAGCGAGGGAGATCATCGAGGCGATCGAGATCGAGCGCGATGAAGAAGGGACGTGGACGGACCTGTTCAAGGGCCACGGCATATCAGCGGACAAGCGACTGTACCTTGCGATCGGCATCCAGTTCATGCAGCAGATGACAGGTATGTCCTCACCTGTCAGGATTGGTGAGGGATGTCCTTCATGTGCTCTGCACAGGGATAAACATCGTGACATACTATGCACCGACTCTCTTCGAGGTCAGCCTGGGTATGTCCCAAGAACGCGCGCTCTTCTTCGGATGCTGGGTCCAGGTGTGGTAATGATAGCGTCCTTCGTCACAGTGAGTGCCGTCTTCTTACCCCTCATCGATCCCTCCGTTCAGTGGATGTGACCCGTCAGTGGTACACCATCGACCGTGTCGGCGACGGAAGCTCTGGATCAGCATGGCCCTCGGACAGATGGTTGTCCTCGTCCTCGAAGCCATCTGCGTCGCAGTGGACAACCCGAGCTCCAACATCGCTGCCGTGTTCTTCGTGTTCCTATACGAATCGTGCTTTACATGGGGTACGTTCCAGAGTATCTTCGAACGGACAGACTCCTGAACCCGTGTGACGGTCAACAGGATGGATGGCGACCGTGTGGGTGTACCCCGCAGAGATCCTTCCGCTCAAGATCCGCGCCAAGGGTGCTGCGCTCGCGACGGCTTCCGACTTCCTCGGGAACTTCCTCGTACGTATCTCCACCCAACGGAACGTAGCTCGCACTGCAGTGTCGCTCACGCGTACCACGTCTAGGTCGTAGAGATCACCCCGCCTGCGCTGCAGAACATCGGGTGGCGGACGTACGTCATCTTCGCCGCGCTGAACCTCGTGAATGCGAGCATAGTCTGGGCGTTCTACCCTGAGACAGCAGGGCAGACGCTCGAGTCGATAGACATGCTCTTCCGTGAGTATGGCTCGAGAAGGAGCGGGCACTGCAAGACAATACGGGCAGTCAAGACAGCGTACAGCCTGAGCCAGGGCCAGGACGTGGATGGACCAGCGCTCTGCAGTGGTCGGTCGTCCCGCGCGCTGACGCTGCGACGCAGCGGCTGAGGAGGGAAAAGAGGGCGGCTGCGAATGCTGATGATGGAGGTGTGTCTCGAGTTGAGGAGGTTGCAGGAGAGCGAAGCATTTCCGGCAGCATAGAGAAGAAGGCGCGGCTGAGCATGTGGAGACGGTGCTGCCCTAGGCCCAGTCTCATTCATCAGTGCGGTCACCTGTGAGCGCATCGTGTAGATGGATGTATGGTGTATGAGTTGGTAGGTCTGGTACAGACGACTGTAGAATAGATATCACGACGCCCAGTTGACATTCGCATCGAAGCTTGAGCGTCCCTACTAGTACCCTTGCCCTCCATAGTGTCCGTCAATATAGTAGACTGGCACATGGAGGGGTTCAGGCCTGAGCAGTCTTGCAGTACGTCCGGATAAGGTAAGCTGCGAGTACAGCAGACCTGCTGTTGCACACTCCTCGTCCGACGCTCCATGTGCCTTGTTACCTGTGAGAGCTGCATGAGCGGTATAGCCCACTGAATAGCTCATTCGTATGCTCCTCGTGGAATGGGCCACAGCACCCGGGAAGTGAAGAGAAAGGACTTCCAGTCCAGCTAGTACGCCACACTCAACGGGGGTGCCCCAAACCAGAGCAGAGCGCTGACTGGGTCGCTGGCAAACCGCCGCAGAATTCACTCAAACACATGGCATGCAGGCGAGCATGAAGGCGAGCACGAGAGTGGAGATAGTAATATTAGCACAATGATGACCGAACACAACAGCGAACGCGAAGACATAGGGCGGATGGCCGCCCGTCAGGGTGAACGCCAGAGAAGTCACCGCCCTTGGCAATCTTCATGCTTGGTGTAGAACATGTTCTGAACGCGGTTGCGATCTGTCTCAACCTAGAACGAAGCCGTGTGGGTAGTTCAGCGCTCGAGGCGCTCTGGAACGACAGCATCGAGGACGACGCACCGCTGAACAACCACAGTTCGAGCCCTTGGCATGTGCATGTGCTGAGCTTGTCTTGCAATGTGGGGAATTGCAGTCGAATCGCTCCCCCGAGTGATACCGCCCGTGAAAGTGCTGGTGAATTGCCGAGTAAGTCAGAGATACGAGTGACCCACAGATGATATGGTACGGCTCCCTACCTGGCATCCCCGGTAGTAATCACCTATGCTATTCATCACAGTCAGACAATGCTCCCGGAAACGTTTGCACAACAGTAAAGAAGTCTTACAATTCGTACTCGCACATATCGCCTGTAATGTGTTCGGATCGCGGTTGGGATTGTGAGGAGGCGACACTCGCTGGTAGCTCGTGTGCCGAGAGAGAGACAGGTCTTATGTCAGTGAGTTGCGCACAAACGCAGCATATATTTTTGAGGGACATGGACGTGCGCGCCACGGGCGGTGGTCATAGCTTCCTGGCAAATTGGACAGGCAACACGCTAGATCTCATCCCACGAGATAGCTGTTCAGATCTCATACAGCGGACTTGACGGTATCGGCTGCGAAGGAAGCGTCTCGCACCGCAGGTGTTCGGGATCTTCTGGCACACGCCCCGGAAAGAGCAGTTCGAAGGGAGAAGAGCAACGCGGACACAACGGTTGGGCGGCGAAGGGGCGATCACAGAGTTATCGTCTCGCCTCACCTGTTCCTCATGCCATCTTATCCTCCGCCCAGGCTTCACGGAGCCACAGAGCCTCTTCCACGCTGACACGTGTTCAATTCGGATCATGGCAAACACGCCCATCAGCTTGCAACAGACGCTGCTGACATCTCGTTTTGCATGCTTCTCGGATGTCCCCCTTACACAGAGGAAGATCTGTGGTCGAGGGAGGTCAAGGCAGTGTATCTACGTCAGGCGGTCAGTTCTCTGAGTGCGCGCAGGGATACCAATGTGCGTCCGTTATCATGGATATCTGTCGTTGGACTTGACGGTCATCGAGCTGGTGTTCCATGCTCGCGGCGCGTCGCCACTGCCGCGGGGGATGGAACAGATACCTGGCTGTTATTCTTGACGTGGCCGCGCGTCGTCTGTAATAGAGACCCTTGATACAACGAGTTTAGTGAACATATCCTGTGCCCGTGGGCGTGAGGGGGTAATGACGTGATGAACGAGCCGGCACACCTTGATGGCGAAGGCAGCGAAGAGACGTCGGGCGTGCTTGTGTTGTGCCGCATCCCAAAGAATTTGTAAGGTCTGGCGGACAGAACGAGGTAAGTACGCGCTGCAACCATCCGGCGCCGAACGCTTCTATCCACTGTGTTACTGAATGCGCCCCTCGAAAGCATTCCGAGCAACGTGCTCATCTGAAAAACTGACGACATACCCATGTACACTAGAACCACAAAGGAAGGATTATTCCGTGCGCCGATAGGCACGCGAGAACATGCCGTGGACTACGCACCTCCAGTGTGCTTATCCAGGGTCCACCAGTGAAGAGTTGCCGCGACGTCACCGCTGCCGCGCGGCCCTGGTGGAAACGCGAAGTATCAGCTGAGCCGCACATTTGTAGGCTAAGCCCGCGATCTAGTTTAGAAGTCCATAGAGCGGTCACAACATGTCCGATTATAGTAATATGTGCTACCCGCCGCCGGGATCCCAGAAGAGCAGCTGCGCACCTTCATCTCTATCTCGGCCATGCGTTGAAAGATTCGTTGAAGCCGGTAGATTTATAAATTTGAACCGCGGGTGCGTTCTTGTCGACTCTAATGCGATGCTATGCGATCTCCAAGCTTGCGAGCGCAGGCTAGAAGGTCATAGGCGTGTATGTTGCTAGACCAAGACGTGCTAGCGGCTCCGTGTCAACTTGAGTGTTTGTATCGCCGACCGAAAATCACTGGCTTCGCGAGTTGTTGCTGAAGCTTCATGTTCTTGCTGCAATTTCGATGGCCACGTCAAGTGCAGCCTGCAGGCGACATTGTCAGTACGTGAAAACGCCCTTAGTAGGAGCCCGCCATTGACACGTACACGAGTATTGAGCGCCAGCAAGGATCTAAGACACCGCAGGGAACGTCACTTTTGTGTATGTACGACAGTAGTCGCTACGTGTCAGACAGTAGTAAAGGGGTGGTCATGACAGCTTCATCGAAACGAAGACTAGTACAGGGTCTGAGGCTGCGTAGCCTCGTGAGTTTGCTCGTGAGGTTACGCCGTGCCCAACGCATGCGCAAGTTAGTTTCCCTTAGACATCGCTGATCCTGGCGCGCGCTACGGCTGCATGCTCTGTCAGTTTATCCATCTGAATTGTAGCCATGGCGCACCCAGATGAACCGTCATATATAGATCGGCGAACAAGCAACACGCGTCAACGTCCGACTATGAACGGATGTTAGGTCAGCAAGTCGAACACAACAAGATGGAAATGGCGGCGCACTCGTGGTTCCTTCATGTTGCGGCGACGCCCGTTCTACATTTCGTGTCGGCTTGCAGAGCAGCCACTAAGTATCGCTCGATTGTAGCTTTCACAAATCGAGGGTCGGGTCAGGGACCATCTAAGACATATGTACTGAAGTTAGCAAACAGGGGAAGGCCACTTCCAGCGTCTCGTACCACACACGGATCCATTGTGAGCAAAGCCTAAGCGGCCCAGGCGGCTGACATGACCGACCATCTGCACGTCCCCGCCATCCCTGCTTCCTGAAAACGCTGAGGTCACTGGTGTTAACTCCTCTGTCACATCAATTCTCTGCGGTTCATCGACCGCCGTTTCAACTGTTCCCCGCGCTCATCGTTCCCACAGTGTTAGTATGAGGCACTAGAGCTTCACTCACATTTCGATGGTCCCGGGCCGACAACCACTCAGTGTGTCTTCGTTTTCGATGATCATGGGTTTCGGGAGCTGCAGTACCGTGACAGTCAAAGACCTGAGAGATCACTACATAAGTAGTGGACATCATAGTGCTGTAAGAAACGTGAAACGAGATTTGAACGAGATGTAAGTAACTTCGTAACCTTACTTAGATCACGTGGTCTGACATTGTGGTTGAACGGGCGCCTGTCAGACTGAAGTCCGATGTCTTCGAGAATCGACGCGGACGTAAGTTAGCGATGTTTGTCTGCTCCGTGGTCACTCACTACTAGACTTCACTAGCTTCACTGGCGACCACTCGTAACTACTAGTAGTACTTCTAGATCCTCGACTACAGTGACACTGACAGCATCTGGTTCGTTGCATCTCGGCTCGTGTCATGCTTTCGGCATTTGTTGACTGTATTGTTCGGCCTTGCAGTGAGAAACCGCGTCAGGTCGCGCTAATATGTCACTGGAACAATAGAACGACTTATTCAATACATAAGGTACGTCGCCACGTCGCTCCGCCGGTGTCCGGAGATATGTAAAGGACGAAAATTGATGGCGCCGTCGTGACTCTGCCATGTTGCTTCCTGCGGTTTCACCGTCTCTTCCTCGTGTGTCCCAGGTACTATGCCGAACATGTCATGCATGTGCGAGACTAGATGAAAGGGGAACGTGGGCAAAGCTGTGGCGCCAGTCAGCTCAAGTAAGTACTGGCGTCCATCTCCATCATATACTGGCATCTTGGGTCTGGCCGGCATTATCGGGCACCCGAGCTCTAGAGCTTCATGCTTCTGTATTGGTGTTGCTTGTATTACTGAAGCATTGCAAATCGAAGGAACAGCTAAAACGCTTACCTATCTTGCGGAGGTGAAAGGAACCGCCGCGCCAGCCTCGTGCAATGTCGACATGTAATGCAGATCAGGACTCGATGGCCCGGTATCGCGATTGCGCCATGCATCGGGCAGTTGGCTGGGCAGGGATGTAGACCGTGAGAGCTGACAGGACCCGATCTCGAGAGAAGTTGGATTGTTCAACAGAGTCAACAGATACTTATATGTGAGCTCTATACCTTCTGCCGGCTGCCGAGAAGACCGACCTATCTTCAGACTCATCGTTTGGGCGCAATTGTTCAAGGCAAACCATCGGCGGGCGACCCGGGCTCTCGCGCGGGAGTATCCCGATGCTAGCGTCTGGGGCTAACCACTCCCTTTATAAACGATCGTTGACAGGATCGATATCTCGCAGTCGTGCCTCTGAGCCCGATCCCCGATGGAGTTTGTCCTCTTCTCTCTGGCATCGTCCTAGTAGGACTCCTTATGCTCTGGATATCTGAGAATCGAACAGCTACTGCTTATCGACTACCCCCAGGACCGAAGCCGTTTCCCTTTCTCGGTAACGTCCATCAACTGCCTTCCATTTGCCAACAGAGAACGTTTAGAGAATGGGGAGTACTGTATGGTGAATTGATAGAGGGTATAGGTGTGGATGGATCGTGCTGATGAACGTCGATTCAGGTGACATCGTCTACGCGCGCCTTTTTCGAACACCGGCAATTATAATCAACTCCTTAGAGGTTGCGCAAGACCTACTTGACAAAAGAAGCGCGAAGTACTCGCATAGGCCCCGGTTCATCTTACTGCAGGATTTGTACGGACCTCTCAGACTCCTGTGCAAATCGCTTACTGACGGCACCCTCTGGCTCAGGATGGGATGGGACGTCCTAACGCACTTTTCATACGGAGAGCGGTTCCGAAAACACCGCCGCTGGATTTCCAGCGCCTTTCAAGACAAACACGCTTTACTTAGCTACCGCAACATTCAACGAAGAGAAGTTTATACCCTCCTCTCTGGCGTGCTCGAGACGCCTGAGCAATTTATGCCTCACATCCGAAGGTTAGTACTTGTCGGCGTCTCTCCTCCATTCCCTCATGGTTTTACAGATACGCTGCGGCGCTCATAATGGAGATAGCCTACGGTCACCGCGTCCAGTCGGCGGACGATGAGTATATCCACATCGCGGAATCTGCTGGGAAAGAAACCGTTGAGTCCGGGAACGCCGGGTCAATGATTGTTGACTTCTTCCCTAGCCGTGAGTGTCCTATCGATTGATTGTGCGGTACTCGACTAAGGGTGTGTGTGCTGGCTAGTACAATACCTGCCCATGTGGCTTCCGGGCGCGGGATTCAAGCGCAAAGCTGCGGATGTGAAGAAGGTAGTGCAGCAGATGTTCGACACCCCGTTCGAGATGGTGCGAAATGCTATGGTGAGTAGATTGGTCTGCCGCCGGTTGCAGTCTCATGAGCGCCACAGGCATCCGGAACAGCGTCTCCGTGTTTCACGGTCGCTTTACTGGAGGAAGTCCTCCGGCAGGGCTCCCTTAGCAAGGAGGACGAGGACGACATCAAGTCAGCAGCGGGGGTCCTATATGGAGGCAAGTACTATATAATTCTACACCATCGTATCAGTCTGAATCTTCATACTGTCACTAACAGCGGCGACGGATACGGTAAGCACTTTCACGCTTAGGGCGTGCTTAGCGCAGGTAAATGCTCACGACTGTCACAGACGGTGGTAATACTGTCGACCTTCATCCTAGCTATGCTTCTGCACCCCGAAGTATATACGAAGGCCCAAGCAGAAATGGATCTCGTTGTCGGTACCGAACGGCTGGCTGACTTCGATGACAGGGAGGCATTGCCTTACTTGGAGTGTGTCATACGTGAAGTATTCCGGTAAGGGGATCAGCTTATGTGGCACTTGTGTGATTTTTAATCTGCGTCGTGCAGATGGAATTGTCCTGTACCACTTGGTGTGTTCCGAGTAGTACAGCGCCCGTTGAATTTGCCATGTCCCAACTAATACCTGTGCAGGTATTCCTCACAGAACGATTCAGCCCGATAAATATCGAGGTTATGGTATACCTGCGAATTCGATGGTGATTGCGAATATATGGTATGTCCATCTCAATTGCTGAGAAATTCATCTGGATGGTCAAAATAACGTAGGGCAATGACACAAGACGAAGAATCGTATCCGGAACCAGAATCATTCCGGCCGGAGCGATTCTTGGAGATGGACCAGCAGACCTTGCAACTACTTGAGCCTCGCAATATCGCGTTCGGATTTGGTCGCCGGTAGGTCCCTTCAGTGTAAGTTCATCATCACAGCGAGTTCAGTGTCCCTCCCTTCGGCGCAATAGTGTGTGTCCCGGGCAGCAGTTCGCAGACACTACCATATGGCTCGCAGTAGCCAGTTTCGTTGCAACCGTCAACATAAACAAAGCCATGACTAAAGATGGCGACCCAATCACACCTCTGGCGGAGTTCGTGCCGGGCTTCGTGAGGCGAGTCGTCACCTGGACCGTCGTGATTCTAGCTACTGACCGGTGTAATAGCCATCCCAAGGACTTCGCGTGTGCCTTTACTCCGAGATCGGGGAAGGCTACTAAAGTAGTCTCGGACATGAGGGACATGAGTGTCTGACCAAAATTTCATATCCGCTGGTCGTTGACTGCGCTCGTATGGTCGCGGAATTTACATTACTGATACATGGTGCTTCACCCCTGCATCTCATGTGCTCTATCTACTTCGTATTTCCAGTATACAGTACTAGTCAGCAGCATTCGTGTCCTATCTTATGTTGCCAAGCCCCGAGTGGATTTGACAAAGACTGTGCCGAACGTGCGGTTGACGTATCACCTAGGCAAGATTGAACACAGCGGGAAGTATTATAGTAATCTGCCCACCGGGCCCAAGCACGCTCTCGGTCGCATGAACCCTCAAAGTGCATTTGTATAACCGCCAGCTTTCAGTAGGTAGGCCTTACCGAGCCTAACTCAGTAGGGTTCTTGGTGTTGACACTGAGCACTGCTGACCATAAGCGCACCCCAAATTTCCACATCACCGTGAACAGAACACAATGGGCTCGAGACACGCTTGTACCCAGATGATTTTATGAAATATTGCCGATGAAGTGCACAAAGCGTGGACACAGAAGCAGCCCATCGTGCGCGCTGGATCAGTGTGTGGCTCAGATCAACGACACTCTTGACGGTATTACGGACTACAAATTTACTCTCTTTGCACGTTATAGCATCCAGCATTTGAAATAGTGGGCGAGACGCGCCCAAAGCCACAATTCAAAGAGTCCGGACAGGTAGGGAAGAAGTCAATCACAGCGAAAGCGCTACGCATGGGAGGCCGGCATCAGAATTAAACGTAATTTGCTGAGCGACGTGTCTGACACGTTCCTCGTTCGATGGTATCCTTCAAGACGGCTGTTAAGAAGCCCATCTAGATAACACGCCCAAGAGAAAGGCACTGCTATTCTCGGTCACTCAGGGCGTGCACGCGTACGTAGCGGTCACGGTGGCGGATGCTGCCATTGCGTGTCCAGCAGTCTGGTCTCCGGTACTGCTGAATTCAAGTATCTTCGTGGCGCCTTGAATGCCTGAAATTTGAGCATAATCTGTACTATGGGACTCGCCTGAAATTGTATCTCAGGTCTGGTAGCACGTCGAGACTCGAGATTTTGACCCGTAGTACTAGCCCGACCGGCCTCGCGTGCCATACGAATGTGACCGAGGCCGTGTTCATTCAATTAAATGCGCAACCTTACCTAGAAAATAGACCCCCTGGATTGGGCTGTTGGCAGCGCACCGACGCAGCGGGTCCGTTGTCCATGAGAATGTCCGCTCCTCTCGCAATGTCTGAGCGGACATCCTGACTCTTCAGGTCAAACCATTTGATGCGGACTATCCAAGACTGCAAGGAGCTCGGGCATCTCGGACTTTATTCACTGTTCAGAAATGTTAAGCTTGTCTGTGGCGCAGAGTGTCGAAGTCACGACTCGCCTTGAGCAACTCGATCGGCCAGGTCGAGAAACCTCGGGGCTGCACTACTCACGCCTCTATTCTCTTCCCCACATGCCAGGCGCGACATCGAAAGCGGTGCATGCGCAATGATATCTGTACGCAATTTTATAGGTAGGCCGCGGTACCCGCGGTGAACGATCTATAAGCGAGGATTCAGGTTATACACATGTGGTAATTGAGGGACTGTTCAAGAACGAAGTGATAGCTGTCGTGTTGCCGTCAGGATACCAGTGAGCATACTCGAAGTGAAATGATGGGTCGATTGAAGTCGGAGATGATACACGGCACTTCCTGGAGGCAGGTGGAAGGGTCATACAGTGTCACATCGTAACTGCAAATGCATTGAAAGCCCTGAAGCTGTAATTGACAGCGGCAGCCAGAGCCACTCTCCAGCACTGTATCTCACCTATGATTCCCAAGCACGAATGTATTGAAATGAATGACAGCAGTAAGTAGACCTACCTTCAGTGTGATCTTGCAGTTTCGACGGCCTGGTGGCATGTTTGAGATCTCAGATGGGCCATTATAATCACCTTCAGCCACTGAGTGCCTCGTTTCGGCCGCAGTCTAAGTGGCGAAGGTCAGAAGTTGGACCCCTACAGTATACCAAGAGCCTCAAGCTTCAAAAACCTCAGTGACAGTCTCCCATAGGTCCGACGTCGTGTACTCACTGGCACTAGTACTCTTCGTAGTACAGGTCACGGTTAACTGCGGCAACTGCGCCGTGACCGTTTGTGTTGAGTTTGTGGCGTGACTGGCGTCAATCACAGGTTCATGCGGCACTCGTGTGACTGGACGATACCGGTCCCCTCGTCCTCCGCGATTTGTCTTCTCCTGACTTTGCTGCGATATACTGAGGCTCAGAACTTATTCGCTGTCTCAGTTAATACGTTAGCGCGACATATGCCTGGCAGGCGGCGGGTGGATGTGAGTCGGGCGTCCGGTTCACTGGTAGCGTGGGTTCACTCTAGACCAAAGATGAATATGAACGACGATGCACACCTGCAAGCTGCACGGTCTTATACGGATATTTCTCCCCTGGTATCCATGCTGGTGTGCCTGCTTTCACGCTGCACGGTGCGCGGCCCATCCGAAAAGTTGTAACTACGTGGCGCCGCCTACAGTCCACGTTGGCGTGACGCGCAAAAGGTAAGTAACTTAAAAAAAGCGATGAACACGAGTCGAATGAACTCAACGGAGCTGTCATTTGACGCAGCTCATTCATTGTAAGTGAATAGCCCATCAAACTTTCATAACGCTCACGAACTGGGACGACCACAGGTCCTGTCCTTGGTCAGGCCTGCGATGGCTGTGACTAGGTACTGCGAGGCAGTCCAGGGGTTCAGTACGACCTGAGAGACATTAAATGACGCCAACAATCTCTGCTACCCATTGGCTTCTAAGATGATCTCGGATGCCAAGCGCGTCTGCCCTGTCTGCGGAACGCCGACGCTAAGCCATTGCACATTGACAGTGAGCTCTTATCTACATAGGGTGTCGTTTACGGTTTACATCACAGCTTCGAGAATCCCGCTTCAACAATGTTGACTCCTAGTGGAGCTGCTTATCGCCGCGATTTGCTATCCTGTGTATCGAGTTATCACGCATCCCCGATAGCTCAAAAACCCAGCTGGCGTGCTTCCCATGGTCGGTCTCCGAGAACTTGTCCCACAGACTCGGGTCCCTTTGAACGTTCGAACGATGTCTGATACTGGCGTTTCTGAATTCAGACCTCTGTTGGGTGAGTGCTCGCAAGGCAAACTGGCCTTATGGAAAGCATGACACCTTTTGTAGATCAAAGCGTCGGTTATGGCGTCGTTGTCGGTACGTCTTTTCCTCGATCAATTGGAGCGGTGTGAGCTAATTCTGGAGGAAAGGCGTTGGCTTCTTTTTCGCTGCGCTTATGCTCGTCTTGACCACTCTACAAGCCAAGTTCTCCAAGTTTTCTCCATCTTCGTCAGAAGAATTTTCGGTAAGAAATACACAGCGCTACATTATGCGTTGGTTGATCTCAGGTGCTATCTAGAGCGCCTCGAGAAGCGTGAAGGTGGAGAGGTCTTGTGAGTATGCCGCGAGCGCTGGCTGACCGAATAATAGCCAGGACTTGTTTGTTGTGGAATGTGAGTCGGCGGAACGTCGTAAGTATTGTCTGTTATCTCACTCAATGTGTGCAGAGTCAGCGCCTGGACGTGGAGTGCAACATTGTTGCAGTCGAGTACGGCAGCCTACACTTTTGGTATGTCGGAACAGATCGCGGATTGATCTACAACTGACGCTTCTTAGGTGTGAGCGGACCATGGTACTGTCGATAGACACGATATGTCAGTTCAACTCCTGATCGACTTCATAGGTGGTATGGCGTTGGCGGTACCATTCAACTTGCCTTCTTCGCCATGGTGGCGGCCAAGGTGAAGATGAACGCAAACGGGGCGCATACGTTTCTGGAAGTATGTCCCCGCGTGCTCGACATTCTGAGCGTAAACCAACGCAGTTCATAGATTGCAAAGACGCGGTTCGGAACGGGTGTCCACCTGTTATTCACGTTCTACGCGTTCCTCTGTATCCTCATTGTCTGCGGCTCTCTCCTCCGTGAGTTCATTGCAACGACTACTTCTCCATCGTCTCTCACAGATTGTCCAGTTGGCGGGGCCGCGACCGTGAATGCCTTGACGGGTATGAACATTGTGGCAGCATGTTTCCTGCTCCCGATTGGAATTGCCGTTTACGTGATATTCGGCGGTCTGCGAGCGACGTTCATGTGTGACTGGGCGCACACCATCATCCTATTCATCATCATCTACCTGTTTGAAGGCCACGTGTAGTACGTCCTTCGCTTGGCAAGTTTATATCGACAGGCGCTGACTGCACGACTCAGTGGGACATCCCAGGATACAGGAAGCATCGGAGCGTTGTACGATCTACTCGTGCAGGCAGGCATTGACAACCCAGTAGACGGGAATCAAGGAGGCAGCTATCTGACAATGAAGTCAAATCAAGGAATGGTGTTCGGAGCAGCCACAATCTTGTCAGGATTTGCTGGTGTCTTCTGTGATCAAGGTATGCACCGTTTTATGTCTCGCGGTCTGCTTCATGTCTCAACGGGATTCACATAGGGTATTGGCAGCGCGTATGTGGCAATAGAATTCATGTTCCGTGTTGCTGATTTCATGCAGGCTATCGCGAGTGCGCCGGAGTCGACGACAAAAGCATACGTCAGTCTAACACTAGTCCCTCCGTCGGCTATGTCTGACATGTTCGATGCAGATGCTCGGTGGCTTGTCGTGGTTTGCGGTACCGTGGGCGTTCGCGTCATGTCTTGGCCTGGCAGCGCGAGCGCTGCAGAACAACGTACGTATTCAATCGGCTCCTTTTACTAGTGATATTGACAGAGTACATGTACAGCCGAAATTCCCGACTTATCCCAATCCGCTTTCAGCCGAACAGACAAGCGCAGGCCTTGCCGCGCCTGCTGCCGCTGCGGTGGTCATGGGGAAAGGCGGCGCGATCGCCATCTTATTGGTCGTGTTGTATGTCAATCTGCCACCGCAGACCATGTTGTTGACTGACGAAAGTTGTGTAGTATGGCCGTGACATCTGCTATCAGCGCAGAGTTGATTGGAGTATCGAGTCTTTTGTACGTCTTAAATGATGTCAAGTCCCCCCTAGCAACTCACTGAATATACTCTTTCATAGCTCCTATGAGTAGGTGTCCATGTACGATGACCTTGTGCTTATAGCTGATCGCAATGTTGCAGCATCTATCGCACGTACTTCCGTCCAAAGGCTACCAGTGCAGAGATCGTTCGCGTCTCTCACTACTTCATCTGTCTATGGGCTGTCTGGGCCGGTGCGTGGGCCACAATCGTAAGCCGGACTCCTTCGTAAGCATGGTAGACATACTGACGGACAGTCGTCATCAAGCTCAACGCGGCGACCATCGACCTCGGCTGGGTGAGTCGCTCATGCTGTTGTGAGTTCTCAGCAAATTTAACCGTGTCCCTATGGTCTCTGCAGCTCTTCTACGTACAGTCAGTACAACTTGTCCTCCGGCTCACGTCATCAACGATCTAATTGCATTTTGAAGGGGTGTCATTCTCAGTCCGGCTGTGATACCCATCGCTCTGACGGTGACCTGGTCAAAGCTATCTCGAGCTGCTGTTTTCAGCGGTGCAATTATAGGGGCGATACTCGGTATGCTTGCTTGGATGATTGGTTGCTGGAAGATATACGGTTCGTGCGTTCACCGGGTAGTATTCTGTATGTATTGACGCCATGCTTGTCGCTTTGACAGGGGAGATCAATGTTGCAAACCTTGCTGAACCCTACTCGGCCGTTTGCAGTGGACTCACTGGTCTTCTGTTTTCTGGTCTTATCACTGTGTTAGTCTCCCTTGCTAGTAAGTGCTCCAGACAAGTTGGAAACAGCATTGTTGTTGATCTACTCCACAGAACCTGCGAATTATGACTTCGTGGGCACGAGAGCCATTGCCGTGTATGAAGACATAGAAAGAGAGAGATCGATGTCCAACGACAGTGTGGACGGCGACGTTGTTCCTAATGAAACACCGTATGATGAGAAGAAGGCCGCCGTGGTCGAAGATGTCAGGCCCGTCGGCGCGGAGCCTCACCAACCACGTCCGGCAGCGAGCGGGGAAGAACTCAAGCAAGTATTCAAGCGCGCTGCGTGGTATTCCCTGATCCTGACCCTCATTGTCGCCATCATCGGTACGCGTTTGACAACCACCATCCTGCGGGCTTTATTGATAGTTGTACGCTTCTCTAGTGCCTCTGCCAATGTTCTTCTCCCACTATATCTTTAGCAAGGCATTCTACAAGTTTTGGGTCGCTTGCATGATGTGAGTAGTGACATTCATCGACTCTGGATGACATTTGACGCGGTCGACTCTCTGTTTGATTTCATAGTATTTGGGTAGGCATGAGTGGGACATTCTGCATCATACTACCGATATGGGAGTCTAGAAAGGAGATCGGTCTGATTGGACGCGGTGTGTTGTGTATGATCTCAAGGAGAGCACCGCCGTCGGGTGAAGTGTAACGCGCAACGCGACGAGGGCAATTCAATTAGAGGTTGATAGATTTCAGCCAGTAACTACAGTTCCTGATCAGCGTGTCAGATGCCTGTGACCGTATGGGACACTGGCTCGCGTACACAGTTGAAGTTGCTTTGCAGTGACGGTTGGTTGCGAATGGATGTCTCGTATCGCCTGGAGAGACTCGACTGTCACTTTTCCCTAGTTTCGTTAGGTCACAAGCCAGTCAGTGAGTGGTATGAGTACAAGCCATGGCATAGCGTCTGGTCAAAGACGGTGACTTGGGTGTCTGCATGAAATCGGATCGGATGAGTTGACTCTAGGGCGCACACTTTGCTTAGGTAACGCGGCTTGGCCAACTTGAAGATGAGGTGAACAACGGAAGACCAACTGAACGATGCACACGAAAACGTATTGACGAGGACGAGTACAGGGAGGGGACATCAATTGGGATGCAACGACTTCAAGCGCTCGAAAAGCAATACAGGCAGTACTCGATGTACAAGTATACTGCCATCCATGATATCCATGACTGTGTCGACACAGATGTATGGTAGTGCTGAACACCATAGAGCTCCAGGACAGTGAGAATATCTCAGACGCGACGAGGACACGAAGCGCTATATGGCCATAGCTGAGCATCCAAGAGATGGACCGCTTGTCCTCCTGGCCGAGTCACTGGCACTACATGACAAACAAGCGGTTACAAATAACTTGAATGCTTGATTCTCTAAGCAACACGCTCAGTCCTGTTTCATGGTCATCTAAACAAGGACCGAATAACCAAGATAAACACCATCAATGGGGGACAGCAATATTTGTAGATTATTAGCAACCTGATCGTATAGCAAGGCGAGACCTAGTAGGCCGCTCAGGGTGAGAAGTTCTTGTCCATGTAATGCCAGTCCACCCCGAACCGGCCAACAGATAAGTCCTCCCCAAGGCTTTGGAAGAGTGATGGACTCAGATCTGAGGTACACCTGTTAGTTTTGTGCTGCCGCGATGAGGAGAAGACTGACCGATATTGTACTGCCCGCAACCCTCGCACTCATCGCGCACTTGTCCGTACTGCGACTGACCATTGGCCGGGTTGGTGATTTGAATCCACTACCCATGATGGTGTCCCGCAGTCAAATTATGGTCAATGGGAGACTTCATTTGCACCGCACCTGGTTACAATTTCCGCCCTCGCCATAGATGAGATGCGAAATGGCCACGATGGGATCACTATCATTGTCTGTATATCCACAAGCACCGGTCCCGGTCTCGAAGTACGTCGCCTATGAGACATCCACATTAGCTCATCAATGACGGAACAAGGCGCAGTAGCTCGACGAACATCGCCTTGGTAGTCGTCCCGCTTGCCGAGTGCCTTCAGAGGCAACGCGCGTGCTGCCTGCACAATAAGTTGGAGGACGCAGAATGCGAAGATTGTCGAGTACATGGCGAATTAGAGTGATGTATGATGGAATTGAAGGGCAAAAAATAAATGAGTGTGAGTGTTTGAAGGAATGACAAGGGATGTCAGGATTGACAACTTGCGGACGCTCACACACCTGCCTTTATGAAGCTCGTACGTTTCCGGGAGCATCACGTCAAAGAGCTGGCCGAACAGCAACGCATCGCACTTCTCCCGAGGAGTGGATGTATTGTCGGGGACAACTGAACCGGAATGGTGTTGTCTGCCCGCGTTCGACATAAAGGAGAGAACTGGTCACCCCCGAGTCGGCACACTACTTAGGAGTGCACGTTTGTTTATGCAAGATAGGTCATGTTTCGCCGCTGTGAGTTTCCCTGATGTGCCGGACTAGTGTGACCGTACTCACCGAGCACTGAGCCCGGATTCTATCATAACTGAGTGTCAGAATTGCTGACTAAATCGTGTAACGATTTGCAGTGTTACAACTTGTACGTTGAAGCGTTCTTGATACTTAGCTTTGAGCTTGAGCTCTCGTACGATGAAGTCCATCGAATGCAGCTTCCCATCACCATAGAGCATACGTCGGAACCGAAGACCATGCACTGGAGACCGAGACGTTTGAAGGCTGGACAAATACCCAAAGATAGTTGGCGCTCCGGAGTCCGGATCTCTACGAGACCGCGGCTCGACAACCTCCGACACGACTCGTACGCCGCAGAGCGTCCGACGGAGATTCATCCCCACCGACTCGACGTGAATGAAATTTGCTGTATATTCCACGCGGATACACGGATTGAACTCGCGAGTATGAGGACCTCGACAAGACTGTACAGCGGCCACAAGCAGTTAGCCGCAACTTCAACCACCTAGCATGACCTATCCCGGTGGACGTACCGTATCGAAGACCAAAGCAGCAATAGGTGTGCTGCACAATGCACGAGCTCCAGAGTCAAAGGGCCAGGGAAGCACCGCGGGGCTGTTGCTGGAGACTAGAGGGTGTTCACAGTACATTATACAAGTGGATACACATACACAGGGATCGAACTCGACAACAGACGTACGCAAGACAACACGATAGCTGGTACAAAGGCGAGAGCGAGCGAAGACGAGATAGGTTCGGGTTTCCATTCATACGATATGATCCATGTGTCGGCGTCATTGAGAAGTCTCCGCGAGCTGCTTTTCAGCTGCCTGGAATTCCTTTTGCCAGTCCGCCCACCATTCCGGATCATCCAACCTTCGTTGACGGCATTCATCGCAACAAATGTAATACGCTGATCGTGTCGCTTGAAAGTTCAACACGAGACTGTGATGCCGGCGACTCGGGGGTCAGGATTTTGGGAGGAGCGAACATTTAATGGACTACTCACAACTCTGGTAATTCATCTCCAATCGCGTCGATATCTCCTGACGGGAGACAATCTTCGCAGAAAGCTTGCGGACATGTCCTACATCTGAAAGTCGGTCACTAACGTGCTCTGCACTGAGATGAAAGTGATGAGACGCACCTAAACAACATGCCGCCAGCGTCCGTGGTATTTCGTTGACAGCCGGTGCATTTGTGCTGCATGCAGTAGACGAGCATCGTCCGTTCCAAAGCCCCTTTGCTGACACCATAGCATTCCGCATGGAAAACTTGGGAGTGCAAGTCAGAACCACAACACACAAGTAAGACGGAACGCACCTCGCGGACACGCGCCACAGAGGAACAAGCTGCCTCCGTCGCGGCAGTGAATACACCAATCTTCGCTGTCAAAATCCTTGTTGTTGCGTTTGACGACAGGCTTGGGATGCGGAGCTGCCAGTTGCTGCGGACATTGTTAGGGAACTCAGTCACATCAGCACCAGAATACGCAACGTACCGCTGGCGCCTCAGGGCTTATGTTGTCCGCGATCATCTCAATCCCATCAATCTTGACGATACGATTCTCGCGAGCTCGCTTTTGTATGTCCCGCCACTCAGCAGCGATGTCAGCATTTGACGGGCCCTTCGACTGTTCTACGACCTTCCCTTCGAAAAGCCTACTCTGAACGTGGACGACACCTGCCAAGAGCTTGCGCTCCTCTTCGTCTGCGTCCTGGAGCTGCTTCTCGTCTACCTCGTCCGCAGATGCCCCCTCCAGCACCTTCGCTTTAGCCGTGCGTGCATTGTCGCGTTCCCTCGATGCCTCCAGGATCGACTTGAGGTCTGCATGCAGGAATTGCGAGACACTCATGGCACCGGTGCTGTCCTGCAGAGCACTGCTGCCCTTGCGGAGGATGTTCAGCAATTCGTCCGTCTTCATCTGTGGGTCGTCGGCGCCGTCAGCCGGGCTGTCGGTACCCATGACCTTGAGTGAAAGGAAGATCTTTCGTCGAATCCGGTCGAGCATCTGGTCCTCGACACTCCCGCGGCAGACCAACCGCAAAACGCGCACGCGCTTCGTCTGCCCGATCCGATGCGCGCGCGCGATCGCCTGCAAATCGTTTTGCGGGTTCCAGTCAGAGTCTACGAGGACGACGGTCGTCGCCTTCGTAAGGTTGATCCCGAGCCCGCCCGCTTTCGTCGATATCAGGAAGACCTGGTATGGGGAGTCTTCCTGCTGGAAGAGTTTGATGTCGAGAGCGCGTCGGGCACGATTCGTCGAGCCATCGAGACGCGCGTATCGAATCTTGCGCAAGGCCATGAAGTCCTCGAGGAGGTCAAGCATGCCCGTCCACTGCGAGAAGAGCAGGACGCGCTCGCCCTTCGGAAGGATATCCGCAAGTAGTTTGTCGAGAAGGATGAGTTTTGTTGAGGAGGCTACTAGATGTTCGCCGATGGAGTAGGGCTCCGGTTCTGCGTCCGGGAGCAGATACGGGTGGTCGCAGACCTTGCGCAGCTGCATCAGCAAGTTCATGAGTCTCCGCCACCCTGATGTGTGTGTCAGCATAGAGTCTTGGGGCAGGAGAAACCTGCACCCACTGTCCTTCTGGCCAGTGCGACTACGCATGACCTCCTGCGCAAGGTGCGCCTGCACCTCCCTCCTTCCCTCATTCTCCGGATCACCCTCGATCTTGCTATCGAAAATCTCCTTCAGGTCTAAGGTATCCATGCGCGTCAACAACCTGTACGTCCAGAAGCGCTGCGCCTCTGTCATCGGCAGGAAGACCGTTAGTTCCTCGCGCGGCGGTACATCGATTTCGACAGTCGCCTTCGTGCGGCGGAGCATGATCAACGCGAGCAGCTTCTCCGCTGCCTTGAGGAACGGGATGGAGTACTGCCCGCCACCAAGATCGAAGGCTTCCCTGAACAGGCGCTCAGAGGCCTGCGTGAAGACGGTGGGGTAGAGCCAGTGGAGGATGCTCCACAACTCGAACAAGTCATTCTGTACTGGCGTACCAGTGAGGACTAAATCATGGACATCAGCACTCTATACGACCGGTGTGCCAAAGAACGCACTCAGTCGATGCAGCGAACCGAGGCCCTGAAGCTTGCTGGCAACATTCGTCTTTGCGTTCTTGATTTTATGCCCTTCGTCCAGGACGCAGTACGTCCACCGGCGTGTCTTGAACCAACCGTCGTCCGCAACATATGCGTCGTACGTCGTCACCATGATATCAAACTTGAGCGTACCCGCGCGAATGTCGTTCTTCAGCCGATCACGCTCGCTCTTATGGCCGTGGAAACGCAGGACCTTGAGTGCGGGGGTCCACCGTTCGACCTCCTACAGAATGCCATGGCCATCAGCGTCACTGGTCAAGGGCGGGTCATAGACACTCACGGCAAGCCATGAAGAAAGGACAGAGAGAGGGCAGATCACGAGATGGGGCTGTTGGTGCCCTATGTTCGATAAGTTGAGTAGTCTGTCAGACATCCGTTCTTCAACCACTTACCTTTCGTGTTTTCCTTGATGTATGCAAACAATGACAGTGTCTGTAGCGAAAACAATTGAGATTACGTATAGCTTTGTCAGAAAAGGACATACCTGCAAGGTCTTTCCTAGACCCATCCTGGCGACAAACACGTTAGAAAGGGGCATGGCTCTTAACATAATCACCTACTCGTCACCGAGTATACAGTTCATTCCTGGTAACAGTGACAATCAGTATATGGTCGGCCAATAATAACACGCGCATTGTCTCACCGTTCTTGTACATCCACACCATGAAGGATAATCCGTGGAGCTAGAGGAGTCTGAGGGTTCGCCAATATTTCCGCTGTACGCAAAAAAAACTCACTTGATAATCTTTCATCTGACCTCGAATGAGCCGAGGCTGTTTATCAAATTCGTGCAACTGAGCGAAGGAATGATCGTCTCCTGCGTCCTTCAACTGTCTGTCGATGGCGTCGAAAATTCCGGTATTCGGAGGCAGCAGCGGCAAGAAAATGTCACGATGGTGGTGGAGGAACCGTTTCCTCGCAGCATCTATAGATCCACGCGCTTCGTTCACTACCACAGTGTGCTGTATAGCAAGATTACTGTCAATACAGTGGGCAAGGCGTGCCTCAAAACAGACGCACAGCTTTTTTCTCCTCTAACTTCGTCCGCTTCTGCGAGATCGCGGAATTCTCAACGCCCAAGTATACATCCAAAATTGATCTCTTCTTGCTCTCGTGTAGCGGCTTGATGGAGGAGGTCGACGCGCTCAGCATCTCCACTGTGGTTTCCGACGCGGTGTCTTCACACTCGGAGAGTAAAGTTGGCGTGCTCGCGGTTTCGGAGTAGGCAGGCGGGATTTCTGCAGTAGCCATGTTCAAACAGCTCGTGCGCGGAGATGCTGCGACGACGGTGGGTGGTAGATAGGAGGAAAGACTTGGTTCGCGGGTGACTTGAACAAGACCGCGACATCGCGATTTGGCGCGCAGACGCCGGGCGCGTCGCATTTAGGGCAGGTTAATACGCGACACGGCGCTTGCGGAGCGTCGCGGCTTGGTCGCTCTGTACACAGTCTTGCTAACTTAGCGCACACTCGGGTTGGAATCGAGTTGGAATGGCACTTAATCTCGAGACTTTTCCACCCCTCATGGCCTCTAATTTTCCCCCCGAAATAACAGTGTTTAATGGATTGTGAAGAACCCTTTCCAACGCTTGGATAGTGGACCTCGTCGATCGTAGACTCTGCTGGCATCGATTTCGAACGGGTGTAACGAAGTGGCAAACGTGCCGTATGCCTCACCCAACTTTTGCGCCGCGCGCAAATGTCTCGCTCAGGTGAGTGTTCTCGGCGCACTCTATCAAGCACTGTGCGAACGTTAAGCTGACTGTATTCAATCTGATGCACGACCAGCATGCGATGACTTCTACTCGTTCTTCTCGAAGTTCATCAGCATATATACTAGCAGAAACTCTCCAAACAAGCTCATCACTTGTAGTCATCCGTTCGATGCTGGTCATCAAGCAGGTGAGTGAACTGTGTGTTTGTGATCCCTTTATTGTCACTGAGGGCGAAGCCTTATGTAGACAGTACATTCTAATTTCAGTCAATCGAAGCTCGGGTAAGTGAACTGAACTGCAAAAGATTCACTCTGCAGCCACGTCTCACGCCAGCCACGATTCAGAACCGCCGAAACACCACTTTCAAGGCCAGCAACTGCACCCGCACCCTGATTCCTAAACCTTCCGGCGCAAAATTCAAACTTACTGTCGATGTCCGTGGCAGAGATGGAATGCGAAGTCTCAGGCGTCACTGTCCGATGAGGCTCGAGGCCGCTCGGCGGGACGTCGATTCATCCTCAAATGGTCGACTTTTTCTCGCAAGGTTGCGCCTTTTTCGAAAGGCCGTCCTGCTTCCGCTGGCATACTCGACATTTCGACTTTGCAAGCGCGCAACAATCACAGAAGGTGTCCATCTCTCCGCACAACGTCTCTCCAGAAGCATGAAGGCTACGAAATTGGTGTCACGCGGTCGAGCGGATAGACGCGACCGACGAGGAATGACTCGACTTGAATTTTATGCGAGGTGAATACTTACAAGGACTGCAGAAAGCGCAACTCACCGACATTCCTCCGGATGCTTGAGCACTCGACGAATATAGCCCACAGGATCAGGCATATCATTCCACAGTTCCACACTGCCCATACATTGAGATTGGAACGTGGGCGAAAGGGCGCTATCAGAACGATCCTGTCCAAATCCTGTCTGTGTCATTGTCAGCGTCGACGGACGCAGTAAGGTCAAATTTGGAGTGCCAATGGCCCGCTGTATTGAGCGGGCACGGATAGGAGTCGCTTTTTTGGCCAGTACGCCTTGGCGTGGTTGTCGAATGGCATCTGTAAGTGCTACGTTTGGGTTGGGGTTCTCCTTTTGACGAGCTTTCACAGCAAATCTGCCAGGATAACAAGCAGTCATTCCTGAAGAAAGCGGAGTTCCCTGGCCAAGGATAAAATGGACAGCGCTTGCTCGCTTGATGCCGCTGAGGCCCACTCGTTTGCGCTGAACCCGGGCTCAATCGGCCGAGCAGAGGCGCATGGCAAGTGCGGGGAAAATAACGCAGGTTGATGGCATCAATCGGCCCATGGGGACGCGGTTGGGGGACCGCGGGGAGAGCGATCTGCCGTCGTTGCTGCTGAGGCTCGGGGACTGTTCGGGCTCAACCCTCCTCTCGTTCACTCCCGGTTCACCTTGCTGCAGTGAAAGGAGGGTTCTGAATCGTGGTGAGTGCTCCTCGAGGACGTGATAGAAAAGAGGAAGAAAGAAGACTGACGATAGCCTCCGCCTGTCAGGCACGATAGCTATTCGCCTGCGACAGCCGGTCATCACGGGGCCCTATGTGGTCTAGCGGAGCATGCTTGACGGGTTTACGGAGCTGATAGTTGGCTGATATACATGTCTTTTGAAGTAGCTTGACTGGAACCTGAAGCCTGCACCCAGCGCGAGGTTTCATCACGTCTGGATAAGGCATGGTGGAACCGAGCTGTCATCACCCGATCTCCGTGCAACGCGCGTACCAACCGCTTTGCCTAATGTGGGAGGCAGGAAGATTGACGCGACGAGGAACAGCGAACGCGGGCGCAGTGGCAAGTTTGGCCTCTGCTATTGCGGGCGTGGGCTCTTTGTATCCCGTCGCGCCCCCGCTGAGAGTTTTGGCGGTGGGAGGGACGGACGCGACTTGGAGGCGTGGAGGCGGATTACGTGCAGAGACGCGGAGAGCCAGTCAGCTGACGGGCATGCGGTGATGAAGGTGCGATCGTGATCTGGATCCCTCACCCTCGACCGCGTCCACTTTATGGGCCAATCGCGGCGTGATTTCCAACGTTCGCGTCGAGAAATGAAGGTAGGAGGCCGCCGGCGATGGGAATGCCGTAGGCTTGGAACGTGCGGCGAGGTTGGCCATAAAACTCCACGCACGACCCGAGCAATTCCCGAGCATCCCTCAGCCTCCCAACTCCAGCCTGAGCGGGCTCTACGATGGCCGTCCTCCTCACCGCGCGGCTCGCGGCCCTCGCGGCCCTCCTCGTCGTCGCTGTCTCGGGCCAGTCCGATATCTCTAGCGCGGTTGCGTCTTCCGCTGTGGCATCCTCAGCAGCAGTCTCGTCTGCTGCGGTGTCGTCTGCCATATCTTCGGTAGCTGTCTCCAGTGCTGTGTCCTCGGCTGCCGTCTCCAGTGCTGCTGCGTCCAGCGCCGTCTCTGCAGCTGCGCCTTCTGCTGCAGCCACAAGTGGTGATGTCGGGGAAGTCTCCGGTGTCTCGTACACCGTCTCGGATACATACACCATCTACGGTATTCCCGCCCCGACTAACCCTGCGTCTGTCGCATCCTCGCCCACGGCCGGCGGCGAACCCCCCTATAATACTGGTCTCGGAACTGAAGTTGGTGCGTGCCATTCCGCAGCAGAACCTATGTTACTATCGTATTGATGACGTCAACACATAGGCTGGCAGACGCTCTCAGTTTCCTCATACGCCTTCACGTCCTACCCGGTCGCCTCTCCGACGGCCGACCCGCCGGTCTATCCTGCGCTCTCCCCGCTCTACCCACCTGCGGTGGTTAATGCCGGCCCGCAGATCGTCCCTGACTTCTCCGATGCCTGGGACGCCGCGTTCGCACGCGCAGAAGCGTTTGTCAGCACGCTCACGCTCGAACAGAAGGTGAACGTTACCACAGGTACCTACTGGGAGCAGGGCCTCTGCGTCGGCAACATCGGTCAGGTCGGCGATTGGCCTGGGCTCTGCCTGCAGGATTCGCCGCTCGGCGTGCGCTACACGAATCTCAACACGGTGTTTCCAGCAGGCATTATGACTGCAGCAACGTGGAATCGCACGGCGATGCGTCTTCGTGGCCAGCAGATGGGCGAGGAATTCCGCGGGAAGGGCGTCAACGTGCAACTCGGTCCGATGATGAACATGGGGTGCGTTTTTCATTGTCACTATGTCTATTATTAGTGTTCTGACGAGAATGTTGCGGATCAGTCGTGTTGCGCAGGGTGGCCGTAACTGGGAGGGATTTGGCACGGATGCCTTCCTGAGCGGCGAAGCAGCTTATGAGACGACGCTCGGCATTCAGTCTGCAGGCGTGCAGGCGTGCGCGAAGCACTACATCGACTATGAGCAGGAGTACAAGCGCACGCAGGAGTCGTCCAACGTCGATGACCGTACGAATCACGAGATCTACCTCAAGCCCTTCCTGCGCGCGGTGATGGCGGGTACGGCGAGCGTCATGTGCAGTTACAGTACGTCTGTTCTGTGAGCTCTGTGGGGGATCGCTGCTAAATGCATGTGTGCGACAGACATGATCAACGACACGTATGCGTGCGAGAACGACAGGACGTTGAACCAGCTGCTGAAGAGCGAGCTCGGCTTCCGTGGATACATCATGTCTGACTGGGGAGGACAGGAGAGCACTCTGAGTGCGATGGCTGGTCTTGATGTGCGTCTTTTTCACTGTTCCGCTGAATCACTGTGCTGACAACTTCACTATCTCACTCACATATCTTTGTACATCCGCCGGATCGCCGTCGATTGACGTTTGATCGACGCACGACGGCCGATCGTGGCAACCCTCAACGACTTCGACGCAACCTTCTTCCCGCGATGCTGTCCTGCCAAATCAACGGATCGTTGCGTTCGCTCTCGCCCGTTGACGCGCACAGATGACGATGCCCGGAGACATCACGCTCGGCTCCGGCACCTCGTGGTGGGGCCCGAACCTGACTGCGTTCGTCAACAACGCCACGATCCCGTTGTCGCGCGTGGACGACATGGCCACGCGTATACTGGCAGGCTACTACCTCCTCGGCCAAGACCAGAATTATCCGAATGGTAGGTCTCTGGACAGATGTAGTCGATATGATCACTGACATCTCTACAGTGTCCTTCAACGCCTTTAATCCGTACGACACCGTGCACAACCTGAACGTCGACGTGCAGGCGGACCACTACAAGATCGTGCGCGAGATCGGTGCGGAAGGCGCAGTCCTGCTGAAGAACACGAACAACGCGCTCCCGCTCGCTGCACCACGCAGCATCCTCGTCGTCGGCTCGGATGCGGGCAACAACGCGATGGGCGCGAACGGGTGCACAGACCGCGGTTGCGATGAGGGCGTGCTGGGCATCGGCTGGGGCTCGGGCTCCGCGAACTTCCCGTACTTGATCTCACCATTCGACGCTCTGCAGGAGCGCGCACGCCAGGATGCAACGTCCATCTCGAACTGGTACCTCGACTGGAACACGGAGGGTGTTGCGGCGATCGCGAACCTGTCCGACGTCGCGCTCGTGTTTGTGAACTCGGACTCGGGCGAGGGGTACATCACTGTGGATGGCAACCTTGGCGACCGCAACAACCTGTCGCTCTGGCACAACGCGGATAACTTGATCAACGCAGTCGCGGCGCAGAACCCGAACACAATCGTCATCGCGCACTCCGTGGGCCCTTCGATCATCGAGCCGTGGGTTGAGAACCCGAACGTCACTGCTGTACGTCGATCGAATTTCTGTTGTTGGAAACTCTGCCTGACGTTGTTACAGATTGTCTGGGCAGGTGCTCCTGGCCAGGAAGCCGGCAACTCCATTGTTGACGTCCTTTACGGCGCGTACAACCCGTCTGGGCGTCTGCCCTACACGATCGCGAAGGCGCTCGAGGACTACGGCGTCTTCCTCGTGCTCGGCGGCGAGGGTGACACGCTTTTGAGCATCCCGTACGATGAGGGCCTGTTCTACGACTACCGGCGCTTCGATCAGTACAACATCACGCCGAGGTACGAGTTCGGGTTCGGGCTGTCGTACACGACGTTCGAGTACTCCAACCTGGCGACGACCGTCATCCCGCAGGTGTACGACCCGACGTCCTGGGATCTCGAAGCTGCGTGGGCGGAGGGTGCGCCGACACCGCAGGGCGAGGGCTCGTCCGTCGCGCTCTGGCTGCACCGCCCGTTCCTCAGTGTGCAGTTCGACCTGCAGAACACGGGCGCGCTCGCGGGCACGGAGATCCCGCAGGTGTACGTGCACTTTCCCGCGGGCAGCGGCGAGCCACCGAGCTTGTTGAAGGGCTTCGATACGGTGTACATTGAAGCGGGCGCATACCAGTCGGTTGAGATCACAATCAGCAGGTACGAGCTGAGCGTGTGGAACGTGGTGGCCCAGGGGTGGCAGAAGCCTAGCGGGGCGTTCACGCTGAGCGTCGGCGCGAGTTCGCGTGACTTCAAGCTGACGGGCGCGATCCCTATTTGAGGTGGGTAAGGTGATATATGGACGAGTGTAACCTGTTGTTGTAAAATGGGTGCCCGATGGACTCCCTGGAATTACGAACTCACGAAAGACTAATGACCGTGGGACTAGTACTTGCTTCAATTCCTACGGTGAACACTGTAGATGATGGTGGACTTTGTTGTTGTTACATTCTCGCATTCTCGCATTCATTGTTGTCGCACACATTGCAATGCATCATGGCTGCCGTACATGGCTGCCGTACATTCCTGCTCACGCGTATTCTCAGGAAGACAATGACGCCCAATCATGTGCATGAGGCCTTGGGGGCTCAGGTGTAGGCCTAGGCCGGCCCGAAAGGCAAGTCAGCAAACGCGACTTGTATATTAAACCACTCAATGTACAACCATGCAAGGAAATCGGGGTTCAACACCGAGGACGTGCTCCGACAGGAGCCCGCATACGTCTAGAAGTGCACTATGAGTAGGTGGAGTGTACATCTTGTCGACATTTCCGAAGCTGTTGACGCGGACCCTTCCCGCCCTCGGAACTTCGTGCGCGAGGAACACGCTTGAAGTTGAAGCACAGCACCGAACTCACCATTCTTGGGTGCTACTTATGACATCCGCAACATCATGGAATAGTAAGCAACTGACCAATAACAGCAGCTACATCCACAGATCGCACGACTTATCTGTACATGGAGCACCGGAAAGCAGGATAATACGTGAGCATGTGGCCATGGCTTCGCCGGGAGAGATACTCGGAATCTTGAACGTTGAACAGTCACCATACAAGTGGCAACGGGCGCCCAGCCCGGCGGACCTTTGATGTGCATCGGGTGGCTGATAGTTGAGCAGCCCCGATTATGAGTCTAGTAAAGCAGCCGTGAGTCAGCGGGATCGCTGTGTCATGAGGGGCTGGCAGGCTTAATTACCATGCGATGAAAGCCAGCTATCAGGTTGCGTTGTCTCCAGGCCGGTTCTCCCACACAGACGTGAAGATTGACTGAGCACGATGTCAGCTACTCCACACGCCGAGCGGAGGGTATGGATGATCACTGGTGAGTGTCATGCGCGAAGAATCTGTACTGTATACCAGTCTCCTGCGTCACCGGCGATCGGAGGCGCACCGAACGCAATGCACGAAGCCTAGTCATCGTGAAGATGCAACACTAATATCAGCCTCCTTTCCCGGTCATCAGGAACGAGCTCGGGCTTTGGGAAACGACTCGTACCCATGGTACTCTCGCGCGGTGACTACGTTGTCGCCACAGCGCGCGATCCCGCAAAAGTCGACTTCCAGCTCTCCGAGACGGATCGCGCGCGTCTTCATGTCGTACAAATGGACTTGACGGACGCCCCTGAGAAGATTCAGAGTATCGTGTCCGGGGCTCTTGCGGTCTGGGGTCGTATAGATGTGCTGATCAACAACGCCGGTTGGGCCCCCAAGTCGTTGCTTGAAGAAGCAAGGTAAGCACGCTGGTACTCTCTTATTCACTCTGGTTACGATGTGCTGTCTGCAGCCCGACTCATACTCAATCGGTGTTCCAAACCAACGTCTTCGGCGTGCTCAACACCACCAACGCCGTGTTGCCTCAAATGCGTTCGCGGCGTACAGGCACGGTTGTATTCCTCGGGAGTCGGTCCGTTTGGAAAGCGGACACCATCGTGAGTCGACTGATGAACTGAAGATATCACCGGATCACTCACTGTGAAACTGTAGCTGACCGGACATTATCTGGCGAGCAAAGCCGCAATTCATGGTCAGCTAATTGCTTCCCTGCAATGTTACAACTCAACAATAATATACGGTAGCCTTCGCGGAGACCTACGCAGCAGAGGTGACACCGTTCAATGTGCGCGTCATCCTCGCAGTACCAGGCGGCTTCCGCACCGAGAATATCCACACTGCGCCTTTGACTAGCGAGAACCACATTCCCGACTACAACGCGCTGCGGGAGGAGGCGTACGGGGAATTAACAGAGCGTTGGGTAGCAGCCCCAGGATGCCCCACGAAGATCATGTCGCTCCTCGTGGACGTAGTGACTGGCGAGGGTAAGGCTGCGGATAGAAATAGTCCGTTGTATTTGGTACTGGGAAGGCCTACCTATGCTGCGGCGAAGGCTTTCCACGAGCGTTTGGGCAAAGAGATGGACGCGTGGAGGGACGTGGCAGAGAATTTGGACTTCGACGATGCTCAGGGGAACAAGTCGCATAGTAAGGATACTCTGCACTTAATATCGGAACGATTAGAGATTGATACATCCTATATGTGTGACTCTGTGCGTACGTATATCGTCTGAGTGAGTCTCACCCACTCACTGGCACTGCTCTAATGGCACTCGAGCATACAGGTGGCCGCGACAATTGCGGCATGCGAATGCTCGTCATTTCGCTGGTCTCTTCTATGTGATGGATGCAGCCCAGAGAAGAAGTGTGATCGCATGCTGTCTTAGTCTATCGTAACGATGGCAGTAATATCCACGGAGCTTGTTGGGTTTTTGACTTCAACATCACTGAGGGTGTTCGTGCCGCGCACGTGATACAAGTAGATTTCTACCTGGTGAAAACGGAGTCGATTTTGGACTCGAATACCTCCTCGCAACTCGGACGATTTCTGAACCAGGCAACAGTGGGACCTGGACGTTGTTGGATTACTGCACAGTAGAATCAATCAAAATCCTCAAATAGGCCCTCCTCTGCGGAGTCTGAGATGCGAGGAAGACATATATTCAAGCCAATATAATCATCGGCGCAATGAGGCACAATCTCATAATCGAGACAAGGATATATCGAAAGCCTTGGTACAGCAAAATTCCCTGGATTACATTATCAAGTTGTACCACAAGCCTGGAGCTTACGGGCTCCAGCCCTTGGCCATGAAGTGCCATTCGACACCCTGGATGACACCCTGGGAGAGCGGAGCACCCAGGGACTCGAAGAGAGACGGGCTGAGATCTGCAGACAAGTCGTCAGCACAAACCCAATACTCTTCGATATAATTAATTGTAGCTGACCGATGTCGTACTCGCCACAGCCCTCGCATTCGTCGACGGTCTTGGCGTACTGGCTGATGCCAGTGGCTGGGTCGGTGATTTGCATCCACTGTGGATCCGTATGTGAGTCGCTCATCCGTTGATCAGTGAGGTAGACAACACATTACCTGGAAACAGTTTCCGCCGCTGCCGTAGATGAGGTGGGAGATGGCGACGACAGGGTCGCTGTTGCCGTCGGTCTCACCGCAGGCACCGAGGCCCGGGTAGTAGTAAGTGGCCTATCGGCGACAGTGAGCGCAGGTCATCGAGAGTAGCTCGGGGGTGTATTACCTTGCCAGTGTGGGTGACACGCTTCTCGAGAGCTTGGGTCTCACTACCGTCGATGGGCGTGGCAGCAGCGATGGCGGTGAGGGCACCGATGAGAGCAGCGAGCATGGTGAAGCGGGCCATTGCTAATGAGATGTGCGGGAGGACACAAGGAAGCTGGATGAGAGGCGAGATGAACTGGTGAAGAGCAAGATGAGGAAAAGCAGCCAGTTTTTATATGTTCCTAGTGGACGCGGGGATTGCTTCGTTGGTCTACGTCTAAGTCTTGAAACAGGTGCAGCCATCTTGCGAGCATGACCTGTACGGCCTACCAAGCGATACGGGGGATGGCTCGGAGACGTGGGGCGCATGGAAGCGTGACCCTAGCCCTGGCATTGAAACATGCAACCTACAAATTGAATGAGAAATGGCCGCAGAGGGCGCTCCTACCTTCGGGAGAATGAGTGAAACACATCAGGTTCCATGTCCTCGGACGAAGTGAAGTGGACAGACTCACGGTCGCTCTGCGGTCCCGCCATCTAACCGCACAAATTGTCGTGGAGCAATCGTCCAAAGATGCAGGCAAGGTTTCTGTGAATCGTATTTGTGGAGGCGGTCCGTTGGCCTCTCCGCACCATTCCGGAGGTACGCTGCTATTGCGCCTAGCCCAATACTGCTGGAGAAACTCGAGTGCTCGATATTCTATGATTTTTGCACACCTAAGCGCGAAACAATGTAGCCGAAGTTTCATACAAGGAGCATGTCCTATTCAATAGCCTTTACGCTGGAGCTAGTGCACTCACCAAACGTTCCTTGTCAGGAGTCGCAGGCGTTACATGCGGTACGGCTGCAAAACAGGCCGGGATATGCGTGGCAAGCACCAGCGGATCACAACCCTGGTTTATCATGCCAGGAGTCGCGGCCGTTTCACAGCGCGTCTTCATGGGGACTTCGTCTCTAGATGGTGGCAAAGGATGGACGCCCCGACCGCAAGACATAGCCTCGACCGTGATGCTCTGCGTGGAGGTGCTGCCGCTGCGTCCATCATGAAACTTTGCATGACAGAATAGTGAGGAAGCGCACCCATATACAATTTTATCAGAGGCTTGCTGCCATGCAACCCGCGTACACCGGGCTGGTCACGCACCGAGCGCGGACGCGCGCTGTCTAGGCACAGGATGGGGAATATGTAGAACCTCATTGAAGCTTCAGCTTCAATAGTTGAATGGCCTAGGTGTGGCACGGCGTCTGGATTTCGGAATTGGTTGGCGGCTCGCCCATGCGTTTTGTCTCCGCGATTCCAGAGGGCTGCATCGTCCAAGGCAACCCACCGAGGCTGAACGCAATGTTCTTCCCAGTGAGGAAGAATCGAGAAGTGGGGGGTTTTTTTTTGGCTCGGAACTGTCGGAGATCAGATGCCGCCTTGCAAGAGTTCGTTAGCAGCATCCGCAAGCTAGAAGTCGCTAGTGAATCAGCCTTGTTGTGCACGGCCGGCCGGACGAAATTGAGGCTCAGATGCCCCGTGAAACATACGTAGACGGTTGAGTGCTGGGAAGCACACCCATCTATGGGTACTTGGGACGCCAGAGACTAGGCGCGATAACTGCAGCCGCCTACATGACATGTCTCCGCCGCCAGGAGCGACCAGTCGGTAGGTTTGTTGAGTATAGACATCTGTACCGCATGCAATACTGTAACGGCGATGGTGCCGGTGAGTGACCACAGCAGCGCGCATTCCATCAGTCCCGCCCTGTATGAACTTACTTGTATGATTGACGCGTCGATGAGCGTTAGATCACCGATCGGTGCGATGAATTGCTTTCGGTCCTCGATCAACAGTGGATCCGGGTCTGAAACGGAATTGCCCATTGGCCGGTTTTAGCTTCCATGCATGACTGATGAGGCGGTGTATACCTATTTTCGCTTGTATCTCCGTAGCAGAGCGTTCAATCATCGGCGCGCGCCCACAGATAATCGAGCGACATACTTGGGACTGTTGTCAGTGCCACCTGACGGAGGAGAGAGTCGGTGAAAGAGATGAGGAGGGTGTACGAACGCCCGAAGGGAGTGTACAAGAACCTGCGTAGTGGTATTGCGAAGCACGACACCCCGCATTTTTCTTCCGCGGTGGCCCGGGCGCGTTGAAGTCCGGGATTTATTCTCATCACCGGATTTTGGGAGAAATGCAATATAATATCTGGAGCAGCGGATTTCAATACATGAAGGCGGTGGTTCGTCCGCCGCACTGGCGGAAGCTGAGGACACGGTGCTGCATCGAGCAATTCATCCGAGGGTCATCATGATGACTAGTGAGAACGTCGCTCCTTACGCCCCGGCGCGCCAGGGGTTAAAACCAGGCTCACATCGAGCGTAGGCAACGTGCGTGTCTCGGCGCCGCGCTCATGCTAATACACCGTCGTGCGGACATCGCCCCCGAGCGAACGACTGTCGCATATGCCTCGTCATGGTGTATACGACAAGCGTTGGCGTGTGCGTATAACAATACCATGTGTCAGATTGCAGAAATGCACGAGTACGTGGACGGCTCACCGACTTAGATAACTCGCAACCGCCTTCGCGCCTCCAATTGTTGAACGCCGCGCGTTCATCAAGATGTGTTGCCTGTGGTCAAAGAGCGCGCACAAAACGAGGCGTCAGAAAGTGGAAGAGGTAGCCGCAAGCTTGCTGCGTGAAGTATGGTAGTGCGGCTGCCATTGGCATCGACTCAGAGGGCTTCCCTGAGTCCAGACGGCGCGCACTTATGGGTAAGTACATTCCCCCTCCGGGAAGCGACTCGGAGGGCAAACACTTCGGTGCCAGGTATCGCACTGTTCTTCGCTTCCCGGCGACAATCGCATGTTGCCATCCAACACCGCAGCGCCCTTAGTCCTGTGTTCACCAACGTTTGGGCGCGACGCTCTGTCATACTGATGATGAGGCTGGAACGTACCGCCGGCAAAACGCGGAACATGGCACAGCGAATAGGCAGTGACATATCGGTTTATAACTATACTAGAGCGATGTGCAAAAATAAGCTTGAGAGTCTCGCCAGAGGTGTAAGGCAGGAGGAGGGAGGAGGAGCAGGAGGAGAGGATTGAGTTGAGAGGCGATCGCGAGCGCTCTTCCGCCACCGCTAGAACCCCGTTCACATTTTAGGCAACTGTACTAGTACGCGTGCGGTCAGGCCTTCTTGGATGTCCCTTCAACGTCTCTCTGTGATTCAGACGCACCACCGCTGATAGACGTGCACGTTGGCGAGCTGAGCTAAGGTATCACACTGGCTCTAATCGCGCTCTGATGTCCTTAGTAGTAGTACGATGCCCTGCATAGTTCATGGACTAGTACCGTTAAGTACTGAGTACATTGCCATTCAAGCTCTCAGCGACACCTATATTCTGTCACCGATGCGCCACCATTATGGCGGTACAGCAGTGTCATATCACCGTGTGGACCTGGGGTATTACAATCCTCATGACCAGACGAGGCCCAGGGCGAAATGGACAGACAAAATCTGGTCTGCGGTTGCACTTCTCACGCCCAATAACAAAACAAGCAACATTAGTGCCCCCCACTGGCATCAGGAACAGACTATGTCAAAGTGTTTCCCAACCGGATCGTAGAGCGGACATTGTGTCAGCATTCGAGGTCCCAGTCCTCTGTCAGGGCGAATGCAACGCTTGGTGCAGGAGAGTGCAGCAAACAGAGCTAAGTCCAAACAGTTTCATGAAAAGGCGCACGTTCTGTTCAATAGGGTACGGCGCCGGATGCGCGCCGAACATAGTTGGGTGTCGGAAGGGCAACAGGCCAGGCCGTGCCGCCCGCGTGGACCATCACAATCCCTGTGAACGAGTGGTTCGTAAGTTTGAAGTCCACATAGGATTCCCAACATATAAAAGGACTTGCGTCGAGGATGAGGTTCTCCACGAGTCCCACTCGCCTCAACTCACATCGTCTCTTCTACCCCAGAAGCTCTTCAATAGTCGCATTAGCAATGGCCCGCTTCACCATGCTCGCTGCTTTCATCGGTGCCCTCACCGCCATCGCCGCTGCCACGCCCATCGACGGTGGTGAGACCCAAGCCCTCGAGAAGCGTGTCACCCACACCGGCAAGGTAGTACTCTCTCCGGCTGCTTGTATGACCTGCGCTCACTGTCACCGATAGGCCACTTACTACTACCGGGCCTCGGTGCCTGCGGTGAGACCGACGGAACAGCGACCCCGTCGTCGCCATCTCCCACCTCATCTACGGCAGCGGTGGAAACTGTTCCAGGTAAGGCGTCGTTTGCACACTGTTAACGGATGAGCGACTCACATACGAACCGCAGTGGATGCAAATACCAACCCGGCCACTGGCATCAGCCAGTACGCCAAGACCGTCGACGAGTGCGAGGGCTGCGGCGCGTACGACATCGGTTAGCATCTACTCGGGTGAAGATGATGGAATTGCGCTGACTACTTTGCAGATCTCAGCCCGTCTCTGTTTGAGTCCCTGGGTGCTCCGCTCTCCCAGGGTGTCATAGAGGGTGTCGAGTGGCACTTCGAGGCCAAGGGCTTCAGCCCGTAAGCGTCGCAGAAGGAGGAACGTCGCAATAAGAACGGTGGCTCGTTGATTGGGTAACATATTGGTTATAAATGGCCAAGTGATTTATGGCAATGCTGTGGTATACGACGCCTGAGATTGACTTGGACCGAATGAGAGTCCGGGAGACATACCGCGATTGTAATTCTTGTAATTTGAATGCCGAATTCACTGGAGATATTTCCTCTGAGCTCAGTGGTCCATTAAGTTGCAACACGAAGGGCGCGCCTGCCTTCCAGAGCCGGGCGGCAGTGGCTGCGCGCTCGCTCTGTCCACTCTTCTTAGTCGGTACAATCGTGTACATCAAATGTAGGTTGGCGTTGTTACACTTTTCAAACTGTCACGTCGCGGGGTCGTTGAGTCACTGAGCATGTTGAACCATTTCGTATGTTGTTACAGTTCCTTCGCTATCATACAAGCCTCCTGTCCGTCATCGCCCGCACGATGCACCCTGTCCCCGCAGCCTCTGTCAACTGCGGACGGGGTCTTCAACGGTGCGTCCCAGATACACAGGATAAACGAACATACCTTTTCGTGCCAACCAAGCAACACGCTGCCGCTGACGTCCCCCCACCCAGGCATCGCCATGCCCTTGTACAAGTACTTCATGAGGACGTCTTGCGCATCTGGTGAGAGTGCGCGAACGATGTTAGGGATTTCCGTCGACTTGGTGCTGTTGAGTATCGAGACAACCGTCTGAAGAGTGAGGTTCTGGAAACAGAATCAACCATGCAGTGTCGGTACGATAGACGATGCTGATCACCTTCGCCTCGTCGACATGCGGCCCGTATGGTGCATCTTCAAGCGCGGTGGTCAAGGCTCCTGCGATATCCCCTCTGGAAATCAAGCGAGCGTAAGATACATGCTCATATGTTTCGGGTCTGAGCGCACCTTGCCAAAGACTGCCGTACCGCCGCCGCCTTCTGCTTCGCGTCGTTCAGGACCTGCGCGGGGTCGCGCGGATCGGGCTCACACAGCTCGCTCTCCAGAAGTACGTCCTCGTCATACTGGTCAATGTCAATCTTCCGGAAGCTAACATCCATGATGATCTCTAGGTAGATGGCTGGCGTTTGGCTACTGTCCAAGCAAAGCAAGTGATAAGTCGGGCTCGCAGTCGCGGACACGAACTCGGGTCGTCATAGGCGCCCATGAAAGTTGCCATATTGAGCTTCTTCACGTGGTAATATATCGGGCTTGGATCTCACTCTCCTAACACTGAGGACGGGTTGTACCGACTCCTAATTTGTGACTTATCGTCGTCAAGGCGTATAGGATACCAAGAAATGAATAAGGAAGGCAGCCGAACATTCAAAGGCGCGGGCTCTGATTGGCTGTCTTCACGTTAGAAATGAGAACATTAGTTATTCTTTATTATCTACTCATATACACGCCACTACTTTAAATAACACATACTGAAAGTATATGATCACTTGAACTCGAAGGCTTTCCGCACCGATACTATCAATGACACTCGCTGTGCCGTCGCCCACGATGTCTTCGTAGTATCTCAGAAATTAAAATGACTACGCAGATGCACCACAGGGCAGGCGAGTATATCGGGTGTGCTCAGCTCGGAAAGCCAGATGTAGGGCGGACGGGCGCCAACCGAGCCAAACCCATCTTCACCACCGACGACCACCATCGCAGACATCCGTCTGCGACAACTCGTTCACCAGCTCGCCACCAAGTTTTATGCCCAGTAGGCCCATCGAAGCTCATTACAAGAACGCAGCTCGATCGAATCTACCGCACGCTCAACCCCGCACCGCTGGACAACATGGAAAGGCGCACTCTCTCAGCTATGGCGAAAGCATCTTGCTTCGCTTTCCTTCCGAATCGCTCACCCACATCACTTCTTTTCTCGACCCCGACACTCTACTTGCGCTCTCCGGAACGAACAGGCAGCTGCACGCCCACGTAAAGGACGACAACACCTGGCGGCGCGCGTACGTCTATCAGTTCCTCGGAATCTCTCCCGAGAGCGATCTCCGCGATAATGGCGACCAGAAGAACCTGATGCTGCGTCGCGAAGAGAGCACCTGGAGGCGCGAATTCGTGCTGAGGTACAATCTGAAACGGTACGTCACTCAACTTACCGACCCCGTTGACAAGGCGTGTTGTCGAGGGCACGGGCCGCGGGAGTGCCTGGTCTGCAAATTGTTGGTACGATCTCGGTGCACAGACTGCACTTGACATAATACAGACGACCGTCGTTCGGATGGAATCACGGCACCCTTTCTTCTGCGAACCAGTTGAGTGGTCTGCACTCAGGCCCCCATATGTGCGAGTCACCTCCCACAAATCCTTTGTTCATGGATATTCCTCTGTCGAGGTCTATTCTCTCGGAGGAGACCCCTTAGAATCATGCCATATTCTGTGGACAGGACTTAAGAACCTTCCTAGTTCTCGATCCTCGTCGTGCGGACCTCTTGATCGATTCCTTATTGATTGCAGGATAGGGCTTGTTTCCCGAGCCTAGCGAGAGGAGACTATGGGTCTGCTGAATTGCCTTATCGTCGAGGCCTCGCGCTTGCAGTGGCAAAGGGTAGTGCAGGTACTTACGTCCCGTCGAGACCCGACGATAAAGAGCAGTGTTGAGAGTGCCCTGTAGGGGGTGCGCACCACTTCAAGTGAATGTGCAACCGTTCTCCGCCTACGCGCTTTCTTAGACCTATGTCACGTCGCTAATATCCTTGTACAGGCGATGGGAGCGATCTCGCAACCAGCCAGTGACGCACGTTCCCCACCACTCGAACGTCGTGTCCATGCATCTGATGCCCAACACGACGCTCCTCGCCGCCTCGCTTCAGTACGGGATCGCCGCGCGCTCCTACCCGCTCACGGGCAAGATCCTTCGCGGCTACCTCGACGCGAGCGGCACGGCGAACGGGATCGGGCTCGGGAACCCGAACCTCGAGTTCTCGCCACATGTCACGGCGATAGCGCTTGCGTCCGAGGGGCGCACGGCGAAGGTGCTGTGGGGGTTCCGCAACGGCGAGGTCGCGGTGACGACGGCGGTGCGCGCGATGGACGGGAACCGCCCGTCCGCGGCCAAGCACGCACGGTGCACGGTGGAGGAGTGCCACGAGGCGGCCGTGTGTGCGCTTGCGTGGGGCACGGAGGTCGGCCAGGAAGGCCCGAGCGCGTTCGTGACGGGCGACACGCACGGGCAGGTGAAGCTTTGGGACGCCAAGAAGATGAAATGCCTGTGGACATCGACCAAGAAGGAGGGCCTCGATAGGGATGTTTGCGCCAAGATCGCCGTGGACGTCGCGCGCGGTGTGGTGGTCGCAGCCATGGAGAGCAACAAGACCGTTGTGTGGTCCGGATTCGGCCCCGTTCTGACCGGGGAGCGAGAAGTGCTCGATCATGGTCCGACCGAACTCACGATACCCCCGTTCCCCGCGTTCAGCGCTGCGCAGACACCAGGCGGTTTCATTCCCCTGCGCGAGCTTCTCGACATCCACATCTCGAACGCCATGGCAAGCTCGGCCTCCTGGTCGCGTACAAAGGCGACCCTTACCTGTATCGCATCGACGTCGACCTGGACACGTCAGACATCGAACGTGGCGCCCTCGGAGATGGGTCTGCCGGTTCCGTGACCGTTGTCAAACCTGTGCTCGCTACGCAGGAGGGCGAGTCAAGCTTCCTGTTCGTAGGTGACCAGCTGGGATGCATTAGCATCTTCAACTGGAATGCCCCTTTGTTCTCAAGCCGGACGAGCATCCCCCCGCTCCGCAAGATTGATGCACATGAGGACGGTCCGGTCACCGCGCTTGCATGGAACACGATCGTGCTGGCATCCGGCTCTTCTCGAGGCACAGTCAAGGCCTGGGACGCGTTGTCCCTCGCCCATCTAAGGACTTTTCCGTCGCCCAGCGCTCGTCCTACCGTTGACGGCGAGCGGGATGGTGTCACCCAGATCTTGCTGGAGCGTACTGTGCTTCTTGCTTCAGTCGGGAGCAAAGTTATGGCATGGCAGGCCGGCCCGGTCGGCAAGGCGCACGCGAAGGGGAAGCAGGTCAGGGCCGTTCGGAACGCGGGGCTGGCCAAATGGCAGCGTGAGTGGGATCCGCGTTGGACGTTGCGCCGTAGCTGATCTGTAATGCAGAGCAAATCGAGATGTACAGGGACATCGCTGAGTCGCGCCGCGATCTCGACGAGGAGCAGTCGCACACGCGTCGTGTGTTCGGCCGTGAGCGCGAGCAGCAGTCGACCCTTGCCCACCTCGGACTCAGCGAGGTTGAGGCTGTGGAGTATGTGCTCATGCTCAGCAGGGACGAGGCAGAGGGTCAGCGACCCCAACGTGCCCTGTCTTTGCCCGAGGATGACGGTGTCTTCATGGCCGATTTTGACGATCTGCATACCCCCGTATCCGGACCTTCGGCCTTCATCGAGAACGCGCCGTCACCCGCAATGTCATCGCGCACGTCTTCGTTTTCATCTCACTCTTACTCGAACAGCAGCATCGTCATCAACGGCCGCTCGCTGCCTAGGACGGTCCCGTCGCAGTCAAACCACAAGATACAGGTATCGCCGCGCATGCGCCCGGAGCCGATGGAGGCTGGCTTCGCTGGAAGTCCTCTAGACGGTTCTCTGTCGTCGTCGCTCAATACCCAAACGAGTGTGTCTGTACCTTCGACGACGGATCTCGACCATTTCCCGCCAGTGAGTCGGACGCCGTCTTCCACCGGCATCTCGGTCCCTTCCATGCCTACAAGCCCCAGCGCGCTGCAGCGGTCAGGCCCTGGTAGTCCGGAGTCTTTGCGCGGCGCGTGGGCGATACCAATGTCAAGGCAGTCATCCTCGTCGGCGCCGTCGCCCTCACCTGCCTCTGCGATGTCTTCCCCGCTGCTTGTCGCGAGGAGGAGTTCGCCGCCCAACCATGCGTCAACTGCGGGACCGTCGCTCATCTCTGCCGGGTTGCTCGGCAGACGAGCAAGAGCTCCCCCGAGCTCGCGCCCTTGAGCGAGGATGGGGAAGAGGATGAAGATTGCGCTTCGCGATAGAGTTGAGCCTCGCAGAAGCCCGCAGCCGCGGGGAGAGCATTTGAACTCGAAGAATAGTATGAACCTTAGAGATCATGGCCATGCATGTGATCTAGAGCTTTGCGACACAGAGAGATATGATACGCCCTTGACAGTTGTTCGTATGCCTGTTAGACTACAAGTTCCCTATGCGACCTATGATTTGCCCGATACTATGCGCGAAGTCAAAGATAGATAGTAATCCGACCTTCTCCGGTTCGTCGCCGCCTTCAAGCCTAGTGGATAGGGGACATCATTAATGTGAGTGACATTCATAACCCACCGAATCGATGTACTGACCTTCCTACAACTTCAGGAACTCGTCGAGAATGTTCATATATCGTTCCCGTTCCTCCCAGAACGGGCAGTGACTCGACTTCTCAAAAGTGATCCACTTGACCTTGTTGATCTTCTCGAAGAAGGGCGCGACAACGAAGTCTTGTGCCATGTCCATGCGACCGTTGATGACGAGAGTCGAAACTCGCACTTTGTGCAGGCGGTCGATGGCCGTCCAGCCTTGCATTATCCTACTTGCTAGTGAGGATGCAGATCAATGGGAACATGAGAGGTGCGTACGGGGCGGTTGACACTGTCGGGTCGCCATCCTCCCCAAAGATACAATCGAAGGATCGAACAACTTCTGGAGGGGTCGGCTGCACCGTGCACCATGCTTCGCATGCAGGACCTTCAACGCGGCGTAATATCTCTGTGGATCCTTCATGCCGTCCGCCAGCCCCTCCTGGACTTCTTTCGGGAAGGCCTGCATCAACTGCCCGACGACTGTCCCCACAGGGCTACCGCAGCGAGGGAGTCTGTAAATGAGGTGTTGCAGACCCTCAGGTTGCTGGCGGAGCTCATACTCTACTCCCAATACGCCTCCCCAGGAATGCCCGAGATGTCAAGGCCGCCTCGATATCGAGCTCCTTTATCACGTTGGCGAGTTCGGCGACGAAGATATCGATGGTCCAGAATTCTGCGGGCTTTCTTTGAGGTGAGTGGACCTTCCGTTGCCGATTTGATCGTAGAGGATGACTGGAATACCGATGGCGGCGAGGTCGGAGAGGGGTACCAGGTAATCGTGGGTCAGCCCAGGTCCGCCGTGCAGGCGATCAAGGCGGGCGCGAGCGACTGCCTAAGTCGCCGAAGACCTTGTAATAGGTATCGAAGGTCTCCCCTTGGTATTTGAAAGGTATCGTCCCTTCTTTCTCCGGTACTGACGGGTTGGCCATGACTGCTCATGGCCGATGTGTCAAGGGTGCAACGCATCACGGCTCGTCGTGCAGACGTACCTTGCTTTCTCGGCGTGAAGGGCAGATGGGCTCTGGATGGGCTTAACCTCGACCATCAGTCGGCTTTATGGAGTCAGGGCGGGCGTCGATGACTGTCAACGACCACATGCGCAAGCAGCAGTCGGGAAGCTATCAACAGACTGAAACGCATCACTGCGGGAATGTTTCTGATGCGCCCGGTACTCAGGCAAGAGTATCGTTCACTCGCGCGAGGAGTCCGCGGCCGCAGAATGACTGAAGACGACTTATCGATTGCTAAGCTCAGTGTACCTTATAGCGGCAGTGCTCCGTCTGAGCGAATTAGCATCTCCAGGACTGCACCGATACGGTACCTGCCAAGCTGCTATATGAAGACAAATCCTAACATACCAACGCGCGCGCACGAACAGGTTCGTGCGAAGAGACGATCATGATGATGCAACCTAATCTTAGCCCAGCGATTGTTAAATGGCTCCATGGTGCGGATTCCAGACAACGCTGTAGTGCACGTAGTCTTGCAGAGCCAGATAATTGTTGTAAGTAGGTGTTGTTGCGGAGTACATTATGTGTCCGGCCGTCTAGTCTAGTAAAGACTGTTCATTCAGGTTGCGGCTCCATGATGCCATCACTATCTTCAGTGACTGACCACGGCCTGGGCCATCCTGTACTTTCACAGCAGGTAAAACACATTGTTCTCTCAGATCTACGCGTATCTAACGATCACATCTAGTCGAATGGAAGGCTAAATCGACTGTCGTCGGCGAGGTGATTCTGTACGTATGGTGTCTAGAACCGTTGGATAAACTCACCGAAACCGCTAGCACTTACGATTCATCCAAAGGGGCATTAAACTACTGCGATCTGCGTGCTTTTGGAGAGTTGGTCCGAGCGCGTGTACGCAACGAGGTGCACAGCATGCCATTGCTCCAGGGTTCGCCTTGCACGTTGCCTATGTCGGCCCCGGATCTGTAACATCGCGCGTCCATGTCCCCGAGAGCAGGATCATCTGCCCTTAATTACCGAACCCAGACCCTGTGATACAGCAGCCAGAGAGGTGCGCCATGCAATGAGGATGAGATGCATGCTCGGTACTTAAAAGGTAGCGTAATCCGTATCGGCAGCAGGAAACTTCACCGAGACACCTCACCCTCTGCTTTTGTTTTTATTTCTCCGTCTCGACGATGTCCGTGCTCGACGCATTCAAGATTAAGCCGTTCAATCTCGAACCTGTCTTTGCGTCCTGGACCGATGCCCCCCGTTTCCTCGGCAATCCCAAGAAGGACCCTCCCGTTAACGACTGGCTGGCCCAGATCAAAGCGGGATGCATCGAACGCAAGGTCCCGAGAGACTACTGGCACAAAGTCGGGCAGCATTACCTCGGAGAGAAGGCTCGCAAGCGCCTCGACGAAGTCAAGCTCGTGATGAAGAACATGCATGGCGGAAAGTATAAGTGGAATTGGAAGTCGTTTAAGATCGCCATGCGCAACATGGGTTGTACGTAGGCCTGCGCGTGTGGACCGGGGGTCGTGCTAATTCCATGGGTTTCCATCAATAGGGGATATCGACGTTGAGAGGACAGAGTCAATCAAAGTCAAGAGCAGGCCGTCAGGGTTCTGGTGGATCGTGGGCAAGGGAGAAGAGTCGAAGGACTCACCGTCGGCGAGCTCTTCACCGCCCCCACCGCCGCCGAAGCCGAAGCCCCAGAAGTCCAAGTCGACTTCGCAGGTGGTAACTCGCAGTTCGCTCCCGACCCCGAAGCGTTCTGCTACCATGACCTCCATCGAGAGTGTATCCTCCATCGCGTCTTCTGTGTTCTCGTCGAAGAACTCCACAGAGAAGAACACTCCCGTCGCGACGCCGGCGATGACTCCGGATGACGGAGGGGGCGATGGTGCGCAGTTTATTCCACAACAACTAATGCTAGCCACTGACACGGGTATTAGCACCCACGACGATAACGCATGCCCCGGTATGGCTGGTCAACGCCTGCCAGGCGCTCGAATCCCTCACGACTGAACACCCCAAAGCGATGAGCGCGCTATCTGCAGTGCTCATCACTGTCGGGTCTCTGCCCGCCCTGCCTGCTATCTCGGCGGGCGTCGGTGGCGCGTTCCTGGCCAGCAGTACCGCCCATGCACTTGGCTCGCTCGCCGTTGGACTCGGCACAATATTAAAGGCCCAGGCAGATGGACAGGTCCAGACAGCCGCTGGCCCGATGTTGCCACCACCTAGAACGTAGATGTCTAGATGGTTTGGTTATGATCGTTCGAACAGTTGTTATGACAGGATCGGGATGCAATTGCAACTGCGAGGCCTTTGGTGGTTTCAATCGTAACTTATCCCTTTATACTTGCATGTGTGTTAACTACGATCAAGGATAGGTCAGTGTTCAGTAGTGCATGAGGCTTTGGTGCGCGTCGAAGCCTTTCTAAACAGTGCTTGTTATCAGTGTAGAAGTACCGTTACAGTGTGATCAAGTGCTGCACTGAAGTAAGGACTGAGGATGAAATGCCCAATAGTTATCGATCTACTTAGGCACTACGTAGCTTAATCTGACCTCTGGAGCTTGATGATTATCTGAATCACCACCACCACCTCGATCGACACGGTACCACGTCGTCAACAGAGTGATATTTGGGCGCTGGTTTGCGAAACCGGTCAGCATCAGTACTGCTCCGATTCCGGCACTGCTACTGACGGTCTCACTGTCGCCACAGGCGTAGGCGTGGTACTTGCAAGACACGACTGAACGGAATGGCGAATGAGCCAGACCATCGTGTACCTGCCCTACCGCAGGATGTCTTTGACATGGCACTTTCAGTTCTCGACAGCCCAGACCTACCGGTGATGAGGATACTCTTCAAAGCTGCAGTCTGACGTGCCGTGCATGGCTTCACGCCAGTCGTGCTCAGTTGTTCAGCCACATCTGTATCTTCCACCGTCACATCTTTCGGAAATTCGCCGTACTCCTTCAACAGTCTCCATGCATTGGGAACTACATTCGTATGCTCGAGATGGATTTTGGCGTGGTCGCGTCAATCGTCCCTCCCCCCGATATCGAAGCTCTTCGAACCATCTTCACCAGTATCGGAAATGTCAAGCATCTGGTCCTCACCGGCCGTTTCCCGTTGGACGCCGAGGCCTGGCTGCCTCGAATGGAGTCCGTCTTGGACCTCTACCTAATGCAAACGTTATTCCCCACCCCCGATAGTCTCGCCATGCTGCTTGGCGTCCTGGTCAACCTCGCAAAGCTCAGGCTCATGCAGCTCGTTCTGCCAAACCCGGGTTTGCCCGTACTACATGATCTAAGTTAGCAAGATCGCATAGCTTACATACGCGACAAACGCTCGCGAGCTGGACATAGTGCGGAGTGGCTATCATATCATGCGTACCCCATCCTATTCTCGTCACCGATGCAGGCTTTGAAGATCTCATTCGGCCATCTCTCCGAGCTCAAGCAGTTCCAGTATCTGTTCCGCAACCGTGTCACGCCACATTTGTTGACTACCTTAACTCTCTTGATATGGAACCGCCAGATGAATGCTGACCCCGATACCAGTGAGTAGTGTCGCGTTTATACACATTCATGCCAGTCATCTCCGTTATATTATCGGTATAGCCAGACAGCTCGACGGGGTTTTGGAACGCTGCACTGCAGTTCGCCACCTGCAATTCGGCTTCCAGGCGACTCTTGCGTGGGTCGTTGCGGCACTAGCCTCTGCACCTGCCGACCTTGCCACATTCAAAGCAGAAGAGCTACTAGGGCGACGGCGTCGAGGTCGACTCGGAGGCGCTTGAGCATCTAGTAACGGCTGTCCTGAACTGCACACGCTTTCCTCGCTTGAAGAAGGATGAACTGAGCTTCCTCAACTTGGTCAAGCACCGAAACACGGGTCCCGGCTTCACTAGTAGCATGGCTACCGTGCAGCGCATCTTCTCGGACTTGCATGGTCGAGGGATCTTTGTGACATCTCCATGAGCGGCGACAACGAATGAAGTATTACGGCAACTTAGGCAACGCCTACTTTCTCCGAGCATTCACTACTGTCAGAACGTCTCGTACTGGTCGACTAGAATATTGTTATTTGTGACCACTAGTTGGCCTTCGAGTCAAGAATGCAGTACTTCATGACGCATAGCTTATATCATTACACAAGACAACGCTTGAGACTACATGTGAGTCCGAAGGCATATCATAGCAATACAACAACAGCTTCATGTGAACATGCGCTCTCTGGCACATTACTTCGGGAAAGTGATGGGGTTGGCCTCGTCGGTGATAATCTGGTCTATCTTCGCGACCCTGCGGTCTTCGGGGCCATCGCCTTCCTGAACACTACAGGACAAACCTAGTCAATTGACGTCACCGCGCGGAGAGCCATCGAATACGTACACAATGTTCAAAGACGAGTTGACCGTGGCAGTCTGCGAGGCCCCGCCAACCTTGATCCTCTCGTAGATAGTCGCCCTGTAGAAGACACCAACGGAGCCCGCCTATCGTGTGCGTGAGATCACGGGTTCTACCAGAATGACCACAGATCTACTCACCGACTGAGGTTCTTCTTGTTGGAAGAGACCTCGACGACACCGAGGAAAGCCACGGAGGCGGACTGCTCGAGCGCACGCTCACCCTGGAGCAGCGCCTTGTACTGCGCACGGCTGATTTGCTTGTCGTTCACAGTGATCTCCGGGTCCTCGCTGACGAACGCGTCGAACGCGCTGCTGAACTCGCTCTGGCTCGACGCCTTGTAGATAGCGGAGATGCTCTCCTCAGCCCAGTCAGAGAGCGGGATGACGACGGGTCCAGGGCCAAGAGAGATGTTAGCCATTGTGCGAGTGATAGTAGATGTGGGTGATGGTTTGAGTGGTTGGTGAATGATGGTGCCGAGAGTGCTGAAGGCCTCGTTATATACCTTGCGAGGCTGCTGTGGCGGTCCAGGGCGTGACAGAAAGGCTGGGACCATGCTCCGCCGGCGCCGGCAACAGGGCGGGCAGTAAGACGCAATCCAATCATAATGGGAAATACGCGAGCAGCTGGACGTGATGAGCACCACGTTTGACGCACCCGATGCAGCGGGACTTGACAACTTTGCCTGAAAAAGGATAAATGTAAGAGAGGCGGGGCCGTGTCTGCCAAGCCCATCACAGGGCTCGCGTCGAGACTACCCGAGGCTATGTGGCGTGACCTGGGGCGGGATACCACGATGGACGAACGTTTGTCGTTTCAAAAGTGCGCCCGACAGTGAACCGACTGGGTAGATTTGGCAGCGCCCCGACGTCAACGCGGCAATGCAACCTAAAGACGAGTCATCAGTCAATGATGGACAGTCCAGTTGAAATGGAGAGGCGTAGCTGACCTTGCCGCTGCGCAGAATACATACAGACGACCTCTAGGAGGCGAGCCGCCGCAAAGAATCGCAGTCGTTGACAGCAATGACGAACGACAGCGCAGCTGATCATCCTCCGGCGCAGCCTTTACATACCCTCTCGGCTGCGAGTCGGCCTCCATCTAAAGTCATGCCGTCAAACGCATATGCTGGACGTCTTCTGGCTAGTCTGACCTGCACCGCTTCGGCGCTCCGAGAGCGACACGGACGTCAGTTGTCAGAGTGAGCGCTACGTAGCGTACAGTTACCATTGCGTTGTCTCTCGACTACTCAAAGGTCCATTGTCTGTGATGCCTTCGAGAGAGGCATTCGTCATCGGCGCCAGTACACCGGACAGTCGAGAACATTAGTACTTCGGTTTATGGTCACTGGGAGATCACGGCACATCGTAGACACATCGGTATATCCGCCGCACTGTTCCTGAGGCTAAGTGATGGCGAATGTATCTTCGAGTTCCGGTCAGTACTGCACCAGTGCATGGAATTACGTGACATTCACTCACCCACTGCTGGGATGTTGGGCACCGTAGAAAGCAGCCACATCCCCATTTGTCTGGCCGCGAAGTGACCGTGATATGTTGCAGTCCTGTCGATCAAGGACGACTGCGCGCTGGACGAAGCATCAAATCTCATGTCTGCCAGTCTGGAAGGTCAAATCACTGGCCCCGAGCAGCACATCCTCTAAGTTGCGAAGTTCAGGCTCTAACATCCAAATCGCATCGGTATAGATGTACTTACTGCTCTGCCTCGGCTTCAGTATGGCGAGGCCCGGGTCCAGGCCTACTCCGCCCTCGGACTGTAGCTGTCGAACTGATAACAAGACATTCGTCAGGTAAGCATACCAAAGGCTGCACGACACCGAAAACCGACGAAGATACCCTTTCACGACTGAGACACTGCGCTGAGCGATCAGCCTGGCGACCAAACGTCGGCACAAAGGGAAGTACGTAAAAGGAAGGCGGGCCCTCCGTCCATCAGCCACATCCGTGGCCACGCCGCCACGGCTAAATGAAATAAACCGCGTATACCTCAACGACGTTCGCCGCGCTGTGGCTTGCACACACTCTTTCTCTTGTTCGTCACTATTCCGGCCACGGAAGCCAGGAGCTCCAGTGGCTTCACCACTTCATATTCAGTATGCTCTCCACGTTCAGATCTCGATTCAGCTCGGAGCCACAGGCATCATCGCTCCCGGCAATCCTCGCGTCGTGGCCGGCGGAGACAGCGCCACCGCGCTTCCTAGGCAAGCCCAAGAAAGACCTCCCGGTCGACGCCTGGCTCGCCAAAGTGGCGGAGGCGTGCGTTGCGAGGGGTATTCCGCAGAAACTATGGCACGAAGTCGCCCGGCACTTCATGAGCGAGGATGCACGCAAAAGACTCGAAGACGTCGAGCAGGTCATGCAATGCGCGTTTGGCCACTCGTGGGGCTGGAAGTGGTCCAGCTTCGGTGTTGCTTTGAAGAACATCGCGGGTAAGTTCGACTCCCGGACGGCGTAGCTGTACCGGCGCTGATGATCACTTGCGTGGAGTAGGGAACGTTGATCGCAAGAAGACGGAGGCTGTCAAGGTGCAGCGCAAGTCGACGGGATCGTGGTGGATCATTGGCCACGGCGGCGACAAGGGCAACAAAGTCAAGACCAAAGAGCCCGTTCCCGCGCTCGGCTTCATGGCGAAGATCGCGCAGAAATCCGGAATCCAAACCGGCAATGCCAAAGCCGCCTCTTCGACGTCCAAGCCCAAGGAGCAGACCCAGAAGCAGACCGGCTCCAAGCTGCTGAAGACCCAGCCCGCCCCGGCGCCGCCGCCCAAGGCCGCAGCGCCCTCCGGGTCTCTCGTCACGCGCGTGGCCACAACTTTGCGTCTCGTGGACCCGCCGCCTCCGCCGCCCACTACGCTCATAGCGCAGGTACCGATGTGGTTGCTTGCCGCGTCGGAGGCGGTCATCGCGCTGACGCCGGATACCACGAGCACCATGTCCATTCTGGCGGCGGTCTTGATCACGGTGGGCTCCATACCGGCGCTGCCTTCTGTAGCCGCTGGGACCACGGCTACTGCCCTTGGGACGGTTGCGGTGGGGCTGGGGACGCTGTTGAGGGAGAGGGCCATCGCTTCGTCCGACAACAGGCGTAGTATCGTGACTGCTGTGCGGTCGAGGAATTGTCAGGTGGATTGGGATGAAAGTTATAACTGGAAGAGGCGCGCTGGGCGCGCATATGACATTGTGTATGTATCGTCTGCGTCATGGTTTGGTCTAATGTAATATCTTGGTTGGCTAGAGCGTCGCTAGACTTGCCGTGGTTTCATCGGCAGCATCTGGAGCGAGTGTTGAGACAAGCAGTGTGGCCGTGGGCGCGCTCGTCGTAGGTTCTGGCATCCATCGCCCGCCCAAACCTTGTAGGACGGGATGCTGGTCTTGCACATGATCGCCTGATGCATGTTAGTGCTACCGCGTTGACCGTGTTAGCAAGATCTAATATTGCCTACCATCAATATAAAGCCCTCCGCGGATGTACTTGTCTGGTAGTGGTATCTTGAGATCCTCGCAAAGGCGCACGAAGGTGTCGGGCAAGGGTGCACATATTGTTAAGACGACCTTTTTATGTGGACCAGAAGGGCGAAATCGCTGCACAGCAAGAAAACTTCAACGTTGGTCAAGGACAAGGAAAGGGTATACATACCAAAAAGGACACTTCGGCGGCATGTAGAAACAGTAGGTCATTCGGAATGGAAACCGCGCTTGCAATAGACGGGTCTGGTGGCAGAGTACCGGTGTATTTGGTGTCTCCCAGGACGGGGGCTGGAGCGCAATGTTGATCAGACACTCGAATGCACCGCTGATGGATATAAGCACATACCGCCAAGGACTTCCCCCATATGCACACGTATCTGGTGCTTGAATCCAGTCTTTGGCCGTACAGCGACAAGACTCAGAGGTGCCAGTGGCTGATGGCACATGATAAGACCCCCGAGAGCAGCGCAATGAAGGGGTGCTTACTGAAGTGGCAAGCAGCTCCCACTCGGACGATACATTCGCTTGCTTTCTGACAAGCGACGGGTCAGAACAAGGGCGACTTGTGATCGGCCCCCCTGTTCCTTTGAGCTTCTGCATGATCCCTTGAATTACGCCTGATCGTTGAGGGAGGCTATCTGAGCCTGCGCGCACTATCGCCAGGTATGTCTTCTTGACTGATCGCTGGCGAAACTGCATGGCGAGGCTGGCTGCATGTTTGTTTGAGGTAGCGAAGATCAGTGCTCCGGTGGTTGTCTACATCGTAGTGTAAGCCGCCGGCGTATGCGTCACCAAGTAGGGGCGCTGGCTGGCCTTGTCAAGACGATGGACAACATATGGCAATTCCGGCATGTTGTAGGCTCGTTGAACTTCACTCTAGCTAGGATGTAAGTGACATTTCTAGTCAAATGACGGTATATGCGCACCATGATGCTCAGAGTAGTTGCGACTTGGTCATCCTCAGTCTGCGCATGTCAGAGAACATCTCCATCTACAGAGATGAGAGGATACACACTGGAATTTGCGTCTTGTTGTATTGACATAGAAATCCACTTGGTTTGTTGACCACTATAACACCTTTATCGAGATACAAGACTGGGATTGGCGTTGAAGCTGTCGACGACCTACGCACGCAGGCGAGAGCGCAGCGAAAGAGGGGCGCAAGAGGTCTTGCGAGGCGACCTGCTAGCATTTTCGCCATTCACTCATGAATGCTGTTATGAAGTGAGGATAGACACGGCCAACGACCAGCCGTAAGCACGCAGTATAAATTCGCGATGAAGGTGCCAGTAAACCTGCTCAAAGTCGAGTGAGCGTGATACCTTGATTGCCATTTTGGGCACTCAACGCCCGGCATATGCCGCAGCGAACATCCTCAGCCACCGCGTGCAACTGAGTGTCTTTCAAACGCCCACCTGCTTCTCCACCGTAACGTGCGAAGGATATTCCTCTGGCACCCCTTTGAGAGCTTGCTTGGGCCTTAGGGTAGCGCTGTTCCTCTACGCAGACGCGTGTCGCTTTGTCTCTGCACCGCTGAAGACACGCTGAATCGTCAAAACTACATCCCCTCCTACCACATACACCATGGACGCTCAAAAGCCAGCTGTGAAGTATGTAGCGCAGCGTATCTCAGAGTGGCTCATCTTTGACACGTATTGGCTCCTTCGCGCCTCCCAGGAAGCGCAAGCTCACCGACAGGAACCTCCCAACTGCGTTCCTCCAAACACCCGAGTTCTCAACCGACTCGCAGATGTACCGCGACCTCCTCGACATGGAACGCCGGCTAGACTGGACGATAACACGAAAACGCGTTGAAGTACAGGACGCTCTCCAACGCATCTCACCCGTACGTATTCAACACTCCGAGGCGCACGGTCGTTGTTGACCAGCCGTGGCCAGACAACACGTACATTGCGAATATTCCTTAGTCACACTGTGTCTGGACAGCCCTGGCAGCAAGGCTCGGAGGGCGGAGCGGGGGCTGAAGGCGATGCGAAGGTAATCCAGAGACTGGGGAGGGCATTCCGGCGTGGCAGCTCAGGATAGATGGGAGGTTGCTCGAGGTCTGTTCAACTGTTCTGAACAAGTGTCACCGGAAACTGAGTGTCTCAGATCCCAAACCAGAGAGCAAAGGACCGAGTGCCGCCTCGGAAGTTCTCAAACCTGATCAAACAACTGGTCGTTGAGCTCGACCGCGACATGAACTTGTATCCGGAGGGCAACATCGTTGAGGTGAGTCATCGTCTCAACCATTTCTGGGATGATGGTACTGAAACTAACCCAGTGGGTGCGGGGACCCAACCAACCTTCTATGGACGGTTTCACCATCCGACGAAAAGGTGATACCCCTACCAAGATCCGCGTCATACTGCACCTTGAGCAGCAGCCCGAGCAATACAAGGTACACCCTGAACTCGGGAACCTATTGGGGGTGAAGGAGGACAGTCGAATTGGCGTCGTCCAGGCATTGTGGAATTATATCAAGGTTCAGGGCCTCCAGGACAAGGTCGATCGCCGCATGGTCCGTGCAGACACGCATCTCCGTCCGGTACGCTACATTTCGTATGCTGGAGAGTATCTGCTCATGCATAGCTTCTTAGTTGTTCGGGGCGGAGTCAGTCATGTTCCAACAATTACCCGAAGTTGTCAACCGCTACCTCTTGCCACCGGACCCGATCATCCTGCACTACAACCTCAATCCAGCCATTCCACCGCCAGAGAAGCCGGGCGCGTGGGACGTCGAGGTGAAGCTGGATGATTCTGGTCTGAAAAGCCGGATGAGTCACGCCGTCGTGCAACTGGCCACCGAGACTGCTCGCGACCTCGCTAAACTAGATGATGAGGTACGTCGGTCCGTCTTCACGCTATCCCCTGTCTCACTCGGCCCTCCCAGATCGCCATGCACGTCCAGTCCTTGAACAACGCGCACCTCAAGCGCTCCTTCCTGCGCGCCTTCGCCGACGACCCCCAGCAGTTCATCCAGACATGGCTCGCGTCGCAATCGCGCGACCTCGAGACGATGCTGGCGAGCGGGCCGAGCGACGCGGCGACTGTGCGGCAGGAGGACTTGCGGCGCAGCGAGTTCTTCCGCCTACCGTGGGTAGAGGAAGCTGTGGCTGTGCAGGAAGGCCTCCGCCTCGCTGCGAGGGCGGGAATGTAATAAGCCGCCGCGGGCGCACTCTTTTGACCTCATCGCTGACGCCCAGTGAGAACGTGCAAGATCACCTGCCATTCCCAGCGTTTCCCAGCTGTTCCCGCTCCACCCCGCTCCACCAAACGCTGCGAAACGAAGCCAATGGCCATTTGGCCGATTAACAGATGGATTTCTGTTCCCCGTATGTTCCCTCCAATTCGTGTCGAATGCATGTATGCTGTGATCGAATGGCAGCAATTGCCATCTGTTCAGTATACGAGCTCTGTATCACTCGAATCCGCGCCCAATCTGGAATATAATTCGATTTTCACGGAATTAATCTACATGCCTCGTCCCAATCCAAATATTACAGTACAATGCAGATATGCAGTCCTTTCGTAGTTCCTGCCACACCGAAACACGACGTCGGCACCCTCATGGCACTGCGCCGACAATAGGCTTTCGCGCTGTTGATCCTTCTCAGGCACGCTCGCGGTTGCCGTGCGTGTCGTGCTGCACGACGCCGCGCCCTGCGCCCTCCAACCCGCCGGCTCGTCTACTCACCCGCCTGCCAGATGTCCACTCGGCTCGTGCGCCCGCCCGTCTGCCCGCTTGACCGCCTGTTTTCCCGCTTTCTTACCCCCGGCGAGGTCTCCTGCCCGCTCGCCTGTGTGCGCGTTCGTCGGCCATCCCTGCATGCTGGGTGTTCGCTCAGCGCGCTGGCGGTCAATGTGTGCTGTCACTCACCTGGGCCCTCGCCTGCTCACCCGCCCGTTTGCCCGCCCGCCAGTTCCACCCGCTCGCGCCTCCGCTCGTCCACCCGCTCCGAGACGCGTCTGGTAGTCCACCCACCTCAGGCTCACTCATCTACTCGCTTGTAAATTCGCTGGTGCGCGCGGCCTCTTATCCACGACGACCACGACCTTGTTTTCAGTGCCTGCCGCCATCTTCCTGGCGTCTTTTGTAGTGCTCCCGTCCAATTCGAACGCAGTCACGTCGTCGTCGTCGTCTTCGCGCCGCACGGGGTGCTGTCAAGAGAAAACGCGTTCATACCAGTGAGTATTCGTAGCACGCAGCCAAGGAAACTATACGCACCAGCTGCAGACTCGGAGGCACGTCCAGCATGTGTTCGGCGGCTTCGAAGTCAAAATCAGGGATCGGGTCCTGCAGCAAACGCCCCACCATGACCCGGACATTGTGAGGAGGCTGGCGCCCGCTCGTCGGCCGTGTTTGCACGCGGAGCATTGTCTCTTCATGCTCGCGGTCTTCGTGCGCGTTGTGCTGCAAGTTGCAATGCCCTGTGCCTAGAGTCAGCGAGCCCGCCCGCGTGAGTCTGCACTCACCGTAGCGGATCCCTCGCTCTCACGCCTACCGCTCATTCGTTGGCCTCGGTCAGTCCTTCCGATTGAACTCGGAGGCCTCGGTATGCTTGGGGTAGCCCCCGTGCAAGCTTGATTCCGCGCACCGTTGCAAAAGTGTACTTAGAGGAAGAGGATGGTGAGTCGCGACGACAGAGGGAAGACATGAGGTAACCCCGCGAGTGACAAGTTTGAGTGCTCGGAGGGTTGCCTCTGCCCGCAACACCGCCTGGGTTGTGGGCGCGCAGCGCCAGCATTCCCGAGGGACAACCCGCAGTCGCCATAGGTGAGGGAGACATACAAAGTACATGGCATGACTGTATGCTGGGTACGACGGGCAACCTGAGTGCGCACCATACTAAATGAGTCTGCGGCCGCATATGGGTATGTGCGCGAGATAAATCCGACCTGGTTGTACCAGCGCGAACTGAAGACCGACCAATGACGACGTCAACACGAAGGACTGTCCACCGTGACCTGTACCCGCCCCACCCCAGTACAAGCCCATGAACGCAGTGAGATAGCAGGCAAGCGAGCGACAATATGTTACCAGGTACAAAGTGACGCCGAGTCAGAGTTGGGCAGCAGGTGAGCGAGCCAGTAGGCGAAAAAGACAGTAGGCGAGCGAGAGGGAGACGACGATACATGGCGATGATGGTGGTACAGAGTCAAGGTCATCGAACGCACCAGTGACGTCGTGGGGACGAAAGTCAATGGTCACGGGATTGCAAGCTGAATTACAGCGGTGTACATTGGGCGGACAGTTGGCGAGCGGGTCGGAGAGATTACAGATTACAGCAAATCCATTTGGACAGCGAGACTGCCAGGATTTGGGAAAGCATTGAATTGCGAAAGCCGTTTGGGGCTCGAGATTGAGTGTGCCCAGATCATTGGAATGCGGTAACATACGAGAATCGACAGGAATGGATTTCGCTGACAGGCGCTGACAGCAACACACAGGGATCACTGAGAATTCAAGGGAATCTTGCACGTTCTCACTGGGGCTGACGTCCTACAGTAATCTCGGCGTAATTGTGTACTGTTACCGTTTTGCTCCTCTTATCCTGTGTTTATTCGCAAACAAAAGCATACCCTTGCTACCTGGAGTAAGAGGCTTGAGACGCGTCGGGCAGATCGCGCGGATGATTCGCCGGGCGTTGAGTGGTATAAAAGGCAGGCGGAGGCTTCCCGATACATCTGTGCTTCTAGCCTCCGTCGCCCTGACAAAATGGTCCATTTGAGTCCATTTGATAAGGGACGATCGCGGATATTCATGGCGCCATGCGGTTGTGTGGGGTGAGACTGCTTGAACCCGACCACCATCGTCCTCGAGACCGAGTCGCCTCAGTACGCGCGTCCGCGCCGCCGCACTTGTGAACCTCTGTGCAGTGACACGTCGAGCAGGACTCTACGCACATCGCAATGGCAGGCAAACAGGTGAGACTTTCGGCGCTTCCGAGCGAGGAGCAACGTTGAGCTAACTGTGGTCCGTAGCTTGGCAAGCTGCGACAGGTGCGGTGTTTTGGAGGCACATGGACAGCCAGTCTGACGGACGCGTCGTCAGTGGGCGGGCGAGGTCATCTCGTCGCGCGACAAGACCATCGTCACGGACGAGTTTCGTGACCTCGAACATGACATTGAGTTGCGGAGACAGGGTCTGTGGAGGTGCGTCGCGGATCCGTGCCTGCTGTGCTGGCTTGCTGCTGGGTATGGTTCGAGGACGCCCGCTGACCGGGGATATCTGTACAGGCTCCATATAGCTTCGGAGGACTACCACCATGTCGTGGACAAGAAGAAAGAATGTGAAGCCCTCGATGAAACGGAGAAGCTGTTGCCCGTCGATGCGCTGGGCATAGTGATGATCAAGCATGGCGAGGAGTTTGGCGATGACTCTGCCTTCGGTGCGTCGCTCTGTCGGGTCGGTGTAGTCGCCTGCGTCAACTGTCATTGAACAGGTACTCGCTGGTCAGCATGGGCGAGGGCTGTGTAAGGTCGCTACTTTGCAAGAGACATTCGCCATGACGTTCGAAGACACCTTCCTCGCATCCGTCTTCCGTATGGAAGACGAGATCAAGGAATATCAGGCTCAGAGGAAGAAGCTGGAAAGCCGGCGGTGCGTGACCGCGTTAATTCTATAACCTTGACTCCCGTGTCTCTTACATGTACGCTGTCAGGCTGAGCTATGACGCAGCGATCAGCAAGGCGGAGAGGATCAAAAGCAGCAAGAAGGAGAAAGATAAGGATCGCAAGGACGCGGAGGAAGAGGTAGCTAATGCGAAGTCGCGCTAGTACGTCTTGTTTCTATTCGTAGCAGATAAGGACTAACGTGCAGCATGTAGCGAGGAAACTGCAGAAGACGTCCGCGCGCGGATGTACGCCATCCAAGAGAACGAAGTGCTCCAGTTGCGGGACCTCACTACCTTCCTCGACCTCAAACTCAATTTCGTGGAGCAGTATCTCGAGGTGTTGCGCGATGTCAAGGCAAACTGGGTAGACGAGTACGTCCTCCCGCTCCTGCTAGATTCTTATGCCAAACACAGCATGTCTCACAGAGCCACCGTCAAACACCTGGAGCTATCGCGTCCTAGGGGGCCGATGCACATGTTCGTGCGCGAGACTGAGGCGCTACATAAGCCCGAGAAGCCCGAAATCTCGCGCTTTGGGTCCATGCGCTCGAGCAAGTCGAAACGATCTGCTGTCTCTGATGGGTCTTCGTCCGACGAAGAATCATCGGAGGAGGAGGAACAGCCCCGGAGGCGGTCCCGCGGCCTCTCGTTCTCGAGCAAGAAGTCCGACGCAGGGAGCAAGCCTCCGTCTCGTCCTCCCTCGCGTCCTCAATCTCGGGCGGAACGTAAGCGCGCAGACAGCACTGTCGGTACAAGCGACAGAGAGAAGGAGAAAGACAAGGAGAAAGAGAAAGACAAGGCGGAGAAGTCATCGCGCAAGCTGAGCGTAGCTGGCTGGGCGTCTTCAGCGGTGAGCGCAGTCGGGTCGGTGGCTAGCCGGGGGAAGAAGGACAAGGACAAGGATAACTTCGCCACCCTGCGCGACGATGCCAACGAGGACAGCGAAGCGTCTGACGGCGCATTAAGCGCTGTCTCTCACTCCTCGCGCAAGTCAAAGCATCGCAAAGGGAAGAGTCGGGCTCTATCAGCAAAATATCTCCTGCGGATCGTCGGCTGTCCATTCCCAAGCCGGGTGGCAAGAAGGTCGTCGTTGCGCTACATGACTTCGCATCCGGGTCGACGGACGAGCTCAACTTCCATGCCGGGGATCAGATCACAGTCGTCAATGAGGTGCTGGACGGCTGGTGGATGGGCGAGCTCGCTGGGAAGCGCGGGCTTTTCCCAACGACATACACTGAGGTCCTCTCGCCCACGCCGTCCGCACCCCCTGTGCCACGCCGCCCGGCTGTTATGACCCGCGGTGCAGGCGCGAGTGCGCCTCCAGTGCTATCCGGCGCCGGCGAGCACGAGCGCAAGCGATCCACGTCGCGTCGTGCCTACGAGATGAGCAGCTCGACGAGGAGTACCCCTTCGGCGACCACAACATCGCCGCGAGTCGCAGTCCCCTCTTCGGCCAGTTCACCTCGGAAATAGCGCCCGGCGACGCGGAAGAGGACGAGAAAGAGCGCCTGATAGGCCACCCGCCGCCGTCGCCCGATGGCGAGCACCTTCTGCGGCATCCACAGGTCGACCGCTGCTCTCGCGCCGTACCACGGACCAGGGCCTGGGTCCGTCACCGGTGACGAAGAAGCCGCCACCGCCGCCGCCGCCGCGACGGCCTGCGGGGTCTGTGCATGGCAGCCCGGTGCCCCCACCGATCCCGAGCCGACATCTGCATACAAAATCATCACAGTCAAGCTCGAGCTCGTTGTGGCTGTGGCTGCTACGCCACGCCGTCTGGAAGGAACGGGGACGATCTAACCCATTCGCCATTTGATAGTCCTGGAGACTCGTGGTGATTGTTGGCGAGGCATCTATGTAGTTTACTAACATCGGACTCAATATTGGACTCACCAGCTATTTATGTGATGGCGACTGTCGCATGACGTGGTCGTCTTCGTGTAATATACCCTCTTGATACATAGCAGTCATCGCGAGCAGGAGTACATTACATCTACATTGGCATAGACTACAACACATCAGGATACACGACTCGGCTGCTCTCTACCCGTCTGGGCACACGCATCACGAAGTCGTCCTGCAAATACACCTTGTCAACGCCAGGTACAGACTCTGCCTGTCGTCCTCGCCGAGCGGCACAGTGAGGTCCACACGGAAGTCGTGCCACACGTAGACGCCGCGCGCGAGCATGGCGGCGACGGCCCAGGTCCCGTACTGAATGTTCCACCAGGCGCCGACCGCGACGAATGCGAGGAAGATGACGATGTGCTGGTGCGCGCACTCGGCCCAATGCCGAACGATGGGGGCCGCGCTCGTGGGAGACGTAGCCGGTGCGGAAGGCCACCAGCTCCAGGTGCTGAGGTGAAAGGAGGATCGCCCCGCCGACCGCGACACACCAGGGCAGAAAGAAGAGTATCTTGATAGTTACAGAGAGCACGCGCCTCGGCGTCCAGGGCTCTGTACTGATGGTGGGAGGGTTGTGATCTGGTGCATGGAGGCTCGCAAGTAGTAAATCCGAAGACACCTCAAGCTGTGCCTCGTCCAGCTTTGCGCTAGTGGACGAAGGGCTCTCGGGCCTCGGTCTCTCGGATGCAGTGCGCTGGTCTCCGCCTTCTCAAATACACTCTTAGCTCACATCAAGAGATTGAAATGTGTATAAACATACGTTTTCGGGGCGTCTTCGTCGATGTGCCGGAGGACTGACCGCTATAGCTGTATCCGCATCGTCGATCGACGCCGGTAGCCCATACTGCTGCCGAGGAGTGGCGAACAGGTCCTCCATGCTCCCGGAGAGTGCCTTCGAGAATACATCTCCAGCACTTGAATGCATTGGCCCATCGTCGCTAGGAGTGCATAAGCCTGAAGGGGGTATCGAACCTGATCCGCTGCTGCCGGACAGGGATGGCTAGAATATCCGTGAGAAAGGATCATGGCCAGGATCATCCTCAACACTCACTATCTGCGACAATGTCGGCACTGAAAGTCGGTGCATGGCCGTGGAGGAGGTAGAAGTAGAGTACAGAGCGTCGCCGATTTTGTACGATGCTCGACTGTACAGGCCTGAGGCGGAAGCAAAATTGACAAACAGCCTGGTCACCGGTCAGCCGCCTACATTCGAATCTGAGCCCCTTAGTCTGGGTTCGAACAGCACCTAATGATATAGGTAGATGGAGGTTGCGGGCATAGTCTTGGACAATGTCCGCAAAACACCAGCGTTGAGGTGAAGGTCAATGCATACAGCGTGCATCAGCTCCGGGGCAACCGCCGTGGGCGACGGGCGTCTCACAGGCGGTATGCAGGTTGGAAAGAGGCGCCCATGATCAGGAAGTCTAGTGTGCTCAGATTTGCCCAATCGCAGTTCCATAGCTGGTTTACGTTCGTCGTCGCTGAAACTCGAGCTGGGGTGGCTCACATGAACTTGAGTCTCGAGTCTCGAACCAATGTGCTCCGTACGCGTGCATACAAGATGCCATGCCAGTGGGTTACAAACTTCGGAAGCACTCCATTTACTACACAACCTCTTACTCATGAATAATACAAAAATCGGCCACGCTGATTATGGCTCAGATGGCCTACGGTTGCCACCATGGCATGACCGTACAGCGGCGCAGTCATACAGGGCATACGACGAGTGCAGTGGGAGTCCGAGATAGGACTTGAACCTGTCTGGCATCAGCTCGTCACTCGGTTCCCGCAAACATTACTCACTTGACATAGTAGCGCTTCCCTACCATTCATATTTACAGTTCCTGCTGGGTCGTCAACACCTCTGTCAGGATGGACACCTTGATCCCGGACCCTGGCTTGTTGGTGACGCTGGGAAACGCCGATGCGTCAGCGTCAAGCAAAAACGCTTGTCAGAACAAGAGACTTACATGGCGTTCAACGAAGAGGTGATGACGTTCGCCATGCGGCCCGCTCCGACGAAAGCCTTCTCAGAAATAACGGCCTTATAGAAGACCCCAACGCTGCCAGTCTGTTGACGTGACCATAAATTCAATGCTGACTAGCCAAGATCCTAGTAGTACGTAGTACTGTACCTCGGTAAAACCGACCGTCTTGACCGGCACCTGCACTGCATTGGAGAAAGTCACAGTGGCAGAGTATTCGAGGAGCTTCTGGTCTTGCAAGTGGCGCTTATACTCGTCCCGAGTAAAGCGAGCACCGTTCACGTAGATCTGTGCGTCTTCGTGCAGCAGGATGTCGAAGGCTATGTCGAAAGCAGCCTGAGTTGTGGCTTTGTACAGAGCCGAGATGTTGAACTCGATCCATTGAGTCAGAGTCTGGGGTTGAGCAGGTCCAATACCGTGGTCGGATGACATCGCAGATAGTCGGAAATATGTGAGTTCGAGTGGGGTGTATCGGTTGATACAGCTGCGAATGCCCTCGCGACATTTAAAGGCTTGTACGGCGTCTTCAAAGAGGCCCGGAGGAGTGCGCCCAATACGAATGATAGGCTTGACCTCGGAGCGAGAACACCGCGAGCGAAACTTCGCTCCGTCACCTGTACGAAACCGTGGCCGAGCGCCGCCCCCAGCGGGCGCATCCAGAAAGGCATCATTCTGCGTCTCTTCTAGTCTCCGCGCTGAGAAACGAGCCTGTCCGGAACGTTCCCACTGCAGGAAGCACCAGAAAACGAGGCCGAGGAATGTTTCCAGGGTAGCGAATCGTCACCATGCCTGCACGAGATAATTGTTTGATGCCACATCAGCCTCGTGCTGGTCGAAACAACGCCGCAAAAGATGGCCCTCCAAAGCGGTGCCCTCATAGGGAGGGTGCCCTGGGAGGGTTGGAGGTCTTCCCATCGACCAAGGACGCTGCGGCAAGCGACGGGCGGCGCACGTCACTTGTCAAACAGGTGATCCAGCGGCCGATGTGACAGAACCGGTCAAGGAGTCGTCTTCCTTTTCCTCAACGGTCGAGGCGTTGCCATTCGGAACATTACAATGGAAATGCCGTACCTTCGCAGAGAATCAGTGGTGCCGAAACAGTCGGACGAGCGTATCAATCGCAACCTAACGAATGGCATCGGCGGCGCTGCTGTCTTTCTCCAGAAGGCGTGAGTCCAGCTTCTCCGTAGAGTGTGAACACAGTGTGAGACCGGACACACCTGTATAGTCTGTCCTGGGAGAGAGCGCCAGCGCTGGATGGTACTAAACGAACTGACAAAACCGCAACCGAAAGGCGAGAAGCATGATTGACTCAACTATGCAGTAAGTGGACGTTGTTCGGATGCCACGCACCCCTCTCAGTGAGGCTAAGAACAAGGCGGAGGACAGGCGACATGGTAAGGGGCGAGGACGCCAGGCGAAAGCACTTGACGTGAGAATCTTCAGCTACATGCCAATAACAGTACCACGCCAGTCATAATACAAACAAGTTGGTACGCACCCTCGTAAGTCGAGTCCTAGTGGGCGTAGCGCAGGTTACAGAGGAGAGAACCAATAGTGCGGGTACGCCAATCGTCCAAGAGACGTCAAGTCAATTTCAGGACATGACTCAACCCTTTTCTCAGCCTAAGGATCGGTATGGGAATGACCAACCGGAACGGTCACGAATGTCGACAGTTCTCTCATCTAAATGAGAGACGAACTGGGGGAGAGCGAGTACCGTGAGCATCCCAGTAAGTACCATACATTCTCATCACTCACTTACAGCGATTCCGAAATCCATGCCTCAGGGGAGGAATCGTCGGCTTGGAACATCGCAGTGAATGTGTTCCGCCGGCTTAACTGCTGCGTTCAACCATGTTCAACAGTCGACCGCAGGTAGTCGGCTGAGTCGTCGAACGTTCAACAGTAGTGGCGCTTCAAGATCATCTTGACTTGGTTGTGAAGCTCACGCGCTGCAGAATGCATTTCGAAAGCAAGGTATGCTGTCGGACCGTGAACGACACAGCATTTGTTCATAACATCGAGGGGTGCAGTTACTGCTTAGGCTAGTAGGCGCTGAACAGTATTTAACGGCGATCACTGAGGCTAACTCCGATTACTTACAGCTGTACTGATGGGCAAGTAAGGGTTCTTGAAGAGTTCTATTGATCTTCATCAAGCCAGCCAAATTCAGGCCTTCTCCGAGTCCGAGTCGACCCCGCTCGTCCACTTCTTTCCAGTCTCTTTTCTGCCGCCTCCCAAACATGGTTGTGGTCGACTTCGAAGCATCCGACGCAGAGCGTGGTGCGGATGGCAACGGTGGCTATAAACTCCATCCCGAAGTACAAGCCATCCTTGACCGGACGACTGGATATATCAAAGACGATCAGGTTGGGAAGAGGTTTCGACACCTCTACAGGGCAGGTTAACTCGCATGATTTGCAATCCGACCGGCGATGTATTGATGAAAACGATGTTAGGTACTCTCGAGCAGGACGCTAGCAAGTTCAGGCAGTTCGCTTACGACTGTTTCTTCGGCCAAATCGCCAAGGTGAAACGGGTGAGTGGCCCGTTTTTTCTAGTAAAAAATCCGAAGGGACGGGGTCATCTTGGAATGGGGATGCATATTGAGACTGCGAGAGCAATCTACGTGAACGGAGACTGCTAGTTCCCGGGACAGTATGGGACCTTACGTTCGTCCCGCGCATAATGATACTACAGTAGTTCCGACCTTGGCTCCGGAATCTTGACATTCTTGTCTTCTTGTGATGTCCGACAATGAAGACTACATACGTTTATTCTTTGTGACTGCTGCTATTGCATCGATGCAAGCTCGGTGTACGGCTTCTACCACATTCTAACCTTTTTTAGCGCTTTAAGTTCGTGCATCATGATACTAATACGTTTCCCGTCTTCTATCTCGCGTCCTACTGTCACTCATGTTCAGCATTCTAACTTCTCAATATTGCCGACATTAGGCCGTTGAGAGCAGGCAGGTACCCGACCTGGCAGGGACCGAAACGCCTTACAAGTTTGGCTACTGCACCCTCGTCCTTGCAGGGGGGCAGCGAGGCGCGGAAGCCTTCCCAGGAGCGGATCACGTCGCCACTATGAAGTTCCTCATCTCCAAAGGGGCATCCATGGACTCCTGCGACATCGCCGGCCTCACCGCGCTACACCATGCGACGCAAGGCACGGCCGGTCCCACGCTTGCACTGGTGCGCGTACTTCTCGAGTCTGGCGCAAATGTCAACGTCCAGAACCGCTATGGTGAAATCCCCCTCCTATGTTGCTTCCATGAGTGCGACGTGGACTTGGTGGAGCTGTTCATGGAGTTTGGTGCCGACTTGGACATACCCGATGCGAACGGCACGACTGGGCGTAGTATATTTGTCAACATGGGCCCGACGATTACGGCGGTGGTCACGAAATGGATTAGGAAGAGGAGCGGAGAGCAGAAGCCCCTTGACGGGAAGACATGTGCGAAGTGTGGGGAGACCGCCGGCCCGCTCAAGATATGCAGCAAGTGTCATGCAGCAAAATATTGCTCGCCCGAGTGCCAGAGTAAGGCCCACTTCGCCGGTGTACATGCGTCCTAGATACTCACCAGCTTCCCAGGAGCGGATTGGCCAGCACACAAAAGACGTGCACGCCATTCGACGCTGCGACGTCAGTGACCGTCCGTCCGACATACCGCGACCTTGGCACGCTTATGACTCCCGCTGACCTCGCACGACAAGCTATGGGCATTCCAACGAAGGCACGCCCTGATGCGCATTACCGCGGCGTGCACGCGCCACACGTGAAGCCCGGTCAACCAAAAGCGATGGTCGTCAAGGTGCAGGTGCCGTACTTGGGCTCGCAGCCGATCATGCGGGGTGGGCCGATGCTCGTATACGACAAGAAGCGCGAGCTCGTGTGTACACTGGAGGCGACCGGGAATGAGGAGGCGTACATGCGCATCGCGCAGACCGTCTGGACGAAGGGCGTCGGCGGCGCGAAGGCTTACTTCCCTGCGGAGCTGAGGAGTCGGGACGAACTGGTGATCAAAGTTGGAGAGGTCCTGGCCGAGCAACCTTTTTGAGCCGCGGTCACTTCAATAATGTCAGCTCGTACGTTTGAAAGTTTTGGTAATTTGTACCAGCTAATATTGAGGACGGTGAGTATGTATGAAGGTCTCGTCCTCAGGAGTCTCAGTGTGATGTGACGTTCTGCTGAATTCATTCGCAGGTCTTATTATATGCTATTAATACTTATAGCTGCCGAAATGGACGAAGCCATTCAAATATTACTGCTCTTCCGGATACTGATTACAAGACGGATTGTGACGCACGGCAACAAACCCATTGATGATGCTGCAGTGGCTCGACGAACATGCTCCTGAAGCTTGAAGCTGAAGGCCTGACAGGCCTGAATTTTGGCCGTCGCCCTCAGCGGCTGCAGGTACGCACGTGATCTCGCTAACGGCCGCAGTTGATATGGGTGACGCGTCAGACTGAGAACTTGTTGAGGACTCACAATACTTGGCGCGAGTAAACCTCGTTGTTTACAGTACATCATTCGGGTTCTCAGCAAAAACACACAATGCAGAGGTGCGCCAGCCACTCTTGGGCCACTCGACGAATTGGTGACACGGTGCGTTCTAAGACAACGAGCTGAATAATTGACAATAACAATTACACGTGTTCGAGGCCCATTGTCTGTCCGTGCCGTGCGTAACTTATCCCTTTCCTTTAAACGTGGCCCAGCGGCGCCACTGCCAGTTCCTTCTGCCACCGCTCCCAACCTGAACTGCTCCTCGAACACTCCGGTTCCAGGTCAGTAGACCAGGCCCCGCGAATCATGCTGACAGCATTGCAGGCAAAGATAATGGCTACTCTCGGTGTTGTGGCTTCGCCGCCACCAAGAGATCCCAACTGCGGGGTTGGCAAGACCACTGGACCGAGGCCCAACTTGAAGACGCCGGTGATTGAGACACCAGTGACCGAGACGCCAGAGATCGGGACGCCAGAGACCAAGTCTTCAGACAAGCAAGCGAACAGAAATCCTTTGGCACTTGCGAAGCATCCATTCGACAATGCCAACAATGACGCGGACGTGATACTGGAGAGTGCGGATGGGACAGACTTCTATGTCCACCGAGCACCCTTGCGCATTGCGTCGCCTCTCTTGGCCGACATGTTCTCTTTGCCCCAGCCAACCGCATCTTCACCCACATCGACGGACTCTGCTTCTGGCGACACATACATACCTCCCGTTATCTCGGTCGCAGAGAGCGCCGAGATTCTCGATCGCCTGCTACGCTTGTGCTATCCTTGTCGGAGAGAAGCTTTCCCCAGTGTCGCGTCTTTAAGCCCGATACTCGATGCCGCGCTGAAGTATCAGATGGACGAGGCCACGGATCTATTGACAAAGGAATTGTCGTTCTTCTGTCAGGATTACTCCTTACAGGTATTCGCCGAAGCATGCAAGCACAGTTTAGAAGAGGTTGCGGGTCGAGCTGCTGAGGTATTCTGTGCGACTACTCCGAAGGCGCAGCCCGGGTCGAACTCAGCTCAAAGGACGTTCTATTCGACGCATGACATCACTGAGTACTCGGATTGCCTAAACAATATCTCGGCTTCGTCATACTACCAACTGCTGCTGTACCACACATATCGAACCGGTTTCACCACTCCCGCGGTTCTGATCCCCCCGAGGTTCTGTTCATCCCCAACTTCCGATCGCACGCCATCCGCCCGCGGAGAACTTCAGGACCAGGTGTTCCGCCCATTTGACGATCCGCAACACGGCGATACTACCATCCGCTCCTCTGACGGCGTCGACTTCCATGTCCATCGCGACATACTTGCATATGCCTCTCCAGTGCTTCGTCGCATCCTGTCTGCAGCAACAACAGCGAAAAGTTCATCACGCGCGCGCACAGTCGACGTCTCGGAGCATAGCTCTACCTTGATGGCTCTACTACAGCTATGTTATTCCACGGCGGACCCCGCTATTGGGGCTGGGGCCGATGCCGTACGCTTGCGCAATGCCCGCTCGCTCTTCGAAGCGGCCTGCAAATACGAGGTTGTCAGGGCACAGGATTTTGCCAAAAGGGTGTGTGTTGCAGCAGCCCAGAAATACCCTGTTCGACTCTATTTGCTCGCGTCGCTGTACGGATGGAAGGATGTCGTCGAGGGGGCTGCCATACGTGCGGTATACGAGCTCTCTGAGCAACACGTCCCAGAGATGGGCATGGCGCCCGCGTCTGCGTACCGCCGCCTCCTCGTCTACCGTCAGAAGTGCCGAAACCGAATCCTCTCTAGATGGTACAACAGTGTCCATCAAGCCAGGTATTGGAGCCAGTGGTCGTGGCTCGAGAAGGCCGGCGAGGCAGAGTTCTGGATGACGGTTCACAGAAGCGCTCATGAACAGGCCACTCGTATGCAGGGCGCTCTGGACATAGAATCCATCTTGCCGTCTTCCACGATCCAGGAATTGCCGAAGTTGGATGCATCTCTGAATGCAACAACGCCCCTGGGCCTTCCCCCGCTGCCTCAGCAGAGAAGACGAGCCCCTACGTGTGAGACAGCAGACCATATTGAAGATAGCAGAGGAGCTTGTAAAGGTGTGTGCTCTCTCATCGATCACAACGTGTTGCTGACGTGCATACAGGTCAAGCTCTAGTGAGCAGCACTGCGTCAGCAGCGGCGATCCTTGCTCACTGGCAGCGCCAGCCGCAGGGAGAAACGAGACATGGCTGCCAGACCCGGTCATAGTATGCGTTATGCTAATGCCCGATCGTGCCTCTTGCCATCATGTACAGATGTTTGCCTGATGTTATGCGTGGTTACGGCGAAACTGACCTCGCTTGCGTGTGTTCTCAGTGAGATGCAGCGCTTGAAGCACCGACAAGATCCAGTTATGCTAGGGTGGCTCAACGCCACCACAGGTACATAACCTGGTCATACATAAGTTAAGTACTTAGATAGTTCGCCGTCATGTGACATTTTTCTCTCTGAGTCCTTCGAACGCGCCGCCTTGTCTACCAACGAGGCCTGTATCACTCCTATCTATTACCAAACGTATACTGAGTACGTACCGAGCTCTGGTATTTCTTCTTCTAATCGGGTTTAGCCTGATATCCATTCTTCAACAGTTCAACTCTGATCAGTGCCAGCAATCATGAACATCGTCGCCGATCGAGTTGCATCGTCGGACTTCAACCATTGGTCATCATCTCCACAGCCGAAATCAAGCGAGGGAGACAGCACCGCCAGATTCACTGCTACCAAGGTCGCTGCAGCACCTTCAACAACCCGTACGACGATGCAGATGTGGTTCTGCAGTCTGCGAGCCCGACGAGCTTCTATGTTCACAAATATACTACGGATGTCGTCTGCGTTCTTGCAGATATGTTTTCTCTCCCACAACCAGTCCCATCCGTTCAGAACGTCGACTCAAGCTGCCATATGACTGGTGCGCTTCCCATCATCCCTGTCTCAGAAACCACCGACACCCTAGACAAACTACTGCGGATGTGCTACCCGCCTGTGGTCTGGAAGCCCATATTTCCGGCATCCGCAGCTTTCTCCTGTTTAGCGGCGGCGCAAAATATCAGATGCCGGAGGTCACGACGACGTTGAAACTCAGCTGACAATATTTGGCCATACGATCCCTAGAAGCCTTCGCTGAGACTTACCATAGGGACCTAGACGACGTAGCGAAGGAAGCAGGAGAGGATTTCTGCCGCCCGCAGATCTATATTGGCAACATCGCGTTCAACAATCTCAAACTTCCGGATCGCCCGATTGACAGCTATGTCTCGGATATGGACAGTGTCCCCGCTTCCTGGTACTTCAGGTTGTTGGAATATTACAGTGACGTCGCGGAAGTATCCAAGAAACGCTCCCAAGCCCTATGTGGGAAGCCTGAGTGCACTACCGCCACGAAGGATGCCGCATTCCGTTGCCTACTAGATCTCAGCTCGCGGACTAGCACCAGCGTGCGATGCCATGGTCCTTGGCAAAGAACTCTCACATCCCTTCCTGGACAGGTCTCGTGCGGACACCATTGTCAGTTCTTCGGACGGTGTTGAGTTCTACGTCCATCGCACTATCATCAGCTTCGCCTCTCGCGTGCTCACGGAGAGGCTTTCCGCGAAGCCAACACGGAGCCCGCACGAGATGGTACATCTACTGGTATGCAGCAGGCTCTACGTTTGGTCGCGCCTTCAATCTCCCGAAGATGGTCGAACGCTGGCCCTATTGTTCCAGCTCTGTTACCCTATGCCCAATCCCGACGTCTACGACGGATCTGACAACGACAAACTGCGCGATGCCTACAGCCTTCTGGAGGCAGCTACGAAGTACGAAGCCGTACGAGCGGTAGAATTCGCCAAGCAGGTGATCACCACAGTCGCCTTGGTGGTGTGCCCCCTGCGGCTCTACTTCATCGCGTCGCAGTACAACTGGGGAGACCTTATGAAGCAGGCTGCTTGTCGCGCCGTTTACGAGATGTCTGACGAATACGTACCGGAGATGGAGACAGGTCCTCCGCCGCGTATCGTAGACTGCTCGTCTACCGCCAGAAGTGTCGCGACCTCATCCTTGCTCATTATACCAAGAGCACCCCGGGTGCCCCGCCTGGGACAGTCGACGTCGCAGCTCCGACTAGAGCCATGTACTGGAGCAAGAAGGGCTGGCTGAGCGAGCCAAACCATTATGATCTCTGGATGGCTATGCACATTCAAATGAACGAGAACGTTTCCACTGGACGGAGCAAGCCTCGCCAGGCTGATGCGATTGTGCCTGCTCTCCTCGAGCTGGCAGCATAGCGACTGTGGACGAGGTCATAGAGACGGCGGCGGCACTTGCACAGGTACGTAGATAAAAACTAATGTCACGCCATCGCTGTTGTACTTTACTAACGATGATGCAGGTAGTATTCTAAAAGGGAGGTGACTGAAGTACTCCACTCACGGTATACGCTGGTGCGTGGCAGGTGCATCATAGCCTCAAAATGCAAATAGTAGTCTGACGGAACAAAACTTCCAGATCAGACGTCGATACATGGATGTATTACCTCGAAGAAACCACGAATGTGCACTTGACACTATGATACATATGGTACACCGAGAGGCCCTTGAGAAGTAAGAATACATACTGTGTACTATACTTATAAGGTGGATTAGCAGCCAAATTCGTTAACCGGAGTCAAAACGCCAAGGACTGAGATTCGCTGAAGGCGACCATCATCAGAAAGGTTGTTCCGCCAGGACCTCGCTGACCTTGATAACGAGCTCATCCGCACTCTTCAACTCTGCAGGGAAGTACGCTTTCGCGCCGCCGACGCCCCTCATCCAAACGGTCTGCGCGATGCGCATGTACGCCGCTTCGTTTCCGGCCGCCTCCAGCACACACACACGAATTCACGCTTCTTGTCGTACACGAGCATTGTCCCATCCTGCATCGTCGGCGCAGTGCCCGTGTATGGCACCTGCACCTTGATGACCATCGCCTTCGACTGGCCAGGCCTCAAGTGTGGCACGTGACTGCTGCGGTTATGCGCCTCGGGACGCGGGGTCGTTGGAATGCCGAAGAAATTGCGCGCGAACTCCGAGGACGACATGAGCCCGAGTTGAGCGTTGTCGCGATAAGAAGGCCGGACAGTCACGGACGTCGCAGTGTCGAACGGCGTGCATGTTTTCTTGTGCTCCCGCCAGTCTGCCCCTGGCAAAGGCGTGAGCTGCCCACATCAACACGAAGCCCGATGCACGGAGAGAGCTTACTCTGGCACTCGGGAGAGCAATACTTGACCGCGTGGCACTTGCTGCATATCTTGAGCGAGCCGTCCGTCTTCCCGCACTTTGCGCACATCTTCCCGTCGAGAGGCATCTGCTCCCCACTGCGCTTCCTCAGCCACTTCATCACCGCCGCAGTGACCGCGGGTCCCGTTTTCACGAACATGCTCCGTCCCGTCGTCCCGTCTGCGTCGGGCATGTCAATATCCGCGCCAAACTCCATCAACAGTTCCACCGTGCGCGGGTCGCCGAGCTGGACCATGGTGAGGAAGGGGACCTCGCCGTAGCGGTTCTGATGATTGACGTTCGCGCCCGACTCGAGGAGTATGCGGGCAAGCGCAACCGTCGGGCCATGTGTGTTCTGGACGGCGTGGTGCAGTGGGGTGAGGCCGACGATGTCGCAGGAGTCCACAGGTGCACCGCTGCCGCTGAGGTACTTGAGAGTCGCAGCGTGGTCCGCGCCCGGGCACTGGTCTGCGCCACGCTGGGCACCAGCCACGACCAGAGTGCAGTAGCCAAACTTGTACGGTGTCTCGGTTCCGGTGAGGTCAGGTGCCTGGCTTTCGACGGCCTAGAGGATGTGATTCGTGATGAGCACCCTTAGTGAACACAGACTACGACAGAAAGACGAATGTGGGCCCTAGCTCGCAGAGCTAATGAGTTGTTTCAGCATTGAGCGATGCCACTTTCGTCCAGACTTTTAATCAGACTGAGGGCTCTCGTCAAAGGTGTTAGGTCTGAAAAATCAGATCGCAATACAAGACACGGGTAAGGCCACAGCGACAGCCATCCATGTGACGACCATCGCGCTTTTCACTCACTCACCAGCTTGACTCTGGCGATCTGGCCCAAAAAACAATCCAGTGCGAATTGTCTGTACATATTCGGATTCTGGCCGACGGTGCCTAAAGAACAAGGTTCATGATTTGTCCAAAGGGGTGAATATGCGGATCAGAATGCTCACCTGTTCGGTATAAGTCACGCAGCTTCTGCCCACACTCGTCAGTCTTGATGAATCCCGTCGAGCTGTCGAGGATGACTTGCATCTGCGGATGGACCTTCAGGCCGCCGGTGCCATCCGCGCGGCGGTCAGCGTCGGACGCAAAGGCTCTGACGCCGCCGTCTTGACGCATGTCGCACAGATCAGTATCTAGGGAGCTGGACGAAAGCAGAAGAGAGGCAAGCTAGGCCTGGCCTCAGCCTGTGAGGTGAATAGGACTTTGGGGTCGAAAACAACTTGGATTTGGGCGCTTGCAAGCTCGATCGAGCGGAAATCCCGTCGACGGACTTAGCGCTGTTAATTGCCGAATGGGCGTCCTTATTTACCGCTGCCATTTTGCTGTCACTTCTCGTCTCGCACTCACCGCCACTCATGGCACGTCTCTGGCACTGGGTCGTCGCGATTCACATCTGTGTTGCAGGTTTATGTCCATAACTCAAACGTCTCGGAACGAGCCTGCCACCATACCAGTTCGGACCCGTGGAGGCATTAAGATGAAAATCGCAGACAGAATGAGAAGGAGGAGGAGGTGGTGGCGGTGGTGGTAATTCACCTCGTCACCCAGCAACTACCCACGCGACCGTGACGCGACATTTGCAAGAAACTGCCGAGCTGTGCCGAGTCACATCGCCACCACGAGTCTGCGGTCCATTGTCCGATCGCGCGCTTTGTTGAGAACACAACATTGCTCTGGACAACCAATCGCCTTCGCACTGGATCTCATCCATTGGTTACAGCGCTGCGGGGCTCAGGGGCTTGCCAGGTGCCGGTATAAATGTGCAAGATCAATCCTACCCTAGAGTGCCACTCCCCCTCACTCACGTTGTACATTTCCAACCGCTCGCTGAACTCCCCATCGTAAGGTCAGCTCTTGTTCATTCACGTTATGTACTACTCACTCGTCTTGTCATAGGTGAGGAATTGATGGCCACTCCACATGCTCCGTCGGCGGTGGCTCCGTCGCCGCGGCCACAACCCACTTCCGCTGCTATTCTGACGCCGCCACAGAACAAAGCGCCTCTCGAGACCTTGTCCGCTGCGGGGTATCCCTTCAACAATCATTACGGTGATGCAGACGTAGTCTTGCAGACCAAGGACATGACAAGGTTTTACGTGCACCGCGCGGTATTGCGTATCGCATCGCCTCTGTTTGCAAGCATGTTCGCGTCATGGCAGCCAAATCTCCACCCAACCGCCTCCTCGGACACGATGTTCTTTGACGACTACATGCGGCTCCCCGTCGTCAAAGTTGCGGAGAAGGCAGACACCCTTGACCGCTTACTACGCATGTGTTATCCCATCCCGGAATCGGCGTTCGTGGATGTGGCCGATCTCAGTCCCGTCCTTGGGGCTGCGCTGAAATGCAACATGACAGAAGCAATAGACGTCCTGATCGACAAGCTGCTGGACTTCTGTAAAGACTATCCTCTCCAGGTATTCGCCGCAGCATGCACGAACAACATCGAGGACGTAGCCGGACATGCCGCGGGGTGTTTCTCAGGCTACGTGGGGAAGGAGTCCGACAAGGCGACGATGACGTTCTGCTCCCGCCGTCCAATCTCTGATTACACGCCGTTGATGGACGATGTTCCGGCGTCCTCGTACTTCCAGCTCCTGCAGGTTCACAGGAGTTATGCGTCCCGGTCTCTTGACACCCCAGTGCTGCCGCCTGTGTTCTGTTTATCGCCGGCCCCGAGACGAGTGCCCCCACCGATCGGGGATCAAGCATGTCCGCCGTTCGGCGACTCTGCCCACGGAGACACCGTAGTCCGCTCGTCCACGGTATCAGTTTCCACGTCCGTCAAGACTTCCTGGAGTACGCCGCCCCGGACCTGTTCAAGTTGGTCGCATCGTCGAACGGCCACGCAGTCAGCGTCACGGAGGACGGGAGCACGCTGGCGATGCTGTTGCGACTATGCTACCCCATGGCAGACCCCGTCATGCCGGATCGGTCGTCGGACGACGATCGCATCGTCGACGCGTGCCTGCTGCTCGATGCGGCGCGCATTACCACATCACCAGGGCAGAAGAGTTCGCCAAACGGGCGTGCGTCGCTGCCGCCGAGACGCTCCCGCTGCGGCTCTACTTCATCGCGTGGCAGTACGGCTGGCAAGACGTAACCGAGCAGTCCGCCTTGCGCGCGGTATACGATCTCACAGAACAGTACGTCCCCGAGATGGACTCGGCGCCCGCTGAGGCGTACCGCCGTCTCCTCGTCTACCGCCGGGAGTGCCGAAGCATCATCCTCGCGAATTGGCACAACTGCAACCTTCGTCGGAGCGGTGCGTTCGATGTCGAGTATTGGAGCCAGCAGCCGTGGCTCCAGAAGGCCGGGGAAGCGCGGTTCTGGATGGCGCTACACAGACGTGCCCAGGAACAGGCCGATCGCACTCAGTCTGTGGCGAGCCTGGACGTGGAAGCGATCTTGCCCTCGTCGACGATTCAGGAATTGCCGGGGATAGCTCAGAATGGCGTTGGAGGGCCATTCTCGTTTGGCGCACCGTCGCTCGCCGGCGCGAGCACTGGAAACGTCGTTGGCGCGGCCAAGGGGTTGCTAGCGGACCGTTGCACCTGAGGCAACAGGCTATCGTGAGAATAGCGGAGCAACTCGTTAAGGTGCGCATCCCTGATTTACCACCGCCATGGTGTGCACCTCATGAGATCGGACAGGTCAAGCTGTAACACTACCGTGCTCTCGCGTTGTCGGTCAAGCATGAAGCGGCCGGATGCGTGGTCGTATAAGCTTCGTGGTGCGTGTCTGGAATGCTACAGTGTCTTATGTATGTTCTCCATGTTGTGCATGTTATACGTATGTCCATTTGTATCTTCTATCTCTATGTCGATTCCGCGTCGCACGCAGATTCAATTGGACAGAGACGTCACCGGCTCTGCCTCAGGCTTGCTGTACTAATCCCAGATGTGAGGGCACTTTGATTGAATGAGGCGGTCGTCCTGCCCGAAGTTCACCGTCATATGACATGCTTCCGAAGTGCTGAACCAGGTGAGAAGCAGGCCTCGAGGATCGATGTCGATGCAGAATCAACGCCCTGCAGGCGTCTCTGACATGGCTACTTATCAAGGATGCTCCCTTGTTTTTCCTCCGCTTCTTCTCTATCTCCTCCTTTACCATCGCTCAGTGAGTTCTCTCTAGCTGGCTCGGGTGGGCCATTGTGGACTGATTTCCCTGGGGTTGTACAGCGACATGGCAACCCCGAGTACGATCGCTGAACCAGACACCCCGACGACGAGTTTCTCGTCCTCTGCGCCGCAACCAGGAGAGCACGACGATGGATCCGCGTCTCCGACTCACGACGTGAAGGTTGCGGACGCACCCTTCAACAATCGTACGGCGACGCAGACGTGATCTTCCGATCTTCGAATGGGACGGACTTCTACGTTCACAAGGCGGTCTTGCGAATGGCATCGCCTTACTTCGTCGACATGTTTTCCTTGCCGCAGCCAACGACATCTAACCCTCCGACGAGCGTTTCAAGCGTGGACCGCAGTATCGTGACCGCGGCGGAGGATAGCAATCGCAGTGGGCCTCCTATTATCCTGTCACAGAGCGCAGCGACGTTCTCGAGGGCATATTGCGCTTGTGCTACCCGATTGAGAAACCACCGCTACCCAGTGTCCAGGACGTTTCTCCCATTCTCTGCGGGACACTCAAGTACCAGATGATCGCAACGGCGGTACTCAAGGCGAAGCTAATCGCGTTCTGCGCCACTCATCCTTTGGACGTCTTCGCTGAGGCGTATCATAGAGACCTAGAGGATGTGGCGGAGGAAGCAGCAGCCGCTTGGGCGGCTTGGGCGAAGACAAGTCTTGGCACAAAAGACTCCAAGCGTCAAAGTCGGAGGAGGAGAGGATTCATGTACGATCTACGCCGCGTTCGGAATTGTCACGCTATTGATGATTTCAGCCCGCATCTGGGCACCATTCCTGCATCCCTATACTTCCGTTTGTTGCAATACTACGACGGGTTCTCCTCGTCCGGTACCAGTCAGACCACGGCAAAGTTCTGCTTGCATTCTCCACCCATTGTCAGCCAGGAATCAGTCCCGATGCGGGACAACCCCGTCTCACACCCCTTCGACGAGTCAATCGACGCAGACACCCTCATTCGCTCCTCAGACGGTATCATATTCCATGTGTCTCGAGCCTTTGTTGGCTTCTCCTCCCGTGTTCTGAGGAAGAAGCTCTCCGACAAGGAGTCGACCGCACCAGATACTCCCTCCTCCGGCGATCTCATGGGCAGTCCGAGTCGTTCCCTCGACCTTCCCGAATCTGGTCGCATTTTGGTGCTCTTATTGCAGCTGTGCTATCCCATGCCTGATCCCGAGATCGAGGATGGACTGGATGGCTCGGATGACAAACTTCGAATCACGCGCCGTCTCCTCCAGGCTGCGACAAAGTACGAGGTCGCGAGAGCCATCGAGTTCGCCAAGCGCACTTGCATTGCCCTTCAATCAGTACATCCTGTTCGTGTTTATCTTCTTGCGTCGTGTTACGGTTGGGACGACGTGGCGAAGGAAACAGCAAGGCGTTCTGTATACGACGCACCCGACAGTTACGTTCCAGAGATGGAGATAGCATTTGCTGTGGCGTACCGCCGGCTACTCACCTACCACCAGAAGTGTCGTGACATCATTCTTGCTCGCGTTGACACGTTCAACGGCATGCCGGCAGCACGGAGCACATATTGGAGCAAGACAAGCTGGTTGAACGAGCAGAGCGTCGTTGCTTTCTGGTCATCCGTTCATCAGCGCTTGCACGAAAATGTCGCTGCCGGACATGGGCCTCGCCTTGATGCACGCACACTTTTCCCTGATCCATTAAACCGGTCACAGTTCCTGCTAATGATGGATGGAACTCGGGAGGTACCGATGACGTTGGTCGCCGCCATCTACGTTTAACTACACAGGCGGTTACGGAAGCTGCAGAAACACTCGCGCAGGTACGTCACGGTACCACACTCGTATGACTGCACCAAATTGACACTGGTGCAGGTGGAACTTCAAGCTTCATCCTCAGGACCCGCTGTGAGTATATAGCACGAACTGGCAGGTGCGCTGTACCTGGAAATGCATACTTTGTATAACACATACGTGAACAAGTTCAACAAGTCAATGCAACATGCGGCGTAGTCCCGGCGGGGCGCGAGTCAGGTTCTCGGGTATCTACGGTGACAGCTCCTGCCATAACCTCCTCTAAGGTTCAATCAGCTAGCGTGCATCGCTGCGAAGAAACATCTACTTCTCCCTGAATAGTCTCCTTACTGGCTGAAGGGGCCGGCGGGCGTCTTCATTGCGCTTCCCTGCCTTGACTGGAAGTTATGCTACTGCCAATGCCAGCCTGCGCAGGAGCGCGTGACGTCCTATTATGTATTCGTTGCTGCCTCGTTCGTTTCCAGCACGCGACGCTCAGGGAGAGCGGCGTGACCATTGTATCTCCTGGATTGAACTTAAGTGACTTCGTCCGCTGATACTTGAAGGCTGTCGCCCACCAGTTTCAAAAGTCCGGCTAGTATCCCGCTTCTCGGTGGACCGGGTGCGTCAGGTTCATCGCTGTAGGCTGTAACGTTGCTAAACGCAGAGCAATGTTTGACATGCCGGCTGCATACAATGATCAGGTTCGAATCTGAAGTGCAATGACAACCCCAAGCACTGCAGCATCAGACGGGGAGATCCTAGAGGTAAAGCAAGAACCCTTACCTCCTGCGATCGTGGTTGCTGCTGCGCCGTTCGATAACTCCTATGGAGATGCCGATGTTATCCTACGGTCAGCGGACGGAGTGGATTTTTACCTGCACAAAAACATCTTGCGGATCGCGTCTGCCTTCTTCGCAGACATGTTTTCCTTACCCCAGCCTCTTCCGAATAGCCCGCCGAACGGCGACAAAGCGATAGAAGACGCCAGCAGTCGCTCTGCGGATGCGCCCCCTATCATTCCTGTCTCAGAGGATCAGCAAGCTCTCGACAATCTCTTGCGTATGTGTTATCCGGTGGAGAAGCCTGCATTCGAAAGTATTCAGGACAAATGCTCGCTTCTCCGAGGAACAACCAAGTACCAGATGGGGGAGGCAACGTCCAGACTTAACAAGGAGTTGACGTCCCTCTGTGCCAGTCGTCCTCTTGACGTCTTTGCCGCGGCGTGGAGCAAGGCCTGGGTGACCTCGTGGAGCACGCAGCGGAGCCTTCTGCGATCTGCTCGCCGAAGCGGAACACGCAAACACGCATTTGCCATTGACACCTACACACCCTCATGGACGACATTCCCGCCTCTGTGTATTACCAGTTATTGGCACGTTACAGTGATCAGGGACGTACGGGCAATTCGAATGGCCTCTTCCGAACCCAGGCCGAAAATGCCATAGGTAACACATACCCCTAAGTTTCGCTTCGAGCCGATAGCTGATGACTGGCACCGTGACTAGCGCAAGACAATATGCGACCCGACTATATCTCGCATCCTTTCGAGGACCCAGCTCGTGCGGATCTGGTCATTCGGTCTTCGGATGGTGTCGTCTTCCACGTTCTCCAGAGTTTCGTCAGCTTCGCATCTCCAGTGATTGCGAACATGATCCGCGAGAAGGCTGCCTCGGAATCAGACCCGTCCACCGCCCCGACTCACTCGTCCAGCCAAGATCTTGAACTCCCTGAGGACGGCCGTACGTTGGCCGCACTTCTCCAGCTCTGTTATCCCATGGCGGACCCCGAGAGGACGACACTGCCCAGTGGCTCTGCATATATGCCTCCTCTACGAAGCGGCGAAGAAGTACGAGGTTGCTAGAGCAATGGAGTTCGCGAAGCGTTGCTGCATGGCGGATCTTGACTGGAGCCCCGTCCGAGTCTACTTGATAGCAGCGCGGTTCGACTGGGAGGACGTGATGAAAGAGGCCGCCTGGCGCGCCGTGCACGAGCACATCGAGCGCCACGTCCCCGAGATGGCGACCGCGACTACTGCAACGTACCGCAGGCTCCTCGTCTATCGCCAGAGATGCAGGGACATCATCGTCACCGCCGTGTTCAAGGCCGCCGAGACACAGCAGGCCTTTGACACTCGGCTGCCGTATTGGTGTATGGAAGCGCCGTGGCTGGACGGGTCGGGCGAGATGCGGTTCTGGAAGGCCATCCACGCAGAGGCCTGGGATCGGGCGGAAGATGCGGAGCGGTTCCCCCCTATCGAGGACCAGGCCATCCTTCCTTCCTCGGTCGTGGCGGCGTACAACCTCTGAGTCCCGATCGGAGGATTGCCAAGGATTCAGGTCTGGAATGCACGAGATGGTCGCGGAGATCGCGAGAGCTCTTGCAAGGGTGTGTAGTAACGATTGCGCGAGGCTAGCCTTGTTGTGTGAGCTCTGCTGACGCCAACGCAGGTTCAGTTGTGACTCGTGCATGATGCATGAAGAGCGACCCCCCGACGAGCGTAGCTGAGGTATAACCAGGAGCGTACGCATTTGTCGATGACTCTAAGATTGCAGGAGCAGAGGTAGAATTCGTATCTGAAGCCATGACTGATGAGTAGGAAGGTCCGTCAGTCAATAGCAGTGAAGACAAGATTGGTAGGGCATGTAGCGGACGTAGCCTGTACCGTGACTCAAGTGCCCGCTGGCAAATATTGGAGTGCAGATGCTTCCGCGTGCAGCGTACTTGACGTGTTGACTGCGTGTGCAGCTGCGTGGGTGCGTGGCACTGGCAGCGAATAGATGTGAATTCCCGTTCAAGTACTAGTACTAGCGTGTAGCGTCGGATGGGCAGACGCGTCCGAGTCAAATCGCTCGACGCGACGCGACGCGTCACGCGACACGCGACCCTTTTCAGGCGTCTAATCCGCCTGCCGGTTCGCCCTTCGTCCTCCTGGTCGACCCAAGGTGATCCACCACGCACGATTTTCTGAGCTCTCTCCCACCACACTTGTTTCATTCACCCGAACTGCGCTGGCGTGAATATCTTCGCCCTGTATTTTTCCCCTCGACTTCCAATGTTTTTGCGGCGGCGGACGGTGGGTGACACAAGGGCGGTAGCAGTGCACCTTTCACAGGACCTTGGGTGGTATCACCACCAGCAATGCATAATCGCACCGTTGTGTATCCTGGAATCGCCGTGAAATCAAGGAAAACCCCGCTTGCGTACGAGGGGTCGTCCGTGCCACGGAGCTATCGCCGGTAGATCACTTGCGGCCTTTTCGTGGGCGATGGGCTGGCAGGCTGGCCGCTGTGGACTCTGCCATACGCCCCGGATATCAGGAGACGGATGTGGACGGCGAAAAAACATGACCCCAGGCGTACGTATGTTTCTGAACACATACGGCCCAGATCGTTCAACGGTGTTCATAGGCGTCCGTAGCTAGAGAGCTCCCGGTGCGGAAATGATGACCACCGTAATAACACGGACTCTACAGTCCTGGTACAGCACGAATGAGCTGTCACGCCGAAGTGGCTTCAAGACGCACCGTTATGATCACCAAGGTAGAGCCAACCCGGTTATCCCTGTGCCATGCTCCGGCCTGGTAAAAACACATCGCGCCTAGTCCTCAGCAACGTCGAACTGCACTATGGTGGCCGGGAGGACTCCACAGCGCATCGTCGCCCAAGATCAGGTGTAAGAAGAGCCCCGGGAGCGACATCGTACCTACAGATGGCCCGGTGAGTCTCATCACCGTATTCCGATGGACCGTGTGTCGTAGGCTTACCCAACTACAGTCGAAAACGTGCCTGTCGGCACTACCCGCTTGCGTGCCAAAGTCGGCGCAGATGGCTGCGTCGAGGCTGCGTCTTCCGTCGCTGGAGTGGCGCTGTCTCCGCCGTTTGCGTATATGAGATCTGGGCATATTTGTTGCGTGAGTAGGGTAGTTGCACTGTCCACGGCAAGACAACAGACCTTTACGAGTGACTGACTGATTGGCCAGTTGAAGTCCCCGTCTCCTGCAGCCCTCCGGATGTTGGGCATCGAGACTGACGTCAAATTACTCACCGACACGCGTCCGAATCGTTGTAGATACCTTCAAGGAACAGATGTCAACTCTTCTTCATGCGTCTGGGTGCGAATGCCTAAGCTGATAATCCAGGAGAACGCGACCAACAAGGGCGCACTTACGCCACAGCAAGGGTATTGTCAATCATATATATGCATGCCAAGGTGGCCGTTGACGATGACGCTGCCTTCTACAGGTGGCTTGTACCTGATTTCGTAGGCCCGTGGCCTGTTTGAAGCCTTCACGATGGAGAATCGGCAGCAAGGATGGTCGCAAGTGGCAAGGCTCGTGTACTAGTGGGCGTCTACGCGCCGTGAAGCTCGACGTGTTGGTCACGAGATCACGACGCGTCGAGTCGGCTTGCTGGAGACTCCAGTCTGTCAGAAGGTGCGAATGGCAGTCGCATCACTCTGGTGTGTGGTTCACGCAGTCAGCACGAATTGAATGATTTTGGACACCTTGCGAGCGGGGATGACAGTGTTGGCTATCTACTTGACTGACTGTCCGGACGCTACCGTCGGCGCATAGTTTTGTGGTCTAGTTGTGCTCGCTTGGGCGATTGAATTGAGGCCGTGGCAATCAAGGATCTATGTTACGCTTTATGCCGATGCGATTGCGAATGACGAGCCCACCTACTTGACTGTTGGGCTAGCACTTATTGCGGAGTCTAATGGGTACTGACCGTCTCTTCAAGGTCGATTGACTTCGCATTACGAAACGTTGTCATCAAGCAGATATGGTGAGAGGCTCTAGTAGTACAATCAAACGAAACAATTGAATAGCGCGCTGACGGTCCCTTTCCTGCCAGCATGTGATAGGTGTTGCATTTTGCGACGTCTCCTCGTCCGCGGCCCCCAGGCTGCCAGTTCTTTTTTCGACGAAACGGACTACAGGCACACATTCAAATGGAGCCATTCAGTACGTCGACAGCAGAGATGGATACAACGAAGACGTACCATTGTCAGTGGACCAGCTGGCCCCCTAGAATCCACGGGGATGGGCCTCGACTCCGTCTTCTTCCCCTTGTGTCGACCGAGCATAATGCTGACCCTTTTCCAAGCGCGGACTCGCTCACCGCGTTGAATCGTGTCCCCGGCAGGGTCCCGATGGTCGCAGGGCTATGGGTGCTCCCAGAGCTTGCGCATTGGTGGGTCCCCTGCCACCTATTCTTCGCGACCTCTGCACGGGTCGCCGAGGAGGAACTCGGATTCATCGAGTGTGGTCGACGTCTCCCACATTTCGTTCTCGTCCCACTCGTCAATGGAGGGAATTCATCGTCCATTCTACGGTCGGTGAAGATGGTCCTCGGGTCACCTACAGATGTAACATCAGTGAGTGCTGTAAGACTGTTATTCGGGTCTCAACGCTGCTTACCTCACAGTCCATGTCAAGTGACTCTGTAGACAGTCTATTGAGTCCAGACAGCCGTGTATCTTCGGCTGGCACGGCCTGGTCATGCATCGTGTTGTGCCTCCACAATCGCTAGGATTTGCGAGACAGGTGAGATCGAATGTTGTAACGGTTCTGGCTCGTGTCACTGACCTGGAGTGGCGTCGCTGCCGTTTCGATTTTCGATCTCAGGTACACATCGTTGTTGAGAGTGATCTCCCTTCGTGCGTTGGTGTGTAATGCGCTCCCCAGGCTTCCCAATTGCTCTGCGCCCCGCGTCTCCAGATGTCCTCCTTCAGGTCTCGGAAGTACATTCCATTTGGGGTAAACATGCTAGCAATTGTGCTATGGCGGTACTGATCAGGGATCGAGCGATCACACGAAGGCAGTGGCGTCGAGACTTACGCAAGAGCGAGGAGCGACGCAACGAAAGCGCAGAGTGTAACACACAAGAAGCGCAAGTACCACGGAAGGATGCTACGGACGGTGAGAGGCTCGTACTTCGGTCACCTGCACTCGGATGGATGCTGATGGTGTGGTTGTGGGCAGAGGAGTAGCAGACGACGACGGCGAGCAGATATACGCGACGCTACACGGCGCTTACATGTCGTACTTATCACGAGGTCTCAAATGATTGGATGGGATTGATTTCCCTTCGGTCTGCAGGTCGATGGTCGCCGAACAACTGTCCAGGAATCAGTGCCGTGCAGCCATCCACCTGGTGGTTGGTCGCCCATAAATATAACTGGGCAATATCTAACAAATGGCTCTTTCGGTGTAACATTTCCATGACTTCGTCAGGCTGAATGCGCCTCCCAGTCATCTCCGCTGCATTGACTTAATCACCCTTGCATAGTCCTCTGCACTCTCCGAGTGGCCCGAGAATCCCTGATTGTCACCTGCTGACATCCTGTCGCCGCCTGTCAAGCATTACTACATCTGCGGTGGTGGAGCACGACCTACCGCATGTAGTGGCTTCAGTGCCCTAATCCTTCCTATCCCTCCCGCGGATGGACGTCAGAATGGGGGCCGTATAACTTCCGACTAGCCGTACGGTGGCTGTTCGTATTCCCAATCGGGATGCTTCTCAGAGTGGCAGAACTCGCGGTACTGCCCGAATTCGTTCGATGGTGAGTTTGTCCTGGTTCGGTACCTCCGATCATCCGTACGCTGACGCCTGTGGTAGCTTCGGCGCCATCGATTGTGCTGGTTGTTTCGGGAGCTCCGTCGTCACCCAGGATCCATTGACCGATCGAGTGGCGCACGCATTGACAAGCCATCCTCAGCTTCGTCTACCTGCCGTGATATTCAGTCTGTGAGCACCATCACACCCAGGCAATGGATACGATACACGGCATCAATGCTGCACAAGCTTACCTCCCGATATGCCCTCGCATGTATATCAACGTCAACGACTCCAATCTCTTCCGGACATTCATCATCCAACTTGCCCATCTCATCCAAGATGTCCATGGGCGCGGGTGTTCCGCGGACACGAGGGCGAGATCATCCGGATGGCACGGTAGTTCCTCGAAGATGTCCTGTGCGTGACCTGGCTCGCGACAGAAGTGAGAACAAATCATATAACGCTTCATGTCTGCAACTACTGACCTTGCGGGCATATTGTCGTTTTATGATCTGTTTTCAGGTCGCCATCGTCGTCCGCATCGTCGCAGTCTGTCGCTCCCATTTGTGGACGCGATGAAGACGTGTGGCGAGTCCCGCTCTCCAGTCCTTCATAGGTATTTCCTCTAGGCTTGCGATGTAGTGTGATCTATGCGTGTAGCATGCTGAATTACGTGCATCAGTCAAACAATATGCAAGGATCGGTGATGCAAGTTTGTCGTTCAAGACTTGCTCGTAGATGGCAAGAGAAGTTGGAGCAACACTGAGTAAAAAGACGTCACGACGAATCAGGAAGCCAAGCAAGCAGAGTGCTTTTCTTGCCGTCCTCGCTCTAATCTGCTGTGGCAGGAGTGTACAAAGGAGCAGAAGATTGTCGCGAGCGCAAGTGTGGCACCTTACAGACGCTTACACGCGGTTGTACCGGTCATGTGATTGGAACGCGCTGTGGCTGGACGGCAGTATCCCGGGCCGGGCTGAAGCCACACTCTGGTGAACCACGCCCCCAATTCGAGCCACATCTCATTGACCTACCATCTGCACTACTCGCATCGCAGCGAGCCGATCAGCACCGCGACTCCTGACCTGTGGTGTGGCCAGACGGGCATCATATCATTCCTCGTTTTTCCGTGAATATCACCCGACAAGCGTCTCATCCATCCCATTTCCCTGCGAAACGAGCTGTGCGACAATCGATTCCCCTCTTGTCGAAACCATGCCCTCTCCATTATCGACATTCTCCCCCCCTCAGCTCTACACAGCCTGCCGTCAGCGCACGCCATCAAACAGACCCTGCAAGATCCGCTGAATCTCGACCTCGCGTCGCCCGATGTTGCCGGTGTATCCCCCCTCTGCGCACGAGTCCTGCCTGGCAAGGCGACGATGACGACGACGACTGGCTTCTTTCAGACGACGAGAAGGACGATCGCGAGCGCGTCGATTCTATCCGCCCGCGCTGCGACTCCAGAGAGTCCGTCGCTATGTTCCGTGGAAACGGGCCAGACACTCTCACCGCTAGCAAAGGACGCAAGCGGATGTGCACGGAGCCTAGCCCCGTTCCCGTGAAGCGCAAGAGGGTCTTCAAGAGGTGCAATGCCATGAGGAATATACGGTTCGATGGGGACAACTGGGGCAGCCACGACAATGGTGGTTCGGATGCATTGGACGAGTTTAACTGCATAGAGGGTAGCACTCCAATCCCTACCTATAAGGAGGACGGCCTGACTACTTGGATGGTGCCTAATCGCCCGATGGCTCGGCTGCCGACCAGGGCTCGAGACACGAGCATTGTCGACCTCATCGCGGCCGAAGAGGAGGCCGCCAAAAGCCTAAACTTGATCGGCCCCTCGGCCTTTGGGGGCGTGAGGCTCCATCAACGGTTCGAGGTGTCGATCAGGATGAAGACCAAACACATCGTGATGTGGGATGTGGACTTGAAGTACGTGGCGTCTCATACTTGTACTTGCGCAAATACTGATCGTCCGCATTCGTCAACAGCCAGACGTACGCTCTTGAAGGCCTGCTCTACGTCAAGGACGCGAAAGCTCAAACTACCGACTTTCCTCTGTCGTCCGTCGACTCCATATCCATCGACTGGCACACCGTCGATTCCTGCCAACGCGTCCCCAGCATGGCGGACGACACCATCTACGCGACGTCCTTCCGTGGGGGCGTGGCACCCCTGCTGGGGCGCCCTGAAGTCCTTCAAAACATGGACCCACGAATGGCATATACAAGGACGTCTCTTGGGAGTGGATCGCGCCGAGTGTCCCCGGCACTGGTCTCGGTGGTGGCTGGGCGCTGCGGTTCTGGGTGCCGGTCCCTATGTGGATCTTCAAGGGGCGGGATGTAGCGCGCTCGCTCGTCAGTGCGAGCGTCGTCTTCCGCGACGGAGACGACAACGACACGTTCACCGCCGATGCAGGCACTGTGGATGTGACGATCGAGCATCGCATGTGCGCGCGGGATATGAACGTCTCTGGGTGATCGTGACGCTCCCGTGACGACCGGAATTGGAACAATCGTGGTTTGGGGTTTCGTAATGCCGCAAAAGCAATCAATCGTCTATGTTGTCCCGCCTGTTATCGTTTAATGCTACCTCCTTGCATCGCTGTGTACATCGCTCTCATCTTGTGTCTGCTCTATGTAGTGCCTAGTCTAATCATCACCCTTCCCATAGAAATCTGTATATACCTGACGATATTCCGAAGACCAGCAATTCTACCGTCGAACGATTCCCCAATGTGTAACTTAGCATATAGGAATACGAACGGTTACTGATACTATTGTTGCGAGAGATCTGCATGGGTTTGGCGACGACTATGTGTTATATAGATGCTCGACGTTGATGAAAAAGGATCTTGAATGTATGAACGACCAACAAGCCCCGCCACCGCTCCCGCCCCCTCACACGTTCCTCGCCCCACGCCGCACCTCGTCCAACCCGATCTTCAGCACTTCCTCCCCGAACGGGTTCATCCGCAGAGTGCCCACAAGCCACTTCCTCCGCCTCTCCCACGACGCCACCACGCGCAGCCGCTCCGCGTCCTTGATGCCCGCCGCCCGGAGCTGCACAGCGAGGTGCTCCAGGGACGGCGTCAGGGAGCGGAGGGAGCGGAGGACGGCAGCGAACCCGTCGCCGTGCCTGTGTGCGGGTGCGAGTGGGTCGTGCGGCGGTGGTGGCACGGGCCTGCGGGGCGCGCTCACTGGCTCCGGGAAGCGAGCACTGGTGTCGGAGGCTGTCGAGCCGGATAAGTGGTTTGTGGGCAGGCCGGGCGGAATTTGATCGTGACCGTTTCGCGAGCTCGCTCTGAGGCGGGTTGAGTTCTTTCGATGAGCGCGCCCTTTGAGCGAGGAACGTACCGCGGGGTGATAGTTTCGCTGTTCCCGTTCGTCGTTGCTCGAGGTGGGAGTCGCAGATCGAGGCCGAGCTGCGTACTGCCGGGGCTTGCGGGCGCATACGGTTCCGGTTTGGGGTGGGCGGCAGTCGCTGTCGTCTGTACATATCGTCTCCCTGAACTATACGCAGCTTAGACAGGCTCGCGGCTGCGGATGCCATCGTCACGTACCTTGGGATGCTCCTCTCCGCCATCTTCCTCGTCGCGTCCGGATCTTACTTTCCGCTTCTGCTTCCTCAGGAAACGGTTGGCCGCCGAATACAGTGTACGTACGGATGAGCCGAACAGGGTCGGAGGCAGCATACCGCTGTTCATGCTAGTGTGGACGGGCGAATGGGCATACATCCGCGAAGTGTCGTTGAAGGCGTTTGGTATCCTGCGCCGTGAATTCTTCAAGTCTTGCATAGATCGAGGTGCGCCTGGTGCGGCGGCATCGAGTACTCGCGCCTGAACTGAGAGTATAAGTATGCACGCTCATTGACGCAGCGACGATGACAATGTGTTGCGTAGGCCTTACTACTCAACGAGAGTATATAAGTTTTGTGTGATGTGAGCAGCATCATCAGTCTTCTCAATGGCCCTATGCAGGCTTAGCATACCGTGCCAACATATATAGATTCATATCCCTCGTCTCCCTCGTCTCCCTAGAGAGTGATTACGACCTCCTTGGTGGTCGGGATGATGGGCGCATGATGCCAGATAAGTATGAATATCTCCTCGATGAATTTGAGCGTCGGGGGCAAACGTTAGTACTAGTAGCAGAGGGCGTTGGCATTTGACTTGAGAAGACATGCCGCCAAAGTGCCTGTAGCCACCTGTGAAGTTCAAACTCCGATACAGGCAGGCGCACCGGCCACAGCGCTTGCTGGCAGGGACCTCGGTACTTACCAGTTACCTCGGTATTCAGGCTCAGTTCATCACCTTGCCACGGCCTGTTCCCGTCGTCGGGTAAGATCAATGCTACGGACCAGGTGAGCCAGCCAATGTCATTTACACGCGAGAAGAGTAATGACATGCAAGACCTACTAGCATGGACACGGAGTCAGACTCGGACTCGGACTGGGAGGGGCCTGCAACGACGGACACTCTGGCCCTGTCGCTCTCTGGCATCTCTAGTTTCTCTAGTTTTGGTCATTATCAAGACGCCGATGGCGTCCGTGCATGTTGCCTGTCGGTGGATCCGAGTCAATATAGATGGACCCTCCCTCCTCCCTCGCTAGAAAGCGACACAGTTCGCGAAACTGCGCGGTATCCCTTCGACAACGCGTACTCGGATGCCGATATCGTTTTGCGGGCCGCGGACGGTACGCACTTCTACCTGCACAAGGCCATCCTGCGTGTTGCTTCCGTGTTCTTCGCCGAAATGTTCTCTTTACCTCAACCAACGGTCGCTCCGGGGCCCGCCACAGGGCCGCAGGCTACATGCGCTGAAATACCCATCGTTCCGGTCACGGAGGACAGCAAAACTCTGGAACTACTCCTGCGCTTGTGTTACCCGGTCAATAGCCCGTACGTGTCGCCGACACGTACCGGTATTTCAATAGCGGTGCCTGTCCTCAGTGCAGCACTCAAGTACCAGATGCCGGTCGTCGCTGCACGTATGACTCGAAAACTATCACTCTGTGCATACTCGGATCCCTTGGAAGTCTTCGCCATCGCATATACACTAGATCAGGAAGAACTAGGAGCCTACGCCGTCTGGTTATTCACTGGTTGGGAGGACACGCCTGCCGACAATGATACATTGCGGGCCCATTCACCCGACGAGTATTCCCCAAAGATGGATGATATTCCTGCTGCCGTATATTACCGACTTCTGGAGTATCACTCGACTACGACGCCATTGACGTCAATGAAAGATGCAAGGGCCGCCGCCAAACGCATATTTTCGGGCTCTCCTCCCTCAGAGAAACTTGACGAGGCTAAGGTGGATCTTGGACGACTGGTGCATCCTTTCAATGACGCTATCCATGCGTGTACTGTTGTCAGCTCGTCGGACGACTCTGTGTTTCACTTGGATCGTGCTCTGCTTGTCTTTGCGTCGCCAGCGTTCGCCAAGTTGCTCCTGTCTTCTCCGGCTACGGCGTCTGGCGCATCCGAAACTCCTGAAGTCCATCCTGCCACCGGAAGGACGCATCGGTTCCCCGAAGATGGCCGGACTCTATCGAAACTCTTCCAGCTGTCGTACCCTATGCCTGATCCCGAGTTCTGCAAGTCCGATCCGCCAGACGTCAGACTGCGGGACGCTCTCTCCCTGTTGGAGGCCGCGAAGAAATACGAGGTCCCTCGAGCGATCGCTTTCGCCAAACGAGCCTGCCTCGAAGCCGCGGACGCTTCTCCCATGCGACTATACCTGCTCGCAACGCGTTTCAACTGGGAAGAGGAAGCGAGAGGTGCTGCCTTGCGTGCAGTGTACAACACGTCGGACCAATACGACCCGCAGATGGAGTTCGCGTCTGCCGCAGCGTACCGCCGCTTCCTAGTGTATCGCAGGAAATGCCGAGACGTCATTCTATCTGGAGGGAATCCTGGTGAGTCTTGCGAAGCGACGGATGCACAGCCAACTCCGCCTACTATGCATTCGGCCTACTGGAGCAAGTCTAGCTGGTTGGACTGCCCTGAAGAAGCTCCGTTCTGGGAAGCCTTGCATGTTCGTGTCAGCTCTCTGTCCCAGACTGGCGGCGCCGACGATGATCCTCTGGAGGCCATGAACATCGAAGCGTATCTTCCGAGCTCAATCATCGTGCAAGGCGTCGGTCGTACTCCACGGGTTAGTCCAGACTCAGTCCAGGCTCCTGACGCCAGTTCTGAGCCGAGCGCAATTCATCAGGAGCTCAGGAGAATCGCAAATGCGTTGATGAAGGTGAGTGTTCTGGTTGATTTCTGGTGCGATGTGTCCCCAATGATTCGTAGATTAAACTATGACAGACGGAATGCGCGTCAAGTAGGCTAAACATAGAGGTGAGGCTCTGTGCAGTTGGAAGTGCGAGTAAAGCTGACAACGTACGATCGCTTAGTATCAGACTCCTGTGTATCGATTGTCGTAATATAAGTACGGACGTGAGTTCTAGCAGCGTGCAGCCCAGGCGGGAATCGTCCAAACCCAAGTTAGGATGGTCGCCGAAGCCTCCTACTTCTGAATACGTGTAACCAAGGGTATACCTCCTGGCTAACGTTCAGCTTCTTCTGCGCGAAGCTAACCACACGATGGGTTCTGGGAGCATCTCATTACGTAGGTATTGCTAGTCGCCGCATTGCGATGCGCTGGCGATAAACCACGAGGATCGATATCGAAGGTGCGACTTTCCGAGCCGCTGCTAGTGAGGGTATCTCGTACCTTGCCGCTTGCTCTGTCCCAAGAGCCTGGCCACACGCCCTTCAGCGTTTTGTTGCACAATCGAGGTGTGTCGTGATCCGCCTTGCACTTCGCCCAAAACCACTGACCCTTGAGCATGTTGGCGTCTAGGTCGTATGGGCGTGACGGTACGCTGAAGATACTTGGGATTTGAAGGAGTAGTACACTGTAATGTAGGTGCGTAACACACGCCGAGACAGAGTGTCATAGACATCGCAAACATACTAAGGATAGGCGAGTCGTACCCTCCCGATTCCTGTGCGACGTTATGTAACGTCGCTACGGATTGAGTCGCGCGGTTGGTCGCCGTGTCGAATCTTCGTCTAGGAAACGCACGATGAACGACAGCATCTCTGGAGTTTGTAAGCCGGTCAACTGGGGTCGAGTGAGTCTCAAGCAGGAGTCTTATGGCATGTTCGACGTGATGGGGAAACCTGCCAGTGCTGCGTACGATGACCGACGGCTGCAGCGGTGCATCGGTGAGGAGACTAGGTTGGCGTACTGCAAGTTGTGGACAACTGCGAAGGGCGGCCACTGTAATTTCAAGCATCAGAGCCATCTGACCGTTTTCTACATTGCGATGGAACCTGATATTACGAATACATTAGGACCAAAGTCATTCTACCAAACAGCTGTTCCTAACTTCACAATATACGCACTTGTAGCGGTATTACTCTATGTCGGACGCGACCACGAACTCATTCTATGTCTATCCCCCGTTCCCTGCTCACAAGCTCCTCACGCCCTCCATCCCCCTTCTCAGTGCACCCACAACCTCCATTCCTACCTTCCTCCGCTCCTCAAGCCCCTCCAGCGCCTTCTCCCACCACCGCTGATCCTCCGGCACGTCGCGCCACCCGCCCGCATACAACTTCTGCAGCTTGCGCAAGTCCGTCGGGTCCTCGCCCCTCAGCTTCTGCACCTCGGCCCAGAACGGGGGCGGGCTGCTCGGGGAGTACTGCACCTCCCCGGGGGTGCAGAAGCCCTCGACCGCGAGCGCGAGCGCGGGCGGGATTGTGATGCGGCCGATCTTGAAGCAGAGCGCGTTCACGATCACGCAGTTGAGCGTCGCCCCGTCGGGCTCGACGTGCACCGTGCTCGCGCGTGTGAGCGCCTCTGCGACCACGTGCGCGTCCCCGTCGGGGGAGCCGGAGCCGGAGCCGGAGTCATTCGCGCTGGCGTTCGTCGGGCTCGCGAGGCGGACTTGGTCTCGGAGTCGATGGGGTCCGCGGGCGTGTGCAGGACGGGGTAGGGCGCGCCGCCTGTGTGCGCATTGCCGTTGCTGTCTGTTGGAGGCGTCGCGGACGGCGTGATCTCGCCCGTCGGGGTGCCGTTTGCGGGGAGCACCTTCTGCGCCTTCTTCGACTTCTTGCGCGGGTGCGTGACGTACCGCGCGACGATGTACACCCACTTGTTATCCCAGCCTGCGATCCGCGCGCGCACTTCGTAGGGAGAGAAGATAGGGATCTCGCGCAGGAAATTGTAGTGCGTCGCTGGATATCGGTGTCAGATATGCGAGTCGTCAGAGCGCAGTGGCGAGGACGTACCACCCAGCGCCATCCAGCCGTCTGCTCGAAAGAGCGTCGGAAAGCACTTCAGCGCGGCTCCCAGCCGGACGCAATCCAGACTCTGTTGGATGTGTGGGTTACAGTAGACGGCACTGCGTTCGGGAGAGCGCACCTTGGCATAACATGAGTTACTGAGATGGAGGTTGAAGTCGGAGTCGTCCGGTGCTGGAGCACAGGCCACGGATTGAACAAGCTGCGTAATTGTTGATAGCGGATGCACTCACAGGCCCAGCTCTTCCATGTGTGTACAAACTCGAGCGGATCCTGACCGACCGGACATAGCTCCTCCAACCACTTCGCCTTCGCCCTCGCTTGGCGTGCGTCGGCTTGAGCAAGAGACGAAACTGCAGCATGTACCATCGCAGACGCATAGCCAGGGCGGGCTTAAACACCCTGACTTGAAGGATAAGCGGATGTTAGCAGGAAGCGTCCAGCATGATTTACACTACTCACAGTGCCATGACAGCGGCCATGAACGAGCATTGGCTAAGAACAGGAAGACTACAATATATTTGAGGAAGCTGAAGCTGAGAGACCCTGCGGAGAGGCGGAGAGTCGGCAGACGCGCGAGGCTTCGAACAGAGTCCATGATGGAGTCCTTGAGGCCGTCCCCAAACATGACTGTTGATATATGTCTGACGGCCGACTGGCGTCCACGACTAGATAGGAAATTCGAGCCCTGGTGGTGAGCCATGTTTGACAAGTACAGCCTGAGGCAACAGACGCACTAACGGCGTACGTACAGTGTCAGTTTTGGTGTCAGTGGAACGTTCCGAGCCCGGCGATAATCAGCGCGTCCAACCGCTAGCTGCGATACAAGCTTCCACGTTGGCCTCTTCGCGGACTATCCCTCTCGCTAGTCTCTCTCTGGAGGACACGAGGGCGGTGAACAAGCAGTAGGCGAGGAAATGCAGACATGCTCGGTGGCGGAAATATATATTGCGCAAATCGTTGGGGGACACTGCAGACCGAACCACTAACACGTGTTTATCTCGGCAAGCGCGATCGTCGCCGACTGCCTCGGGTGCCTCGTCCGGCTCGAGGAGGCCGGTTCATTAATGCCTCCTCCGGTTTCATTTTACTCACCACATATTCTGTATGACTACGTGCACTCCGTAGTCTCAGCGTATAAGCTCATGCACGACATAGATCTGGTATCGTTCGGTTCCAAAGGCACTGGCAGGAGTCGAGTTCCAAAAGTACGGAAGGGGAACTCATACCATGCGTTCCTCAAGAGTCGTCGACCCAGGACTGCTCATACTGTAGTCTGTAAGCAATATGACCGAGGTTCGGGCCATGACTGCGTACCAATCTTGGGATGAAGGTTGATTCTCTGCTGCTGATCAAATACTCGCAGACGATTGTGCATGCAAGTGAAGTTGATCAATTGAACCGTCGGCGAAGCTAGCTCATCCTGTAACATGAATGCAATCAGCACACGAGTCGGGTGTCGTATAAAATTTGGTGGAGCAGATATGGAGAGGTCGCTGACCCCGCTAGCAGTCAACACGTCCTCGAGCCTTCCGGCTAACTCGTCCCCGATCGCCCTATCCGAGCATGCGAAGGCGCGTTCACAGCGGACCTATACATGCGACGCGCTTGAGTCCACATATAACGAAGATTCACGCTACGCACTCACCTTCATCAGTTTCTCTACTACGTGCATGATCTCTCGGTGGCTGCACCTCACAGTGGTGTTCCCGCTCCTGGTCACCGTCGCGCCGTCACGGGGATCCTTGCCTGTTGGCAAGGCAGTAAGATCTACTTCTTCAGCGTCCACGTTGGCCTCAGCTTGTCCCGACATTGCCTTTTCGAAGGCTTTTGTGTGAAGAGCCCGCCAGACTTTGGACTCCTCGTCGCTCGCCCATTGGGTCCCCTCGACATCGCTCCAATATGGCGCCTCCGCTCCCTTCGGCGATGATGCGCGAGAGGCAAGTATGAGGTTGCGGCATTTTTGACAATAGACCAGCAAACGGCGATATGCCGACGCAGGCAATTCGTCCAGCAATGTGCCTATCTCTCCGTACAGCTCGTCCATCTTCGGCCATACCGTCCCGTAGACGGAGTATATGGCGGCCAGCTTAACGACGTCCTGCCAGTCATGACTCGTTGCAATAAAGTAGACGTGGAGTGGCTTTTGCTCTGCCATCTGTACGTAGACTTCTTTGACGAATGCGATGGCATGTTGGACCTTGTATTTCAGTGCAGCGTGCAGGAGAGTGCGCAGTCTGAACGTCTTCACCTCCGGGTTCGGCAAAGGGTGGCATAACTGGAGTAAATCGGACAGAGTATCACTCCATTCCGGTAGATCAACGCGGCGCAGACCGGCGGTGCCAGCGACTGCTTGCCCACCGTCCGAGTTACTCGACGCAGTCGCTGCGGTCAGCATGTCGGCAATTACAGGGGATGCAAAGGAGATGATGTAGGCGTTCAAGTGGAAGTCGGTGCCGTCTACAGATCGTATTAGGCATATTTCTTGGCCATTGGTACCCTGGGTGGGTATAAGGCGGTGATCAGGAGTGAATGTGCGAGGGGCGCGGTGGTCGAAGGGCGGCGGTGGAAGTGGGGCGAATATCGGAGAAGGCTGTGGACACTGTGGACGCTGGTCGACTGGGGAAGGCTGTGGAGGATGGTCCATTGACATTATGAACGACATGAAGACCGAGAAGCCTTGCTCTGCGTCGCATCCTGTTTTCGATGCCTGGTACCTCACGAGTATATTGTAGTATGCCCGGGCAGGTATCGTCAGCATCGCAGGGACGAATTCATCGATGCGATGGATGCGACGCCAGTAAATGCCACTTCCGTCTTCGGCTCTTGTCGGCAGGCTGGCACTAAATGCAACACTCGCCACCTCTTTTGCTTTGTAGAGATGGAAGCGACACGCCACAGCGTAAGTGCTCAGAACCTCGCTTTGCATGTGACAGAGATGTAAGCGCCTTCTCCACAGCGAGGGTGACTGGGGAGAGTTTATACTTCTGTGCTGCCTGTAAGATCGGGACGACGGCCAACGCGTTGGCGATGTCGGGAGGATGAACAGGGTATATGACGCGTAATAGGTGGTTGATGGTCTGGCTGTCTTCATCGACCGTGATGACGGGCAACACCGGGTTCGCGTGGCCTATGGACCCTCCACGGTGCTTGGTATCGGCAGTCGTTGGCTGAGGTACAGGGGCTTGGACTGCGTACATGTCTATGAATACTGAAGACGCGATGCCTAAAATCGACTTGTGGACGTAGAAGTCGTTTTTATCCGAGGTCCGCAATATGACGTCCGCATCACCGCGAAGATTGCTGAAGGGCGGCAACGCAATGTTGCCTTTAGCGACCTTGATTTTCTGTGCCATAGAGGATAGCACCCCAGCTTTGAGGGTCTCCGATGTTAGCAGCTTGGGTGCCATGGAGCAAAATTCTAGGTAAGGCTACCGTAAGTGACCGATACTTGTGATCGTCCTATCAGCACGGAAAAACGAAGCATCAGAGCCGATAAGTGCACTCACCTCGATGTTGCGGCCAAGGAAAACACTTCTGACGTGCGCGTGAGGCTCCACGGCGCAGTGAAGGAGTTTGGGACTTCAGACGTGAGTCGCACGACAGCAAAAAGCGGGAGACCAGCCGGCACCGAGCCTCAAAGCCGCTCTGTCAAATTTCCCAGCTATACAGCGGCCATGACCTGTCTCAGTATATATACAGACAGCGCCGACATAGAGGTCGGATCATTGCGTACAGCAAGCAGCATCACCGTGCCGCCGCACGGCGGTGCCCTGAGTATCAACATAACAACATTCGGGACTGCGAGATGATCAACGCTGCACACCTCAACTGCGAGATGATCAACGCTGCACACCTCAATGATTCCTTGAAGTCGCCTCCGTGACACTGTCAGCGCAGACAGTTTTGCTGGATTGATGTTGTGGACAAATTTCTGGTTAAGAATTGTAATGTCATCGAACTTGAAGCGCATCAAAGGCGCGTGGGTGGCGCTGGGTTCCGCGAGCGCCAGTGGCTTGAGCGCGCCTTAGGCGCTAAGCGCTAAGAATCGAACTTACCATCGACTCGGCTCCTTCCGCATCCGCACTCAATGTAGTTATGCCCGCAAGGCTGCTCATTCGTAGGTCCTCAAAACTTCGTGAACATATTCAGACGGGACAATGATGGCTGAATGGTGCCCCTCGCTCGAGCCCGGTACCGGAAGTGATAAGTACGTTGACTGTTCGGGCCGCTGAACCCTTCTACGTGTTGAATCCCAGTCACGTTGGCATATGATGTTCTTGTGCTATAGCGTAATGTACATTCACCGATGGTCATTCCGTTCGATATTCATAGATGTTTGCGAGGCTTGTGGCCGCCGCAACATGGCATGCTGCTCCAGTAATGTCCGCCTGCGGTGGCAGTGCTAAAAGACCACTGCAGACTCGGAACAGAAAATATTCATAGCCGGATCTAGACCCAGGCAATGTCTTTCAATTGGTTATTTTCAAAGAGATTGGACAATGCTCACTCTCGCCAACAATTTCCCCAACTGCACGATCTGTTGGAGAGTAGGATGCAGGTAGGCTGGGCCCGTAGTTGTCGAAGCAGGATCACCACCAGAAGTATGGTCTGTGAGCAAAGTGTATGGGACAATCTCTTGCATGGTAGGGAAGTCCAAGACTCCATCTTTTTTGCATGCTAGCTGATGAAAGGCTCTCCAGAACTTTTGCTCGCCCCATGTCTCGAGATCCAGCATTCCGTCCAGGTCCCAATATGGAGCACCAGATTTAGGATCCTGCTTTCCCCCATCTCTTCCGAAGAATACAGGTGTGTAATATGGAAGTGTGATGTCGCGGCATTGTTGACGGTAAACGAGCAGGCGACGATACACTGCTGCTGGTACGGTTTCCATCTCGGGCACGTAATCTTCTCCCCTCTCGTATACCGCGTGCATGGCCGCTGATTCGACGACATCGTGCCACCCGAACTTTGTTGCTATAAAGAAGACACGTTGGGGCTGGGAGTCAAGACTCTGTACACAAGCTCGCTTGGCGAATGCTTGTGCACGCTGAACGTCGTACTTCGTCGCGGCTTCCATAAGGCGGCAGGCCCTCGATAATTTTCCATCATCCAAGCTCCACTTGATTTCCGGATCGGGCATGGGGTAGCACAGGGAAAGCAGAGTTGTGAGGGTTGCACTATCTTCAGGCAGGTTGATGAGGTGAGTACCACCAGCATCATGCCAACCAGTTTCTGAGTCACTGGAGCTTGGTTGTTTCTGAAGCTTTCGAGCCATCACGGGCGACGCGATCCCAACGACAAGCGAGTTCACATAGAACTCCACGCCATCGGTAGACCGTATTATAACATCCGCGATGGCAGACTCCCGATTGAAGGGAGGCGGAGCCTTTCCGGAGCCTTTCTTTGTGCGGCTGGGGCCAGTATGTCGGTTACAAGTGCCTGGACTACTGGCAGTAGCATGAGGAGTTGGTGAGCAGAAGCTGAACTTTTCGTTTTCGCGTTGTTTCCTGACGTATGATTGGAAGTGTGTCTTTCGAGGGATCGCGCCGTCGCGCTGAACGTCGAGCACTACCCTCTGGTAGCACTGCAACAATCGGAAGTACGAAGCCGCGGGTATGGTGTCCATCGCCGGCGTATACTCGTCAATACAATGGATTGGGCGCGCGGCTTCGGCACCTGCGGCTGAAGGTCCTACAGCACAGAATATTCCTGCTGCATATTCCGCCATTTGCTCGAGGTGGAACGTACACGCGAGTGCGTATACGTCCAAACCGTGCCCAGCGTGGCATAGCGCTTTAAGCGAGTTTTGCACGACAGAGGCGACCAGCGGCATCTGGTATTTGCATGCTCCTCGCAGGAGAAGGGCGGCATCTTCCAGTGTAGTGATGGTAGGTATGTCTGCTGGGTAGACCGCGCGCAACAGATAGTTGAGAATCCGGCTGGTTTCGGTGACCGGGATTATCGGTAAGCCATGCGCTGTTCTCGCGATTCCAACTGCTGACTCTGGTGCAGACGGAAACGGCAGTATATTCGCGAAGAACGTGGATGACATTCGCAAAGTCGATGTATGAAGGAAGAAGGCGACGCCGTCTGATGCGCTCAGTACGACATCGGCGTCGCCACGTGGATTGTCGAACGGAGATGGTGCGATATCGTCTGGTTCTCTCTCTCCTCTCCCCTGCTGCGTGCTCAATATCATGGGCTTCGTCGGCATGGGCTTCATCGGCGTTGGCGTAAAGACGGGGAGTGGTGATGAACAGATTTGCATCGTGCCCTATCAACGTGTGCAGCTAGCTAGCTGCAGTCCATGCTGTCAGTATGGGCTCCTTTGGTGGAGGTAAGTTGGCTTGTGTACTCACTTCGTCTGTTTTGCTTCAATATAAAGCGGCGCTAACGACAATTTGGATGGTGCTGGTGCAGGTAAAGGAGCAAGGGGGAAAGATTGGAGGGATCCCACCTTGTGCTCCTCTTTTATCTGGTGACCCTCAAGGAATATAACAACAAAACTCCCAGCCTGTGAAGATTTCAATGGCGCTAGACGGAGCTTTGGGTACGAACTACTTGTTCGGATCGCCCACATGATGACACAGCTTATACATATGGCTTGCACGAGGCCAACATCATGTACTTTTCCGCGAAGTCCGTCCGCAAATTCGCAAATAGATACTGAGTCAGCCACGACGATGTGCTACCAGCGATCACGCACGTCGAGCATACTTGAAGCTTGAATCGCAATCCATCTCAGCCGTCTCCAATGCGATATGTGATCCAAACATGATGCATGAATTGCGTTGAGGGCGTGAACGTGTGATAGTGTATGGTACAATGTTACAATGTCCCTGGTATGCTACGGAGTACTAAGCTCTGATCCGGTCAACGTCCCTTCACTTAGAAGTCGGGTCAACCCCATCCGTAGTGAAGCGCAGCCTCGCGAGAAGCACCGCGTCCCACTTACCACCCCGTCCAACATCCGATACCTTGTTAGCGCTGACGTCTAGCGGGTTCCCGTCTGGCTCGTCGTACACCGGCCCGCCGACCATCGACGAGGATAAGTCCGTCGTCGTGCTGAAGTGCCCCCACGGCTGGCCCGCCCGAGGTGAGGAGTAAACGTTAAAGTTCAACTGGCCGTCTGGGTGGCTATGGCTGACATAAAGCGCGTAGTCTTGGGCCTCCAGCGTCCCGATAACTAGGCATCCAAGATAAGCAGCGGCGAGAACGCACGAACGCAGTCACATACCCAGAAACAGGTCTTCCCGGCGGATGCAGTGCTCATCTCCGTACTCCTTCAGGATCGCATCCACGTTCGCCTTGAACCACCGCTTCGGCGCGCCAAGGTCGTCCATGTAGCGGTACGCCGTCGACTCCGTGAACAGATGGGCCGTTTTGTGGCCCGCACGCATCGGCGACGAGTAGCGCCGGCTCACGGTCGTCGGCGGCTGATTGCTCTTCGAGGTGATCCACGACTGGATCATGTCGATCCCGCGCTGCGCGACGTTCCGCTTGTCGGACTTCTGCGTCCCCGTGGTGACCCGCCCGTAGCCGTCGATGGAGGCCATGTTGCCGGTGCGGCCGCCGGACGAGTCTAGCGGCTTGAACGCGTTGAACAGCATGACGAACTTGCCATCCGGCTTCGATAGGTACCCCACCGCACCAAGGGGTACATGGCTTGGAGTCCACAGGGGAAGAGACACTGAAGCAGCTGTCAGCATCAAAAACATCTAACAAGACAGCGAAACGCACGTGAGGGGTGGAACTCGTGCTGAAGGAGCATCCTATATCGCCGCTCATCCCTCAACTCGGCATTGTGCTCATCGAGGGGCGGGGGCGACTGATATCCAGGCGGGTCCAGCATGACGGCCGAATCTGAACGAGAGTCGTCCGTATCTGACAGGCCCAGCGAAGACCGCCGGCTAAAGTCCGGGGACGGGAGCAAGTGCTCAACATAGCTAGGTGCGGGCTCCGACGGCGCAGGCGACGTCCCACGGGCGGTCTGGTACGAGGCTTCTGAGGAGAGCGAGTTGCCCTCAACGAACGTCGCCGTCGTGTCAGCTGTGCATGTATGCGGAGGGTCAGTCGATGTGACGAAAATTAGCTGGTTCTGCACTTACGAGGGAGTGGTGGCAGTGGGATGGGATGCATATCGGGGGACTTACGCTCGTCGGGCAGCTCATGGTGCGGGGGACGTGGCGAGTCCTTGATGTCGCCGCCTACACGCTGGCGGAGCTGCTGGATGTCCTGAACGACCTTAGCAAAAGACGGCCGTCCAGGGGCGTCGCGCCGCCAGCACGTCCCCATGATCTCAGCCAAAAGCGGCGTCCACTTCTGGTTGAGAACAGGGATCTCCGGCGCATGTTCTCCTCTGACGCGTCACTCGTTAGCATTTACAGAATCAGGAGGAACGAACGCACTGAGTACGAAGTGGCGAACAGCATCGTCATCGGCCAGCGGCCACGGCAACCTCCTTTTGTGAGGACTTCATGCAGCACATCGCGAACGCATAAACGTCGATCTGCTGCGTCAACTCGCTCTGGCCAGCCATAAGCTCTGGCGCCTGCCACCGGAGGGTGCCGTGCGGTGTCGGTGTCCCACTTAAGCGGTACACCTCAGACTTGATCTCACTCTGGCCGAAGTCAGAGATGACACAGTGTCCTCGGTCGTCGACGAGCACGTTGGCGCCCTATGGAGACACCAGCTTAGCACGCTACTCGCATGGACATGGCATTGATGCTTACCTTCAGATCGCCGTGCAGAACACCCTTGCTGTGCAGGTACGCCATGCCCTTCGCGATCTCGTGGATCATCTTAAGCAGATCCACGGAGTCAAGGCTGGGAAGGCCCTTCAGGTACGATACGAGGCTTCCGTTCTTCATGTACGGGCTCACGAAGAACCATGGCGGCTCGCTGGAAGTCGAGGAAGCACCGAGAAGCTCCAGCACGTTCGGGTGTGACAGCGACTTCCAAATGTTAACCTGTTCGGACGGCGTCAGACACATCACAAGCACCCGGGACCAATTGACATACCTCGTGGATGAAGAGCTGTCGCGGCGTCGTCTCCGCAAGCACCTTGATGGCGACAGTGCGGTCTCTCCACGTACCCTTGTACACATCCGAGAAGAACCCAATCCCATCTTCTGCTCCCGGTCCACCTCGTAGCGCGTGATCGTCCAGCTGGGCAGCGAGACCTCCGCCGTGCTGAGCCTGCGCAACGCGTCGATCCCCGTCTCGATGAACTCCCGGTCGAGCGTGTCCTTCGGCGTGCGCCTGAGGCTCGAGCTCCTGTCGCTCGCCGTCTTCTTGCTCTCCACGCTCGCGACCGTCGACGACCGGGTCAGGTTCGCGCCCTCTCCGCCAGTCGCGCCGGGGTGCGTGACCGCCGTAGAGCTGATCGACGCGACGAGCACCGTGTCCTCCTGGTCCGCCGCGGCGTTCTCGCGCTCCACCTCGCTCTCGAGCGCACGCTGCAGCGCCTTGATCGCCTCGGGCATCTCGTCGCGGCCGACCTGCAGGATGCGGATCATCTCGACGTCGCTGTTCGCCTGGAGCGCGCTGCGCATGAGCTGCCGGAAGTCCGCCGTGTCTCGCGCGAGGTCGTGCTCGTTCTGGCGGAGCGTGACCGAGCTGAGCGTCGTGCGGATCTGCTCGGGGCTCGCGTTCAACAGCTGCTCGACGGACGCGATGGTGTGGCGTCGACGACGTGCGGCTCGTCTGCGCCCGCGAGCTGGAGGGTGTTGATGGGGCGGTGGGGACTCCGCGAGGCTCCTCGTGCCGCCCGTGCAGCTCGTCCAAGAGTGCGGCAGTGTCGATTTGTCTCTGCTGTTCCGCTTGCAATACTTGCTTCAGGATCCGAATTTGTATTGACAGCTAGAGACGGATCGTTAGATAGTCGAAGGCATTGCAAGGCACTGACGGCGTACGCTGAACATGCCGAGCGCATCGGTGAGGGCACTGTCGCAGACCCCGATGTGCCTTTGGATCTCATCGCGCTTGAGGTAGCGCTTGATGAACGGGCGGTGATTCTGCTTCTGGAGGAAGCGGTGGACCTGTGTGAATGATCTACAGCCACATTTGAGCCCGATCCGTCGAATGATGTAAGTGGCGTAACCTACTCGACTAGGCGCTGAATCGGGTAGAGCAGTTCTTCGCCGACGTGGTCGCCCGCCTCAGCGATTTCTTCCCGGACCGAGTACAGAATGGTTGCACAGCGCTCGGTCAAGCGCAGACACGCCATTCTATTCACCTGAGCACAGTGTTAGCCAGCCGCGCAAGCGCAGGGCAGTCGGCGCTTACGTCGACCATCTGCAGAGCTTCCCAGATGTCGAGCAGCGCGAGCGCCGCTACTCGGAGGCCTGGCAGAGGCGCAAACTCGAGCAGCTCGGAGCTGATGACGAGAGCCTCGTGTCCGACATCCTCAGCGACCCCGAGCACGTTGACGACAGCCTCGGCGACGCGCTGCACGAAGTCAGCGGAGTCCGCTCGAACGGGGATCAGACGAGCTCACCTTGCGTGTCCTTTGCCATCCCTCTGCCTGCTCCGGCGGCACTGACTTGGTACGCTTCTCGACGTCTGACCACGGTCTCGCATCCACCTCGTGTGCATGCCACCAGCTCTGGGGCACGCCGTCCGGCGGGGTCTCCGATCGATGGGAACGCACCCGCCAGGTGAAGATAGAGTCGCGCAGGGGGCTGATTGACGGCCCCGACCCGTCGAGAAGATCGGCTGCGAGTTACGGGGTACCCTCCGTGAACACCAGCGAGGCGAAACTGGAAGCCGTCGTAGCCTGGGCATACGGCAACGGGTTGGAGACGACGCGAGAGACCGGGATCGAGCTCGATCGTAATCTGGCGGATGGTCGACGTCGAGAGGCCCCGGCGGCGAGAACCAGGCAGGTGGTCGTACTGGGCGCATTGGACGACTCGGGGGCATCATCTCCGAGATCGATGGTAGGGACGCCGGGGAGAGAGACCACCTTCGTGAGCGGGGACGAATGAAGAGGCGACGAGCGGGTAGGGGTCGAGCGGACCATCTCCGGTGCCGACTGCGCGGAGTGCTTCCCGACCGAGGGCTTTGGGCGACTGTCCATGATGCGAGGGCTGTAGATGGGTACGAGGGACCGACGACTGTCCGGTGCGTACTGCAGGTCGCCGCGGTGGTCGTCTATCCTCGGGGGTCTGCGGGCGCAGGTGTTTCCAGCACTGCCCGGCCACGTCAAGGGCGTTGCGCCCTTATATTCGAGTAATGGTGCGTTTTGGAGTCGACGTCGTGCGGATGTGGTTCCTCCGCCGACGCGGGTCTTAGACGCCGTAAACCCAGCGCCTCGTAAACGGGAATATTCCGCGACAAAAGACAAGACGGTTTTACGCAAAAATTATGGAGTTCGGGTAGTCGTGGTTCGCAAGGTGAGTAGGTCTGTTATGCCGTCTGGAGTGGTTCGCAGTTCAAGCTCGCCACGTGGTCCGAACTGCCCATTGGGGCAACCGTTGTCGTTCGAAGTCACAGCATGGCTGCCAACCACGACGTAAGAGGGCGTTTCATGCTACAATGCCTCGCCAATCTGTCTTCCTGCGACACAAGTCGCGTGGACGTCTGTGACGCTGTTCAGCGCTGTGAGTGCAGTCATCATACGATGCATAACTGAAGGAGAACCTATCCTAATTAGTCGTCGGCCGCATCTGCCTGGGATCTGCCCGGTATTCTAGTCGGCAAATTGTCTGCACCGCTTATTCCGTGGGGGCGCGTCAGCGCGCCCGAATGCGGCCAGCTTGGATCCCGACGGGCAGGACCGACGATTGGACGTGGATCTTGGAGGCGGAACCAAACGGGCGGATCACGCGCAGACGCTCTCCGGCCCTCCGAGCTCGTTTGGGCGGAGTCGATGGGCCGACGTGACTCGTTCTAGGACCTCGAAATGGACTTACCGTCGGTATGCCTGCATTCTTACAGGCCCGACGGTATGGTGCCCGCAGCGGTGGTGAATTCGGGCACCGAGGGCCTGTCGCCAGACAGCACTGTGGATCTGACAGCGGGTCCGCAGCGAGACGTATAGGAGGTGTGGTCCCCTCAATCAGGCAAAGACGACCGAAAGGATGCAGTTGGCCGGGAGCCCTCGGCCTACTGGGATACTATCTTTATCTGTCGCAATAGCTCATTGACGGAAACCTGCGCACACTGAAACCGGGACCCGACATGAAGGTCTGTTACAATCCGCACCCCTCTTCCGGTGCGACCCATAGGAAATCATCACATAGAGGCAAACGTTGCCAGCGAGACTTTGTTCTCAGGCAAAGATTCGCGCGCAGGTAATCTCGTCAAATTCGCGAGGTGCCGCATCGAGGGATCTCAGGTCTTCCGGCGGTGGAACGCAAAGCCCCTATCCCGGCATTCACTGATTTGGATCCTGCCTGCGCATGCGCTCTCCTCCTCGTAGCCACACGACCCCACGTCCACGTTCCACCCTATGCTTCCCTTCCGATTCGCAGTCCATTGCCACCGCGAACTCCTCGAGAACAATTGCATAGAACCCTGCGTCGACGGGCTACACCTGTGCCATAGCCTCCTATCCTGCTTCCATTGCTGCGAACCGAGAAATGGCTTCTCACTTGGACATGGTGGGTCCTGGGCCCCGCAGCGTCCCGGGTCGTGTAAACGTCGATGAGTTCGTGGCCCCGGTAACCCAGTGGGCACGGTAAGCAGGATGACCCTTCCAGTGAGTGACCGGGCTCCCGGGTGCTGTGATCGACGATCCGATCGGCTCGTCCGAGGTCCGTCGCGGTACCTGCCCGCCCCGCCGGGTTACTTACAGTGTTTGCGTGACTCGTTGCCTGGACATGACGGGTTTGAGTCGAATCGCAATGTGGGCGCGTACTCTGAAGTGACTGGCGAACAAACCTCCAAGCAACTTGCGTCGCGGCGACGAAATATACAGCCTACGCGGCCCATGTCAGCACCTAGGTGATGTCACATTGGTTGTCCTCGGACGAAGTCCTATCGTCTGGGCCCTCCCTCAAAATGTAAGTGGTTTGCCTAAGCGCTGGACAGCTGGGCTTCGTCTGAGCTCATTTAGTTGGTTACGTTAGTATTTGTCGGCCGTGGGATCTTCTCTGAATCCGGAGATAGCCACATCGATAGTGCGCAGTGGCACCGACGGTACCGAGTATGTACCACACAGCTTGCTCCCGACACTTGCACACGAACTTCGCCCTCAGTGACATTAAAGGGATCACAGACAAACTTGCACACGAGTTCCTTTCGAATACTGGTCCCCGATCTCGGTGACTGCAAGGTCTGTATCAGTTTTCTTTGTACTGGAAGTTGGGCAAAAAGGTGAGCAGATAGTCACGTCAAACGGATTACGCTCAAGCTGCCAGAAGTGCTCTTATCACTGCGCAACTATTAGTCGCCTTTGTGGTCGCAATTTAACATACGTATGTGTGTGCCCCAATATATGTGCATATCTGTTCGATAAATGCTCAGGGAGCACGACAGAGGCCGCATGGGAATCTTCTCCTCACTCAACGAGGATGTCCTCGATTCGATTGTCTCCCGTCTGCGGTTCCGCGACGCGCTCCGACTCTCAGAAACATGCCAGAGCCTCCATCGCGTATCCACAGACAACGCCATCTCTGATGTCTATCTCACCCATCCTGGCCAACTGGATCGTTTCTGCGCCTACATGCTCGCCGATGCGCAGAAACGCTTGCCGCGCCTGCGGCGACTCGAGATCATCGCGCAGGCTCTGGGAATACCGGATCCCGACGCCGGTTGGAGTAGCACTGTAGTGCGCAGCGAGCATCTCGTGGATGTCCTGAAGGGGGCTTCGAACCTGCAGTACCTGGACATCGAGTGTATCCAATCGCTGCTGAACGCCATTCCCTGCCTATCCTCCGTACTGCGCACAGCCGCGTTTCGTTCTGAGTCTGCTGGGCACGTGGAGGATTTCCTACCTCGGGGCTCAACTCATCTTCATACGCTAATACTCACCGGTTGCGGGTGCGAGTATGACTTCGCGTTGCCATTGCGCCGTATTGCCCTGGGGTATCTCAGCTCTTTCTCTCAGCTCACACGGTTCGAGTGTTCGACACCAGATGCCTTGGATTTCGAGCACCCCGTTACGCTGTCCTCTGTCACTCGACTCGCTATCGGCTGGGGGAGCGATGCATCGCTGATCCACATCGTCAGCACCTTTCCAAATGTACGCAGCCTGTACATCACACTCGTCAGCTGGAGGTACAGGGGCACTCTGAGACTTGGGGACACCCTTACTGCGGGCCAAAACACAGGCTTTAAATGCTGGAAACATCTGGATGAACTACGTGGCACCACAACGAACTTGGCTGGCCACATACGTTGTCCTGTCAGAGCGTTGCACCTGTTAACTTCTACCACTGTCGAGAACTTCCGGAACGAATCGGACTCGGTCAAACACAGTGCAGTGCCAATCGTTGCAACATCCCCGCTCTGGCTGTCTCTTTCCACGTTCACGGAGCCTTCTACACAACTCTGGCGATGGCTTGGATCGAATGCTCCGAGATTGAGGTTCCTTGACGTCCGTCTATCTGATGCGGGAATCGGGTCCTCCATGGACTCTTGGATAGTGAGTATCCATCGCGCACGATTATCTTGACGACTATCTCGCCCTCATGCATGATGATTTGACTTGCGCTTTCACAGGAGGACGTACCGCCAGCTCTCCACTCATCGCGCCTAGTCTGCATGCGTCTTCGCATCACTGACACCTGCCATGCCATGCCCGGATTTCTCGATATGGACATGCCAGACATCGAAGAGGAGGACATCATGAATGCTCTACCTATCCGACTTGCCAAGTCGATTCCGTCTCTCCGATATTTCGGTGTCGGTGTCGGCGACAAGTCATACGACGTGTATGCTAGGTCGTGGCGTTTTGTTGGGAAGACGTCGTGGTGGCGCGTCTTGCGCAGCGAGCGAGACGATGTGCGGATCGAACCTATCTCAGCTGATGTCGGCGAGAGGATCATCGCGTACATCGACTCCGCTGAGTTTGAGCTTTCGTTGGAATTTGACGGTGCGCAACAATCTAATGCGATGAAAACCGTACTCATTGTGTGGCCGGCGCAGACTCCCGCTTCAAATCGATTTAATCGTGGATCCTCGTAAAGGGTGGAACCTCAGGCTGACCATAACTGTACTGTACAAATGAGTACATCGACATGCGCGAACTCGTGTAGTTTTTGAGACTTTTTCAAGATAGGATCACGGAGTAAAGCAGACCACAACTTCAAAACTTTACCTACCGGGCGACAAAGTCAGTCTTGTACACTGTGACTCAAAGGCAATAAGACATTGCTTACATATTGCAATCCCCGTTTGACCTTCTGTTCAAAAACCACGAGTTTACCTAGGAAATCCTCGTCTAGTCTAATCGTGCTGCTGCTCCGGTTATTGCTAGGTCGTAGAGCAAGCAGCACATGGGTACAACTCTCCTGCCATCCGCGCTTGGGGACGCTTTCCATGACATCCAAAACAAATCTGTCTGCATTGTTCGCATACTCCTCACAGTCCAGCCTCCAGTACAGCGGGTTCAAACTCGTTTTGTCCCAAGCGACGTCGCGGTGAAGCCCGGGGGGTAGTAGAAGTTTGGACAGGAGGAACACGACCATGCGATTGGATAGGCGGAAGAATAGGAAGCGAAGGTAGGCATCACCGGATGCCTGCTCCATTTCTGGGACATATAGATCGCTCTTGGTGTATGATGCCAAAACTGCAGCGCGCTCCGCCTCGCGCTCCCATCCGTAGCGCATCATGGTGAAGTAGACCCGAAGAGGTGCAGTTTCCAACTGGTCTGTCCATCTACGCTTCAAGGTCTCGATGACCTTTGGCATGTTGTACTTGACCGCTGCCGCTGTGACGGCGCCGAGAACGTCTATGTCGGTGAGACCCAGTTCTGGTAGAGGATACATGAGTCTGAGGAGGATGAGGGTCATCTCGCTGTTCTCAGCGAATCTGTAGACTGGCAAGCCAGCGGAGGATGGACCTGCAATTGGTCGATGATGGTCGAAGAAGCTTGGTGCCGCCAGTGACACGATGTAGCGATTGACGTGAAATTGTTTGTCGTCCATCGACAGGATGACCATATCTGCATGAGCGTGTGGTTTGAACTCAAGGAGGTTGGCCTTGGACTTCGCATACGAGCAGGACAGAACGGAAGACTGTCGCTGTACACAAGATGCGAACTTGAATGAGGGTGTCCGTTGAGCGCTGGCTTTCGCAGTTTTGGAGGCAGGTTTTTGACTGCAGAATTGGAGAAGCCGGTAAATCTGCCCCGCCGTGACTCCATCCAACCCGGGTGTGCCATGGATAGGGCGCATGGCCCGGGCGCGACATCGCTCTGCGGCAGCCTTGGCGGCGTTCTCGAGATTGAACTCGCACGCGAGTGCGTACACATGAAGTGGCGAGTCCTCGAGGAGGAACAGCTGTTTCTCCGAAAGCGATATCACTTCGTCCATCTGATACTTCGCCGCCGCCATCAGCACGGGCCGGATGTGAGCGACTGTCCTGAACTCCGGGTCTGCTGTGGGATAGCAGAAGCGCAGAAGACGATCGAGGGTCCAACTTTTCTCTGTGACACGCACAAGAGGGAGTCCAGAGTAAACGTCCAGGTCCTGTGACTCCGCTTGGGTTGGTTGTGGTACGGATAACATGGAATCGAAGAAATCCGACACGAGGGATAGCACTTGCTTGTGTACACGAAAGTTGACGTTGTCCGATGAGCGAAGTACCAAGTCGGCGCTGTGTTTATCGAACGGAGCTTTGGCTGCATAAATGCGTTCGCCTTCACTCATGGTAGTTCTCCTAGTTGTGCCGTCAGTGTTCCTCCATTACCGTTGATGAATGGGCGTACCGGGTGTGAGGAGGTGTGCAATGGTCAGAGTAGCGGACACGGAAGCCGGATACCGTATGAAGTGGCCAACGCTACACGATAACGCACGTAGAGGCCGAGACGCGCACATGCGTTAGTTAAGTAGAGAAAGTTCGTGCCTCGTGCTGGAAGCACATCCCTAAGTTGGCAATTGCACATGATTTAGATGAATACGAAGGCACACTGAGCTAGATATGCGGCCTCAGGCTAGCAGTGGTGCTTCTGTCCGTTTTCTATGTTCATTGAATGCTGAAATCGTCGCGAATCGGCGCGTACTCTTACTTAGTCGTCCGCATCGACAGAAACACACAAAGAGGATATTAGATGGTATCCAGGTGTATATGAACATTCACAGCTCGATCTGTAGAAAGTCGGTGAGTCAATCTCCACACGACATTGCGCGACAATGCCTACCCCCTGCAGAACCTTCCGCACCGCATCCTCCAACGACCCCACCGTAGCGAGGAACTGCTCACTCGGATGCGCCGCACTGATAATCATGTCGGGATCAAGCGAGGCGACGACCGCATGCATGCAGCCCGACCCCGCACGCTGGACCATCTCGAGCACATCCAGGGCGAACGCGTCCCGGAAATTCGCGTATTCTGTGCCCGATTTGCTCCAGTACAGCTGCTTCGACCGCGAAGGCTTCTTCTCCTGGCGGTGGTGCGGCGGAATCAGAGGGAGAATGAGCCGCGAGACGGCCTCCCGGCATCGGTAGCGGTAGACGAGGAACCGTCGATACGCGGACGCAGAGACTGTCTCCATCTCGGGCACGTAGGCGTCGGTTTTCTCGCAGGAGGCTCGTCGAGCGGCATCGCGCGCTTCCTTGTCCCATCCGTGGCGCGTCGAGACGAGGTACACGCGCAGGGGGGCCGCCTCCAAGTGCTCGGCCCAGAGACGCTTGAGAGTCTGGATGACCCTCACCATACCGTACTTCGCAGCGGCGTCAGTGACAGCGTTCAAGGTGCGGAGGTCCGGGATGACCGGTTCAGGAAGAGGATAGGCGAGCTGAAGAAGGATGGAAAGCACGGAGCCGACCTCGTTGAGCCGAATACATGGAAGCGCGGATTCCGCAGACTCTGGGCGTGCGTCGAGAAGTGTAGGTGAGGCCATGGCCAATATACTTCGATGAACGCGGAACTCCACGTCGTCGGAAGAGTGAATGGCCATGTCCGCGACGGCATGGCAGCCACCAAAGTCGGGGAAGTAGTCCGAGACCCCTGGGCTGCGGGTGGGCGATGCGGACTCAAGGATGGGACTTCTGGTGAACGTCAGAGAAGGTGAGTTCAGGGACATGCCTGCGTTGATGGACGGCGGTCTCCGCGTCCCATAAAAGAGTAATCTGTAGTATTGCGCGGCGTTGATCCTGTCCAGCTCAGGTGCATACTCCGTCGTGAGCTCGCGCACTCGGACTGTCGCCGCAGCTTGATGTGCGAGGTCCTCGAGGTCCAGTTCGCAAGCAACGACGTAGACCGGAAGAGGCGAGTCCATGCAGAGTGACTTCACCTTGTCTTTCATCAATGCCATCGCCTCCTCCATCTGGTATTTCACTGCTGCCGCCAAGACAGGTTTGATATCGTCCAGCGAGAAAAGCTTCGGATCTGCGACCGGATAGCAGAGCCGAAGCAATCGGTCCAAGGTCTCAGAGACCTCTGACACATGGATGAGGGGAAGACCCGTTTCGGAGTGGACGTCGCGTGGGTCTGAGACGTTGGGCTGTGGGATGGACAGCATGCTGTCGAAGACGTCGGAAGACATGCACAGGATCTGCGCGTGGACATGAAATTCAACCTCGTCAGACGTACACAGCACGACGTCTGCGCTGCTCTTGTTGAATGGCGCCGAAGCCGTGATGCGGGACTCGGAAGGCCTGTGTTCTGAAGCCATACGGCCCGGGCTGTAGATGTGTTGGCTCAGCACTCCGTAACATAAGATGAGTCGACTTACCTCGGGACGACTCCCCTGTTGAAAATGCTTTGGTTGCTGGTAGGTCCGAACGATTGCGGGGCTGGGCACCTGCGATGATTCTGACGGTCACCCAAATATGACTGTCAGTGCGCGTATTCCGAATTCGTGTATAGCAGCGTCTGTGAGTTGATACGTGGCAATAAGAGAATGACTGGACAATGGACGTGGGCAGCGAACAGGGACGCGGAGCGAGGCATAGTCGCGTCAGCTCCTACTTACTACTTTTCAAATGATCGACATTCTAAAGTCGAGGCCGCGTCGCGATTGTCGCTGCTCGTGAGAATTATGTGGTGATCCCCCCCTGGACTTATCACATCGCGGTGGGACTGGCCCGCTTGACATCGTGTGTATTAGACCAGATCGAAAGTTGCGCCTTTTGTTGCGGTGCGTACGAGGGCGATTTTCAGCATCGCATCAAGACTCAGGATGACACGCACATTTTGACTTTTCAGGTTTGGGTTGCTTCGCGAAAGTCTGCACGTGATCGCGTCACATCGAGGCTGCGCCGCTGGCCCGCTGCGGCGCAGACCGAGAAAGTCCGCCCCACAGAGCGTTACGCAGACCAAGATCTCGGCCACCCTTCCTACTCGGTCAGGAAGCCTATTATCGTGACTTTGGTGCTAGCAGGGTGTATACTAAGTATACTGCTGTCTAGTTTCTTGCTGGATTCCCGAGCACGCGGGCACGCAACCCGATTTAGAAGTTTATCCCAATCAGGCAATAGACACGCCACTTCGCCCGCCTCGAACCTTCATATGGTAGAACAAGTCCCATCTTCTCCCTCAGTAGCCCTCAGTGCAGAGCAGCCCTAGGTCGAAAGATGTTTTGGCCTATGTCTCATGAACTTACAAGCATACGTTCTCGTCGAAAGAGACAGTAGCAGAAGTACCTCAGAATGCACACGTCACGCTCATGTGCCTGTGACATTACGCGGATTAGACTGCGTGAGACGAGTCGCGCTGCGTGCATCCCTTTGTCTTCGACGACCTCCCTTTATTGCTCCAAGTACTCTCCGGAAACTGGCCACTGCGTAGTTTTGGAACACTTCACAGTTTCTACATCGGTGATAGCGATAGATCCCGCGGCGGCATCCATCCAAGGTTGCATATAGCGACTCGGAGAGGTAAAAACTCATAGCGCTATAGCGACTGATGTGCCATGGCTGCCTCGTTGAGCCCCTCCAATGGTGTCGCAGGGCCCCTTGAAGAGATACGTGGTAACGACGAATGGGCTGATGAAGATGACGATAGCGAAGAGGACGAGGACGAGGACGAGGGAGATGAAAGCTCCGAAGAGACAGAGGATGGAGATGCAGTGGATATAGACGGACCTGCAGGCGACTCGAATGCCGAGGCAGCCATCGAGGGCGATTTCGAGTAAGTCCTTGCCACATTCGACACTTGCCTTGTGGTCCCAGACTTTGCAGTCGCCTGGTACAGGGAATACGCCAGTCCGGAGGAGGAGCCAACGCCGGACTGTTGACGAAAATGTGGGACTTCAATCTGGAAGAGAAAGAGGCCGAGTTTCGCGACGACCTGCGCGATGCGTCTGGCGTCGGCCGTAGCCGCAAAGGGAAGAAGGTGAGCGCGAGTGCGCTGTGCCTCGTCTCTCGTACTCAGGGTCATTCGAAGCGTGGGCGGAGAGCGGGCCCTGTGCTGTCTCAGCAAGTGCGGGCACTGATAGGCGAAGGCAACCAAGCCTATGTAGATGGCGACGTCCAGGAGACACTGCGCATTATGCAGGAGGTCATCCGCATTGAACCCCGCGCAGCGCAGGCCTGGTCCGTGCTTGCGCAATGCTACGCGGACATGAACGAGCCTCAGAAGGCGCTGCAACTGCGCATAATGGCGGCCCACCTCATGCACGACGCGGAGGAGTGGGAGCGTCTGGCGAAGCAGTCTGTGTACGTCACCGAGTTCATACTTTATGCTCAGGGACTCATGGTCTTACAACAGTGAGCTTGGCTACAATCAACAAGCACTGTACTGCTACGGCAAGGTCTACAGCCTGGATCCTTCCAACCTCAATGCGCTGTGGGACCGCGCGACCCTAGCCAAGGAGATAGGTGAATTGAAGACGGTAGCTGTGTTGACCAACCTCCTCTGACATGCGCTGACCGATGTGGTAGGCTCGGAACACCTTCCTCGCCATCCTTAAACGCCTCCCTCACAATTTGACCGTCCTCGACGAGCTCCGGCCCATCCTCATCGAGCTCTCAGACTTCGACCTCTGTGCTAACCTCTTTTCTGACGCCTTCGCGCACTACTACGCGATGTTCCCAACGGGCGTCGGGCTGGACCCCGACAGCGAGCAGGAGGTGCCCGGTGGGGGGTTCGGGATGATGCACATTCTCGTCCTCGCGGACCTGCACAACTCGCTCGGGCAGTACGATAGGGCAATCGAGGCGATCCGGAAGGGGTGCAGGTGGCTGCAGAGCCGGGCTCAGCAGAAGTTCTGGGACGTGTGCGAGGACGACCGGGAGTACTACGTGGGTGCCGAGGGCACGCGCGGTGGGGAGGGAGAGCTCCAGGCCGGCAATTATCCTCTGGACGTGAATGCGAGACACCGACTGGCCGTCGCGCGCATCAAAATGGGGGACGTTGAGGAAGGCAAGGTACACGACTGGCGACTTACTTGCACGATTGAATGCGGCTCACTAAGCTATACCAGAAACACGCAGATCTCATACTTGCGCAGGATGTGTTGGAGTATGCACCACTCTTCACTGAGATTGGGGATGCGTATTTCGAGCGCGAGATGTATCCAGAGGCTCGACACATCTACGAGATACTCGGAGGAGATGCTGGGGTGCGCAGCTCTCGGCATGGATGTGCTGACATAGACTTATGGCGACGTTCACAATTCACAGACTAGTAGTTTTTACGTCCTTCTACAAGCGGCTGCTTGCCGCCGAATGGTCGGAGATATCAGAGAAGCGGCCGAGGTGTACGAGCATGGTACGGTTCTGCTCAGCTCTGATACCTGTTGCTGAAACTGTTTTCAGTCATTGCAGCCGATCCCACGCACAACGAAGCTAAAATGAAACTTGCGGAGATTTACGAGATCCTCAACGAACCGCGAAAGGCCCTGGAGTTGGTGTTTCAAGGCACGTCGCGCTTTCCTTCGCGTACGCATTATACTAAGCTGGTATCCGTACCCTAGTCATGGACTCCCGCAGGAGACGCCCACGCCAAGGTACGGCCGATGGCACTGATGACGCAAACACAACCTCGCTCTTCGAAGAGAAAGCTCGTGTCAAAGGAAAATTGGCCTCTGCCAAAGCGAACAAACTCAGCGCAGCACAGCTCAGGGAGCTGGAGGTCCAAAAGGAGCGGGAGGTGACACAGGGCTTCCGTAGGGTCAAGGAGCTCTGGCCGCGCATGCTGGCTGGCGAGGAAGAGGCAGAAAGGGAATGGCTCGTCGAAGCGGAGAAGCTGATAGAGTCTTTCAGGGAGACGAGGAACCTCTTCCAGACTAGCCGGGTGAGTCGTCGAGGGTTTCATTCGGAGGAACCGATCTTGACATTTGTTGTACTAGCACCAAGGCTTCCGTGGCATGTTCCCCAGAAGCTCGAGGAGGCAAACTGCGGAAGCGAGCGAGGAAAGCATGGCGTCTCGCCTGCAGCTTGAGCTAGGTATGCTAGAAAGCTGCGTCAATCGGTGCTTGATTGCTGACGCTTGGTAGGCCGCGATACTATCGCGCGTAAAGCTAGGGGAGATGGCATCAACACGGGCGGCCTTGACACATTCCGCACAATATCTTTCGATGAATGGCTGCGGTTGTTCCTCCATGTACGTGCAGCGTCCATTGCACCTCCGGGTATAACAGCTAACGCACGTCACAGTATACATTCTTGCTCACCAGACGTGGCCAGTATAATTTGGCGCAGGAGGTCTTGCGCCACATTTTGTACTCAAGCGCATACCAAAGTCGCCTCGCCCAAGATTCCATACGTCTGGCGTTGATGAGTGAGTGCACCTCACTGATGTGATTGGACGCGCTAATTATTTGTGTGCAGCTTGCGCCATTCATGTCGGGCAATTCCCGACGGCAGTCGAGCAGTCACGGAAACTTATCAATGCCTATCAGTTCAACAACGAGCCCCTCAGGATTCTCGTGGCATCATTGGGAAGTGGATTGCGTGCCACAGATGCATTCCTCGCATCAACGCTCTCTAAACACCTGTTGCGGGAGATCAAGCTTGCGGACGCGGCGCTAAGGAAACCGGATGCTGTTCGGTGGAACAGTACGCTCCGGCGATATGGACTCGGTTCGAGCAAAAGTGGGGACGGAGACGATGTTGATGAAGAAGACGATGCGCCGAGGGAAGGATCCACAGTGTCGGAGGAGAAGGCTAGCTTACCCACGAAGGGCAATCCCGTCAACGTTGCCGTGTATGGGCAAATATGCCTCGCTGCCAAGAGCTACCAGAGTGCCCTATGTATGTCCCTCGAGTCTTCGTGCGCACCTGTTCCCACTAACTCAGCGTACACCAGTCTATCTCTTGCATGCCTATGACTACTGCCCGGACGATCCTCTGATATGCCTCTGTTTGGCCATTGCATCGTTTGGACGTGCAATGCAGCGTCAGGCCGACAACAGGAACCATCTCATCACTCAGGTATTATCGGGCTCTCTAAGCTACATTATACTCCGTTAAAGGCCGGACGTAGGGCATGGCATTTTTGTCTCGTTATCGGACCATTCGCGGAGCTAAATCAGAAGACGTCGATGAGGTAGAGTTCAACTTCGGCCGTGCCTTCCAACAGCTCGGTAAACACCTGTCCTTGATTTGTTCGGGTCCTGTGCTTAAATGTCTCCGACAGGGCTACATTCTTTAGCCGTACGGCATTACGAGCGAGTTTTGACGTCTGCAGAGAAAAACTTCCCTGAAGATGGCCAGGTAGGCTATCACGCTGTCTCCGGATCTCAGACTATCGGTGACTATTATGTCTAGGAATGCGGATTGGCGCGTGAAGCGGCGTACAATTTGTCGCTGATTTATGTGACAACTGGTGCCACGCCGCTAGCGGAAAAGTTGTACCGACGATGGCTTTCGGTCTAATTGTCTTGCATCTGACTCTATATTGTATCCATAGCACAGTGATGTATCGGTAGCGTGTTTTGACTCTCAGGCCGGTACGCGTGTGATCCACCACGCAGGTCATAAGTTCGTTCTGTGTGTTCAGTGCTTGCAGTTTCCCGCCCTTCGTGAGTCATTTTGTATCATGCGTTTCATTTTCCAGAATCTGACGTAGAAGCGCAGTATTGCAAAGGTCACATTCGACGTCTCTATTGCACACATATTGACAAATGGCCTTCGAAGTTCTCCACAACTATTTCAGTTTAGAGTATGATATACGTTCCCGGTATGCCGAACTAAGTATGATACTGTTCACTGTTCACCGGTTACGTGACAGGTTTGTGTTGACGCTCTCAGGCGAGTGATACTTCGTATTGCCTCAACAGTTCACTGATTGATGTAAGCCAGATCTGGAAGGCACGGTGCACCAAACGTTGATCATGTTCAGTACTCGACTCAACGCATTCTGCGAACCGTCTCGTCGTGTACCGAGGGTAATCATCCTCGCTTGGCAATCCTGTTCAATGTCGAAGATTGACGGACGATGTATATCGGTGTGTCCATTATCAAAGCTCCAATCGTGGTACTGAGAAACATCTAATCCAGAATTCCTTTAGCCTTGTAAGCTCTCGAGACGGAGCCTCCTACTTACGTGCCGTTCGGTACTCGCAAGATCTGAGTTTTCTGCAATGACGAGAAGTCGTGATCCCGGACGTTATGCAGCGGCAACCATAAGCCAGATTCCTTATCACAAGCACGGAACCAGTCATTCTCTAGCAGCCCAATATCCTCACATCGTCCTGGATCCAAAAATAAACATACAATGCACTGTATGCTTATTCTACATGACCATCAAGTATGGCTGCTGTAGGTCCGTCGCGATGTCTCCATGCTAGACCGGACTGCAAGGCGAGTCAGATTCTGTAACTCCAATTCTTCGTAAGCTAACCTGGTGCATCACGCATGCCACTGACGCCGAGAGCGCCCGTTGTCTCCAGTCTTGTGTGACCGTACCGTGACCCGCAAGACGAAGGACGAACTCGTGCACTGTCGAGTTCTTGATCCACATAAAGTTGAGAGGTGATAGTCACCAAGCTTCTCAAACGGGCGGTGAGTCTCGTAGTTCCACGGGCATTGGATTTTACATGACATAGGGTTTCACTTAGACTAGGCTACTCCCGTGAAATGTGTCCCCGTGGTGGTCACTGTGCCTACGGTACCTGGAGCAAAACGCTCCTGTCCTTTGCTTCCGCGAGTGCCTGCGTACGTACGCGGGTAAGTTCCCCTTGTCAGCTGTCGACGTCCCGTTCTCAGCTTTCTCAGGTCAGCCAAATGCAGGTCGAGGTCGTACAAGGCGCACCTATCGTCTTTTCGAGTCTATCACTGTGTCGGCAGTACGGACGTGAGTCCCATGACGTATATAGGCGCTCATGTCGCTTCGCATCTTTGCCAGCGGCAGAAGAACAGTCGCACCTCGTGCGGCGTACATCTGGTGTTTCCGTAGGTGGGCGTGGATGATGCATGCACGCTCGTGTCCGTCTTTTTGCTGCTAGCTAGCTCGACTCGGTTCGCTGCGTATACGGTCTCTCTCTTCTCCGCTCCAGCAGGCAATAATGATCACCAGCTGCTCACGGAGCGGTGCTACTACTCGGTTACTACGCACCGGGGAACCGGTGAGTACGTTTACTGCCCACGTCTGATGATAAACATAAACCTAACCGTCAAGGACATCAAGCACGTATGTCGCAAATCGAATCCACACTATCATGTCGGCCGGATCACACAGTACTGGTCCGTTCCAGTGTCGGCGTTGAGGTCTGTGACTACGGCGGCACTGCCGTCGCATGTGCTGCGGAACCCTCTTTGGGAACACAAAACCGGCCCATTGCATCGTAACGAGACTGCCACAGGCGATGGATCCGAACAGCACGCGGCCGGAGCATGCGCCCGGACATGGGGGCGCAGCTCTGGCGGTGGAAGTAATGCAGACTCTCGGAGGTCATTTGCAATGACGGCATTACCACCGCCGTCATCTGCACTCTTTACGGCATTCTACTTGTGGATGATGTGGCTCTGCTGTCCTCCGCGTGGGCCTCGGTCTGCAAAGTGGGTGGGCTTGTGGACAAGTCCAGTGGAGACATGGGGGGGCGAGAAGCATTGATGAGTATTTTCTCGAAATGTACCGCGGTCCGTGCTCCACGCCACGTATGTGCTGTGTCTGACTGACTCCCAGGTTGGCTCCTCTCCAATCCCCTGTTTCGGAGGGTTTTGTTTTAACAGGGGTCCAGCAGCCAGGCGGGGACATTCCAGTCAGAGAAGACATTCCAGTCAATGTCCGGCACGGACGAAAATGTCAGATTCGGGCAGACATCACCCCAGGTATCCACTGCGCTCCGAACCCGTCTAAATGTGAGTGAACAGGTGGGTCTTATTTCTTACTCGTGCTACTCAGGGCTGTCAGAGGCTGAATTGCTTGTTTGCAAGTATAACGTGGGTAAGCACGCTGCAGGCATGCGAATACACGCAAGGAAAGTAAGGAGCGAAGATTGCTGGCATATGGATTTCCCCGCCCAACAGTTACCCTGGTCATACGCTGCTCATTGCTAGGCTCGCCTGGACGTCTCGCAGCGAATGAAGACACTCCATGTCGATTCCGAACAACACGGCCAACCCAGTGACTGGACATTCGCTCTTTGCGTGTAAGGACGGCGGAGATCAGCATGACATCAATGGCGACCACTGACGATCTAGACATATGCAGCCAATGTGATACACTTTGGGCCGATCTCCGTACTCGTCACCGGCCAGTCTTGCCACGCCTGCTTCTGGGCAAAGAGTGCCAACGACTGTCGGGCTGCCTTTGCAGGCGAAGCTAACGGTATGCCCGCCTGAGCCGATCCGGAGAAGCACGAGGTCGTGAACTCTATCATTGCCATCTCTTCTATTGACGTACCATGTACAGGGAATGCTCATTGTGTATCTCTCACTAATCACTCTATTTCGGTAGGCCATCTCGTGTGTCTGATTCCAGCGCATCCGGTGGAATCTTGCGAGCGCACGCCGTCTCGCGCAACGCTAGGTTGTCGTATGGATTAGCGCGGCCTCGACTTTGCCGCAGATCAGTTGGCCATCCTAAAGAGCTAACGTCCGGTGCAGCAAATGTCCGCGTCAGTGTCTGATAGCTTGTTGGTCAGTATTCTTCTCGGACTCGCACCGGATACCACCGACTTTCCCAACAGTGCCTAAGCTGGGAATCGACGGGTCGACATGCGGACAACACGTTTTGGTAGACGTCGAGCGGGGCGTCAAGGCCAAGAAAGCTGACGAGGTACGGGCGGTCAGTGCAGAACGGCGACGCAAAATGCCAATCTTCTAGAGCCGGTTCTCACATCTCTCTGTCACAGCTGATGGAGACGTCATGTGTAACCTTAAAGCGAACGCTGAAGCCGACGGAGTGGTAGCCTCCCGAGATTCTCCCAGGCCGCCGCTGCGTCATCCGGTGCTCTGCAGAGTTCGTGAGCCTTCCACAGGCACTCGCCACAGGATTGGGTCGTCGCCTTCCTGGCCAAGCCGCGCGCGCATCCTCATGTCTTCCATATCAAGTCTTGTCTGCCTCCGGTATGTCTAACTTGCCATCGCGAGGGTGAGTTATATTACCACATGAACCCTATTATCGTCGTGCTCACCCAGTAAATAGCACCACACCGTGACAACACGGTATATAGTCCCAGCGGGAGAATGCCTACTCTTGAACCAGCCAGGCACTCCCACCGTCAGTCTCTGCACTGCTTCCCCTGACGCTCCACCCAGCAACATAGCTCTGAGCCCTTACGTGCTTCCGTCCCTTCCCTCGGTCCCGGCGTTCAACTCCAGCATCGCCTCGTCCGTACCAAGCGCGGCGCAGGATCAAGTCACTGCATGTCTCCGTCAGTCTCATCAAACGCAGCAGGTCCCTCAGGCCACGCAACCATCCCCGCTCTCCGTAAGCCTCACCACATCGCTACTTGTGTTCGGCGCTCACAGTCTCCTGAAGACTTGCGAGATGCACGAGATGCCCACGTCATCTTCGAGGCAGTCAGGCTCAACATCCTGCCTCTCATTACGAGACGGCTCACAGCGACCGAGCGCGACCAGTTGTCCTCTGGTAACGTGTTCGTTTGGGAAGAGGCAGAGCACAAGCAGGGTGCGTTACCTCGACCTCCATCCCTCAACGGTTCGTCAACGGGTTGTCCTCTAGGTGGGCTGGAGAGGTGGACAGATGGGAGGAGATGGTTCGTCATGGTCTACACTTACCCCATTGGTCTTCACTGACCCCGGTTGTCGGTCCTCAGGTCACAGAGCAGGATGCGCGGAGATTACCTCTTTTATGAGGAGAAGATAGAGACAACACCCGAGGAGAAGGCTGCCAAGGCAGCACGTCGGTACGTAACTCGTGTGTACTCGACCACGTTCTCGCCTATCATTGCTGGTATGCATAACCCAGGGCACGCAGGACGCTAGACCCGTTTAGCTATCAGCCAGCACCTACGCGACAGGATCGCCCATCCAAGCCTGATGGCTTGACGAAACAGACGTACTCGACGCACGTCTACACGCACCCTAGCGAGCCGAGGAAATGGCATATTGTAGCATACTTTTGTGTTAGTTCTGTTGTTCCCTTCTCGTCATCGTCTTGATTGATGTCTCATCATCACAGGGCGATGACTACCAACGTCTTCCCGTCGTGGAACATTACGACTATCTGAGGAAGATCCGGATTCCAGAGGGCGTATTTTCGTCTCCGCGTGGCAACCCGGCCAAGATCACTCGTATGCTGACAGTCCCCGACGAACGTTCTCGTCACGACGGCGATTGGTCCAAGAGCTCCTGGTCGCCTCAGTCGCCCTCGAGCAACGGTGCGCTCTCGCCCATCGAGAGACCGGAGTCTTCATCGTCCTCGTCATCCTCATCCACGACCCTGAGCACGTCAAGCGATACCACTGTCTTCCGCCACGGAGACACCGACGTCGGCCATTTGCTGCCGCGTCTCTCGAATATAGTCCCAATACATCCCCTCAGCCCCTCCATCTCTCATACCCACTCTCAGTCATCGCAGTCCTCTGGTTATGCTGCACTCACGACCGAAGACCGTCGTGCTTTGAGCAGTTTCCGTGTTGTCCTATAATTATACTCGAGTTATTTGTCGTTCGGACCCTTCAGTACTTCCTCGTAGACTCGGCGTTCTCTTCGGTCGGATGTAACTCTCGGGCCCCCCTGTTGTACTGGTAATGGAAATGGCTTGCACATCGGAACGCTGTCTTGAGTCTGAACGCAATAGGTTCTGAGGGAGGACTGTAGTCCGGTTCTGGAAGCAGCGATGACGACGACTCGGGACCGGCGGGACGGATCGATCTGGTATACCCCGGGTCTGCATCGCATTTGCTCAGCCATCAGTTCCTCCGCCAGGCTGTCGGTTGACTTTAATTGACCGTGTCCGCTAGTATGGGCTGGCAGTTGCAAAGAGTCACCGGCGCGATGGCGGGTGGTTGAGCGATCCCCGACTTGGCCTGCAACCTGACGCGATCATCCCAACTCTGCTCTTGATACCAATCATTCGCAGATGCACTCTTGATGTACTCTCACGGCCACCTGGCTGTCGAGAGGCTAATTCAGCAAGTCGAATGTTCTGGAGTTATGACGCACTACGGGATCGTCCGTTCCCTCCGTCGGTACACAAGGGCAAAGGTTCTAGTCTCCGAAGAGCAACACGAGTCCTTGCAGGGTGCCGGGGTTCCCAGCGCTTTGGCGGGCGCGAAGATAGATCTAGACCAAGCAGCGAAGCAAAAGTAGATCGGGAGGTACATTAAGTGAGCGATAGATTTCCGAAATCCGTCCAATCAACCTCTTCTCTTCTTTCTTTCCGCCAGTCTCGGCCTGCCCCTGAGATGTCAGATAAGTGACGCATGGTAGGTCGCCCGTGAGGACAATGCCACGGTTGGTCCATGGTTCCCATGTGGCGTACAACCTGCTCCTGTCAGCGTGCGCCTCGAATGGGCTAGGCTAGCACTCACGGAGATCATCTGTTGCCGATTTAGAGGCATCCCAATCATGACGCTCTTCCTGCAGGCTCGCATGGCGAACATGGCCCTGGCCTTCGAGCATCGAACCATCGTTCCCGTTGGTCGGTCTTGCATTGAATGGAGCAATTCCTCGAGATCTGACCGAGCATGTGAGTGATGCGATATCATGATTGAAGGCATGCTGACCTTTCATATCAAACACGGTGCTCTTGCTGGTGGGCTGCGCCACCAAACACAGTCGATGCCCTTCACCGGGGACGGCGTCTTCGTCCACTTCGATTTCGAATCCATTTCGTCGCAAGACATCGATGTTCTCAGTAGCGAGCAGAGCGTCAGCGGCTGCCAATTCTAGAGGTTGTGGCCTTAGCGAAACGCGTGTCCGTTAGCGGAAGAGGGGGTGAGTAAGGTATTGACTTACTGGAATAGCCTCTGAGATTCGATCTTTGTTGTTTCTTGGAGTGTCTCAAAGTTGTACTTCTCATCGGCAGCGTGTTGGTCAATGATGAACAAGTCGTCCAGGGTCCCATGTGAAGCTTGTTCTATGGACGGCGATGTACGCTTTCTTCGGCGTCCGATTATAAACCAAGGTTGAACTGGCCAACAATCTCCATGGAGTCGAAGTCGGACTTGTCAATCACGCGCGAGAGAGCCTCCGTAGCCCTGGCATCGTCTTGCACATTGGAAATGCCTGCGTCCTTAGTTACTTCAGAAGTCAGCGAGCTTGCTGATAAAGTTTGCAGAGTTGATGCGCTACGCTCCAGTTGGCGCCACGCGTCGGCCATCCGAACTAGATCGCAGCTAAGGACGGCTTCCTCGCCCTCTTCCGTCCGTACAACCTCTGGTCGACAGACTTGGGACGAAGACGAACCAGACATCATAGAGACGTCTGGTACGTCATCAGGATCTGCGACGCTCGACATATCACATCCGTCATTGTCTGTAAGATCGATAACCGCGTCCTCGGTCGTGCTCGCCCCACCCGGTGTAGGTGAGTGTCCATCATGGTGCAACTCGGTGCCACCAGGTGAACCCAAACCCTCACCGAAGGACGCACAACTATCCATATCGACATCCAGCTGGTCATCTTTGCCCTGTTGAATATCACCACTGATGTCACTGCGCGTGGACGCGTCGAGCGCCTCTTCATCATCATCCATCGACTCGTCCATGACTTGACTGCCGGGGCGAGCAAAGTCTCGCAACGTCGATCTGAGTTCCTGCCTTGCGGCTATCCCTTCCCCAGCCAACCCCAGTTCGCCGATTCTCCGACGCTTTTTCGGCAGCGCTGGCTCTGCTTCCGCACTTCGTCGGAGATTCCAGGACGCGTCTTGCGTGCTAAGCACCATTTGCACGCTCCGCGAACCTCCTGGCGTAGAGCGCGCAGTGTTTGCCTCTGCGAATCGGCGCTTCGCCTGGAGGTCATGTGCCAGAGATGAACGCGGATCGGACTCGTATGTTCTGTCCGCCGACTCAGATGTCGCAGCCGGGGTGACCTGGCTGGCGGATGGGGAACCCGAGTCTGCGAATGCAGGCTCTGTTTGATTGGATGACATTGGCAAGTGCAGATCCTCGCTGCTATCTTGCACCCCAGGAGGGACGATAGTATCTTCGTCGAGAGTAACACGAGGCTCTCCAGCACTGCCGTGCCGCAGGGACGTGCTCACCCGTGGTTGGGAAGGTTCTGCGGAAGCTTCCCGGGCCTCAGGGACTATGGGCTCTTCTGGACTAGACACACGGGAGGGAAGAGTCTCATCGACTTCTATGGCTCGTGCGCTAGCGACGTCATTGCCCGTTGTTGCCACGCCCACGGTCGTTTCTCTCATAGCCTGATCCCCGGTGAGAAGGCTAGGTCGGCCAAAAGCATCGGGCTGACCATCCTGGACGGCGACGAGACTCTTCGGGACAGCCGAGGATCCCGCCGTTGGTGTGGAATGCCCGGATTCATCTCCAGCGTCCTCGTCCTCGTCCTCGTCCTCGTCCTCGTCCTCGTCCTCGTCCAAGAAGAGGGGCGCCTGTACGTCCGGTATCTTCGGCGGTCTTGATGTGCTCTCCTTGGCCTGTGCTTGCGAAGCGCCAGAAGCAGTGATGTCATAGGTCGCACGAGAGGGTGCGAATTCTTCCTCTAGGGCAACCTGCACTCGAGTGAGGGAGGCGGTGGTCACAAGGGAGGCAGGCTCTCGGTTAGCACTACTCGTGCACAGTGGGAAGCGGCCTACCTTGAGAGCCTCTATGAGATTCTTCTCGCTGTGGAGCAAGATTGTCCGTTTGTCTGGACTGACATTGACGTCCAATGAATCTGATCGATACGGGGAACGCGGTCAGCCATGCGCGATATGAGCAATGAGTCCATCTCGTGACGAGCCACACGGCAGCCCCGGACGAATGAGGGATGCAAGAATACACATAGCGAACAACGGTACACCGCATGAATCGGGAGATGAACATACCGGTGGGAAGAATGAAGTCCGCTACGATAAACGGCGTCTGATTCGCATTGAACGTACGATAAACCTCATTGAATGCCTTTTGTACCTGCGTCATGGAACGTTCGCGTGAGCGGACAGGCGTGGTCAGGCCAGATCATCGGTACCTTGGATGGATTGCACGGGCGCCCGTTCACGAAGAAGAACTGTCGGTCCGTGCCGCTCCTGCCACAGCCTACAGCCAACTTCGAGATCTGGCCACGTACGCGAACCTCATTTGAGTGGCTGGATTGAGTAACAAGCGTCATGAAAGCGCGTAATCAGTCAGAGAACAAGCAGAGCTAGGAAGCGGACCCACGTATCCCCATCAACGATGCCTCGCCTCCTCAGCACTGTACGCTCGGTTTCGACGTGGAACACGACATCGAGGTCGACTATATTCTCAAGGGCCTTTGGGCCCCAAAGGGCAGAGATGGACGCGCGTGTAGAAGAAACCCCGTCTGTTCGCATTTGGATTGACTTCTTTCTATATTCGCACCAAAGTTAGTCAGGTCAACCGCGGCCCATCCACTAGGAGAAGCCGCCTTACCCTCCAGGAGCATGATGTGTGACAGTCAAACGTACGCCCTTGTTCTCTTGAGCGCAAGGAACCAGGGCATATGCGGACAGGAGTGTCAATGCCTTGCCAAACTCTCGTTTGGCGTTGCGCTCAAGTTCTCTGCGACGTACAGGGAGGGGCTTGAACAGGCCTGAAACAACTACAGTTGTTCCGCGCTAACAGATGGATGGTGAGCGCCACGCATTGAATGGCTTCGCCAGCAGCCGCTGCATGCACGGCGTAATGAATGATGATGAATACCTGCCTCGCGACCTTCCTCTGCCGACTGACCAGCCGACCAGCCGTGTCGAACTCGAGGACAGTACCCATGGGCGCCTCGGCTGCGGTTGCGGTAGTCACGGTTACATTTTCCGAAAGCGCACAGAGCGAGGACAGGGCTTCTCCGCGGAAGCCAAACGTAGAGACGGATACTAGTCGGAGAAAGAGGAGAGCTTCGATGTATGGTGTTTCAAGGCTATATACAGTGGCCTCAGTTACGATCATCAACCAGAGTGTCATGAGCTCACCTATGGCGTCATAGTCTTTAGGAGCTATACCACACCCGTTGTCAATGACTTCGAAGCTTGCTACGCCGTGGTCTCTGAAGCGAACCTCTGCAAGCTGACGGGTGAGCTAGTCTTCAAAAGCGGACATCGTTTGTTGCGTACCAAGGGACGTCGCGCCCGCATCAAGGCTGTTCTCAACAAGCTCTTTCACAGCAGTCTGCAAGTCGACGACCACCTGGCCAGAGGAAATTCTATGAACTGAGCCAACATCGAGAGCCTTGATGTGCTTCCGACGGAGTGGCTGTCTGCCACTGCCATTGCAGCTCTCCCTGAGTACAAGGACACGTCGTAGGGCCCACGTCACGGTCGTGTAGTCTCCTAGATGATGTTTGGAGATCTATCTATCCGCCGCACGATGTAGAAACTGTAAAGACTTCAATAGGATCGGCAGTTGCCAGTTTCCGAAGAGTGAGGAAGGTCGTCCAAGAGAAAGGAGTGACCGTTGCGCGACTCGTCTCACGCCGTCTAATCCGCGCAATGTCACAGGCACGTGATCGTGACGTGCTCGTTCTGCTGCTGGTCTCTTTCGAACCAACTTCAACTTGCCTGTCTTCGTGGACTCGACTCAGCAGAAGAGATAACCACTTCAGCTATTTCATAGCGCTCACTCCGAGATATGGAGTGCTACCTGCCCGTGCAACGAGATTAGTGCCTTTCAATGTAACCTGCACTGGCAGCCTCAAGTTGAGGTTACTCGAGACGTCGCCGGCAATCTCAGTAGCATCAGCATCTCCGTACGTGCTCAGTAATTCTGTCAGTTCCGATTCTAACAATAGGTGCGCCTAGAATAGCGAAATGCACAGAGAGACCACGTCTCGGCTCCGGAAGCAACCCGCGGCTGGACAGTGCAATGCGCACGAAGTCAGGTTAGTCTTTGGTCAGTCTAACAATATCAAGCGCGTTGCTGCCGCCCGCTCTCTGCACAAATAGCACGAATAGCCTGGCCTCGCATGGTACATGCACTTTGGGCGCGTAGTTATACACGACTATTTCATTTCACGTTGCCAGAACGAGTTGCCTCGAGGCTTCCTGACGTCAGTTGACCGACCTCTGCCCACTCTGCCTGACGGCGCTAGCATATCGCAAACTTTGTCGACTTCCGTGTCCCGTTCTCTATGCCGTCAAATACAATGGCGAAGGCATCGGTTGGACTCGGTTCCTACGACTTCTGCATCGCCCGCCTCGCGCAGGACGACCTCGAAGCCGCCTCATGTGCAGATGTGTTACCGATATACAAGGGCTGTACTCCGTATGGGCGCTGCGTTGCATAGTTTGCGTGCGGCGATACTTGTGCCTTTGTCAGTTACAGTGTGCGTGTCTGTCACCAAGCTCCGGTATGCCGTCAGTGTACTCCAGCACAGCCTGAATGTAGGCTCTTCATGCGTGCTATAAGAGACGACAAGGTTTCCAACGTGTGCCTCGCTAACTCGCTCTCTTTCGTTGTCATCGCTCGCTATCACACACCGACTTGTCCTCTACGATGCCTTTTGGAGTCGGCAGTATCAATGCTATCCGTACGTTGTTCTATGTCTTGCTGGTGAGTCTGTTCTCCGACTGTCTTTCATGCTTGTTGACATCGATATCGACAGTTCATGTTCTCCGCCGTCATGATTGGCTTGACGGCGGCACGACTTGAATATACAACCCACCTTCCTCCGTACGATCCATTGAACCACGGTCGTAGCTTCTACGACCCCATCGTCGCCGAATTGCTCGCTTCATCATGTCTCTCGCTCCTGTGGTCCCTCTTCGCGTAAGCATACACAATCCGATAATCCACTACGGCCGCTGACAGCAGAGGACCGCCTCAGGCTGCACATTCTCTGGCCAGGCCGAATGTTTGAGTACGGCGTCTTCTCGAGCTTCCTCGGAGAGATGATTGGGCTCTTCGTCCTCTTCATCCTCTGGCTCGTCGGCGCTGCCATATCCTCTGTACGTCCCACCCTTACCTCCGCTCTGCCCCGCTAACCATGGACGCACCACGCGCAGACATTCTGGGCCCAGCTCGGCTGGTGCCACGAGTACCGGGCGTGCCGCATCCTCACGGCACTCGTTGCGTTCGCGTGGATCGGCTGGGCCACGATCCTCTTCCTGCTGTTCATCACCATCCTCTTCGCCGTCCTCAACCGTGCCCTGTTCTGGCAGATGCATGGGCGCTACGATCCACGTGCGAGTCGCAACGTCAAGGGCCGTGCTTGAGTAGAGCCTGTGTTGGCAAGGTCCAGACATAGGTTCGGTGACATGTAGCTTTCCGAATGTGCGTCGTGCACGAACCGACGTCTCGATGAACGGAAATGATCTGACAGGGCTGTGGATATAGCATGACGCGCGTCTGTTCGTTCAAATATCTATTCGCGATCGCAATGTATGGTACTCCCGTTCAGGCAATATATAATACTCTGACAGCAAACTGCCGTGACGAAGCTGTTGTACATTGGATGTGGCTGCATTCGGACGTTGCACGAACCCTGACGAGTTCAACTGCTGGTAAAACCTCCCATGTCACTATCTCGTTCACAAGCTCCTCTGCCCTCTCCGCACCTCATCCAGCGCGATCCTCAACACCTCCTCTTCGAATAGATCCACTCGCGCCTTCTCCACCAGCCACTTCGTGGGATGCTCCCAGGTCGCTATGGTGCGCAGACGCTCCACATCCCTGATCCCTGCGAGCCTGAACTGAGGGCCGAGATGTTCGAGGGACGGGGTCAGTGAACGGAGGAAACGAAGGACAGGGTCAAAGTCGCCATTTTGCTTTCGCACCGCGCATGGACTGCTTGCAGCGGTGGTCCCAGTGTTTGAACCAGAGGATCGACCGACCTGGTGCTACAAGGTCAATCTCAGAACGTAAAGCAACAGTGATCACGCAGCGTGAAACCTACATTCACTTGGCTTACTTGTCTTCCAGCATCCGACATTACGTGCGCCGTCGAGACAGACCCGGAGAACGATGACCGGAGATTGCCTCGGAGTTATGACCTTTGTTCCGCACGCCTTGTCCATCCGCAGCGCTGTCACCTCGCCCTTGTGGTTCAGGTTCAGGTGAGGCGTTGTCACCCGCATCCGAATAGGCTTCATACGCGTCACGGTGTCGCACAACGTGGTTGATTCTCGGCGGCCCATGTATTTGCATGGGGCGACTAGATCGTACGTAGAATCGAAACCAGAGCCCCGTATAGACGGCGATGGGCCATCTGTCCTTGTACATACTCGACGTCTTCCACGTGTGCCGCGCCTCAACCAAAGAGACAGCTCAGCAATCTTGTCTCATGGAGCAGACCAGTAATCGCCGACAGATATACACAACTTACCTGTCGGTAGTGTCGTTTGATGGCAGCTGGGTCCTGTGCAGTTAAACGTTTGCTGCAGTCCAGGTGCGCCCACATGGAGCGGTCCATCACCATCTAGACAAAGGGAATCACAGCGAGTCAGTGGTATTGCGTGGTAAGCCAAGTCAGCCTGAGGCGTATCTTCCTTCAGAATGTGTCTTACCCGAAACTCAGTGAACTGTGGGCTGGAGAGCCGCATTTCGCGTTCGAGACACGTAGGTCCTCTCGAAAACGATGTGATCTTATATGGGGGCTTCGGCAACCGCTCTATGGACGTGAAGAACAGTCAACGGCGAGGCATCGAGCGGGCCATGACTATCACTTACCGTGAGGAGCCGCCATTGCTCACACTTCAAGGGGATGCGTGTATCGATCCCAACGGCGATAGACAAGGATCTGACCTTATATGCATCATTTGGGGCGGGGACGAGCCCGGTGGAAATATTCGTTAGTAGCATCGGCGCTCGAAGAACTTCAGGGTTCTAGCCCTCCTCATGAGAGAGAGCATTAGCACCGGGACGATATCGATCACGGTCCTGTTACCGTACACTCGGAGGCCCGAGTCCATCTGAAGGCTGCTGTGGAGAATAATGTCGCACTTGGCGGCAGGTGAGTCGGAGTCTGTTCCCGTGGAACCTGCCCGCGCTGACCCTCCGCGATGAGGAATCAGCGGCGAAGATGGCTGTAAGAGGATAAGTGGGCCACTGCGTACTTTCAAAATGACATCAGTTACGGGCGTTAACACGTCGAGGAAAGCGGTCGCGGGAACACGACGCGTCCTTACTAGTAGTACGTCGCCGGCTGTACCGCCCGGGTCCTTGGATCTATGGGCTCAGGCTGTTGATCAGGTATGAGATATAGGATGTCCGGTGTCTCGTACTTACTCACTCTCAGCGATTTACGTACTGATCAAGCTCTTCTTACGGTATTGCTCAATGACACCTCCGCGCGGCCGCCCGCTTGGCTCCCCCGCACTAGGCTACGCTGCGCACATATACCTTCGCGTAGAAACCTCTCGCAAGAACAAAAAGAACGCAGTCACAATATAGAATGTTCATACACAGTCAGCATACTCTCGCGGGACGCCGCCACGCTGACACATCTACCACGCACTCACACATTCCTCACGCCCCGCCTAATCTCGTCCAACGCCTCCTGCAGCACCTCCTCCTCAAACGCATTCACCCTCAGCCCCCGAACCAGCCACTTGCGCTGCTTCCGAGTCTCCCACCCCGCGACCACGCGCAGCCGCTGCGCGTCCTTGACACCCGCCGCGCTGAACTGCACGGCGACATGCTCGAGGGACGGCGTCAGTGAGCGGAGGAAGCGAGTGACGGCAGCGAACCCGTCGTTGGGCTTGTCTGGAGCTTCGGGACCCCGGCGGTCCGATGGGTGGGAGGCAGCAGCGTTTGATGCTTGGGTGTTGCTTTGCGAGGATTGACTGGGCCCGGGACGAGGCTGCACGTTGGATGCGGATTAGAGGCGGAAGCGGTTCGTGACCGCGTCTGAGACTGCACAATATGTGAACGTGGTCAAGGACAGACACAAACGAGCAAACATACCCCGGCCTGACCCCTACCGGAGTCCTGTGCCGGTGCGGGCCGCGAGTCTTTCGAAGGAGGCTTATCGACGCGCTTCTTGCTCCTCCGCGCAGAGTTGCCCTGATTGTCATCGTCTGAGTTCGGAGTCGGATCTGAGCCCGTGTCCGCCTTTCCAGCAAGACACCATTGAGCCGGCCGCCTTGAATGTCGAATTCCACTTGACAGAGCAGTATCACATACCTCCGAACCACCTCCGTCGCCAGCTTGTTCATACATGACTTCGGGTCTCCGCGTGCGCCTGTGCCAATAGACTGTGTAAGTATGAATTGGCCATTGCCCTTCGTACTTGTGGGCGTCCTTCCACATTCGCGTCACCTAACCAAGCGGGTCAGCTTATTGGTTGGATGCATTTTATTGACATCGAAGAACATGATTATCCAGTCAACTAGGATACATACCTCCGCATAATGCTACCTAAGGCGGTCTGCGTCCTGTTCCCGGAAGCTCACTCTGAGGTCGAGGTGCCGAGCGATGGAGCGATGCATTAGGTCCTAATCACGGTCAGATACGTTCACGATGAATGACGTGTCTCTCACCCGGAAGCGGGCGAGCCCCTTGGAACTCGTGCGCATTTGTCTCTGGAGACAATCGTCTCCGACGAAGAGCGAGCTAGGCCTGCCGCGGGGCCGCGGTATCAGGCCTACACATCGGGGAGGATCAACCCGGAAGGCAACATTGAATAGGATCGACTCAAAACTGTGGCTTACCGTCGGGATCAGGCATGAAGGGCTTGAACAAGTCAAACTAACTGAAGGGGTGCCCTGTGTGCCGTCCCATGAAGACGGACTTAAATGCGGTACCGTCGAAGGAAGACAGCGGTATGATAACACACCTGTGTGGTATCGCCTTAGTATCGCCGGTATAAAGCTGGAGTGGTCCGCTGATGAGTCCATCCCGCGCACTTCCTGCACGCTCTCCCGCACACGTCCGTTAAGAAGCGCGGGCACGAGATAGGGCCACTTGCCCCCAGGATTCGTGGCGCCGAACTGCTCCGAGGGGGCACTTGAATATGGTGCGAAGCTTCGTATATTGAGTTCTAGCCTCTGTGGACCGCTATCATCATCCGTGTATCGATGTGAGACGGCCGGGAGGTGTAAGGTCACGCGCTCCGCATTCGCGAAGTGCGATCTTCGCAGAACGCATGCTGGACCATTTATTGCTCCTCCATACAGTACCATAGACGTCGCTGAACAGGGCCTGTTAGACCCCATACTTCCATCGGCGACGTACAAGACACCAGACACAGTGTTACGTTTACAGACGTGTTTTTGCGCACCTTCGACGACGCAGCTCTGTTATCCATAGTTTTATGTCGAAGAAACAGTGGCCAGTACAATGAGACTACTCGTGTGACCGCCGGAACATGGAGGCATTGCCACGGTCAGGATTGCACGGAATCGCGTATGGAGGCTTCATCCGCGTAATGCATGGCGAGTGCGGACAGAGTCGTACGAGAAAAGGCCGAAGCGAGGACAGCTCAGTGTTCGCAACCGTATTGACGGACGACATCCTGTGCTGTGGAATTGCCGCCAGCTGGAACGTCTAGTTGTTGCAAACCTCTGAGTATGAATGCCAACTGAATCGCTGCATACATTTGTCGTTCGTTCTCTGATGCAGAATCGTTTCAGACTGCGCCGTGGCACATCCCTGCGTAATCTTTGACGACTACAGACTCTGCGTTGGTTTTGAACAATGTATACAGTCGGACGAGAAGAACATACGTACTAAGTACCTGTGATGTCCACCCAACCTTCAACTCACATCCCGAAAGAGCACTGGCGGATGCAAGTACACATCTGGTCTTGCAATCATGGACATGGCAAGGATTTTCCGCAGTCTACTCTCTGGTTCTGACATCTGGCCGTGCGGCCGGCCTCGAGGGTCGCTGAGTGCGGCGAGAGTTGGCCATCATCAGCTGTGCGGTCGAGAATGCGGGGTAGTGCGCTTGTGACCGCCTTGCGGACGACCACGGTGCCCGTGCTCGCTGCGCCCGACGGCGTGGTCGACGCGCGACATGACGAGCACGGCGAGCGGACGTGGGCGAAGGACGGGCCGGCTCGGGCCCAGGCCAGAAGAGACGGGCGCCTAGGGGCGCGACTGCGGTGTGTGCCTGGCAGCCACCGTGACTTTGGACCCCGCAAGGAGTCTCTGCCCCTCAACTGCTCTCCGCCGTCGTCGTTGCTCTCGTCGCCGTCGCCGTCGTTGTCGTTCGCGTTCGAGACACGTAGGTTCTCTCGAACATGATGTGATCTTATACGGGGGCTTCGGCAACCGCTCTATGGAAGGACAGTCAACGAGCCAGGCGTTGAGCAGGCCATGAATGCATGACTAGTGACTAGTGACTACTTACAAAATGACATACGGGCGTTCACACGTCGAGGAAAGCGGTCACGGGGACACGACGCGTCCTTAGTACGTCGCCAGCTGTACTGCCGCTTCCTCAGGCTGCTGGTTGGGTATGAGGTGTAGTATGGACCGTGTCTTGTACCTGCTCACTTACAGCGATTCACCTACTTGACAAGCTCTGCTTATAGCATTGCCCAATGACACCTCCGCGCGGCCGCGGGCGGCTTGGCTCCCCCGCACTAGGCTGCGCTGCACACTACAGCGTCGCGTTAGAATCCCCTCGAAAGAACAGGGAAGAACGCAGTCACAATATAGTATGTTCATACACAGCCAGCCTCACTCTCGCGGGACGCCGCCACGCTCGCACATCCACCACGCACTCACACATTCCTCACGCCCCGCCTGATCTCGTCCAACGCCTCGTGAAGCACCTCCGCCTCGAACGGATCCACCATCAACTCCCGGACCAGCCACTTCCGCTGCTTCCTAGTCTCCCACCCCGCGACCACGCGCAGCCGCTCCGCGTCCTTGACACCCGCCGTTTTACACTGCTCGGCGACGTGCTCGAGGGACGGCGTCAGCGAGCAGAGGAGGCGGAGGATGGCAGCGAACCCGTCGTTGGGCTTGGCTGGAACTTGGGGTTCCCGGCGGTCCGATGGGTGGTGAGGGGCAGCTGCGTGTGATGCCTGAGTGTTGCTTCGTGAGGACTGACTGGGCCCGGGACGAGGCTGCACGTAGGAGGCGGAATTATATGCAGAAGCGGTTCGTGACTGCGTGTGAGGCTGCGCGATATGTGAGCATGGTATGTTAAGGACAGAGGCAAATGAGCAGACATACCTCGACCTGACCCCCACCGGCGTCCTGTGCCGGTGTGGACCGCGCCGAGCCTTTCGAATGAGGCTTATCGACGCGCATCTTGCTCCTCCGCGCAGAGTTGCGCTGATTGTCATCGTCCGAGTCCAGAGTGAAGTCTGAGCCGGAGTCCGTCTTCCCAGCAAGACACCAATGAGCCGGCCGCTTTGAATGTCGAATTTCCCTTGACAGAGCAACGTCACGTACCTCTGAAAGGTCTCCTTCGTGAGTTCATTCACTCATAACTTGGCGTATGCATCTCCGCCCGCATTTACTGTACCAATAGACCGTGTACATATGGATTGGCCATTTCCCTTCGTACTTGTGGGCGTCCTTCCACGTCCGCGCCACCTAAACAAGCGGGTTAGCTTATTAGTTGGATGCATACCATCTGAAGAAGAACACGATCATTCAGTCAGTCGGGGATACATACCTCCGCGTAATGCCGCGCGAGGCAGTCTCTGTTCTGTTCCAGGTATTTTCCTCTGACGTCGAGGTGCCGAACTAAGGAGCGATGCATCAGGTCCTGATCACAGTCAGACTCAGACATGCATTCGTTCACGACGGATCGCGTGTCTCTCACCCGAAAGCGGGCGAACTTCTTAGAACTCATGCGCATTTGTCTCTTGAGACAACCGGCTCCGGTGTACAGCGCTTTAGGCCTGCTGCGGGGCCGCGGTATGAGCCCTACAGCATCGGGGAGGATCAGTCCCGAAGGCGACATTGGATAGGATCCCACTCCAAACTGCGGCTTACCGTCGGGAACAGGCATTGCGGTCTTGAACGAGTCAAACTGACTGAAGGAGATCCCGGCGCGCCGCTCTATGGAGACGAGCGTCAAGGCGGTACCGTCGAAGAAAGACAGTATGAGAACACACCTGCATGGCATCGCGGTATAAAAGTTGCTGAGGCGCTCCGCTGATCGATCCCGCGCACGTCCGTTAATTAGCACGGGCACGAGACGGTATCACTTGTCCGCATAGGCTGTGTATCGATATGAGACGGAGGTGTGAAGTCGCGCTCCGCGTTCGCGAAGTGCGATCTTCGCGGAACGCATGCTGTGTTAATCATTGTTCCTCCATACAGTACCATATTTGTACGTCGGTGAACAGGCCCTGTTCAAGTTAGACCCTATAAGCGGTGCGTTCCGTCGGCGACCTCCAAGATATCAGTGCCAGTGTTACGTTTACAGACGCGTGTTTGCGCACCTTCGACGCCGACGCCGCTCTTTTGCCCATCGGAGAAACGGCGGTCAGTACAATGAGACTACTTGTGTGACTACCGGAACATGAAGGCTTTGCTTAGGTCAGGATTACGGCGGAATGCCGTACGGAGGCCTCATCCGACTCGGGAGAGTTGTGCGGGCACAGGCCGAAGCGAGAGCGCTCCGCTCAACGGTGTTCGCAGCCGTATTGGCGGATGTCACATCCTGTGCGTTGGATAAGTATTGATATTGATTGCCACGCGCCAGCTGGAACGTCGAGTTGTTAAATGTCAAGTCTTGCGCTGCATACAATTGCCGTGGGTTCTCCGATGCAGGATCGTTTGTGACTGCACCGTGGCACATCATTGCGTGATCTTCGACGACTACAGACTCTGGTTAGTTTTGGACAATGTATGCACGGTCGGACGCTCACATCCCGAGAGAGCACTGGCGGATGCGAGGACACGTCTGGTCTTGTAATTATAGACATGACGAGGATTTTTCCGCAGTCTACATAGATCTCTGGTTCTGACATCTGGCCGTGCGGCCGGCCTCGAGGGTCGCTGAGTGCGGCGAGAGCTGGCCAATCGGCTGTGCGATCGAGAATGCGGGGCAGCGCGCTTCTGAACGCTTTGCGGACGACCGCGGTGCCCGTGCTCGCTGCGCCCGACGGTGTGGTCGACGTGCGACACGACGAGCAGGGTGGGCGAAGGACCAGGCCAGAAGCGACGGGCGCCTAGGGGCGCGACTGCGGGTGTGCCTGGCAGCCACCGTGACTTCCCCGCAAAGACTCTCTGCTCTTCCACTGCTCTCCGTCGTCGTCGCTGCTCTCGTCGTCGTCGCTGTCCTCGCCGCCGTCGCCATCGCTGCCCCCTACGCCCGCCCCCGCAGCGCCCCCGCTCGTTCTGTATTTCTATCGCTCACTGGGCTTCCAGGATGCCCTTCCCATTGACCGTCTGCCAGCGGCACCCCCGCTACGCCGTCTTCTTGGTCGTCCTCCTCTTTGGCTCCTTCCTCCTCCTCTCACCAAGCGACACATTCTCGCCGAACCGCTACCGGTATGCGCGCACAGCTACGCTCGACCATACCCTACCCGCACGCATGGAACGCGCCGAGGAGATGTACGGACGCACCCTCGACCGTAGGCAGTCCATGATAAAGAAATTTGGCCCCAACCCGAGCCAGGTCGTCATGTACGTCGCGCGAACGCCTCTGTGTTCTGCCTATGCTTACTACGCACGACATGGGCAGGTTTCCGCCAGATAGATCGCCATGGCCAGCTTACACTGTCTGTGAGTACTGGTACCGCTCTCTTCTCGCGTTTCCGTCAGGAAGAATGTCTGCCCCTTCCCTTCCCTTTCGCCTTCGCGGCGCGTTGCACGCGCTGGCTGGCTTCGCTAGCATCTTCCACGGTACGCATGCAAGTCCCTGGCGCGATACCTTGGGCGGACGGCACTCCGGCCAGACAGCTCCAGCCTTTTCGTGCTTCGGCTGTCTCACGCGCTCGGTGCCGCCAAGCATGGCCTCCAGCATGACGATCGGGCTTTCGCTTAGAGCAGTCTGACAGTGAGCGGAGTGTATCTTGCTCTCTCTGGTTGCTCTGTGAATAGGGTCGTGCAGCGGCGCCCTTCAGAGAATCTGCGCCTTGAGGCTCTTCGCATGACATGGGTTCTGGATGCAGGACGCGTCTCGTAATTCTCTGTGCAACTTGTCGCACCCACCGTCCCAAACCCGTAGTGGCTCATCGACTTGTTGTGACGATCTCTGCGAGGTCGCGCCCTCGCTACGCTTTCCGCAGCGTCCTCTTTCCTCGCGTGAGAACGCAATCTTCCAGGTGGAGCGCGTCCTGTGTTGTTTCGGAACACTGTTTTACAAGCTTTTACCCGCGCTGACGCTGGACCCGCACACTCATGACCCTCCGACCTTCCCTCGGAGGAGCGTTGGAAACACACCCAGTCCAGGACGACGCCTACTGGTCTTATCTTCGAGGCGAGCCTCATAGGTCCAACCACATCAGAGCGGGTGCAATTACGACTGCCCCTGTGACCCCGCAACGGCCGTCGTATGTCCACACCATGTCCCTGCGGGCCAATTGCTGCGCATTTTGGGGCGTCGTTCTGCTAGGGCTAGACCAGAGACAGTACAGCGGTCTGCAGGCGAACTTTCGGTGTAGGCCCTGCCGGTGAAGCAGTCTGCGCGGACGGGGGTCCGACGAAGCCGGCTCGAACCTTACTTCCCTGCGTAGTCTCACGCTCTCGGGGCCGTCGAGCACCATACACTTCGCGAGATTTTCACGGAGTGGCGACTCTTCATACGCGCGATCAATGGCCCGAGGACTTTGCAGACTGCTATCTCAATCTACCTTTTCTCGCCGCGCTTCAGGAATGACATTGCGAACCACAACCCGTCATGAAAGGCCTTTGCTGATGCGTGCATCTCATAGGGGACTTTTTTCCGCCTGTCTTCAACTGCCCGCACGAGTCTGAGCGGATAGGCGCGCTTGGTGATGGAGGAAAGTGGGTATGTGGGCTCTCGCGCATCGCAGAGAAGCAAGACTGTGTAATCTATTCATTCGGTACGTGCTGACATCTACTCGTCCACCGGTAACGCTCATGTCCGTCCGCAGGCCTCGACTGGGACTCGACATTCGAAGGCGAGCTCCTGCAGCGGACGTCGCACTGCAAGGTGTACGGCTACGACTTCACAGCGCGGGGCTTCGGGCACGGCGTGCCGCGCGCGCTGAAGGGTCGGACGCACTTCGCGCGACTCGGGCTCGGCTCGGTGGACTCGCACGGGCCCGCGGACGAGCCGAAGATGTGGACGCTCCGGAGCCTCATGGCCGCGAACGGGCACGACCACATCGACGTGCTCCACATCGACATCGAGGGCTGGGAGTTCGAGGTCCTCCGCGCGATGGTCGTCGACTTCGCCGGCCTCGGGTCGGTCGTGCCCGGCGTGGGCGCCGCGGCGGGCGAGCCGGAGAGCGCACCGGAGCGGGGCGCGCTGCCGTTCGGGCAGCTGCTGATCGAGTTCCACGTGTGGCACCAAAAGTTCGAGGAGTTCCTGGCTTTCTGGGAGATGCTGGAGGGCGTCGGGCTCAGGCCGTTCATGTCGGAGGTGCGTCGCTTCGGAGCGTGCCTGCAGTGCTTATCGGCTGACCGCGGTTCCACGCACGTTCGTCAGGTGAACCTCGTCTATGCGAACTATAACCGCCAGAGCGGCGTCGAGCTCGCACAATACTCGTTCTTGAATATCCGCGGCGACAACGTCTTCATCTCAGACACGTCGTCCGCACCCGCCGCCGCAGCGGATCCCGCGCTCGACGCGGACCTCGAGCCTGGCGAGCCGGATGTGCGCACAATACGCCATGCGGCGGTCGCGGCGGGCGCGCTCGACGTGCGGAGACGGTGAGCGGACGGCCGTCCCCGCGCCGGTGGTGTCTCATGGACCGAGGCCCTACATCTTGTATAACCTGTATAACCTGAAAATCTGCATAGGCTGTGAGCGTGTCGGCGCCGAGAGTCGCGCTCGCCCCCTTGGTCACGCAATATACTCAACTAGCTTCCCGTGCATCTCGTCCACACACACACCCATCACTCTGCGTACGGATATGCGTTATGCGGAGATATTGCAGGTACTTCACCCCGATGTTGTTGTACGCGCGCGCCAAGTTGCCAGTGCTTGTAGGGTATGTAAATTATGAACCGAGCGCGGACTTCATTCTGCCAGTGTAGCGACGGGTCCATCTGCTTTTGCACTCTCGAACGGCAAGTCCGCGAGAGATGCCGTAAACGATTGGTAGTGATCATCTGAATTGAGACTGTTGGGATTATTCTGTGCGGGAAGAACACGTCCTACTAACGGTTCTTTTCCCAGGGAGCCCCGTACGGCACGAAGAACCTCGGAAGCCCGGCGTAGGTATCTGGTCGCCATATCAGGCGCGATCGTCCTGTGTACTACCTCCTCGATCGCTTTCGATCGCCCCGTTCAGTAGACCAGCGTCTGTTTAATCAACAAATTCGAGGTGAGTGCTATGCCACAGGCATGAGATTCTCTGTTCAGTGATCAAGTTGGTATGGCCAGATCCGCCATGATTCCGAGGCCCCACCCAATGCCGAGGACCATTTCCAAGGGGCTCGACTCGCTATGGGGGTCAATCAATATGACTATGAATGAGTATACAGTGTTCCGGGTAAGCACTGACTACCATCCGCACACCCCTCTGAACTTGTGTCTACATTTGCAGAACTTAGTTGAAGATGGCATTGATCGATACCTCGATCATCGTAGATACTACACGCAGCAGGACCAGGATAGAATGGAGGTGCATCTTGCAGAGGTAGTGCATAACATCCCCGGGCTTGATAGCGACGAGATTCTGACCTGGCTGAGCAGGCCGCGAGGCTGTGGGCACACAAGGACCAGTACGAGGACGACTGGCCGATCAGACAGTATACGTTCATGTGGCTGCACCAGCGGGCGTCCAAGGCCTCTCGGAGAAAGACCTCAAAGACTCTCTCCCGCCCGGCCCTAGCATCATCATCCCGAGGAAGGTCACCTCGCGTCCCGGGTACGTACCCATTCCAGCTCCCACGCAACGCCCGCTCAACTCTCCATGCCGAAGCCGCCAGGCCCACAGTGCGTGCCGCCAGGCCCACAGTGCGTGCCGCCAGGCCCACAGTGCGCGCCGCGAGCCCCGCGAGCATCCGGCCACGCGTACGGAGCTTCCTCCCAATCCCAGTAATATGCCCGGAGTTGATAAGATGGCCGGCATCCGCCGAGATAAGATGGCAGCCACCGAGATTCGCCCCGATTCGGAGGTAGCCAGTGGCGCTCACCGTCGCAGCCGCTGCGTTCCAGTGGCCGTTGCCAGGATCCGCTGGCATGCATCGTCCAGCGCCGTTCGCCAGCGGTGGTCGGCGTTCGACGCAGACGTACAGTGGATGCCAATACACCAGTCGCTGGATGCCGCCGGTTCCCGGTGCCTGCTACCAGTGGTTTGTGGTGCCTGCTGTTTGCCACTGGTATGAGCATATATATGTACAAACACGGCATGCGAAAATTTGCCTCCGTGTCGCACTGTCCCGCCCCCGACGGTTGACCCCAGCTCCCCACACGGAAGCAAATCGTCATGACGGCTCCGTGTGCAAAGTGTTGACGACAACAACTGCTGGATTAATCTACACGCATTCGGTCGTCTATGGCTGCCTCGTCTTGATCTACGCGCATTTGGTCGTCTATGGCCGCCTCGCCTTGCTCTGCCCTCGCATCCACCTCCTCCCAGAAACCGTCATCCAACGCGTCACCACTCGAGTCTATGCGTCTTTGGACACGCTCGGCATACAGCATGAAGAGTGTATGGACGAAGATATCGTAGTTGATGTTGGTCATATTGCGCAGTTGGGCCTCGAAACCATCCAGCCAGGAGTTCAATTGCTCCGCGGTCTCCGTGTTGAAGGCGCGTATTTGATGTCTTGCTCCATCCTCATCCTCCTGTATGAGAACGAGATCAGGCTGAGAGCCATCCTTCGGTGCAGGATTACACCACATCCGGCACAGCGCATCCGTCGCCTTGTGCCCAATATAATGCCAGGCATCTACGATGAACTTCGTAGTCGTAAGCCAGGAATCCCCGGGGTTCTGTGTGACGATGTGTCGGAGGAGATCACAGGCATCGTCATAGGCGATGAATCCGGGGCGGAGGTCACGGTGAGTTTGCCATACACGATCAATGAATGCGTAAACCTGGGGTTGACTCTCGGATTTGTAGCACTTCCCCCATGCGATTGGCATGCCGCAAGCCCACTGGAGTGTCTCCAGACAGTAGACAGAACGCGCGCGGAATGTATGGACGACGCGATCTCCGGGGATTTCATTCAGCGCTGGCAAGTTCACTCGTAGAGTGGGTCCTGCCCGGGGTGCGTGGCCTGCGTTTGGGTCCAACCGTTGCTGACGGATGACTCGCTGCACTCCAGGAAACGAAAGACGGCTGAAGCGATTCAGCCATTGTTGATGCCAGTTGCGATGGACGGGATCATCGCACGTCATGGCGCTATGATTACGGACAGGGCGCCCGCACGGTATGATGCCGCATATATCTTGCATAGGTGTGTGGTCCTGACAGAAGCGACCATCCCTGAAGTTAATCAGGGGTTTGCGACAGTCTTCAAGGGCACATATCTTCGGCGGGGAGTGTAAGTGATCGATAACTGATGTGCATCTACGAATACGCTTACACGATGTCCAACGTTCTTCCCGTCCATAACGGCCATTCGAACATATCCACGTGGCTCACCCGGAGCGGGTGCGTCTTGGGCGGGTGGACGAATGGGAATGCCTACGGGGATTGGCCTAATCTCGGCATTGGCATTGTCCACTGCGGCGAGTTCCAGATCTGCCTTGGTACACCATTGCAAGTAAGCCTCTTTTTAGGTTGATAATAGAGACCATTCGACGTACACGCTGAATGCCAGCAACAGCATCAATCTCGTGAAACATGGCACCCTCCTGCACAAGATCGGCACGGTAGCGTTTGCGGTGAGTACAGCCTGTGCAACCATGATGTAGTGCCTGGATGTTGACTCCTCCGTCTTCACCGATCTTCCGTCTGACATGCTCCGCAAACATCTGTGAACTCGGGTGCGCTGGGCATGTGAAGTCATGAGCCTTTTGATGTGCCACGAGTAACCGTCGTGAGAAGTGTTCGAGGAACAGACGGCGTGATTGTCGGTACGTGACCTGTAGAGTGCCTTGTGGTAGGAGATCGTTGATATAGTCTGCGACATTCGACCACCCTGCACGAAACCGTAACAGCATGTGTTCCTGCATGACCGCAACATCTCGCTCCGTCCAGATTCCGTGCTTCGAGATGCGAAGATACTTGGTGTCATACTCGAGACGCTCGATACGTTCCCCATGGCCGTTTGGGTAGGTGACTCTGTCGGGATAGTGGTCTGCCCTGCAGTTGATGCAGTGCCCTACGAACAGCTCAGCCTGAACCCATCGAAGACCTGCCGTCAAAACCTTGACTCTGCGCCCTTCTATGCGGCGCCGGAGTGAAGCTTCGTGACCTGTGATTGCACATACTGCGCAGCTCCGCCGTTCTGTGCACAACACCAGGTATGAGTTAGTATATAAACCAGCATTCATGGGATGTTCATCATCCCAGCCCATGAGCTCAAACAGGACTTCCAGATCGCCATGCATAGCCTCGGCATACTCCTCCACCTCGGCTTCCGCCTCCCGTCCACCATGGCCGATATGCACCTGAGGGCCTTGATATGCAGTTTTGATCGAGGCCAATATGCTTTTCAGCCATCCAGTAAGTCGTGGTTGCCGTCGATCCTGGCGCTGACGGCGGTGGAGTTGCAGGATGGGGAAGAGCAGCTGGACAGTATCAAGAACACATAGAGCCTGCCCCATGGCCATCCAGCGTGGAAAGAACATCTCAAGGACGAATATGAGGTCACGGACAGTTGGAGCCATGGCAGACGAGCCTTGTAAGCTGTCTGCACGTCGAGCTCTCAGTACGTTTTTCTGATCACGTGTCAGCCAGACCATTAACTTTATTTGGCAACATCGGGCGCAGACGTGCGTAGCAATGCAAGAGTATCTAAGCTACTAGACATCTAGGTCGCTGGAGTCCATCCCTATAGACTTTCTAGTGCGCTTTGGCTCGTGACGTAAGTATCCACTACTCTCTCCCTCCGAATCAGAGCGATCTGCTCGCTTCTTTCCCTTCTGGTCCTTTCGATACTCTTCCTTCTCGACCGACATCTTCTGGGTGAGTGCCTTCTCCTTATACCTCTTAAACTCGGCAACAGTCATGTCACTAAAGTCGTTGCTGTACTTTCCTTCAGGATCTGCCATCCATGCTCGGACACGAGACAACTTCTTCAAATCCTGGGCTGCGAAGAGCCGTGCGTCGTCGGAGGCGTTTGAATGCTTTATGTGCAATGCCTCGTACACTGTCTGTTTGGTGAACTTGCGCCCAGCAAAGGGAGTATCTTCGTCTACGATACTGTGAGTATTCTGATCATGAACTCGTAGATGCCTGATAGTACTTACCATCTGCAACTACATAGCCTCCTGTCGATTGCGACCATCCACGACTGTCCAGAGTTTCCATCGCATGAATCACAGCAAGCCGGCGCTTCAATATCACGCCAATCGAGTTTGCGCGAGGCCATGGCTTGGATGGAGCATCCAAAAGCTCACGAAGGTAGCCCAAGAAGTCCTTGTCTGTACCACTTGTGTTTTGTGTGCGGCTGACCATGTCTGGAGCAGGATGAGCATCCTTCTGTAGCGATGCCGGGATGTCAAGTGCAGCTATCTTGTCCGCTTGCATGGCGCTCGAAGCATGATCCTAGTAGATGCTGTGTCCAGTCGTGCAAATGGTTGGATGGCGGCGTGAGAATTCATACCTTGCTATCTTGCCCTACGACAGTAGTACCATCCAGGTATACATTGCAGAGGAGTGAGTCGCCGTCTGTGGTGCGTTGCAATTTGTATAGATCGACTCGGTTGTATTCGAACTGATGGCCGTTGCCCTCTACGACACTCTTGACAGATCCAAGCGAGACCTTGCTGCTCTCGGTGCTGAAACCTGCCCGATACAGGCGCCCACCAGCAGCTACGAGCTATCAGTAAGTTGCTGTCTTGACTGAGTAGATGGCTACTTACCTTTGACAGGACTCGCCTGATTGATAGCTGCGGGAAGGAGCTCCGATAATCGGGCAGTGTACAACGTCGTGCCGTCAGCGGCCTGTGATCGCACAAGTGATATTCCTCGGCCCTCTTTCACACACACTTCGAGAGTCGACTGTACAGCATCTCCAGAAGTCCGGTGAAATGCAACAACAACTGACACACATCAATCAGTGAATCAGAAATTGTAAGGATTCATTCACGCATTGGACCTGTACTCACTATCCTGTTTAGGACCTATATTGTCCACTGTCGACGGTAAGCCAACCGGCCACTTAGGAGGTGTATGCGGCAGGTCGGCGGGCTGTATGTCCGTGGGCGCGAGCTCTTCTACTTCAACAGCGCTGATGTCACCGCCCTCAGGCTCGCTCCCTATGTCTTGTGGCAGTACAGCAGGGCTTGACATGGGCGACAGGGACGAGTCGTCCCGCGTGGATATGGCGGCCTCGTTTGCTACTAGTAGTACATATGTGAGCACAACGACCTTGAGAAGTGAATGACACTCATACGCCGAATTACTGCAGGGCCGCCTCCCGAATTCCCTCCTATTTTAGATGTACCCGACTGGAGACGAGTGAACCGGGGCGGCGGATCTGTGGAGATCTGCAGGGATTGCAGGGTCTTCCCAGCCCTGACGAGACGGTGAGCAGACTCGTATGTGACGTATTTGTATGGCACTGACCCAGTGGCCGTTTTCTCCTGACTAGCTTGGGCTGCTGTATCATCTTCGTTGACCTTGTCGGCACTAGTCTTGCTTCCCTGCTTTGTTTGCGAACGACCGCCTGACGCGATCTTCGTGTCCGGCCTGTAGGCGAAGAGACCCTGAAATTTCGGGTCGAGACACAGGTCGTCGTGATTACCGAGATATTCTGTAATTTGCTGGATGAGAGTCTTTTTGTTGCCGACTGTGCTGAGTCCCAGTCCCGAAGCAATGTCCATGAGCTCGGCCTTTCGACGGCTCATGTCGACAGGCCCTTTGAGAGTAGTCATCGGAAATGGATGAGATGAGATCAAGAAATTCTCGTCTCTGACTCCCGGACCCTTGTGTCCGCCACCGGCATTGACCGGCCGGTATGCATAGCCACCATTGTCCGCCGTCTCCTGCCAGCGGACAGCATTTGCCACCGAAGTCCAGTCTCTTCCAGCAGAGAACACAATATAACATTGTGTTTCGGTAATGTACAGTGGGAACCAACGACGACCACATAAGACCACTGGCGACCTGTGGCATCCACCAGTTGTCCAGTCCATGCCACCGGCAGACGGTATCAGCCACCACACGCCAGCACGGTCAGTCATTAGCCACCGACAGCCACCGACAGCCACCGGCACCCGACGGACGGCGGCAACGACCGCCAGCCACTGCGGGAGGTGGCTGGCGGCCCTCACCGGACATCGGCAGCCATCGATCTTTCCATCGGAGGGCGTATAACTCCCCAATCCCGCAGCTCGGGCTCACCACCCGCGCGGCCTCGACGGCGGGCCCGGCCGCCGACGTCCGCGCGTACCTCCACGCGATCACGCCCCGCCTGCCCGAGGAGGTCATCGACCACCTCGTCGGCATGGGCATCACGAGCGTCGCGCGGCTGCGCTGCCTCGCGTGCCTCCCCGACCGCACGGCGTGGCTCCTGGACTACGTCGCCGCCGAGGTCGACGCGTTCGAGTACTGGATCTTGAGACGCGCGCTCGACAAGCTCGCGTCCGACGCTGTGGCGGAGTAATTTTCGTTTTCGCTGTGTCTCTCGTATGTGCGATATCTGAGGCGGTGCCTGCCCGGATGTAGGATAGAATGAAGTCGTCGTCGTTGTACGCTGTTTGCTCTCGTCCTCTTTTTGTCAAGCTCGTTCTCACTATGTCAATGCTATCTTGCTTTGCGCACGAATTCATCTCAGTCAAGACACATCAATTCAATTGCAGTACAACGATATAACACGACATAGGCACAAGGGATACAAATACTGCTACAGTCCTAGTCCAAGCCACACATTCAGCTCTCAGGGCATCATACCTCGCCCCCTTCAGCTTCTTCCCCTCCTGCACCTTCTCGACGCCCTTCTTCCCCTCCAGCTTCCCCATCACCACCTTGGCCTCGCCCTTCATCTTCTCCATGAAGGTCGCCTTCTTCGCCTTCTCGCCGCCCTCCGCCGGCGCGCCATCCTCCTCCTTCGTCGCGTTTCCCTCGTCGCGTCGCCGTCGTTCTGCGCCGACGACAAGTCCGCCGGCGGCGGGTGCAGCTCCGCGGGGTGGTAGGTCGTGTCGTAGCCATCACCCTGAAACAGACCGCGTCAGCATTCATGAATCCGCGGCGGTAAGAACAGAAAGAAACGTTTGACCGAACGTGGACGACGCCCACCTCGTCCGAAGGCGACTCGACCACACCAGGCCGCCGCCCGATGTCGACGCCCTCCCCATCCGCATAGCCCGAGTCAACACCGACGCCAACACCGCGCCACGCCGCGTCGGCCGTGCCCAGCGGGTGCGTGCGCGGCTGCAGGTTCACCGACAGCAGATTCATCTGCGTCTCCCTGCCCGACCGCGTATCCTCCTCCTGCGCGTCTCCATCCTTCGGGGCGTCGTCCACGTCCGGACCCACACACCCAGCAGGGACGCTCACCTTGTCCGCCGCCGCCGGCTTCTGCGCCGGCTTCTGCGTGCCCGCCGAGCGGTACCGCGCCTCGCGCTCCGCCTGGTCCATCTCCGCGAGCTTGTCGCCCTTCCCGCCCTCCGCGACAGTGGGCGTCATCGCGCCGCGCTCGTCCGGGAGCACCGCGACCCCTCCTCGCCCTTCCCGCCTACAAGCGAGCCCACGCCGCCCGCGACGTCCCTCCCCGCGCGGAGCCCTCGGCTCTCGTTGCCCGCCTCGTCGCCGGGACGAGCAAGCGCGGGGTTCGCACTCCAGTCGCGCGGCTGCGCGCCCGTCGCTGCCGACGTCGCCGCGGTTGCGCCCGCGGGCCCGCCGCTCTCGTCGGGGAGGACGGCGACGCCCTGCTCGCGCTTGCGCCCCGGCAGCGCGCCCGCGCCGTCTTGATGCGTGTATGGCGACTGCCCGGCCGCCTCCTGCGACGGGAGCGAGTCGCGCAGCGTCACGGACGTGGCTTGGGGGTGCGCGTGCGGCTCGCCGGAGGGCGCGAGCGCGGTGAAGGCGGCCGTGGCGGGAACAGCGCTGCCTGCGATGGGCGAGATGGCGCTGCTTGTTGAGAGGCGGGTGAGAGGACGTCTGGGGGTGCAGTCGATTGGTTCACGCTAGCCGGGTAGATCGCTACAGCGGCGAGTGTGAGTACCCGGTGATGCGCATGGGTGTACGATGTTCACGTACCAGGCTCGCCCTTCACGCTGCGCTCGTCGGGAGCTTCGTGACCGCCGCCTCCTGGACGCTGCCGGGAGTGCACCGGCGCCTCCGACGTGTTCCTGGGGAAGCCCACCCGTCGTCTCCGTGCTCGGCAGAGAAGTTTGGTGCGGGTCGTCTGCAGTAGATGCCCGTACAGTCGATCCATCGACGACAGACGTGTTAGCTGTACAGGTACCCATTAGACGGCATGCAGTGAGGAGCAATGGTGAGGCGCACAGAGATAGGATGAGGCGGTCTGCGTCGCCTGTGACGCAGCGGCAGCGGCACGCTGGGCCGCTTGGGCAGCGGTCTCCTGCGCTACAGGGAGGTATTGCTGCGCAGTGGTGGAGACGGTGTTCATGGCGTTCCTTGCGGCCTCAGTGAATGCCTGCGTGTTGAACGAGCCAGCTTCGCTGGGATAAGCCCCAGGAAATTCGTGTCCCGGGGTGGAGACGGTGCTAGTTGTCTTGAGCACGCCAGGCGGGGTGAATGAATCGGCGGCGGGCGCAGGGTCCTCGCGCGCGAAGGCGGCGGTCGTCGTGGACTGGGCCCACTCGTGTGCGGGGGTGCCAGTCTCTGCGTTGAGGGTCGGTGGAAGTCCAGACATGGTGGTGTTCGTGAGTCGTTAGAAGCGGTGTATGTGGTCGAAGTCGTGGTAGGTCGTGAAGCGGTGTGAAGGGGACGAGGCTGCAGGGGCGTATTTGAGGGCGAGCCATTGCGGGGCAGGAGAGGAGCGACTGACGCACTCACCGATGCGAGCTCCATGACGTGGGCGGCACTGGGCCGCCAGGCCGTCATCTTGCCTTTTCGAGAAAGCGCGCGGTGGCTCCTTCGTCGCGCCGTCCAATGCAATGCACGCTGACTCTACGCACAGCGCCTGGACACAGCAGACCGCTGCGACACGGTGAACGCATGACAAGTTGTCCACGCTATTATTGCTCGGTAAGGACTGGGGACGGCGGCGGGTGACGCGTACCACGTGACTTCTGTTCCAGCGCGCGCGATCGCGACGTGCGTCCGACTGCTGAGGCTCGCTCGCGAACATACCTTTGGACCCTTAGACACTTTCGCAAAGAGTCAAGACCATGTACTGACGGTCTACGTGGCACTGCCCACTCGCCGCGCTACAGATTGCATTCGATTCTCTGTCACCGTAGCAGTACAAGTGATCATGAAGCTCCGTCCCCATCGCTTGGCCGTCATCATCTCTCCCGAAGAAGATCGCGACTTGCAAATAGAGGGAATGCATGGAAGCCTGGAGGTGCGCACACTCGCTTTTGTGGCGCTGTATTCTTCTGATAAGTAGTCGTTCCTCGTCCTGAAACAAATACAGCATCCTCATACTAGTCGGGCGAAAGGCGCTTAGTTCCTATGTAGTCCCGAGTCACCTCGAAGAAGCGGCGAGCTAATGAGGGCACGCGCGTCCGCGTAGTAGCACCTCCCGGTCGGCCATGCTGTGCCGTCAGCTACTATGCGAAAGTATGTACAGCCGTATAGGCGTAGCCACTTGCCAGTATGTCGGTGCTCGAAGGTTGCGGTGTTTCCTGGCCCTCGCAGTTTTCGTTCCCCCAAGGCTCAGTCTGGGCTCAGTCATGAACGAATGGCGTTGCCTCGTGGTCGTGGATGTGCATCAAAGGTATAAGTCTTTCCATACCCGGCGCCCGCTGTGTCGACTCGCTGCATCACGATCATGACGCGTCTATGCGAATGCCGGCATATGTCACGAGGAGCATGCAAAGGTATGTCGACAGATTTTTTTCACGGCCCACTCTTATATCGACAGTATGCAGACGGGGATCTATTTCTTTTTCCCTCGTCCACTTCGGATTGACCACCGGGAGACCGCCCACCGGACGCGTTGACAACACCCGCCTCTTACTCCAAAGCATTCATGGCACCCGACAGTGAGGACCAACTCTTTTCTCCCTGGCGTGCGAGGCATTATTCAGTGATTGTCATCACCCACACCTACAGGACGCATCGCAAAGCCGCACAACGTGATTGAGAGGATCTACACAGGATCGCGTTGTTTTCTAGTCCAGATGCGCGTATCCCAGGCCGAACTCGCCAAGTTTCGGGTAAGACCCTCTCGGAGACGTACCGCATCGTTAGTTTCTCACCGCGTCTGCCAGACCATGATGCACCGATCCATCGACGCGCACCTCGATATATCCAAGACTTTCACCGCGCAGGATCCCAAGCGTCTAGAACGGCATTACGCGGAGGTGAGCGTGCCCACCGCCTGTGCTCTGCCCCGGCATCGCCGGTTTGCTGATGCGCCTGCGTGGACCAGGTCGCGAGGGTCTGGAAAGCGGCGGAAAAGTACGAGGATGCATGGCCCATCCGTGCATATACGTCGTTCTGGGTCAACGAACGTAGGAAGCAAAAGGGGAAAACAAGAGCCGGACAAGACGAGGGGCATCCCAGGGTACGTGGCGATATCGTCTACCGTCGGACGCTGTTGGTCCGGAAGCCTGTCTAAGCTGCGTGTCGTCCAGGCGGATGATACAGACGATAGCGACTACCGGCCGCCAAAAGCCGCGACAGTACGTGCCCGCAAGCCCCGGCAGTACGCAGCTCGGCGTCGCTCTACGTCTCCCGCCTCGAGCGATGACGAAGAGGAGAAGCGGCACTATCCCGTTGCGGTACGTTCCTCGCTCAAACATCGCCCCCATCGAAAGAATAGGACTCATCCGCCTCAGACTCAGCTTGGAAAACGGTCGCGATCAAATTCCGCCCGGCCTGCACACAAACCGCTGTTCCGGCTCGACCGACCTCCGACACCAGTGCTCGCACCGCGGAGGCCAGTGAGCGCGCCCCGCAAGCCCGTGCCCCCGCCGCACCACCCACCCGCACCCATTGCCAACTTGAAGCATGGCGACGGGTTCGCCGCCGTCCTCCGCTTCCTCCGCGCGCTGACGCCGTCCCTCGAGCACCTCGCCGTACAGCTCAGAGCGGCGGGCATCAAGGACGCGGAGCGGCTGCGCGTGGTGGCGTCGTGGGAGAAGCGGAGGAAGTGGCTTGTGGGCACTCTGCGGATGAATCCGTTCGAGGAGGAGGTGCTGAAGATCGCGTTGGACGAGGTGCGGCGGGGGATGAGGAACGTGTGAGGGGCGCGGGCGGGGCCGGGGCCGGGGCTTGGTGATCGCTCGTTCGTGTTGGACGTCCATATACCACTTAGTCGTTGGTCGCTGAAAGGATGTTGATCTCTCGCGATAATAGTGCCGTGAAATGTTCGTATTGCTATATGCTAGGTTACACATTGGGGAATCGTTCGACGGTAGAATTGCTGGTCTTCGGAATATCGTCAGGTATATACAGATTTTTATGGGAAGGGCGATGATTAGACTAGGCACTACATAGAGCAGACAGGAGATGAGAGCAATGTACACAGCGATGCAAGGAGGTAGCATAAACGATAACAGACGGGACAACATAGACGATTGATTGCTCTTGCGGCACTGCGAACCTCAAACACCGATGATTCCATTTCCGGTCGTCGCGGGAGCGTCACGACCTCCCAAAGACCTTCCTATCCTGCGCGCACACTGGCACGCGATGCTCGATCGTCACATCCACAGTGCCCGCATCGGCGGTGAACGTGTCGTTGTCTCCATCGCGGAAGACGACGCTCGCACTGATGAGCGAGCGCGCCACGTCCCGCCCCTTGAGAATCCACAGAGGCACCGGCACCCAGAATCGCAGCGCCCAGTCGCCACCGCGACCAGTGCCGGCGATACTCGGCGGGATTCGCTCCCAACGGACGTCCTTGCAGATGCCATTCGCGGGGTCCATGTCCCGGAGGACTTCATCGCGCGTCAGCGAGGGTACCACGCCCCCACGGAAGGACGCCGCGTAGATGGCGTCGTCCGCCATGCTGGGGACGCGTTGGCACGAATCGACGGTGCGCCAGTCGATGGATATGGAGTCGACGGGCGACAGAGGAAAGCGGGTAGTTTGAGCCTTCGCGTCCTTGACGTAGAGCATGCCTTCAAGAGCGTACGTCTGGCTGTTGATGAATGCGGACGATCAGTAATTTGCGCAAGTACAAGTATAAGAAGCCACGTACTTCAAGTCCACATCCCACATCACGATGTCTTTGGCCTTCATCTTGATCGACACCTCGAACCGTGCGGAGAGCCCCAAAGCCCCAAAGGCCGAGCGGGCGATCAAGTTTTGGTTTTTGGCGGCCTCTTGATCTGCAATGAGGTCGATGATCTCCTTAAACCTCGTCCCTCGAGCCCTCATCGGCAGCGTAGCCATCGGTCGATCCGGGGCCACCCAAGCAGCCGGGCCATCATCCTTACGGGTAGGAATTACTAGAGTGCTACCCTCTATGCCGTTAAACTCGCCCAATCCATGCGAATGACCCTCGTCGTGGCCATACCCATCGAACCGTAGATCCCTCACGGCATAGGACCTCTTAAGGGCCGTCTTGCGTTTCACGAAAACGGGGCTAGGTTCCGTGCACATCCGCTTGCGTCCTCCGCTGGCGGTGACAGTGCCTGGCTCGTTTCTCCAGATCGTAGGGATGGACTGTCCGGAGTCGCAGCGCGGGCGGATATCATTCACGCGCTCGCGATCGTCATCGTCGTCTTCCCGGGCAGGATTCGTGCGAAGAGGGGAGGGTACACCGGCGACATCGGGCGACGTTAAGTCGAAATTCAGTGGATCTTGCAGGGCCTGTTTCATGGCGTGCGCTGACCTCAGACCGTGTAGAGCCGAGGCAAAAGAGGATGTCGATGATTGAAATGGCATGATACAAGAGGGGGATCGATTGTCGCACAACTCGTTTCGCAGGGAAATGGGATGGACGAGACGTTTGTCGGGTGATATTCGCGGCGAAACGAGGAATAATACGATGCCCGTCTGGCCGCACGGCACGTTAGGAGTCGCGAAGGTGGATCGGCTCGCTGTGATGCGAGTAGTGTGGATGGTAGGACAATGAGATGCGGCTCGAATTGGGGCGTGGTTCACCAGAGTGTGGCTTCAGCCCCGGCCCGGGATACTGCCGCCAGCCACAAACGCGTTCCAATCACATGACCGGTACAACCGCGTGTGAGCGCCTGTAAGGTGCCACTTGCGCTCGCGACAATCTTCTGCTCCTTTGTACACACCTGCCACAGCAGATTAAAGCGAGGACCGGCTAAGAAAAGCACTCTGCTTGCCTGGCTTCCTGATGTGTCGTGACCTCTTGTTTGACTCAGTGTTGCTGCAAAACGACGAAACGTACATCACCGATCCTTGCATATTGTTTGACTGATGCACGTAATTCAGCATGCCTACACGCATAAATCACACTACATTGCAAGCCTGGAGGAAGATACCTATGAACGAACAGGACTGGACAGCTGGGACCCGCCACACATCCTCGTCGCGTCCACAAATGGGAGCGACAGACCTGCCGACGATGCGGCTCATCTGAAAACGGATCATAAAACGACAATAACGCCACAAGGTCAGTAGACGCAGACGCGAAGCCGTTATATGATCTGTTCTCACCTTTCGTCGCGAGCCAGGTCACCGCGCAGGACATCTTCGAGGCCAACTACCGTGCCTCCGGGATGCTTCGCCCTCGTGTCCACGGAACACCCGCGCCCATTGACATCTTGAAGAGATGGGCAAGTTAGATGATGAGTGTCCGGAGGAGATTGGAGTCGTGATGTTGATATACACGCGAGGGCTATCGGAGGTAAGCCTGCGCAGCATTGATGCCGTGTATCGTATCCATTGCCGGGTGTGGTGCTCACAGACTGGATATCACGGCAGGTAGACGAAGCTGAGGAGACTTCATGGTGCGCCACTCATTCGTCAATGGAATCCTGGGTGACGACGGAGCTCCCGAAACAACCAGCACAATCAATGACACCGAGCTACCACAGGCGTCAGCGTACGGATGGTCGAGGTACCGAACGAGGACAAACTCACCATCGAACGAATTCGGGCAGTACTGCGAGTTCTGCCACTCTGAGAAGCATCCCGATTGGGAATACGAACAGCCACCGTACGGCTAGTCGGAAGTTATACGGCCCCCACTCTGACGTCCATCCGCGGGAGGGATAGGAAGGATTAGGGCACTGAAGCACTACGTGCGGTAGGTCGTGCTCCACCGCAGATGCTAGTGATGACAATTCTTGACAGGCGGCGACAGGATGTCAGCAGGTGACAATCAGGGATTTCGGGCCACTCGGAGGTGCAGAGGACTATGCAAGGTGATTAAGTCAATGCAGCGGAGAGGACTCGGAGGCGACATTCAGCCTGACGAAGTCATAGATAATGTTATACCGAAAGAGCCACTTGTTAGATATTGCCCATTTATATTTGTGGGCGACCAACCCAGTGGATAGCTGCACGGCACTGTTTCCTGGACAGTTATTCGACGACCATCGACCTGCAGACCGAAGGGAATCAATCCCATCCAATCATGTTGAGACCTCGTGATCAGTACGGCATGTAAGCGCCTGTGTAGCATCGCGTATATCTGCTCCGTCGCGTCGTCTTCTGCTCCTCTGCACACCCACACCATCAGCATCCATCCGAGTGCAGGTGACCGAAGTACGAGCTCTCACCGTCCGTACCATACTTCCGTGGTACTTCGCAACTTCTTGTGTCGCTTACACTCTGCATCTGTCGCGTTTCGTGCGTCGCTCCTCCTCTTGCGTAAGTCTCGACGCCACTGCCTTCGTGTGGTCGCTCGATCCTGATCAGTAACGCCATAGCACGATTGCTAGCATGTTCGCCCCAAATGGAACGTACTTTCGAGACCTGAAGGAGATCCTGGAGACGCGGGGTGCCGAGCAATTGGGAAGCTGCATGGGAGCACAACTACACGCCAACGACGAAGGGAACCCACTCTCAACAATGATGCGTACCTGAGATCGAAAGTTGAAACGGTAGTGACGCCACTCCAGGTCAGTACACGAGCCAGAACCGTTACAACATTCGATCTCACCTGTCTCCGCAAATCCTAGCGATTGTGGAGGCGCAATCCATCATGCATGACCAGGCCGTGCCAGTCGATGACTCACGGCCTGTCTGGACTCAAATTGACTGTCTACAGAGTCACTTGGACATGGACTGCGATGTAAGCAGCGTTGAGACCCGTATAACAGTCTTACAGCACTCACTGATGATACATCGATAACAGGTGACCCGCGGCCCTATCTTCACCGACCGCAGAATGGACGACGGCTTCCCCTCCATTGATGAGTGGGATGAGAACGACATGTGGGAGACGTCGACCACACTCGACGAAGCCGAGTTCCTCCTCGACCAACCCGTGCGGAAGGTCGCGAAGAATGGGTGGAAGGGGACCCACCAGTGCGCAAGCTCTGGGAGCACCCAGGGCCCTGCGACCATCGGGACCCTGCCCGAGGGATACGACCTCAACGCGGCTGAGCGTGTCCGCGCTTGGAAAAGGGTCCGGGTAATGCTCGGTCGGCACAAGGGGAAGAAGACGGGGTCAAGGCCCGTCCCCCGTGGATTATAGGGGCAGCTCAGGCTGGTCCACTGGCGATGGTACGCCTTCGTTGAATCCCTCTCTGCTGTCGTACTGATGGATCCGTTTTGATGTGTGCCTGTAGTCTGTCACGTCGAGAAAGAAACTGGCAGCCTGGGGGCCGCAGACGAGGAGACGTCGTACAATGCAAGACCTATCGCATGACGGCAAGAAAGGGAACGTCAGCGCACTATTGCATTGTTTTGTTTGATTGTACTATTAGAGGCTCTCACCGTATCTGCTTGATGACCACGTTTCGTAATGTGGAATCAATCGACTTAAAAGAGTGGACGGCGGTCAGTACCCATTAGACCCTTCGCAACAGGCGCTAGCCCGACATCTAAGTAGATGCGCTCGTCCATTACAATCGAGAGCACATTAGCAATAAAGCATACTATAGACCCTTGATTGCCACGGTCTCAATTCGGTCCCCCAAGCAAGCATACCCAGTCCACAGAACTATGCGCCGACGGTAGTGTCCGGGACAGTCAGTCAAGTAGATAGTCAACACTGTCATCCCCGCTCGCAAGAGAGGTATCCAAAATAATTCACATCGTGCTGAGTGCGTGAACCACACACCAGAGTGATGCGACTGCCATTCGCACCTTCTGATTGACTGGATTCTCCAGCAAGCACTTGACGCGTCGTGATCTCGTGACCAACACGTCGAGCTTCACCGGCGCGTAGACGCCCACTAGTACACGAGCCTTGCCACTTGCGATCATCCTTACCGCTCGTTCTCCACCGTGAAAGCTTCAAACAGACCACGGGCCCACGAGATCAGGTACAAGCCACCTGTAGAAGGCAGCGTCGTCGTCAGTGGCCACCTTGGCAAGCACAGATATGGTCAACGAACTCACTGCTGTGGCGTAGGTGCGCCCTTGTTGGTCGCGTCGTCCTGGAATATCCGCTGAGACATACGCACCCACGCGTACGAAGAGGGGTTGACAGCTGTTTCTTGAAGATGTCTACGACGATTTGGACGCGTGTCGGTGAGTGATCAAACGTCAGTCTCGATGCCCAACATCCGGAGGGCTGCAGGAGACGGGGACTTCAACTGGCCAATCAGTCAGCCACTCGTAAAGGTCTGTTGTCTTGCCGTGGACAGTGCAACTACCCTACTCACGCAACAAATATGCCCAGATCTCATATACGCAAACGGCGGAGACAGCGCCACTCCAGCGACGGAAGACGCAGCCTCGACGCAGCCATCTGCGCACATCTTTGGCACGCAAGCGGGTAGTGCCAGAGAGGCACGTTACAGCTGTAGTTGAGTAAGCCTACGACACACATCGGAAAACGGTGATGAGACTCACCGGGCCATCTATAGGTACGATGGCTCTCCCGGAGCTCTTCGTACACCTGATCTTGGGCGACGATGCGCTGTGGAGTCCTCCCGGCCACTATAGTGCAGTTCGACGTTGCTGAGGACTAGGCGCGATGTGTTTATACCAGGCCTAGAGCATGGCACAGGGGTGACCGGGTTGGCTCTACCTTGGTGATCATAACGGTGCGTCTTGAAGCCACTTCGGCGTGACAGCTCATTCGTGCTGTACCAGGACTATAGAGTCCGTGTTCTAATGGTGGTCATCACGTCCGCACCGGGAGCTCTCTAGCTACGAACACCTATGAACACCGTTGAACGATCCGGGCCATATGTGTTTAGAAACATACGTACCCCTGGAGCCATGGCTTTTCGCCGTCCACATCCGTCTCCTGATATCCGGGGCGTATGGCAGAGTCCACAGCGGCCAACCTGCCAGCCCTTCGCCCACGAAAAGGCCGCAAGTGATCTACCAGTGATAGCTCCGTGGTACGGATGGTACCTCGTATGCAAGCGGGGGTTTCCTTGATTCCACGACCATCCCAGGATACACAACGGTGCGATTATGAATTGCTGGTGGTGATACCGCCCAAGGTCCTGTGGAAGGTGCACTGCTACCGCCCTTGTGTCACCCACCGTTCGCCGCGCAAAAACGTTGGAAGTCGAGGGAAAAATCACAGGGCGAAGATTTTACGCCAGCACAGTTCGGGTGAATGAGACCAGTGGTGGAACAGAGCCCAGAAAATACGTTCGTGGTGGGTCATCTTGGGTCGACCCAGGAGTACGAAGGGCGGATTGGCAGCCAGATTAGACGCCTGAAAAGGGTCGCGTGTCGCGTGACGCGACGCGTCTCGCCGGGTTCGACTTGGACGCGTCTGCCCATCGCTCTCCAGCTGCCACTGCCAGCAAACTTGGTCCTTGCACAGTTCCAGCACTTTATTGCCTACCGCGACACTCACCGGCAATGCCGAATTCTTCAACAATTCCTGTGCGCCGAGCATTCGTACCCGACGATGATGTGCACGTAAGAAAGCGACAGCGGACCGCTGTTCCAGACAAGGCGGGTGCGCCTGGGATTGAGATGAATCCTGCAGGTGCGTCTCGTGTCGCCTGTTTGTTTCGCTGCAGCTCTGATAGGTCTTCAGAGGTGAGGGGCATCGCTGATCCGGTCGGAATCCCTGTGCGTTTTGCGTTACTGCGACGTGGAGCTCGTTGACCCACATACTCATACACATGAGCTCTGCGTCTACTGTGGAGATATTAACGAACCAGGCGCTCAAATGCTCGTTTGCGCTGACTGTGGCAATTCGGCATGCTTTGGGGGTCCGATGTCTTGCATAAGCAAGAAGGTGGACGTGGACTTCCATCCGATGGCGTATAAGTGCCCGTGCTGCAGCCGCCTCGCCAAGAAAACTTTGGATGTAGGCACTTGTAATAAATTCAGGAACATGTCTGTGCTCATCCACGGCGGCAGTACAACGTCAGCCAGTCCGCGGCGCATTACGCGGCGTTTGCGACATCAGCGTTCCCGCTCATACTAGTCACAGCACACGAACCTCGCCCTGAGTATTTCACCACTCTCATCAAGACGCAGTTTCAGCAGGAGTACAATCTTCTGAATGCTATGGTGTGTCCGTCCAGTCGCTCGCTGTGAATCCTGACCACGGACAAATCACAGTACTACTCGTACGATATCCCCCTGACCGTGCGAGGCTGGGAAAACATCCAAACGATAACAGCACAGGCGCGGATGTGGCAGGCAGGGAAGAAACACCTCAGCCCGATGTTGCTACTTTCCATTGAGTGCCACAGTGACCCGGACACCGGCTTTGTGACGTTCCGCTGCAACACAAACACGCGTGCGCTCAACAGCCCGGTCAACAGGGTGATTGTCTTCTGATATAGAGTAATCCTCGTCTAATTTAGACTCACAGGTTGCGGCGCTGCTGTTGGGTGACATCTGGAACGAACTGCCGAAGATGCTGGGGCTACGCGGTCTGGTGATTGGTGCATGCGGATACGTCGTCACAAACGCCCAACACGAGGCAATGCTTCGAACTTTGGTTGCGGAGTAGGTCTGTTCTGTATGCGCGCGCGAGGTGTCAACGTTTACAAGGTGTCGCAGAAACCGGTTCAACTTTGTCCTATCGTTTCTCACGACTGGGCTCGTTGTCCAGACGGCCGGTGCACTCTTGCTGGCGTTCTTGCGCAAGGTGTACATGCAAAAGGTGTCCGTCGAGGCTGCAGCGCTGGAGTCTTTCCTCCATGATCGTGTCTTCATGCTGACGGTCGGGCTGCACCTGACGTGGGCCGACAACGGCGGCCAGCTGCAGCAATACGCTTACAGCCAGGGCACAGCCAGTCGGGCGTGGGGAATTGACTTTGTCTGCCCAAATCCAAGTTGCCCTGGCAGTACGGCGGACGTCCGCCCTCGCATACACAAGCGGGCATCGAAAGTGTCCCCTACCTTCAAGTTCCGCTGCCAATCGTGCAAGAAGGTGTCTGTCGACTACGTCAAGATGCCGGATTGGGTCTCCGTCGTCGACGAGAGCCGGCTCGTGTTCCGGTACCCGATGCTGGTTAACGGTGCGCCTGCATCGTGCTACCTCATTGGAAAGGTGGACATGGTTGATTGGGCTCCAGGAGCAAAGGTCGCCGATGCCCTGGATGTTGATTAGTTAGCACGCACAGTATTGGAACCTTTTGTAAGTACCACATACGAAATGCAGTTGCCGACTCGCTCGCTTGTCTGATGTATTGCCCCTGCGGTCAATATGTGGGTGGCGTCTGTGGTGCTCACCCATTGCATCCAACAGCATCGTGTGGAGTCGCATTCTCCGTTTGCTCAATATGCTACGGACATTCATGTCCACAACTCGTTTCGCAATGCATCTGTTATCATTCATTACGCAGCTCGTTCAATTCGTGGCTCGTACTGCAACACCAGACAACTCCGACTTCAATGTCAACTTCTATCTTCATGCCAAGGTGCGCTCTCCCGAACGCAGCGCCGTCTGCTGTAGCCTATACATCCAACAGAGTTTGGGTTGCGTCCTGCAGGATGCGGCGCTGAAGTGCTTCCTGACGCTCTTCCGAGCAGGCAGCTGGATGGCACTGGGCAGTATGTCTTCACCACTTCCGTCTGACGAGTCGCACAACTGACACCGACATCCAGCGACGCACTACAACTTCCTGCACCAGATCCCAATCTTCTCCCCCTACGAAGTTCGCGCGCGGATCGAAGGCTGGGATAACAAGTGGTGGACATCTTTGCGCGGTACGTTACGCACCCGCGCAAAAGGTCGAAGAAGGCGCAGAAGGTGTTCCTCGCAAACGGCATCCCGACGGGCAAGATTACGCCATTCGTGACGCCTTCCACAGACGCCGACGGCAACGCGTACACAGGCGGTGCGCCCTAACCGTCCTGCAGCCCCCCACCCTCGACCCATGAGCGAGCAACAGACAAGGTTTCAGGTCACTCATGCTTGAAATTACTATCTCATACGACTTCCGCAGTTAGCCACAACTTGCAAGAGTACAACAGTCTCCCTTACTACGGCCGCAGGTTATATTAGTCCCATCATATGCTCGAAGCCTCAACTTCACAACTCAATCTATAGCAACGTCGGTTCACCATTAGCCCACAAATAGTGTAGAGCGTACAATTCGCGTACCTTGGCGAGTGCATTTGCGATATCTATCACTATCTGTCTGCTCACTGTCCAGGAGTTTGGACTCGGGGCTGGCGAGCTACTGATAGTGGAGTGCAGCTGCCTGGTGCGGTTGACAGAGAGTCCTCGGCCTCCTTGTTTGACGGCCGGAGTGCCGAAGGCATCAGTGCTACACGTCACCTCAGGGCTTGTGTGGTCACTTGGAATTATAGACCGAGGAAGGACCGCATCTGGCTGAAGGCGTGGCTCGCGTCCCGCTGCAGCTTCTTCCCGGACAAATCTGTGAATGGCTAGCCAGAAGCGAGCCTCCGAGTCGCCCGACCATCCAACCAACTGTCTCTACTCCAGTACGAACTGGGCGCGTCCTCGCCCTCCCTCTGCGCAGACTTCGCGCCCTCTCGTCGAGCGAGTATAATTTCCGGCACGCATTTCGGTAGACGAGCAATCGACGATAGGCTGCTGCGGATGCTGTCGCCATCTCCCGGACGTACTGATCCGATGTCTCGTACACAGAGCGCCAGGCTGCGTCTTTCATCACATCCTCCCACCCGTACCTCGACGCCACGAAGTACAATCGGACGGGATACGCAGCAACAGCCGCGACGCACTCCCGTTTCGCGAATACCGCTGCCCTTGCGACCTCGTACTTCTTCGCTGCTTCAAGAAGACGGCAAGCACCGCACAGTTTCTCGTCAGCTGACCCATCCTGGACCTCGGGGTCCGGCATAGGATAGCAGAGCTGAAACAGAAGCGCGAGAGTACGGCCGTCCTCGGGGAGGTCAATGAGGCGATTTCGCAGTGGGCTAGTGGCGGGTGCGCCTGGATTAGAGCTGCCCTCTCCGGAAAGCATGGATGCCAATACGGGAGAGGAGAAACCGACGAGATAGCGAAGAACATAGAAATCAATACCATCTGAAGACCGGATGATGGTGTCGGCAGGAGCTGGGTCATCAAATGGATGCGAAGGTACGGGACGGGACGTAGTGCCGTCTTCCGTCGCTACAAGCCAGGTGAGTGCAGTGATCATGAGAACTGAGAAGACGACGCACTGTTAGGGCTATGTTTCGCTGCCAGGGAATCAGCGCTGCGCGTGCTGTGGTACTCCAAGAGATGAAAATACGAAGCGGCCGAGATATTCTCCATGTGCGGCGTGAACGCGTCAATGGCATACGCTGGCGTATCGTAGCGGATCTTCTTAATTTTGATAAGTGGGGCAGCGAAGGCTGCAGCGGCCCGACTAACGACCTCTTCCAAGCCTCTTCTACATGCTTCAGCGTACACGTCTAGAGGGTGACTGTCAGAGAAGATTATCAGCTCCTTCGTTAAGGCTGATGTCGCCTCCCGCATCTGGTATTTGAGTGCTCCCTCGATGATAGGGGATATCTCCTGTACACTGGCGAATGTGGGTTTCTCGACTGGATAGCACATACGCAGGAGTTTGTCGAAAGACTGCCGATCCTCCGAAACAGGGATGACAGGCAACGTATTAGCGGAATGACTGCTCGCGTCTGTCGCTGTGTCGCCGTCGACCGGGGAAGCAGCTTGTGGTGGTTGCGGTAACGAGAACATGTCCGCGAAGAACGCAGACGCGATCCGCAGTATGTTCTTGTGCACATAGAAATTCGCTCCGTCTGCAGACCGTAGGATCGCATCTGCATCTGCAAAAGAGTTATCAAACGGGGCGGCGGCGACCGTGATAATGATGTTGGGTGGGGACCCTTGGCTGTCATTCGGTGCGTCAGGCTTCGTCCCTTCAGCAGAAGACGGGGCTGATATAGCTTCGGAAGCCACTGTTGCCATTGGATCCATCGCTGGGATCGCTGCCGTCGTACGAACTGGGAAGCGTCAAGTGGCTGATATGGCCAAGAATCAGTGGTTTTCGGTGAGGAACAATGGCAAATCACCACACACCCTCGATTGAACAACAAGACACTAGAGGATATGTAGTCAGTGGGATAGGAAAGGTCTACGGGTGTCGGCGTCGTGTATGAGATGTATGCTCAACTTGGTAAGTCATGCTTCATCGACCATCGATCCTCGTGTCTAGTGTATTCAACGTGTGCGGCGGCCAGGAATATCAACGTAATGAGATATCACTAGAGTACATCGTGTGCTTAGCTTCGCGTGCAGAAGCTCAACGAGGCAACGAGGCATACCCTTGATCACACAGTTGAGCGCCCCGTTTAGGAAGACTTGGACACCGTACTGAAGATGCCTCCTATTTGAGCCCCATATTGCTAGTACTGGCGTCGGTGCATTCTGATAGTGTAAGTTGATTGATACATGGGAGTGAAATTCGAAGCGATCGCACGCTGTCAGCCTTGCTCGTAGATTCGACTCAATGTAGCCTCACTCGAGCTGTGGTGCCGCTTGACGCCATTACGTCAATCACAGCTTGATCTAGGATTTACTGAGAATGAGGTACGCCTAGAATCGGACGCGGTCCCTCATCTAAATCAATGCTTCCGCAATTCTTCTGAGTTCTTGATGCGTGCATGTTCGTGGCTCGGCTCGATACCGTCAAGAGTCTCAGCCGACCTTGAGGTGTCCCGTGGAGCACAGTAAATGTTCTCCACAAAGGTTGAACCCGGAAGGAATGCCTCGACAACCAAAGAATTCGGGCCGTTGTGGGAGAAGTAGGTGTTTCCTCACGGTGATCGGCGTCCTCTCAAATGTAAACTTACAGTGAGCCACAATGATATTGATACTTATCACCATACATATACGAGAGACTGACTCACATTGTCCTACTGCGTGTACCGCAGATACTAGCCTCACTGCGCGACATTCTATTTTCACGTCGCAACGCCTTGCCAACCACGCACGCATCGAACGTGCGACGAACACGCACAAGAAATTTCGTTCGGATCATCGTCCGTACATATCCGAGCATAGTCGACCAGACAGTCCGCCGCCACAGGTGCCCATCCACCGTCCCAGCTTCAAGTTGGGCTCGCTCCGCCGCAAACGTGTCGATGAATGCTAAACTAGAAGCACAACTCACTGGACTTCGCGTTACCCGGGTCTGCTCCGGTACGCGTGCTTTTGTTTGTCTGAAGCATGTTCTTGCTACGCTGGCGGAGGACGAGGCCAGGACCCAGCATTTCTGGGAGTAGACGAGCGCCCAGTGGCTGCTCGCCGCAGACTCGGTGCCATCTCCAGGACTTGCGTGTCTTCCATGGCATAGGCGGATAGCCAGGCGGCCTCCTCAAGCTCCTGCACCCCGTCCCACTCGTAGCACACGCTCGCGACAAAGCAGAGTCGAGTGGGGTGCGCAGCACTGGCCGCGACGTATGCACGCTTCGTAGGTGCGACCCCGTACCCCCTCGCTGCTTCTTGAAGACGGCGGGCATCACTGAGATTATCCTCGGCTTAGCCGTCTGGGACCCGGGGTCAGACCATCATGCTGGGCTGGGCAATCATTCTAAGAATTCGTAAACGCCTGAGTGGCATCAGTACATGTTCCATGGGTAGGAGCGAATCTGACGTGGACGTAGGCAATCTGCATGAGACGTACGTTGAGCCCTTTCAACTGGTGGCATGATCTGCTGACTGGATTTCTCGTGGCTGACTGCGCTGCATGCGGAGGCGGGTCACACGTCATATATTCATAGGTAGGTACTTAGTATACCACCAGCAGACATCGACTCCAGACGCTACAGAATGGTCTGCCGGCGGCGACTATCTGACCTCGTTGTCAGCAATTGCATACTGTTAGGCCTGCTGAAAATGGTAACATACCTAGAGACCGCCATTTTACATCACCTGACGATTGAAAATATTGAATGATCCTTCAAGTTTGCGAGTGCTTTGCAGTAATCATAGCTTGATCTGCAGATAGTTGGGACATACATTCATATATCAAACAAGGACTCTCACCTTCGCCAAACCTTCGGCGATTTCTTTGAGGTTTTGCCGATTGAAACATCCTGCAGGGCTCGGTGACCTCACGTCAGGAGAGTGCGGCGGCCCAGAGCTCGCCCGCGCAGCACGGTCTACGCTCGGAAGAAATGCCTCGACGTCCATGTACACATATGGTTCACCCTCAGAATCGTAGTCGACACAACGGCTCAGACGTTCATGAAACGCGAGCCAGAACTTCGCTTCTCCTGGACGCCTCAACCAGCTGGACTGGCTCCAATAAGCCGAATGAACGACAGGTGTTCCAGTTTCCTGCGCGGCATCACCGCCACGTAATATGACGTCTCGGCACTTCCGGCAATATACCAAGAGACGACGGTATGCGACAGCGGAAGCAGACTCCATTTCTGGGTAGTAGGCATCGGAGGTCTCGTACACAGAACGCATGGCTGCATATTTGGCCACGTCGTCCCAATTGTACTGCGTCGCCAGCAGGTAGAGACGCACGGGTGAAGCGCCGGCAGCCTCGACACAAGCACGTTTGGCGAACGCGACTGCTCGTGCCACCTCGTATTTCTTCGCAGCCGCCAACACAGAAAGGGCGTCCTTCAGCCTGGTGTCTGCGAAGCCCGTCTCGGTGAGCTCGGGGTCAGGCATGGGGTAAGACAGCTGGAAGAGTTTCGAAAGCGTCCGTCCATCCTCCGGGAAACGGTGCGTCGCCACGAAGGTGGGACTGGCTGGCGCGCTCTCTGGGGCGCCGGATCCCGTCGTCGTGGAGGACACTGAGAGCGACTTGGCAAGGACTGGTGAAGCGAAACTGAGCAGCGAGCGATTCATGTAGAATACCGCGTTGTCGGATGAGCGAATAACGGTATCCGCGTGAGCGGTGTCGTAAAAGGGATGAGGTAGTCGTCCGATAGCCATCTCGGTCCCGCGAGCCTTTTCGGTGTCTCGAGGACGTGATACGATACGCCTTACAGCGGCCTCTGTGCTTGATCGTAGCGATTCCAAGGTTCTAGCAGCATGGTGTTGAAGAAGTCGGTAATACACGCCTGCGGGTAAAGCATCCATTCCTACAGAATACTCATCGAGTGGATGGGCCCGCCGTGGCTTCTCGGCGGTCGGTTTGGAACCACGCGATGCGGCTTTGTGCCCGGACTGCCATCTCGTGAATTCGCAGACTGCTTCTTCCACCATGTCTTCCAGATTCAACTGGTATGCGACTGCGAAGACATCCAGGGGCGTCATATGAATGCGAGACGACAATGACTTGCTCATCATGGCGGTGCCGATCGGCATCTGGTACTTGAGTGCCGCGCTAAGGACATGCGCCAGAGTATGAGCTTCAATGGAGGACGTTTCAGGTCTGTCGACCCGGTAGCACGTATACAGTAGTCGCTCGAAAGTCTCACTGTCCTCCGTGACCGGGATGGTCGGTATCTCAGCGCGACCGGCAACCGGCGAGTCAGGAGACAGCGGTTGCGGCAAGGAGAACATGTCGGCGAAGAACGCCGACGCGATGCGTAGGACTGCCTTATGCAGGTAGAAACGCGTACCGTCTGCAGTCTGCAGCACGACGTCGGCGTCTGAGTAAACGTTGTCGAATGGATAAGGCGCGATCTTGACGAGGCTATCCTTGCTCTGATCGTTGCCTAGGGAGGCGGTTTCGTGGTTCGGGATAGTGGGTGAGGACGGAGCGAGCGTAGGCGCTGCGCTGTCAATCGGGGTTGACATGATGTGTGTGCTCCTGCGAGCGAGCGGTGTTTCAGTATATCATGACTGACAGACTGACAAGAATTGTGCTGACTTACTAGAGCTGGTCCTAGGTAGAACGTGAGGAGCCTCGAAGAGAAGGGAGTGCGCTCATCTTATATGAAGACAACGCCCCAATGCTTCCAAATCGACATCGATCCTCGAGGCAAAACCGTGGCCTTGAAACTTTACTGACTTGACTAAGCACGCGTCTTCGACGTTCGCAATCTGCAGCTTCTGAGCCTGCCTTGTCACCGCGTCGGCATTCTCCTGCGTGTCGAAAAACCACTCAAGCAGTAGCCCCATCTCCTGTCCAAGGGTAGATATGATATGGGGCGGCAGATATGGCCAGTTTTGGTGTGCAGTATGTAATGCCGCAGCATAATGCGGTCAGTTGGCACCCGGATATCAATCGACACATATTGACTCACCAGAACGTATGCCGGCATCTGGCTCATACAAAAGGAGGACGTCTTTGGCATCTAAGATCGCCCAGTGGACCATAAATTCCAGTCTGACGGAGCGCTCGGTGACCGCTGGTGTGAAGGCATCATGTTGGCTGGTCTCGTACCCATCCGTGTGGACGCACCCCACCACCGGTGTCGGAGCGGTGGTGGGGTGCGTCCACACGGATGGGTACGAGACCAATGTTGGCCGGCCGCCGTACTGGGTTTGAATGTACTGTTTCAAGGGATTAGCTAGAGTCTGAGCTATGATCCTAGACTCTGCAACAACGCGTCACGGAGACTGAGTGCTGCGTCCTGGGTATTGCGCTGTACTGTTGAGTACTTGAGTACTGGATGCTCGTGCTGGAGAGGTTGTGGCAGACACTTGGCCCAGCTTGGCATGATGCATGATGCGGCACGATGCGAGTGGCTGATTATGTAATCAGCATGCCACAGTTCAAAGTCAACGTTCAAACGTGTAACGTTGACAACGTTGAAACGAACACTGAATACTATTCCTGAATACAGTACAACGCGTATGGCATCTATTACAGTATGGTTGCGGATAGTGAGTCTGACATACCTGGAGACCGTTCAAGTTGCTTGACCGATTGTGGTCTGGGTCCTGGTACTGAGCTACAGTGTAATCTGCAGATCACTGAGATGTGCATTCAAATAAGTATCAAATCTCGGACTCTCACCTTCACCAAGCCATTCGCGATACGTCGTAGTTCCAGCTGACTCGAATGAACCTCTGGGCTCGGGGACCTTGTGTCAAAGTCGTCGATGTCGGGGGACTGACTCGGAACCGGATTAGATAGTATCGCCCGAGCAGCACTCCTCCTGTGCCTTTCCACGATCACAGAGCTCGGAAGGAGTGCATCGACGTCCATGTATGACGGTATTTCTGTATAAAAAATCGCGCACTTGATCATTGCGCGTTGGTCTCTGGTTTTGCTGATTCGGATGTTTCCAATACTCGGGCCGTGGTCGCTGATTCTGGAGGTCCCAATGGTTCTCACCTCTGATTCCATAGTATCTGAGCTCCGTAGTATCTCGGCCATTGGTGTATGGGTGGTTTCGTGCACCTTATACTCCCCTCCGGTGCTCAATACATCAAGACACATTGCGTTGGCTGGTCCGGGCCTTTGGTACATTCAGTAAGGCTTTAGTAGGGCTTTGGTCTGCCCGTTTCATTGCTTTGGATTACGTCTGGTATGTCAATGATATGACTGGGAGCACCGTTTCATTAGAATGATAACTACTGTTTTCAGTAAGCTGGCCGGGCACTGCGGTCACGGTCATGCATCATGGAACCAATGGTCTCGGCAATGTACTACAGTTTGAATGAGGCCTCGGAGTCTGACCCCCTTTGCGCACGACTTGGACTTGGACTCCGTGACTCTGCATCGTATAGCGGTGTCGCCGTCTTGCAAACTCCCCATTCAAGACTGTCCTCTTCGTCATTGCCCGCACCGATATCGCACAGCTCTGTCTTTCCGAGTCGAGGCGCTATAGTATTCTAACTTGAACACGGTAAGCACTTATTACACTGACTCGTTGATGCTATGACGATATTCACCTCCATGTCTACGTCCTTCCCATACTCTACTTGAAGCATAATCCCCCAGGCCGCAAGTTCCCAATAGTAATCATCTCTCCACTCCATTCATTGTCATTATTTGTAAGTCTGAGCATGCTGCACCCTTGTCTATGTGCATCATTGCTGACGTGAAGTGTGCTATATCCTTGTTAGGTTCATCGTTCACATGGATCCGAATATGCTGAGTGGCGTAACGCCGGCTCATGCGGCACAGCTGATACGTATGCTGCAAGCTGTCGCTTCTGCCCCGTCGCCCGATACAACAACTGCTGTTCCGCCACTGGCACCAACCTTAGAGCATGCTTATCCTCTTCCTATGGACACTTCTAATAGCCAGCATCCTCTCGCACATGCTTCTCCCTCTGCCTCGCAATCTCACGTCCAAGACCCTCGTTTCACCGGTGATCCATCCCAGTCTAATCCTTCTCGCTCATCTGCGTTGCTACCGAGCCATCCTCCGGCGAATTCCCAGGCTGCCTCGTCTTCTAGGTTCACTCCGTACCAGAGCATCCGCTCTGCTTCTACTTCTCGAGGCTACCCATCCGCTGGTGCTCCGGCCACCGCAGCCGGAGACCTATTTCCGGGTTTCCGTGGCTTGAGCTCTGCCGTCGGGTTGTCTTCTCAGGTCAATCAACAGCGCCAAGCTTCTGCCGCTGCGAGCATCCCAAGAGCTCCATCTCTTGTGCAACGGGGACGCAGACGTGGAGGTGGCCCTCGTGGTGCAGATAGGCACGCCCCGACGCTTTTAGGCCCTGCCGCTCGCAAGCCCACAGTCGATGACTGTTTAACTACCACTGCAAGCGACGGCTCTTTCACCTAGAGCTGGCAGTATCATACATGATACCCTGTAGTAAGAGTCTACAGATGATACATGCTGCCTCTTATGAGAGAGCAGTGCCAAAGCCGGCCAATCGCCATACATTACAGACCGCACGAGCATACATTACAGAGCACGTCACAGCCTTCCCTTTCGAGCGCGTCTGCCGGCTCGCGCTATCATATATCACAGCCCTCTCATGCATTACAGACCACGATTACCTTCCTTTTCGAGCGCGTCCGCCGGCGCGTGCCAATTCCATCGTACATCACAGCCCTCCTATGTATTACAGACCTCTCATACATGACAACTAGCAAAAGCGTGAGCGCGCAATCGGAACAGACGGGGCAAGAATTCGGGCAACCGGGCGTGAACACCAGCGCGGGGGCCATGCATGAGCAGGCGAACGGGCGCATGAACTGGCAAGCGAGGTTGGCAGACGAGCGAGCTGGCAGGAATGTGAGTGTGAGGGCGGGAGGGCAGGCGGGCGGGCGGCGGGCGGGTGAGCACTGGTGAGCTCTTGTACACCTTCCCTTTCGAGCACGTCAAGCGCGCTGCTCACAGGCACGCATACATCACAGTCCCTGCTATGATCATACATCACAGACGGTGAGTACTTTCCCTTCTGAGCGTGTCCGGCTCGCTGCGGTCTCATACATCACAGTCTTATACAGAGCCGGTGGGCAGGTGGTACACCTTCCCTTTCGAGCACGTCAAGCGCGCTCAGGCTGCGAGTCATACATCACAGTCCCTGCTATGATCATGCATCACAGACGGCGGTGGGTACTTTCCCTTCTGAGCGTGTCCGGCTCGCTGCGCTCTCATACATCACAGACCTCTTATACATTGCAGCCTTCCCACTGGCGTTGATGACGGCCCGTGGTACGCCTTCCCTTTCCAGCGGGTCAAGCGCGCTGCCCTCGTATATTACAGACCGTGGAAATCCTTCCCATCCAGGCGCATTCGGCGCGCCGCCATGCAACCGCCACGCCTTCCCTCTGGCTCCAGGCCTCTCTCTTTCGAGCGTGCACAGTCCCTCTTGAGCGCGCCCAGGAGGATACCACCGAGCTTGAAGCATATAACAGATGCGTCATGGCGGATCAGTCATGGTACGCCTTCCCTCTTGCTGAGCGCTGACTCGGAGCTCTCGGTCCTGGCTTGTACATTAGAGACAACGGCTACCTCCCCGGCACTATCGAATACGTCTCGCGCCACACACATGGCGGGCACCGGTGCAGTGGCACCTTCCCTTACGATGTCGGATGGCGCTGACATCGCGCGCCAAGTGCTCTGGGCCCATGGGCTGCACTGGACGCGCCGCTGATGTAAACAGTAACTCACAACCACCTCTCTCAAGCCTGCCCATCCGTGGCGCGTGAGCGACCGTTTTCCCACCTTCCGTCTCGCTAACACTCGGTGTCTACACTTCGTGTATCCCCGCCGTCACCCGGCCTCAACGACAACCTTCACCTCCTCTTCGGCCTCCAAGTCCACGTCCACATCCCATCTCTCTGACTTGTTCTCGCTGCCAATCTGATCTCCGGCGATGTCCTTGCGGCCCCTCATCCTGGTTTTCATCACAGTCAAGTTTTCCCGACAACGTTCCTGGGCGACGCACCGTGATCGTCTCGACTACACGAAACAAGACGGAGTCAGCCTGAGCCGGAGGGAGCACCAGTGTCTTGGTATGTGACTACCGTCTCATCTTCGTCATCATTCTCGCGATCCTATACAGCATTCACCGCGGCAACAACGTACCATCTCGACTTCCGGTCGACAGTCCTTTGTGAGTCTGTCATGATTCCTTTGCCTTACTCGACAGACACTTGTATATTGCAATAGACACAGATGCGGCTACACTATGTACATGTGAGCCGAAGCATCGATAATACAGAACGTTACGGGAGAGCAAGCATGCAAAAACACGTTATGTGGTGGATGTATTGTAGTTTCGTACACTTCTCGAGTCTCGACTGGAATCGAAGAAGTTACGCAAGGTCAAGAAAACGTGAGAGGGTACAGGATGTGCGCGGCACGCGCGAGTACTCAAACGCAAGAATGGAAACCACGGCGGTAGCGACTTGAAGTGCGTGCGATGTCACTTACTAACCTTCTGCTTCTTAGACGGTCCAGTCGGGCTCGTTGCCCCCTTCCTTTTCTGTGCAGTCTTCGTCGTCGTCGACCCCCCAACATTGTTCTCCTTCGCGGGGGACCGGGTGCCGGGTAAGTTGCTGGGACGGGTCCCGTCTGCGTTCACCGGCACACGACGGAAACGATGCGGTCGTGGTGCTGCTGTAGCGCTCGCCGGCTCCGGTGCGCCGTTCGTCGACGAAGGTGAGTTGACGCCTTCGACCTCTGAAGAAGAGCAAGAAGGGCTTGTAGCCGGCTGCGTCAAACGTGCACGAGTGGTAGCGTCAACGACATTCGTGATGTCAGACACCGTCGTACGTGTGTGATCGCTAGTAGACGGCGCAGAGGTGGTCATGGACGGCGTAGGCGAAGATATCGAAGGCAGAGCAGATGACACCCCGGTGGACGAAGGCACCGACCACGCTATGGCGCTCTGCGTACTTGCATGAGACGATGCGGCGAGCTCGGTGCCCGGAGAGGTGTGAGCCGACGGCGCAGCGGCTACCATCGGCGGCGCGACGACCATCGGCGGCTGAGCAACCATCTGCGGCGGGGCGACCATCTGCGGCGGGGCGACCATCGGCGGCTGAGCAACCATCGGCGGCTGAGCGACCATCTGCGGCGGAGCGACCATCTGCGACAGGGCGACCATCTGCGACGGGGAGACCATCGGCGCGATGGCGCCTTCCATGGCCATCCCGTTCCATCCAGCTGGCACAGATGAGCCAGAATGATAGGAAGACGTGTCAGAGGGGAAGAAACCGAGCGGTGGCGCCGCTGCCATCAAGGGCATCGAGACTTGGGCGCCCACGTAGATCTGGCTTCCTTCCATTGTCATCGGGTTCATCGGGTTGTTGTCGTCCCACGCATAGGTGAAGCCGTCTGGGAAAACGAAGGGAGCTGACATGGACTCAGCGAGCGACAGCGACGGAGGCTGGGGGTTGAATTCGGGGCGGTAGAGATCAGTCATCTCCGGTGCGAGGGCGTTGATAGGCTCGTGATCATAAAGTAGGTCGAGCATGCCAGTGGCAGTGTCATGAGACCCCAGGTCCAGGTTCCCGTCCATAACGGTGTCCACCGAAGTCGCGTCCAACAAAGGTGAAGACGTGAGGGTCATCGACGCATCCAGGGAAGAGGTGAGCGATGTCCTGTCTGCGGAGGTCGCGTACACTGAAGAAGAGTCGTCCGAAGCGCCATTTACCGAAGACTCGACCACATATGGCGACGACACATCCACGGAGGATGTTTCCGCCATAGACACATCCCCTGAAGCCGTGTCCGCCGAAGATTGAGCTGCCGAAGACGTCTCCGTTGCTGCGGCGCCCTCGTCAGGATCTGTCCAAGTGCGTATGGGCATACAAGCGGACAACAATGGCGTGTATGGACGTACCAGTGTGGGCGACCTCAGTGTGGCTAACCTCAGTCTCTGCAATAGTCTGCGCCGCCTCAGCTTCAACGCTCTCGCCTCGACCTTCGGAATCGGACATCTGCACAAGGCCGGTGGTTTTCGACTCAAACTCCTCTTCCTCACGTACGGCTAACATGGTATGTCAGCCATCGGTCATCGAGCAAGAAACCTATGCATACCTAGCTCAACCTTAACATATTCCGCGAACGGCTGAACGACCCGCGACTTGAAGTCTGGCGTCGACGAGCCATACGTGTAGCCCACAGTCGGGTCCTCTGCGTGGTATCTTGAGAGTAGTATGGTAAGCATACTATCTAACGATATAAATGAAGTCACTTACGCCACAGTCGTAATATTTCCGTCACAGTCCTTCAGTACGCCAACGACCATGTAATATCCACCCGTCAAGTCATGCAACACGGGCAGGACTTGTTGGAGAATGGCAGGTACGTTGTCGATTATTCTAGATCGATGCATGAGATTCAAACAAACGACACCATAGAGACGGCTTACGCTTGACGTTGCACAGGGTTTGGCGGCGCCTGACCAGCCTGACCATTGGCTGGAAGAGCTGCGAGCGCCTCGTTAGCGGTTCTCGATGCGATGACCTCGGCTTCGATCTCCGCTTTGGTCTCGTCGCTCTCATTCTCATACGCCTCCCGGGTCAGTTGCCTCACGAGATTCATCTTCTCAGCGCTCTCATACTTGCGACTCGCGAGGGCTGCTTTGACGGCAGGCTTCACGCAGTCGTCGTAGTACTTGCGAGAATATACCTCAAGAACCTGCAGGTTCCGCCGTCCTTTCGGTTTGAAGATGTTCATATTGACTTTCGCAGACGCTGCCTTGCGGCCCTTCTGGCCGGAATGGTTACTAAACCAGTTGCGCAAAGTCTATTCAAAGGCGCAGCACGTCAGGGAAGTCTGGTGATGCTGTTCGAAAGGTCGCGTGCTCACCTTCTTACGTTTCTCTATGGCCTTGCTCAGCTCCTTCGATTCCTCCTCCGTAATGGGCCCTGTTCGACCCGCGAAGAAGACATCCCGCTCTGGAAACAGCCTGAACCATTCACGGTATAGATCAGCCCAGAAACGCGGTAATGTCTGTCCAGCTTGTGCGCTGCGATGAGACGCCACCTTCGACGTCAAGAGGTCCCTTTGTTCGACAGTTGCCCAAGTCGGAGGAGCCATGACTCGGAGATGTGACAGGAGCTGGCGGTGGCGGTAAGACTGACCAGGATGCGTCTGTAACCAGAGGGCGATGATACATGATGGCCGTTCTTATATTGTCACACCACAAACTCGATGGATCTCTTTGCAAGCAACACCGTTGGCGTGGTCCCGTTAAACATTTCATTTGTGAGTTGCCTTCCAAATCCGGATGCAGAAGGCCCGAATACTCGTGCCCGTCGTTTATTCTGCTGAAGCGAATTGGGGCTTTGACAGACAAGTTGCAACTGGGGCTCAATCGCGCTGAGGCGTGACAGCGGCGACATGGAAGATAGAAGCTCCGAGCTGTAAGTCGGAGGCGAACAGCGAGTGGGCGAGTACAGTCTACCTAATCCGATTTTTACGAACATCGTGCGAGAGACCATGGTCCAATGAAGATGCGCATATCTCCGTGTCCGCCGTCGGAATGAGCTATATAGCACTGATCCTCTTTGCTAGATCCCCATCATTCTGCCCGGCTCCTCTCCCTTCCCCTGTCTCCTCTGTCTACGATGGCGAACGGTGGCAAGAATAACGGCAAAGGCGTTGACAGGGATGTCCCTGGCGACAGTCCGCCCTTCACGGTGGAGCAATTGCAGCAACTGATCGCTGGTCTTCGCCTTTTGACCGAGCAAGAAGAAGGTATTCATTTGTCTCGAAGTGGTCAGGTCATGTCTGACGTGCAAGACTACACACAGATCGTCAACTATGGGCCGCCGTCGACAATTCCTCTGCCCAGCGTAATGTTCCGTCTTTATCTCATACCCAGGCTGCTAATTTCGTGCTGTTGTAGTAGACGTTCATGCCCGATTGAGTGCGGGGCCCAGCGCGCCGCGCCGTCCCTTGCCTAACGTGCATCTGGCACAAGAAGTCCAGAATCAAGATGGCCCTGCTCCAACGCGGCGGTCCACTCCTCACATCGAAGCTCCCCAGCCTACCCCGCCAACTGCTGGTAGAACCATGGCTCCTACGCCTGGTGGCGGCTGTCATGCGCCCTGCGCGAACTGTTGTGGCGGGACGGTGGCGGATGGCGGGGACAGCACCGGTGTACGTTGGTACTGTGTGACGCGCGGTCGTGCGGTCGGTGTCTTCGCTGGCTGGTAAGTAGTCTCCGTTGCGGTTACTGCATTGCGAGCTGAGAGATCAATCAACAGGCCTAATGCCTCGCCGCTTGTCATCGGGGTTCCGAACTCCGTCTATCAAAGGTTCCCTACCTTCAGCTCGGCGTTGGCTGCGTTCCTTGAAGCGGCAGCCAACGGGACGGTCTTTGTTGTTTTGTAATCTCTGTGCTGTCTTGATGTCTCGTTCGGTCGTGCCCTGCTCGCACTGTGCAACACTATCGTAAGCTGTCGTAAATGTCTTCTTGGTGCCTGCGAGCTGTCATTCCACAATCCCCACTCCTGTCACATCGAACACTTACACTCCGGGGTCATGTCCGTCGCACATAATTTCTTGATAGCCCCGAGTAGATACCTTGTCGATGAATCTGTGCAATGCCCTGTTGAATGTCATGACGATTGCTCTCACGAGTACTCACATCCTTCGGTATTCGCGTGTTCCCCGCAACACTAAATTCTCCAGCACATACTTTGCGCAAACCTCTGGCAACTCATGGGTCGACGCGCGAAACATCACACAGTCGAGGCCAAGCTCGCCGCCAAACGTGCGCAGCAATCTAAGTACACGCATGGCATTCGGTAAGGACTCTATTAGAGTACAATGTACACGTCGTAGTACAGTTCAATCCTCCTTACACCATGCTCTATAGAGGCCAGGCACGAGTACCAGTCAGAACCGCGCGCACTACTCAGCTCGTGTTGGACACGTACCCAGCCCATTTCACAAGCGCATCGTTGGCATACCGCCCGCTATCATGGCTCTCGCTCGTACACCATTCCACACCTATGCGGCACCTCCAGATACTCCGGACTTTGGGCTTTACACCAGCCCCTACGTTCCGACTGTCCCACGCGGGCTGCTTGAGGAGCGGAGTGAGGCGGATGAGCTGTTTGGGATGTCTGAGGAGGACGAGCTGGACCATTTGACCGAAGTTCTGAACGACCGTCAACACCGGTTGCTGCGGGAGAATGGTGAAAGACGGTACAAGGAGTGGCAAGCCTGTACTGCCGCAGATGTCGAGGCCGACGTTATGGAGGAGATCAAGACACGCATTCGTGGATGGGAGGAGGTCGCGGGGAGAACGGATAGTGATGTAGTGGGTGATCGGAGCTACCCAGTTGCACGAGCGGTTGGATTACATTGGGGAGCCAAAGTCGTTTGTTGTGTGGCCGCAGAGTTGGACGTACTACAGAGGGGTCGTGTGGTGTATGAGGCTGCATATGAGAATCAACTGCTGCCGTGGCAGCGCATGAACGTGTCGTTCAAGTAATCTATTACATTGTTATCCAGTGAACCCGCAGATCAGTGCTTGTCACACTACGATCCTACAAGATGTTAACCTCTGCAACCATGCTATTCATCACTACTACTCACACTCATGAGTCTCATCGTGCCGTGTTATCCTCCTATCAGCATTAACTCTGAGGCACTATTGGATTCCTATATGCAACAACAGTGACTGGAAACAGCCTAGGCCCTAGAAAGATGGTCGACTCGGAGCGGGTGTACACGATCCAGCGGACATGCGACTCAACAACAGCGACTCTCCAATCGAGACTTCGAACGAATGCCTACTAGACAACCTGTTTATGAGACCTCACTAAGCACTGTGACCTACACCCGGCGTGTATTGCGCGACGCTACTCAACATCGAATCACCTTCACGGCCTACCTCATACGCATCAAATGGGCCTCGGTACGTCTGCAAACAGTCTGTTCTCGTCATTAAACATATCAACCTCGATTTCAGATGAGTATTATTCTGCTTGTGATTGGCCAAGCGACCTTCGGATATACACTCTCTATTCGGCAGACACCATACTTCGGTTCTATAATTGGCTGACACACGTACGTGATCTTCTGCAACGAGATCATTCATCGGAGCCAGAACCATATTGCTCGTATATAGCCCAGAGATAAGACTTACCGCCCTCAGAAACCGACCACCACCTCGTCCCGCTCTTCAGTACGGGTCTCTGCAGTCACTCTAGCCAAGGTATGTGCCAGTCTCTCGACACTGAATCAGCCCCGACACTCACACTTAATCACCCTAGGTCAATGACGCGTGGGTACAGGTTTGAAGTCGAGCAACCACCGTGTTGCTGCCGCTACTGCTTTCGCTTCTATACCTCTCAGCCTCGGTGAGTACCTTTCTGGTACGTTTGAGAGGTCGTTGACTTATGACCCGTCTCTGCACCGTTACAGTGGTACACATGTTCGACTTGTAGGCACGGCGGGTGTTCGGGATGGCGATGTTTAGTGCGCAGAGACTGTTGGTTCAATTCCTAGAGTACTCCCTGTTCGGTACCCTAATAGTGTCCGCCGGCGGGTGATGGGCACGAGCGAAAAGAGGAGCTTCCAAATCAAATGCCCCAAATATGTTCAATCCTCTGTAATGGCCAGGCATGTGTGTACTGGTTGCCGTTGGCTTCCATCCGAACATCACTGACTCACAGTAAGTATGATGAACTCATCGACCTCGAAGTCGTATGACTTACTTTTTTCAGTAGTGCATGGAAGCAGCCACGCGTTCGATGCGATGCTCGCCGGAGATGAGACAAATTTATCGGCCGTTTGACAGAGCAGGCACTGGCCGAAGAGGCAACCGAATGTAGTTCTGCCTCACAGTGCATTGAAGCTGCGCCGCAATTTGTCCACCATAGGCAGAGCCACTGACATCCTTGCTCTGTCGGCTAGGCTTCATCCGAATCTGGTGGCAAGGGATCAAGAGCTGGTGTTCTCCTGACGATACTCCGGCATGTGTACAGTCCCGCCTTGTCGGGGCGGAGATGGGCTGAATAACATTTTCCACCCCCATTTTCCAGGGTGACTTGTGACTACGGCCCGCCCTGAGATGTTCTCTGACGGCTCCTCCACCCGTTTGTGCGCCCATGTCTCGAATTGCAAAGAAGCGGCGCCGAGCACGAGACAACGTACGGTTCTACGACGACGATGACGACGAGACTGCCAGATATCAAGATCGCACACTGGCTGCTGTTTCACGCCACCAACATACATCGTTCGCAACGACGGTTTCCGGGGTGTCGACGCGTACATCTGGCATAACTACAGCAGATGCTCCCCCTCCCGGCGCACAACCTCCAATCTATGCGGGCATTGGCAACACGAACGCCTCTATAAACGAGCCACCGGAACCCTACGTTGCTTGGGAGCCAGAGCTTGGCGATGGCGAGGCATTTGAAACGCTTCCACAGGAATTCTTCACAGATATTGGTGAATATCTCGAGGTCACCAAGCATCGCAAACGCACCGCTAGCGTGAGTAGTAATTTCGATCGTACATTCGTGGCTAATGAGTCAGTACAGGACCATCCTCTACGGGAATGGGCGAAAGATTCCATCGACGAATGGCTCGCTGAGCTGATTCGTCACGAAGGACGTGGTGACTTCGCATACAATACTTGTGTGGGCTGTGATTCGGACGCTGGCGAAACCCTTTATCGTTGCGACGACTGCTGGGATCTACGGTTCTACTGTGGAGAATGTACTCTCAATCGACATCGCCGCAATCCATTCCATCGCCTGAAGGTACGTACGGCTTCGTCTTCAAGTTGTGTGGGCGATGGACTAATCAACTCGAGGTGTAGAGCTGGACAGACGGTCGACTCTGCAAGACGACCCTCAAGAAGATAGGCCTACGCATCCAGATGGGCCATGCATATGGCGACGCATGCATCAATCCCCAGAGAGCCTTTGGTGACGATTTCGTCGTGCTGGATGTTTCCGGTATTCACGAAGTCGCTGTTGATTACTGCGGCTGCGAGACTGCCGAGCCGAAACATACTCAACTGCTGCGCTCGCGACTCTTTCCGGCTACACGCATCGATCCCAAGACGGCCGCGACGTTTCGCCTGATGGAGTACTACCACGTCCTTCACAATCAGACGAAGGCATCGGGCTTCGAGTTTTTCAATACACTTTCGAGAAGGACAGACAACACGGGGACAGAGGAACCGAAGGTACGCACTGTCGTTCGTGATGCGCGTTGGCGATGTAACTTAAATTACCTTTCCATAAGGGACGATACCATAGCTTCATGCGTATGGCGCGCATGTGGCTTCATCTGAAGATGCTGAAGCGGTTTGGCCGTGGTCACGACCCGGGTGGAGTGCGGGCTACAGAGCCTGGGTCCTGTGCAGTTCTCTGCCCCGCTTGTCCACACCCTGACAAGAATCTGCCTTCCGATTGGGCAGATGCCCCGCCAGAGAAAAGGTGCGACGTGCGTCAATCTATGAGTGCGTTTATCTCACAACTTGCATAGCTGGCTGTACCGGCTGTTCGTCGGTATGGACGCGAACTTCCGCCTGAAGCGCAAGCATCAGGAAACCCACCCCATGCAAATTTGTGCAAATTCACATAAATTTGCATAAACTTCCTGGACACCCCATTTACTTGACCCCCCTGATTTCCTCGCTCGAATTTGCACAAATTGATGTCCAACAGTTGTGAATTGTGAGTAAATGCATGCTCAATCATATCAATTGGATACTTCAATTCGCATTGATTGGCCAGCTGTATTTACACGCATAATTCGAACCACTACTACTTTCATCCACCCTTTCCCGCGTACCCACACCCAGGTACGGTGCTACCCGTACCATACCCGGGTTCACCGCCGGTGTCGGCGGTGGACCGCGGGTTGGCTTACCTCGGTGGTACCGGCACGGGTTTGGGATTGTTGCCTGCACCCGCACCGGCCGTCCTCGTTATCCTCAAGCTCCCCACTCACCATGATCCTCTCTGCTCGTCATCCTCCCCACTCACGGTCCTCCCCGCTCGCCCATGCTCCCGCTTGCGCATTCCCACCATCCCTCACCAGCCCTTTGCCTGTGAATGAGAGCATCAGCTCGCTCGCGTCCGCTTGTTTCCCATTCATACGCACCGTCCGCACACCTTCCGCCTGAACGCTGTGCCCGTACCCACGGCGCACTCGTCAGCTGCGTTTGCACGCGGGGCACTGGCCCTACGCGCTCGCGGTCAGCGTGTGTTGGGCACGTTCTGGCCCTGCCCACCGTCGCTATCTCCATCTCCCGCTCACGCGCGCACGTCCCGTTCGTCGGCCGTACTTGCGTGCTGGGCGTTCGCCCAACGCGCTTGCGGTCGGTGTGCTGTACGCGGTGCTGTGCCGTGTTGCCACACCCTGTCCGCCGACTCGTCCTCGGCAACTCCTCGCCCGCCTGCCCGTCTGCTCGCGTTCCTACCTGTCCGCCCGCTTTCCCGCTCGTCTGCCCGCCTTCGTCCCCATCCGCCTGCGCGCCCGCTCGTCCATCTGCCCGCTCGACGCTCGTTTGTGCGCGCGTTCGTCGGCCGTGCTTGCGTACTGGGCATTCGCCCAGTACGCTCGCGGTTGGCATGTGTCGTCCCGCGCTTGTGTCCTCGCCGACCCGCCCGCTCGCTCGTGCACCCGCCCGCCCGCCTGGTCACCTGCTCGCCCTCAGTCATGTACTTGTCAGTCCCTGCCTACTCACCTGTCCACCCGCTCGCCTGCCTTCCCGCTCGTGTTGCGCGCGTTCGTCGGCTGTGCCTGCGTGCTGGGCATTTGCCCAGCGCGCTCGCGGTCAACGTCCGCGTGGTCGTCGTCCGCGCCCTGTGTCCGTGTGCTTGCCCTCTCGTCCTCTCGTCCTCTCGCCCTGCCGCCCTGTCGTCCTTTCGCCCGCCCGCTCGCGCACCCACCCGTCTTCCTGCTCACCTACTTGGCTACTCGCGCACCAGTCTGCCCGTCTTCGACTCCGCTCGTCTGCTTGCCCGGTGCCCATTAATCCGCCTGCCCGTTCGCGTGCCATGTGTGCGTTCGTCGGCCGTGTCTGCGCGCTGGGCATTTGCCCAACGCGCTCGCGGTCGGCGTGTGCTGCCACCTGCCTGCCCGTCCGCTTGTCCGCCCGCCACGTGTTCGTCGGGCGTGCCTGCACGCAGAGCATTGGCTCTGCGTGCTCACGGTCGTCGTGCGTGTCGTTCTGCACGTTGCCAAGTCCTGTGTGTGTGCAGTTAGGAGCTCGCTCGCGCAGTCCGCGCTCACCTGTGGCTCTCGCCCATCCTCGCAGCCCGCTCTCCCTTTCCCGCCATCCGCTCGTCATCCGCACCTGCCGCCCGCTCGTCGGCTCCCACTCGATGACCCGCCCTCCCCGTCCTCGCCCAACGCCCATCCACTCGCTCTCTCGCTCTCGCCCAACCACCCGCCCGCCTACCAGCTTGTTGGCGTGCGTTGCACGCGTTCGTCGGCCGTTTCTGCGTGCTGTGCAGTTGCCCAGTGCGCTCGCGGTCGAGGTGCGCACTGCGCAACGTGCGACGTGGCGAGGTGAGTCATGTGACCGATCTCACTCAGGGCAGGCACAATGCGACTTCTCTGTCTTCTCTCTTTTCGCGCTGCCCGCTTGCTGCTCACCGTTCTGTGCTGCTCGTACGGACACCAAGCCGACGCTCGACAGCGCCATGGCTTTCGGCGTCAACGGCCCAACTTGAACCTCTCGAGTCTCGAGCCTGCTCACCCTCTCACGTCCACCCGCTCTCACGCTCCCCCCGTCGACGCCGTCCTTCAGTGCACGTCCGCTCCCGAGGGTGCGCAGTACGCGGCCGCTACCGCAACGTTTCGTCCCCACTCGCCAATGCTCGCGCCGAGATCCCCACCTCGCCGCACTCGTCCTCGCCGTGGCCCGCAATACAGCGGAGCGGATGCCCAAACCCGCACCCTTACCCGGGCCGCTGAACGCGATCAAAGCTCCCGCGACCGTCAGCAAACGCGCATCCGAAGAATGCGCCCACTGTCCAGGTACGCACCTCTCACGGCGTCTCATGCTGACTACGAGGTCTTCTAGCGTCAATTCGACAGTCACGCCATTCCGACAGCTGGAGGACGCGCGGGACGCAATGGACCCTCACACGCCAGACGTCAGCGAACAGCCACGAAGTCGTGACCAGGTACATAGTCGAGACGCGCGCGAGCCTGTGAGCTAACGGCGAGCACAGGGCGCAGCCATGCACACGTCAGCCACGAGCACACAGGGCTAATGCCCTGTGTGCAGACGTAGCCGACGAATGGGTGGTGGGCGGATGAGCGGACGGACGAACGACCAGGGGGCGAGCGGGCGCAAGAACGGGTGGGCGCAAGAACGGGTGGGCGCAAGAACGGGTGGGCGCAAGAACGGGCGTGCGAGCGGACGGGCGGGCAAGCGGGCAGACGAGCGAGCGAGCGAGCAGGCGTGTGGACGAGCGAGCGGACGAACGGGCGGGTGGGCCGCAGGGCGAGTGGGTGAGTGGGTGAACAAGTGGGCGAGTGAGCAGGTGAGCTAATGAGAAACCGAACGGGCGGGTGGACAGACCAGCAAGCTGGAAGGAAAGCGGACCAGCGGACCAGCTGGCAGGCCGGCCAGTGGGAAGGCGGGTGCGCGAGCGAGCGGGCGAGAGTGCAAGCGGGCGAGAGTGCAAGGGGACGGGCACAGGGCGCGGACGAGCACCACACGCACGGCGACCGCAGGCGCGCTGGGCGAATGTACAGCGTGCAGATACGGCCGACGAACGCGCAGGCAGGTAGGTGAGCAGGCGAGCAGGCGGGCAGACAAACGAGTCGGCGAGAGACGGCCAGCGGGAAAAACAGCAAGCAAGTGAGACGGCCAGCAGATGGGCACAGCCGGACGAGAAGAGCCGTCTGTACATGTACCGTAACTTGTGTATTGTAGTCACAGCTGATCAAAGCACCCAATGCACATAATATTCAATGACGTGTATGTACTATGTACATGAACACATCTCAGTTTATTCAAGAGGTGTTCGCAACGATTTACAAGCCATTCGCAGCGACAGGCACGCAGCGGCGATTTGCCGCCGATTTGCGCCACATTCGCGTAGGGGGGGTTTCCTGATGAGGACGTATCAACTGACTCGGTCGATCCTGGTCTCAACCGAGGCTATGCGTACTTCGTCGAGGAAACCGAGTACAAGGCTCACCTGAAAACGCACGACAAAGGCGAGAAGGTCGAGAAGAGCACGTGCAACAGCCACGACGCCGTGAAGCTCGCAAATATGAGAGGAAGTAACGGCACCGCGGCTAGTGGAGTTGGGACTGTAGAATGTGTACGCCACGACATGAAGCGACCATGCTCGGTGGGCGACCTCCAGAAGGGCGAGCGGTATGTATTAAGTCGTGGCGCGTGATTACATTCTAATGAACATGACATATAGGTACGTCAACATGGACTACCTGTTTGCGAGTAGTCTGCGCCAGCATACGACGACACGTGTTGTGGTTTCCTATGACATCGCCTGTCAGTGGAGCGTCAACCTCTGGCAAAGGATGCTGCAGTACGACTTTGATTGGGACGTCGACAGGCGAACAATCACGTTTCTCATTCCCAAATTCCACCTTCCAGCGCATCAGGAGAGTTGCCATACCAAGTACTCGTTCCACTTCATCAAACATGTGGGGCGCACGGACGGGGAGGCTGTTGAGCGTGGGTGGGCCGCGGTGAACGGGTTCTCTGGCAGTACAAAGGAGATGGGACCGGGCTCCCGTCGCGACGTCCTTGATGACGCCTTCGGAGACTATAACTGGCGCAAGGTTGTCCAGCTCCGTGAGTCATGATATCTGTCCTCCCGCAGTAATTATTGACGTGTCCGTAGCGAAGACTTTGTTTGACAGGGTCAAGACCGCAGTCGAAGAGCGCAGCAAGCAAGTTGCTGAGTTCCAGGACCTCACGCATGTCACGAATCCCACGCACATCGCTGAGTGGACACAGCAGGTCGAAGCTTGGGAAGACGGAGCCGACTACAATCCGTTTGTCGCCACTCGTCGTGGTAAGTCCCTCTAGTTCCCTGATCATTGCTCATACTCATATTGGACATAGCCATCTCGCTGGCTTCCGTACGCCTTTCTCTCGCCGAGGAGGAGTCAGCTGCTATAGAGTCCGGAGATCTCGTCTTACTGCACGGCGACGTGTCTCCGAGCATGCTGATCATTGCTGGCCTCGAGATCGAGGAGCTACAGTGAGCACGATCTCGGATTTTAACACCCTTACTATTACTGACACTTCGTGCGCAGGCGTCGATTGCAGAGAGACGCAGCATCTATCGGTACAGACGGCACAGATACGCAGCGCGCAGAGATTGTCCGCAGGCGTAGCAACCTCAAGCTACGAATAAATGCATGGCGAGGGTACCAAGACCTCTATATGCCAGGAGTGCTGCGTCTGCGGTCCGCAGACGATTCGGACGCACCTCTTCAGCCAGAGAACACTCCCTTGTATCTCCCTTCGGCCTTGGTTGGAAATCCGCTTGTCGCGCCCACTCCTTCTCTGAAAGAAATTGAGCGACGCCTCCGCCATGCACAGGCCAATGATACACTGGACCAATTACGGCGACACCTCCGCGCCCGGAGCCATCTCTACATGGTGAAGGACAGGGACGTTCGTGGGCAGAGATACAATACACGGTCACAGACTTACATCAAGACTGTTGAAGCCCGAGTGCAGGCCGATGCAGCTCGCTATCGCGTTGCTCATAGCGCCCTCCTCGCTATGGATCCACCGGACGAGCACGGCTGGCAGAAGTACTTCCGACCGTTGGAACAGAACGACGTCCGAGGAATGAAGGACCCGAAGATGCACGGCAGTCAGAGGGAAGAAGGACACTGTCCTGGATATGGCGGACGTCCGCGTTCACCAGCAGTGATGACAATGACGACGACAATGACGAGGAGGATTATGAAGGTCAGTGATTCATCGATTCGTGTTCGTGTTCAATGTTCAACTCAGACATTCGGTCTAGCTGTGCGCATCGAATGGTGCAAATCGCGGGCGCGCGCTCATCGCTGGAGCGAGGAATGCGATCTTCTTCAAGAGGAAATGCGACGTGTTATAGCCTTTTTCAAGTGGCAGGGTAAGTGGTGGCTGCAGCATGCAGAGGATGACTCGAACACCGTCTGGACCAACGAGACCAGCACTTATGCAGATACAACAGAACATGCTGAAGGCCGAGCTGCGTACGCTCGGCGCCAGGCTGACATCCGTCACGCCTTAGTACAGCGTTGCGAGAAGACCTGGCAATACGTAGATCAGTACATACAAACGGGTTGTAGCTTAGAGTTGTAGTCTTATATCTTATGCCTGTATTCCCTCGAAGTACGCGCTCCGGCAATGTGATAATACGCAACTCATATTCGTGAGACTTGTACAGACAACAAAAGACACGCGATCAACATGAGACATACGACAATACTATCTAAGGCATAGACGACGACTCGGACGTACAGTAGACCGGACTGGTATAAGGACTGAAAGTAGATCGCGGGTAGACAGTCACCTCATCGCAAGTCGACGGCATGACCTTGCCGACCTTGGAGTCGTTGCAAAGCGGCAGCGATGCGTACATATCCGAGGAAGGGGGTGAAGTGGAGTAAAGACAGATTTGTACAGTGGAAATGTCGTGAGGCCGAGAACGAGACTTGTTCAAAAAAGAAGGTGAGTTAACAACAACACAACGATGATGGAGACACGCACGGGTAGCCCAAGCCTCCTCCGTGCTTCTAAACCGTACCAGGCACCAGCTGTTTCCGCATAGGTTCGATGAAGGCCGAGGGTGGTGTCATGAAGCGAGACGGCGGTGATTGATCACGTCGAAAGAAGGAAGGTAGATGGACTTGGAGGTGCGCGGGCGCGGTGGGACGATGTGCACCTATTTGTCGAGAAATCATCAGGCCATAATAAAATGCACGTTCATCGTCCGACGTACGATATTGACCCATATGCAAGGAGACTTCTATCCGCTCCTCGTGCGTTGTCACTCGACGGTGCCAAACAAGATAGATGCGCGCTCAACTGCTTGAAGTTGCGTGGCAATTGAGGACCTGGTCGTTGGCGACCCGCAAACGCGTGAGGCACGGCGCTGAACGTGCCTCAGAGGACAACCAGAGTAATCAGTGGGATACGACGCACAGCTAAGGCGAGGCGACGTACGAAGGAGAGAAGTGCGGACTTGCCAAGGAACTTAGCCGCCTCCTGCGATGCATGAGCCTGAGTGGGCAATCGAGAAGACGGCGGGAGTCTGTGATATATGAGAGACGGGTGTCCAAAGCGGGTGAACAGGAAGACGGCGCGGAGGTCTGTAATGTATGAGGTGGGTGTCCAGAGCGGGAAGACGGCGCAGAGAGAGAGTGATGTATGAGAGGCAGGTGTCCAGTGCGGGTGAAGGCAAAGATGTATAGTCTGTGATGTATGAGAGAGTAGCGTCCAGTGCGCTTGGAATGAGTGTGTGATGTATGAGGGTGCGTCCAGCGCGCTCGAAAGGGGGGAAGGAAGGAGGGCATGTGTGCGCTGTCTTATATGAGAGAGCAGCGCGTCTATTGCACGACGTGCGAGTAAGGCGCGTCTCTGGCTCTAGATTCTATTAATACCGCTCTAATGTAGTGAGACAGCCCGCCATTAGATGCGCTAAATTCGAGAGGCTACGAGCTGGACACACTTGAAAGGGAAAGCGGCCCAATGTCTGTAGTGTATACGAGGACGGCGTCTGACGCATTCAAACGCAGTGGCTAATAAGCAAGCTTACCTCAGTCGAAAGGGCCGAGGCTACTCTGAGCGGGAGGACACGTTCAAAAGGAAAGGTGCGCGGTTGTTCTCGATCCGCTCAAAACGGAAGGTGCTTGTGGTCTGTTATGCATGAGAAGGGCGCACACGCTCGAAATGGACTGGAGGGCGCGCTCGACAGCAACGGCGCGTCATGGCGCTTGACGTGCTTAAAAGGGAAGGTGGCCGACGCTGTCTCTAAAGTATGAGCGAACGCCGGTGCGCGGTGCGTAATACATTACCGACTACAGCTGGCGATGTATCATCATACATCCACAGAGGTATGTGATACATTACACCATACATCCACAGAGCCCCGTCATACATTGCATTATACATCTACAGGCGGCCCCTCTACTACAGCCCATCAGGGAAAACCGCCCAAACCCCCAAGACGTTGGCGAGATGTCCAAGAGCTCTTGAAGACCTCTTGAAGAGATGTATATCTTTTTAAGATGTCGGCAAGAGCTCAAGACAAGTCCCCCAATATATAGAGAGCTATACTGCTCAGTGACACCTCTAATAGCTCTTTATTATCCTTCTTACAGGTTGAGAACGCCAGCCATACGGCCCATATTGGGGCAGCTCTTCAATTTCTCTGAGAGCATTATGCTAATCTCTCAACAGACTACATCAATTCCAATCTGGTTGATTGCATTCGGGTATCGCAGCATAAAAATCATATCCATTGACATAGAACATACAGCCCGTGAAGCTATGCTAATATCCTACACCCAGCGCGTGTTGTACAATGTGAGCTATAAATGGATATGCTGGTTGTGAAGGAAGAAAAGCACAGCTACAGTTTTGTGAGAGACGGATGATACATAGTACATACGTGAGCGACGGACAATGAGTAGTACATACAAGCTGTGAGAGCAACGAGACGGACAGGTATATCACCCGCTTGGACCCAATGTGAGAATAGAAGTACGCGCCCCGCACGCGACCTGCAAATGATCAGCCAATGAGCCCACCGGACAAGACGGGACCATACCCATATCTGCAATCACCTCACGCCGGCTGCACTCACGCTTTCTTGCCCTTGTTGCCCGCTGAAGGATTGCGCTGGGTGGAACTTGAAGGACCGGCCTCCTGGTCCGCAGCTGCCGTGGACACAGTAGTCGGTGTCCCAGCGGCAGCCTTGCCCTTGCTCCACCGGCCGATGACCAGCCCCAAGTCGATGCCATCGTCCACGTCAACATCCTTGCCGGTGTGCTTTGGGGCCGAGCTTTGAGCGATCCCGGCGAAGGCCCTAACAGGGGCTGTTAGGCCCGGCAGAGAGGAAAGCCGACCACTTACCTAATGTTGGTGACCAGCGTGTCGTTCATGGACTCAACGAGTGCGGCGACGCCCTCGTTATAGGCACGACTCTTGGGGTCTGCATGTCGACGTAGCTTCTCGATGCCCGCCAACAAGCGATCGAACCTACAAAAATACATGTCAGTGTGAATGCGACCCCATGGCAAGCAGACGTACTCGGCCGCGTAAGTCTTCTCCTCGAAGGCCACAGTTGCATTGCCCTTCAGAGATTCATCCAGGGCCACCAAGATCTAACAGTGTGTTAGAAGTGAGTCAATGGAATAGTCGGGCACTCACCGCACTGCACGTCAAGGCAATCATGTTGCTCGACGGCGGCATGACATCAAGGTCAAACCGCTCTCGGTTCTCACTGCGGAGAGCCTCTGGATGCTGCCCAACCCACCATTGACGCGCCATCACCTCAGCGATGACGATGCTGTGGAACGGCGTGTCAGGTCGGGGGTGTCCCACAGCTGCTGCAGGTTAGCCAGTCAGGAAACAAGCTGATCAGTGACACACGTACCGACGGGTCCACATCAGGATCTGGCAGCTCCACGTTCCCGTAGTGGAACGTATTATTTTGCTTCAGGAACCTGATGCGTGCCTCCTTCGCCTTCTGCAGCTTCGCGGTACGACTCACTGCGTCCAGACCGGTGTCCGAGATCTTGATGGACAACAGCTCCTTCTCCACGACACGCTTCGCTTTCTGCTTTAGTTCTTGTCGGATTTGCGCCGCCGCCCTGTAGACCTGAGGCATGGAAACGAGATCATGGTCAGTATGGAATTGCTGAGGCGACATCCACTCACATATCTACCCATCTTCGCCTTGACCTTCTCATCCAACCACAGCGGACTGAAATCCTTCTGAAAGTCGTCCGCCTGATACTTCGGCAGGTTTTGAAGGTCTTCGATGATGATGAGCGGGATGACGACCTTCTCCATGCTGGTGCCCTTCAGGCGAGGCCAAGCGTTCTCGAGCGCGATGTGTACCCGGAGCTCTTGCATTGCTCGGTGCAGGAAGCTCTTGACCGGCTCTTTCATGAAAAGAGCCTTGATGTCCTTCTGCTGCTCGGAGGTGAGGACATCCTTCGTCCCGGTGCTCGGTTTCTGCGTCTTGACCTTGCGTTTGGTTATGGGGTCCGCGTCGTCGATAGTCTGTACAATGAGCTAAGCAACTGGTCAGTCTAGATTCATCAATCGGGCAATGCTTACATCGTCAGCCCCATCGAGTTCATCCAATTCATCCTGGTCACTGCCATCCTCGTGCTCATCGGCGGCCGGCTGGTAAGAGGAACTGTCGTCGCCGGAGTCATCGTCCAAGCTGACGGGTGCCTGGTTTTGACCTCGACCCGACTGGCCTTGTGTCGGCCGTTTACGGCCACGAGGGCTGCCGGTAGAATCTCATGAACGCCTGGTTAGTTAGGCTTTCCAAAGCTGCGAGCATGACAGACTCACCTTCCGCGTCCGACGATGGTATCTCAACAGGATTGACCTTCTTCCTACGAGCCCCTTCACCCATTCCACCCTGCGAGACATACCCGGAAGCGCCACCGGCCTTTGCTCTCGTGGTCTTGGGGCCTGAAGCAGTGTGAGGCTATGCTCAGAACTTCTAAGACTACTTACCTAATCGAGCCACGATGGCTTGCTCCTCCTTGGACAAGCCTTCATGTTGCTTGCGAGCTGCCGAGGGACGGACCTCTCGAGCGTTATCTCCCTCGTCAGGTGATTGCCCTGTACACGCAGTATAGGATGGGTTGTGCGCGTCGGGCAAGTATGCAACGGTGAAACAACTCACTTAGCACTGTCGTGTCTCCCTCCTCTGGTTCGGCTGCTTCAGGTGAATGCGATTCCACCGTCGTATTGCTGATCTTGTGCTTCTTCTTGTCAGGCTCTGTACCCGACTCGCGTTCTGTGTTCTCGTCGGAATCAGCAATGACCTTCCTCTTGCGCGGCTTGGGCTTTGGTCTCGACGTAGAAGAGCGGGGTCCTAGTACAGTTGCATAGTGATCATGGAGGTGACAATGTTAGACTCACGTTCTTTTGCCTTTCCCTTGCTCTTCGGTGAAACAGCATTTTCACTCCCATCTTCGCCCGACTCTCCCCCGTCTTTCTCGTTCTCCAACATGTCGACGTCCTCTGCCTCTTCTTCCCGGATCATGGCCTCATGGTTCGCTTGTATGGCTGCCTAGATGTGAGTACACAAAGCTAGACATTGATTAGATGGAACTCACTGTCCCGACGTTCCTTCTCAGCATTCTTCTGCTTGTTTGCCGACGCAACCATCGACCGAGCCATTTTGTCAAGTTCCTTGGAGGCCAGATCAGGGCGCTGAGCCTTCAGCGCATCCTTCATCAACTTGAGGCTCTCCTGGTACGATACTGGAGTTGTCGAAGCCGGAGCACCTTCGGGAGCTTCTGCAGCGGGAGCGCCTTTGGGAGCTGACGCAGCGGCAGCGCCTTTGCTCGACGGGGGCTTGGTTCTCGTCGCCGCATTTTTGCTGGACGAGGACTTGGTTTCCGGGTTGTCGTGCTTGCTCGACGTGGTCTTCGCTGCAGCACCGCGTTTCGTGGACTTGTTCGCGGTCTCTGTTGCCACCTTGCTGGAGGACGTCTTCGTCGGGACCGAGGCCGCCGACTTCTTGGTGGATCGTGTTTCGCGCTGAGACATGCTGTGAGTTGAGGATGAGGGAAAGCAAGAACGCCGCACGGTAGGTTAGCCTGGGTGATTCTGCAACTGATAGTGAGAACCTTCGGAGTCGCCGGCGATGCGGAGATGCGCGGAATACCTCCGACTTGCGAAGCGTGATGCAAGCACTCTCCGAGTCAGCAATTGTCGAGCTAGGTCCTTCAAGAGATTGCATACCTCCAAGGGCGAGGTAGAGTTGAGCTGGAGCAGTCGAATGCTGGGTGTTACGTGGCAGGGACTGGCGTCTGGCAAAGTCAACATCTATTCGGGCGACGTAACGTACGTACGGCACCGTAACACGCGTAGCGCCAACACCACCTGCCAACACTACCCGCCAACACTACCGAAAATGACTGTTGTCCTCCCAGCCATTCCGCCCGCCCTTCGACCACTTATCAATCTCTCTGTCGGTATGTAATACAAGGGATGCACGCTGTCCAGAGAAATGTAGATTAAAATGAGTCATACCCGCTGACGGAAAAGCAATAAAATCGCCATTTCGAAGCGGTACAACCAACCCGGCTTCATACAGACACAGGGCACCTCCCTCGAATTCTCCCACTGGGAGGACCACGCAGATGGATTTGTCTTGCCGGTCTCTGTGAGCGAGGGTAGCGACGTTCAGATTGATCACAAGAGACAGGAATGGGTGCGCTATCGAGTGGGCATTTCCCGGTAGGACTTCAGCATCCATGCGTAACTCGTCATACTCATCAGGAAGGGTATGTTTAATCTATTTTCCCACTTCAGACACGTTGTCCGACGTATATTTTGACACTATACTCACCTGCTCGGCCATGAACTCGAATACTTCGCTGAAGGTTGCTTCAAGGTTATCGTAGATGCCGGAATACTTGCGCATGTCGGCGGAAATGTAAGGGAGCATCTGGGCGTAATTAGTCTTCGAGGTGCACTCCTTCTCTATCAGCATGGGGTGCGAGTCCACAGGAATTCCATGGCCCTGAAGCCGCTTATTTGAGTCATCGTCATAGCATTACACCTAAGCACATACCCTGGTCCCATGCCTGTTATACCACGCAAAATGGATGGCCGGAAAACTGTACTGCCTTCCTTGGGATGCGGAGCACATCTGTTGCAGGGTTTCTGGCTGATCCTCGAAGCTGGCGGTTAGGTTCACCATCAGCGCACGCCTCAGCTTCTCGGGCATGTTGGCATACACGCTGGCGACTAGACATCCACGGGAATCCGAGATCCGAAGTGGTTCACTGCAGATAATGAGCTATAAGTTGTTGCAGTGTTATGGCGCTACAACGCACCTGAGAACCGATGGCTGCAGTGCAATATATTCCGTGGGATGCGTGGAAACGCCGTTCTGAGACCTTTGATCTAGCTAGGGAGTTCGTAGGATATAATGGTTTCAGCATTTAATCCGGGCGAGGCCATAGGAAACACAACCCCGTACCAGACTTTGCAGTTCCTCCAGAGTCTCCGGTGTTTCCGCCAGTTGCGCGAGAGAGCGTTGGGTTTCCGTCCACGCAAATGCTTCTTCAGGGGAAGTCGGCACGGGAATTGCCCGAAGCGATTCCGCTGACAGGTCCAAGCCCAGTATAGTTATGGAGGATGCGGGTAGGTCTGTTGCAGTAGACGTTCCGTCTAGCTGGTCCCCGGGCATATCCCGCTCTCTTGTGTCGTCCTCTTCGTCGTCCACGGTCATCGGAGACGGGGCATCCTGCAAATCTTCGTATACCGGTCTAAAGAGACTTCGGCTTGCGAACGTCAGCGCCGTCGTCCCGATCGGCCCCACAGGCACAAGGCATGGCGCCCAGACGTCCCAATTCCTCGGCACTTCATTGAAGTTGCTACTCACCAGTCTGTGAGTGACATCAGAACAATCTAGAACCGACGTACGTACTTGAGCAGGAGCGATTCAAAAACCAGGTCAGATTGGCGCAGATCGTAGCAGATCAACGAGTCGGAGGGCAATCGCAGCTCGCTGAGTAGTGAGGGAGAGAACATGGTGTCGAACCGAACGGGCATAGTTTGGCGAAGACGCGAAATAGCTGGGATGATGGTCTCTATGACTTGCTTTCCGGCCAGAGTGTCTAGCAGCATTTGGTGTTGTAAGCCAACATCACAATGCGTGTGTTCAACTGTACGGTTACCTCGATCCGGATCACGAAGTACATTCGCAAGTTTCCAGGCGAAATCGCCAACAGATTTGACAATGTCCACCCGCATACCCGCCTGCGCTATGAGTATAAGGGCGTAGATGGTTCCTATGATACCGCATTCAGCTGAATAATGTTCACTTATACCAAAGACCATGCCAGCACTCACCGCCCGACGCTACCGCCGCAAACTTGCTGCCATTCTGATTCCAGTGTAAGAATGTCCGCTGGGACGGTGCGTAGTCATACCCGCGGACGTGCTCATCGTAAATGTCGCATATACTTCTCATCCTTATGCGCTGCATGCTAGGAAATATTTGTTCAGCTACGTGTTTAGGAATCGTGTATTTTTTTCAGCTGACCTTGTACACTTACAGACTAGCTGCATGAGGTGTACCATGAGGAGTAAGTCGACGCATGACTTGCCGGCTTTCATTCGACGACATCGGTGAACGAGCGAGGGCAACGAGTCGTCAAGAAAGCCATCCCCGCCGTCGCCGCTTTGGAGCAGGGCCTGAGCGTCGGAGAGCTGGGAGGCACCGTCCGAAGAGCTTATAGAAGCGGAGAGTCGGGCAAGGAAGGTGTTAATCCCCATGGTCGGCTTGTTGCCTGCCCGGCGTCGGGGTACCCAGCTCGAGTTAGAGGAACCGGCTTTGCAGTGGGGTGGATTGACAATGATGAACGCTTGCCTGTCAGCCCGTCTACCTGGGCCGGCTTTCTTGCTAGGATTTGTAGTTGCTGAGGCACGGTGATGTGCCGACTTCTTTCTTGGGCTTGTGCGTCTGGATGACCTAGGACACTCGTTGCCAGAGGTGCCGTCCGTGGCATCTGTTGTGCCAATTAACATACCAGACGTTACACACATTCAAGCACTTACCGTCAACTACTATGCATCCGTCGTCCTCGCCGTCCTCATCTTCCAGGCCCGTAGTTTCACCACCTAGCGAGCCATCGTCAGGCTGAGATTGGCACTGGCATTCCCTCAGCCTGCTCGCCACGGCTTGAAGGAGTGTCGACTCCGTGCCGTGCGTATCCAAGAGTTGTTGAAGAGCGAGGGTCTCCTCCGAAGAGAGCTGGAGGAGCGCGCCCATGTCAGTGGAAGTTGAGTCCAACTGGCGCATACCCAAACAAGCGCCGGGTGAACCGGGCAAAGCGTTTGGGCCCGCCCTCCGCCGCGCCCTCAACCCATCTTGCCGAAACATTCAATTGACGCACAGATATATATCAAGTAGCACGGTTCCAACGTGAATGACGCTAATACCCTACCCACCGAGCAGATACTCAACATCGCGCTCCTCCTTAACATCGTCGACCTCGTCCGCGTCCCCGCCCTCAACCCCCGCATTCTCCTCCTCGCCACCACCTCCCGCATCTCCTTCTTCACGAACACCGTATACCCACGACTCCACGCGGACCGCGCTCACCGTCTCGATCAACCGGAGCAGCCTCCTCGCCATGATGGCCGCGCTTTCACACAGCATACCGGCTGTGATGGTATCGGCGTCCATGGCGAGATCGTAGGAGGCGGCGTTTTCTGGATCGGGGAAGAGGTGTTGATGAGTGTTCGCGCCGAGAACGCGCTTGACGAGGATCTTTGAGCGCGGAGAGATCGAGTCGAGGTCGCCGTCGCCATGCTCGTATTCGCGGATGGCGAGCGAGACGTCCCAGTGACATCGAAGGAGCTGCTTGACCTCCTCAAGAAAAGGGGTGGCTGCTCCTAGATCACTCATGTCTCGAAACACGGACTGCGGGGGGTCAATACATGGATACAGCGGGGACGGGGCTGGCGCACCAGATGAGGAAAGGATTCAATGATCCGTTCCTTCTTCCACCCTTCCGTCTTGGCCCGGCGAAGTACGGGGAAGTGTGTTGGGCGTACCAGAATGATGGTTGTTTCCGTCTCGCCGTGGACAACGCTGCCGTTGAACGAGATGGCGGTAGATGTCTTGCCCTTGAACATGTCCTCGAACTCCGGGGTCGTCCGCCCGCGCTGGATTGGGACGTCTGTGGCTTCCCGATGCCCTCGTCGTCCTCGCCACGTCCTACACGACCACTGTCCCCACTCTCGAGGGACCTGCTTGCGCGCCTCTACGCCCACCTTCCACTCTTCCAGCACCTCGCGGCTGGGCTTGGTGCGCTGGTGCTTCTTCTCGTGCACGCACACGATGACAAACCCGAGTACGGGGGCGAGTCCTTCTTCCTCCGAGGTGGCGCACTAATGAAGCATGTCTGATTAGCGTAACACCACAGATATTCGAGACGTACGTACCTTCCGCGTCGCATGCGGCAACGTCTCAGCATAACAAAACTCTTGTCTCAGGACTGACCTCAAACGCAGGGCAACGTTGATGAGATATTCCGTGTCCGCGCGTATGCCCTTCTCCAAGGTATATTCGTCATGGACGGTAAGAGAGTGGAGTGCGGAGGCGCGATCCAGGCGCAACAGTAAGGTGGCGAAGAGGGCGGCGGCGAAACTGTTCCCGCCGTGATGCACGGGCTGGGCATGGTAAGTTGCAAGACGCGATCGAGAGCAGATGCTAATCGGATACGCACCTGACGTTCACCGCCGCTTCTTTCCCGCACCGTGAGCACCGTGACAGCCAACCTGGGAGGAGAAGCACAACGGTGTCTTGAGATCTGTATCTTCCGAAGGCGCCGGGCGGAGCGCCCACTCGTGCACGGGACCTGAGCGTCCAATAAGTGATCACTTGCCTTGTTGGGATTCGCAATGCGTTGCGAGCCCAAATAGGGTTGCACAGCCAAAGCGAGTGTATGTAACATACGGTCGTAAGCGTCGTGAATTGCGAGAAGCGCCTGATATATGTCTACTGGTACAGAACTGCGCGAAACACACCCTTCAGTCCATACGGGTCCTTCGACCACTTCAAGTTCGTCTTGCCCTCCCCTGCACGAAGATCAACGGCGTTTCCCGCAACCCACCGGGCATTCTGATTCAGGCAGACAGCAATGTCCTTAGCGAGTGACTTCCTGCGCGCGAGTGCTGCGTCCTTCGGCGAGAGGAGCCATGGGTGTTTCGGTGTTGCGGTAAAACTCTCGTCGGGAACATTGCGTGATGCGGACCCAAGCTCGCGCGCGTCCGCGTAGCTCTGGACAATGAGGTCGAGCTGGGTGGCGAAGAGCTGCCAAGCCCCTGCTGGAAAGGACTGTGGGTTCCCGGCCGCTGAAGTTAGCCACTTAATAGACGTAGACACATATTAGATCCAGACTATGTCCATCCAGTCAAAACACGCACCATGTGATGGATGTCTTCCTCCCACTTCTCCAGCGTTGATGTGCGAGCAACGCGCTCGACGAACTTCCCAAAATCGTCGCTATTATAGACGAGTACTCGACATTGCACATATTCCTTAGTGCCGGAGATCTTGTGAAGCTTGGTGACGTCCGCATCATGCGGCGCTGGGCTGATGAGAGCGATAAGGAAGCCGCGAAGGGAAGGTAGGGATGGCAGAGCGAGGGACAACTACGTGATGCGTCACGAAATGTTTTGATGATACTAGTGGAAGCCTTACCTTGTGTGTTTGATAAAAGAACTCTTGCTCGGTCTGCGCCACCGCGCAGAAGAATATCATGGGTCCTAGGGCGCCGAAGTGGTTCGCAGCATCGACATGGACGGCGCTGAACTTCATGCGGAATCGCACCCTGTTCGCATTGACGGTACTCTGCACCAAAGTAGCCACTGTGGAGTCCAGGGGATCACCCTTGGCCTCACGTAGGACCTTAGTCATAACATCAGCGATCCCGCTGGTGAGGTCTTCGTCGAACGTCGGCGCAATGGCGATGGCTTTCCCAAGGACCGGCCAGAAGTCGATCCTACACCCTATCAGTGTCTACGGTATGGGTGAAGCCTACGTACTTACTTCATGCACCGTAGGAACGCCACCCAGCGCTGAAACTGCAAGTCTTGGCCACGGACGAGCTTGCAGTTCCACGTCTCGTCCAGGACATTCTGAAGTAGTTCGTACGTATGCCCGTCGACCCCGACAACATCCTATGAGAACCTGTGTCAGACGGGAGCCAATGCTATAAGATGACCGGAATTCTTACTTGAGTCATGAACCCGTCGCGGCCCGCTTGATCCCACTGCAACTGAAGACGCCACACTTCTCCAAGGTACTTACAAACCACCTCGTAGTCGTCGCCCCCTACACCGGCTTTCTCTCTCAGCCACTCCAGGAACTGAGGGGGTAGATTCCAAGACGCCGCAGGTCCGTTAGGCACACCGATGCTCGCAGACATGATGGTCTTCTCAGGCACGGTGTCATATTCCAGTGAGCCGCGCGCGGAGCCTTCCCCCTGAAGCATAGAGCGAGGCATAGTGATTCGATCTTTCTCGCTGAATGACTGGCCAGGGGATTGAATGGTGACTCTCGTAGGGTGGCGAGTTTCGATAGGTGTTCCAGGCGGGTTGGAATCATCGGTGTCCGAGCTAGGAGGGTCGGGCTCCGTATCATCGCTACGGACAGAGTTGGTGTCAGAGCAGGAAAGGAGATCGGAAAGGTCGTTGCCCTTGTCGCCGTGGTCAGACATGGTGACGATACTGCTGGTTGACAGTCGAAAGCGATCGAGCGACCAGTCAGCCTCCGCTACAAGTTGCGCCCATGGGAACAGCATCGGGACAACAAACACAAGCTCACCTTGCCGCCACGCCACAACACAAGTATACCCTCAACTTTTCACTGTCGCTCAGCTCAATATCAACCGCTACCTCTACAAGCGATTGGTTAATCAACTCACCATCTACCGGCAAGACTGGGAGCCCAATAAAGTAAGAATGGCCTTGTTTCATGCTCAGGGCGATGTTCGCAATGCGTTGCGAACCGTAAAAGGCAATCTAGACGCCGGTATACGGCATGTGCCAAGCGGTGTAAGGCATGAGCTAAGTTGTACAACTGAACAAGAACGTGTGGACTTACCTCGCAGGGAGTACTGCGTCGCAGATCAGACGCTTCGCGCTGGTTGGTGTCGACGCACAGTCACGGTGACTAGTACGATGTCATTTTACACTGCAGAAAGTCAGTACCAATTTGAAGAACTCACCCACTGACTGTTTGACGGTTATGTTGACCGTCTAAAACTCCGTGAAGGTGAGAGCCGAGTTCGAAGGGCGGGATCTGTCCACGAACTGATCTGTCCACGAACGGTGATCTCGGAGTACTTTACCTCATACTTAGGCGACTGAATGAACCCTGGGCGCCCATGGGCGGCTCATTTGTAGGTTTGGCGCGCTCCCATCGCCGGTTTTGCGCTCTAACTTCACTCTTGTGCTGCTCGCTAATTTGGTGGACGAGGCTCAGGTGAGTATACAACCTTCTCCGCTATGAATTCAATTTATTCAGCCCATGTTCCTAGCTTTCTAAGGGCCATGACTCTACCAACTGCCCCGTTCGTCCGTCCAGGTTATGAAGACGGAAATATCTGTCCGGCCTGTGACAAACCCTTCCGAACCAGCCAAGGTGTCATGGCTCATCTCTCCACCGCCCGGTCGTGCAAGTGGTTTCGGAAGGGCAAGAACGCAGTCCCACGAGTATACGACGTGCCAGACGTCATTGAATCCATTGCGGACAACGACACGGGCTCTGGAGCCGGACCCGATGCCATGGACCAAGACCCGGAAGATTTCCTGGATGTCCTTCAGCATAGGGAACTATTTCGTTTCGATCTCCCTTCATCTCCCGCTGCAGACTCACGGTTTCCGGGTGAGGGCGAAGCCTCGTCATCCAGTGCTCGTATTCCGCCTGCAAGACCGCCGCTTACCGTGCCGGCATTGGACGACGACGAGGACACCAGAGTTGTTGAAGAAGACACTATGGCGGGACGGGTAATACGAATGGAGGAGAGGATCGTTGACACGTGGAAGGCGTATTTCGCGGAGGACCCAGGGGAAGAAGCTCAGGGAGATGATGTCCCAATGGAAGTGGACGGCGAGGAAGGACCACCGGCGGCGTGTCCAGACCCTAATCTCAAGTGGAGACCGTTCGCATCCGAGTTGGATTGGCAGGTCGCCATGTGGGTTATTAGGGAAGACGTTGGGCAGAAGTCGTTGAATCGATTTCTAAGTATACCCGGGGTGCGTCTCGACCCAGTTTTCTCAAGCAGTAGTGAAGTCTCTGATCCATTATGACGGACTGCAGGTTGTGGAAAAGCTGGGGCTCACCTTCAAAGACGTAAGGCAACTATTTATGAAGGTCGACACAATTCCCGACAGAGCAACGTGGAAGACAACGTCTCTGACGTTTCCTGACCGACTAGACGAGGTTCACCTCATACGCTACCGCGATATACTCGAAGCGATCAAGGCCCTACTCGGTAACCCCGCCCACGCCAAACACATCGTCTATCGACCACGGCGGGTCTTCGCGGATACATCCAAGACAAGACGTATCTTCACCGAAATGTGGACCGGACTCTGGTGGAGTTCAGTACAGGTACGTTAGCCATATCCATATACTTCATAAAGCACATATTTCTGACCGTTTTCTTGCAGCAATTGCTACCGGAGGGGGCGACCCTTGCCCCAGTTATCATCTCCACGGATAAGACTCAGCTTACTCATTTTCTGGCAACAAATCCGCGTATCCCGTCTACCTCACGCTTGGCAATATACCTCGCGCCATACGCCGCAAACCCTCCGAACACGCTTGCATCTTATTGGGCTACCTACCAGTGTCCAAGGTTGGGAAGGAGAAGCTGACGAAGCGTGAGCGCAAGGCCCGGTCTCAGCGACTGTTTCATGCTGCCATGAGGGTCATCCTTAGGCCCCTTGTGCGTGCCGGCGTGGACGGGATGGATGTGACTAGCGGGGATGGCAGCGTCAGGCGAGTACATCCAGTCTTGGCTGCCTACGTCGCCGACTACCCGGAGCAGGCCCTCGTCACCTGTTCCAAGTATGGGACTTGTCCCAAGTGCTGCTGCCCTGCCGACAAACTGGAAGCGGAATCGGCAAGTGAGCAGCGCACCGCCGAGGGAACGGAGAAGATAATTACGGAGGCTTGGGCCGAAGATCGTAGCGCGAGCGCTGCTGAGTCCCTGTGCATGGACAGGGACGTCAGCGGTGGAGTCAAGAGACCGTTCTGGACCGACCTACCCTACACTGACATACACATGTCTGTCACTCCCGACGTCTTGCACCAGCTCTATCAGGGCATCTTCAAGCACCTGGTGTCTTGGTGCGAGGATCTCCTGGGCCCGGACGAGCTCGACAGCCGCCTCCGCTGTCTCCCTCCGGCGTTTGGGATCAGACATTTCAAACAAGGTATCTCATCTCTGGCGCAGGTCTCTGGAAAGGAACGGAAGGACATGGCGAGAATCCTACTGGGATGTCTCATAGGGAAGATCTCGAAACCCGTCATGCTCGCATTCCGCTCACTTCTAGATTTCATTTATCTCGCTCAGTACCCTACCCACGACGATGCTACTCTACAATATCTCACAGAGGCTCTGAAGACATTTCACAAACACAAGGACGTCCTCGTGAAGCTCGGCATACGAGACCACCTCAACATACCCAAGCTACATTCCCTCCTCCATTACGTCGAATCCATCCGACTCTTTGGCACGACGGATAATTATAACACGGAAATGTTCGAAAGGTTGCACATCGACCTGGCGAAGGACGCGTGGCGAGCCTCAAATCACAAGGACGAGTTCCCGCAAATGGTCCGATGGATTTCGCGCCGAGAGAAAATGGCACTCTACGAGGTCTTCCAGAACGAGCGTCGGGCGGACGAAGAGGCGGAGGATCTGCCAGAGGAAGAGGAGGAGGGGAGCGCGAGGGAGTAGCTGAAGCGAGGGCGGAGCGATGCCAGACCCGGTGGGACCGGCCGAAGATGATGACATGGCTGCAGCGCACACAGTCCACCCGAGCTGCGTGAAGATTGCCAAGTATCCGCCTGCACCTCAACAACATCTCGCGAGGATCCAAGAGCGTCATAGTGCTCCGGGATTCACGACGGCTTTGGTTGGGCTCATCAACAGCTTACAACCTGACGAACTCCGGCTGACTCGACAGGATCTGGCGCGAACCTGGTTGCCGTTTGATCGAGTAGATGTCTATCATAAATTCCAGTTCAAGCGGAATGAGCTGTCGGATGGGAAGGACGAGCTTGACGTCGTCAAGGCAGTGCCGGGTGGGGTCAGACAGGGTCGAAAAAACCGGTTCGATACTATCATCGCGCTGGATACTGAGGAGGCGGAGTCAACTGGTGTCAAAGGTGAGTCTAATATTCGCGTGCAGGACACGCCACAGTTCTGACCTTACGAATTGCAGGCACACGAGCTGGCAGAGTCAAGGTGATCTTCACTTTGCCCAAGAAGCTCTCCGCCGCTCAAGGTGGTGGCCCTGCCCCCGCGTGGTGGCCTCGAGGGCCTCTGGCCTATGTGGAATGGTACACTCGCTTCCCGGGTGCACCAGATCCTACGCATCTCATGTACGCGGTGAGTAAGCCGGCGTTGCGGACTGACGGCCTTCCCCAAGGCGCAATCATTCCTCTGGAGCAAATACGACAATCCTGCCAGCTCATACCGGCATTTCGTGATTGCCCTAGAGGAGCTGTTCCTACAGACTGGATGTCGGAGAATGTTCTGGACGTAGTTAACCGGTTCTATCTGAATAATTGGGCTGGGATCTATGCGTATCAGACTCTCTGGTAATGCCGTACAGTAGAATTCACATTATTCATGTCCACGAGCACCATTGCGATTGCGATTGTCTGCGACACATTAGTTTACTATGTACTCTTTTGTAGAGACGCGGAGAAAATCGCTTCAATCGTCATATTTTGTACATTCGGGCCTGATAGACAAGGCTCTTGAACGCGGTTTAACACTTGTGGGCGACTTCAATAGGTGTTCGCGTGGGCTGCGAGACGCTTCAGACTTGCTTTCACACCCACTTCCATCTGGCTACTCATCATTCATTGCAAAGCTTTCTCCATGGCTTCTTTTGACTCCCGAGTTGCTAAGATCGTGGCGCGGGCACTACCAACATTCAAGACCGTTTTACAAAGTGCGGAGAGATGTTTAGTGGAATCAGACATCTGCCATGTCTCTATCGTCTGTTTGGAGAGCAGAGGCTTTGGAACGGTGTTCAGTTACGTGAGTTTGGAATCGCTTCGAGTCCGTCCTTCATTTGTGCCATTGCTAATACACAGTGACAACGCAGTGTCCGATGTTCAACACGTCTTCCTGCCGGATGAAGCCGCACCCCAGAGTCCAATTGTCACGCGAGAAGTTCAAATTGGTTCGCCGTCGTATGCAGGAACTGGATCCGCCAGCCCGGCTGGGTGGGTGGGTCTTCTTGGGTGCCATTCCGGAGAGCTACGGTGGGCAAGAGAGATGGGTGCCGGCCTGCCTGAAGGAGGGAACGAGGAAGGCACAGGTCGAGGTGCTAGTATATGCTGCGGTGCGTTTCACATCCCATTTTTGCTTGACAGTCCTTTCTGACTAATGTGCAAACGGAGTAGGAGCATCGTGCCCCGCTATCGCTTCCCCTCATATGCGAAGTACGGGACGGGGAGATCGTCATTCCTTTCGTTCAGCCCCTGACCATCCAGGTCATTCCTGGGCTGAATAGGTATTTGAGGGCCAACTCTCCGACAACTATCGACCACTTCGATGCACTCGCAAACTCGTTTTCCTTGGCCAGCGGGCAGTGTCACTTCCCACTCCCACTCCGGCAAATTCCTGTCTACAGGCTGTCTCATATTGAAGACACTCTGTACGCCCTGGAATACGCGCAAGGTCGGCGCCCAAGCTACCCCTGTGCTCTATGAAGGTCGGCTTCGTTGAGCTCGACTTTCTATGGCCAGTGGGTCTGCCTAATCCCCGGCAATACGTACGCGCGGCTTGGAAGGTCCGCTATTTTTCTTCTCCCATGGGAAAGGTTGCCGTGCGACCCTTGCACGGTGAAGCCGGCTACACCGTGATAACCGTGGAGGAAGGACAGGGGGAAGACTAGGGATGTGGCATAGGATTGAAGTGTGCGTCTTCCATTTCCTATACTGTTTCATTCTGAACCCACTCCCACATCAGTGCACAATCGTTGCTCCGCCGTCACGTATCACTACCCATGCCGACTACCTCAGTTTCCAGCTTGTTTGCTCCGTAGTGTGCCAGCCACTAGCTGGAGGTGTTGCTCTGTACTTATGTTCTCCTGTTGACGTCTCTTTGACCGTGTACATTAGCTTACAACGTTGTGAATCGTAGCGGATGCCTCTCGGCGAGCACATCAATGAGCAATGAGCTCACGGTGCCTACACCTACTACCTGCCAGTCCGTCCATCCTGCTCAAATGCCGGTGTGTCCGTCCGCTCATCCGGCCTGCACGCACCCTCGACTTCTCTCCCTCGCTTACTCACTTCCTCTTGTCACGCGTCTCGGTCACTAGCCTTGCGGGCAAGTTCGCGTTTCCGCCGCCTTACTTCCCCTTCTTGCGAACGCACGTGTTCACAAATACCACTGATTTACTCGCTTGCCCACCCACCGCCAGCCTTTGGCTCTTGTGCCCACCCTCGGCTGGTCACCCGGCGCTCTTTCCCGACCGCGCGTCCATTACTATGGCCTCAGTCAAATTCATGAAAGTCTGCTGTAGTACGTACTGTGTGTCCTGTTTGTTGTGCATACATTGACCACTGCTGTCCTTGCAGGATAGCCGTCGCCACCGTTCATTGTGGATTCACAGACGTCGTCGAGCCACGGGAGCGACAACTTGAAGGAGGCGACGCATAACATCTTCGACTTCGACGCCGATGCCGATTCGAGTCTTGTTCAAATCCGTGAATGCTAGTACGTGAATCCGGTGTAAGTCTCTGGTCCCTCAGGCTCACTCACAACTTGTCGCTTTTCACCAGCACCTGCGAGTACCATTTTTTGCAATGCCTAAGTCTCTGTTGTCACGCGCTGTCGCGCGCACTCACCTGCCCATCGATATTACCTGCTCACAGATACGTCAGTTCTCTCGTACCTCTTTCGTACCCGCCGCTCGCGCAACTGTGCCAGACGGGCAGCGGTGCGGTGCTGCCGCCGACTCGTACAACAAACAACAACCACACGCTCAAGTCAACGCATTGGAATCAAGCGTGAAAGGCATGAGCGAAGCGTGCACTGGCGAAGGAGATAGTACAAGGACGAAGGGCAGGAGTGACGAACAAAAGCAAAGCTTTAGTGAGTTGTCTATATAGTGTACCTACCAACAACTATTGTTACTGCGCCAGCCTGGCGCGATTCTGGGAACGAGGGCGGGCTGACCCATGGTTTGCGGTTCTGCAGATCAACCGCGACAAGCCCACAGTCCCCAACAGGCCACGGACAACTTGGTCTATAGGTGGTATCATGTGCGTAAAGGCTTGCACATACAAATTGGGACGTAGCTTATAATCCGCTCACTCACTGTCTAGTCCACCTGCTTTGGCATCATATTCGTACTTGATTCACTAGTACAGTAGATTTGTTGTTTGGAAGTGCTTACGTGCTCTGTAATAATATTCATCTATCCAATGCGATGCCATCTGGTGCTAAGTGATTGAGCAGTCTGAGGTTGAAGGTGGGCATGGCCTTAGCTCTCTACAGAGATGCCAATGGGTCAGTGATTGCAGTGAGCGATGGCACGAGTAATTACAGAGTGCTATGAAACATGTCCGAGAGACGCTGCTGGGTACACAAGAGCTCTTCAAGTAATCGCCCTAGGTTGTCCCAGCTCTTGGAGGTATACAAGCTGTTGGGCGGCCAGAGCGTTTTTCCTGATGCCATACATGTATCATCCGTGGACTGTAAGTACAGACTTATCATGTATGAATATGCCGGTGTAGCCTGGCTCTTTGTCCTCTGAACCCTTGGTCCGGATCAAGGTCAAAGTATACCCCCAAGGGTGAGTCGTCAGTGACTGTCAAGCAGTGGTATCAGTGCTCATCAGCTCAATTCTAGGATGAGAATGATACGCTGTATCTTTATACGTTTTCGCGCCATTCTTTCAATCGGGATCTAGACAAACTTGGCCTCCTTCACTTCCATGTCGTTCCAGTCCATACCTACGTCTTGGATCTCATCAAGACTATCGTGTCGGCTATGGAGGCATCACCCCAGCGATACATCTTTGGCGCAGCATCAAATATGCACCTACTGGTCGAACACGAGCGCCAGCCACTTCAACTTCTTGGATTCCGCAACAAGGGCTCTACGCAAAACTCAGCACTCGTTACGCTTAAACGGCAGGCGCTCACCGCGCAGCTTACCTTGAGTGATATGCTCATGGACAAGACCCGCTACTTCAAGCCTGATCTCTCCCTCGAGGATGGTCACTTCGTCGTCCACTTCAGTTAGTTCTCCCGAGCTTGTGATGTATGCAAGGAAACTGACCTTCTGCTTGAGTCGTGAGATCACCGAGGTTCTCTGGACTTTTGCCATTGCAGGGGTCAGACGGGGGTCTATTGCGTCGTCACAGCTGTGCCGGCATACGCATCTGGTCACGTTTCCCGTGTGACAACCACCCATCCTCGACCGATGACGACGATGCAGCCACTGCAACATCTGGTGGCGAGTCGGACGGAGCATCGGATGGTGAGGAGGAAGCCCTAGCCATTCTCTCTCAAGGCCTAGCCATTTCGAACAACACTTCTCCAGAGGTATGTCACCATGTTGTCGTGATACGGCAGGCTGGCAACACTGCTGACAATCCCTTCTGCCCGCAGATCGAGGATGCGGTGGCAGCAGCGGTGCCATCTGAGCCAACTGCCAGTCTTCGCCGCTCTTCTAGGCTGGCGTCCAGCGATAGGACTACCATGGCCTCGCATCCTACTGCCAACACCGGAAGTAGCAACATTAGCTTCCCGGTCTCTTCCTTACAACGCACTGGTTCTATTGCTGAGATCAGGTCTCTACCACCACGGATCTGGACTGGGGAGGTAGCCTTTGCCACATCGCACGCCTCAGATGAATACTTTGATCTTGACGGCTTCGCCGACAATATCTATGCTGCGGCCAATCCCGGAGATCCTCCTGCTGCCTTACATGTCATCGCTGGCCCTGATGTCACTGACGTCGCTGCCAAGATGCGCGAATACATAGAGCAAGCCTTGGAATCCAACGATTTCTCTCAGATCCTCGCTCCAGAGAGGTCCTTTGTGATGTTTGTCACACGTCTGTATCCATGTATTCCACGATTGACTGACTATTCTCTACTGGCAGACAAGGCCTTGATGGCCGTCTGAGGCAATGCGGGCAAGGCATAGAGCGCGAGGTACTCCAGCTCTTATTCGAAAAGTACAGCGGAGACAAGCCCAAATGGTTTGAGTCCAGAGCGGATGAGCGGTCTTCCATTGCCACGTCGTTGACTATGGCGGCGTCTCGATACTTGCCAGCAAACCGCACTCGCGACTTGGGCGTCCTGGGTGCAGTGGCTGCCTTGATGATGATCAACGGCGCACCTCCTGAGCCGCTAGACCCTGTGTTCCTGCATTATTGCCTCAACGACTGCGACATAACGAAGATTAGTCCTGAATTGGTCGGCGAGTGGCACCCTGACTTGAAGGAGTTCCTCCAGAACTGGCTCAGCCTAGGCCCAACGGACGACATCAGGGGCTTTCGGTCATTCCTTGCTCAATATTTATCTCTTGACGTAAGTTTTCCTTTGGCAGGATGCAATAGCTTCAGCGGCTGACCTTGTAATGTAGGTGCAGCTACTGCAGGACCGCAGCGAGGAGTCCCATCATGTTATAGCAGTAGACATGCTTTATCGTGTCATAGTTGGCACTGAACCTCCCGAACACCCAGAGCTCCAGGCGTTCATGCGTGGTCTCCGCCTAGCATGCAAGAATGGCTTCTCTTTCCCTGACGTACGCTTCTTAGAGCTCTTGTGATTTCTAACTTCTAATACTTCGTTCTCGTTTTATAGGCTGTCCAGAAACTGCAAAGCGGCGCACAGATGTTCTACAGTCTTCTTTGGGTATCCTCTGTCTCGTCATATGACTCCCTCCTTCAGCACGTACGCATCAGGAACATGACTGCGGACAAGAGGGAAGCCTTCCGTGCTGCTGTACAAGGCTCAGGATGCGAGACGACGACACCGGAGTCACTGCTTGCGGACTATCTCAAGGGTTCCGGTGTTCCGTGTCCTCATCTCTTCGAACAAGCTAAGCGAGCCTACTGAGTAAGATTTGACGTTTCGAACGGTAGACCCGGAGTGAGATTCGGCCGTCTAAGACGGTGCGGCCGGCGCCGGCCGGAGGGGTCCGGGTCAACGTTGCAGACGGTAGCGTACCAACGTTCCGGCCGCAGGGCAGGCCGGCCGGATACGTCTCGTCCCCAACGTTCCGGCCGGCCCTCCACCCTGCCCCTGCGTCCCCCAGCGGTGCACCCGGAGCATCCCATCGCCCGTTCCAACGTGCCGGCCGGAGGGCTGTCCGGCCGGGCACCTCTCATCCACAACGTTCCGGCCGGCCTGCACCCTGCCCCTGCGTCCCCCAGCGGTGCACCCGGAGCATCCCATCCCCCGTTCCAACGTGCCGGCCGGAGGGCTGTCCGGCCGGGCACCTCTCATCCACAACGTTCCGGCCGGCCTGCACCCTGCCCATGTGTCCCCCAGCGGTGCACCCGGAGCACCCCATCCCCCGTTCCAACGTGCCGGCCGGAGGGCTGTCCGGCCGGGCACCTCTCATCCACAACGTTCCGGCCGGCCTGCACCCTGCCCCTGCGTCCCCCAGCGGTGCACCCGGAGCATCCCATCCCCCGTTCCAACGTGCCGGCCGGAGGGCTGTCCGGCCGGGCACCTCTCATCCACAACGTTCCGGCGGGCCTGCACCCTGCCCATGTGTCCCCCAGCGGTGCACCCGGAGCACCCCATCCCCCGTTCCAACGTGCCGGCCGGAGGGCTGTCCGGCCGGGCACCTCTCGTCTCCAACGTTTCGGCCGGCCCTCCACCCTGCCCCTGCGTCCCCCAGCGGTGCACCCGGAGCATCCCATCGCCCGTTCCAACGTGCCGGCCGGAGGGCTGTCCGGCCGGGCACCTCTCATCCACAACGTTCCGGCCGGCCTGCACCCTGCCCCTGCGTCCCCCAGCGGTGCACCCGGAGCATCCCATCCCCCGTTCCAACGTGCCGGCCGGAGGGCTGTCCGGCCGGGCACCTCTCATCCACAACGTTCCGGCCGGCCTGCACCCTGCCCCTGCGTCCCCCAGCGGTGCACCCGGAGCATCCCATCCCCCGTTCCAACGTGCCGGCCGGAGGGCTGTCCGGCCGGGCACCTCTCATCCACAACGTTCCGGCCGGCCTGCACCCTGCCCATGTGTCCCCCAGCGGTGCACCCGTAGCACCCCATCCCCCGTTCCAACGTGCCGGCCGGAGGGCTGTCCGGCCGGGCACCTCTCGTCTCCAACGCTCCGGCCGGCCTTGTACAGCACCGGCTTACCGCTAGAATTGAGCCCTGGATCAGGCAAGCCAAAGGAACGTCGGCTGGTCGGACGATGCGTCAACAAATGGATGGCAGATGATAATATTATCTCCCATCAATGTTGATAAGTAGTGATCATGCAGCGGGTCAGCCATCCTTTCGAGTCCTTATCTGGGCCATGAGGAAGCCACATGCTATACACAAGGTAACCATGAGGCCGCTTTTTTTCAGGGACGTGCATCCGGCGTTGTCTGGGGACTTGCGACGTCGCTCATACGACTCTGCATCAATCCCCACCATGGTCACAGTATCCCAAGTGCACAACCAGTACTGCTCGTATCTGGAGGCATTGTACCTCTACTTCCTCTCGGTGCCGGCATCGCGCCCCGGCGCCGCTCCGCTTCCCGGACTGCTCCTCGACGTCTATCTGGTTCGCCAGGCCAGGCGTGCAGCGCAGATGCTGGCCGACGCGTACAGGAATCGCCGTGAGCACTCATCAATCGTTCGCCTACATGCTCATCCACTCATTCACCAGGCAGGGACTGTACAGTGGGATGCGTCGACTCATCCATGCACTGTACCGGACGATGATGAATTGGCCGCAGTGCAATACGAGGACTGCCAGGATCCGCTTACCATCGCTGACAATCAGGGCCGGGTGCTGATGTGGCACCTTCCCGGCGTGATCACGGAGGTCTTCCAGGTACGCCAGAATACATATGTCCACCGCCAACTGTCTATGACCGAGTACAAGAGAGCGATATGGCACGCCACAATCGGTCTCAATCCACTTCTCTCCCACAATCGCCCCAAGGCGAGTGCAAGCTGGAGGGAAAATATCGAGAATTTCCGGGAGCCGCAGGAGGGGGACGACCTTAAGCCGGCGTGTGTCGCGTTTTCGCCGGGGTGGTTCTGGCTCGGACACGCTGTACGTCTCCGGATAGACTTCCCGAATTGTTCGCTCAAAGTTTAGCAGGGCGCCAACGACGTCCCACTGGTCTCTCGCTTGCTCACCGATCCGAACACCGGCCCCGCCGGTCACATGTGGTTAGACCAGATGGCCCATCCGCATATCATCATATCCGGCATGCTGCGCATCATGCATCCGGATTTGTATGACGCCGGTCGTGCCTCTATTGAAGCTCTGCGAAGCGACCCGGACCGGGCCAGCATTGTAGATTTATGGCACAACCCGTTCAATGCCCTTTCGGTAATCACAAACCGAGCGAGCCCGGTTCATCGGGACATGCTGTCTCCGAAGGAGTGGTACGACATCCTGATGACGATTGGTGGCGATCCCGAGCAGTACATCAAGTTTCCGACTTTGGGTCTCCGACTTCCTTACAAAACCGGAACGGTCACCGCATTCTCGGGCACTCGCCTCCCCCATGATGTTCCACAGGCGTCGGCGGAGCGGATATGTGTGGCATACTTTATGCGACGCAATGTACATCGCTGGGCTGGGATGCCGGACGTGAGTTGGCGGAACACTTGGGAGTGAAGGTACTACGAAAGCGGGATATGTGTTGGGCTGGGGGGGAAATGGGTTTTCTCGTTTGGGCACTCGTAGTGTTTAGGGTTACAGGACCAGTACTCAACCACGAGTCCAAGTTACAAATGTGTGCACTTCACTAGCCCCCGACATACACATCGTTGACCGGCCGAGACTGAGTTTCTTCGGGCCGGGAACACCGCGTATCATCTCGGCGAAATGTGCAAGTCTTCATTGTAAGCAAGCAGTGGGAGGAATACATGAATGGAACTTGGGTGAAACGACACAAATTCTACACTACTCATTCACCAGCCTGAGTGACCCGGAAATGAGACGCCACTGCCGGGGCCCTTGGAGTCATCCCGCGCTGCCAGGCTTCCCACTCTGCCGCATTCGCTCGGGCGGCAGCGTGCCAGAAGTTGAGCTCCGCCTGGATATAGATATCCATTGTCTGCATGGCCCCTCCAAGTTGCTTGAACCACTTGAATAGATCGTTCGACATGCCTCCCGGCATCATTTCCGGGCTGAGGGGCGGGGGGTTCGGGAAGCGGGGGAGATATGCCCGGCTGATTTGCTCGGCACGAACAGTAACTCCGTCCTACGACACAAATGTGCATAAGCAGAGCACGAGAACGCAAATGGTGCTGAAATTGTCTTACACGCAACTTCTCTAACTCCAGTTGCTGCTCGAGACGGCGGTATTGTTCTCTCGACGCTCCGAGCTGCTCGGCGATGATCTGATCCATGCTGCGCTGGCTTTCACGCAGCTCCTGCAGAACTGCTTCCGGAGTGTTGCTTTCCGGCAGGGCGGGGACGGTTTGCGGGAGTTGATCTTCCGGTGGCTGGGATTAGCATCACTGGAAACTTGTGCTTAGACCGAAACACTTTACCGTTGTGCTCGCCGGAAGGAGTGTCGCTGGTTCCGGTGGTAGCGGGCGCCCCACTTTGCCCTGGTGCGATGCCGGATACAGCCTCGATCACATTCGTGACAATGGCCAAGTCTTTGCTTCCCCGGGGTGCCACAATCTCGCAGTAAGTGGTCATTGCTTCTGTAAGACCATACGTAGCGGCAACCTCTGGCTTCAACATCTCCTGGAGGCCGATCATGAGGGCAGAGACCGACTGGTTTTGTCGTATGTTAGCTGCACGACAAGCAAACGATACCGGGGCAGCTTACGATGCCCACGAGAAAATTGTTAAGGGCGCCGGGCAGCGCAGGATTCTGCTTGGCCTCGGCGAGATTTTTGAGGGCCTTCGGGATCATGATGTTTCTTTGGCTGTCAGCGAGGAGTTCGGCGAGCATGGTGTTCATTGTTGTTGAGCAGCTCGGTCCAGACGACGCGGATAGTGTACGATACAGGAGTAGTGTAACAACATGCGAGTGCGAAGCGTTATCATCAACTGATCGCCGATGCTGAGCACGTGATTACATTCGGGGAGACATGCCTTCTTGGGTATAGTCTGCTCGGCACGTGTGGCACGTTGCCGACAGGCCATTTCGCAGCCCGCCTTCTGTAATGGTAACTGTGATATTTTACCCCCATCACCTTCCTCAATCACACCAAGCTCTTATTTGTGTTGACTTGCCATATGGACATGGTGCGTTCTCATTGGTCCGCACCTATCCCACCGCGCGCATTGACTGGCATTGGCAGTCTTTCCGGCTCGAAGCCTTTCCTTTCCTCAGCTGGGAATTGCTTCCATTCGCATTGTCCACCCCGTGAGTGCTTCCCACGGTTCAATGTACATCAAGATTGTGACATTAATATTTAGTTATGCCGAAGTGGTGCCCGAGCGGCCACACACATATTCGATCAGGCGATATCTGTGTGGACAGATCGTCATGTCGGTGACGTACGAGAGCAGCGAAATGTCCCTTGACATTTCCGGGATTGATGCCAGGCTGGAAAGGATTATGTTGCTGTTTGATGTGGTGGAGGCGCGGGATGGAATGTTGATGGATTGAGTCCTTGGTTCCAAATGCTTACACATGTACTCCTGCTGTCGTGCTTTCAGTTGCTCCAAATGAGCCAGGATGATCACCGAACTCCCATTACTTGGCATGCGACATTGCAGGATGCCATCCCGGGCAAAAGTACATTTCATGTCCTCGTATGAATTACCAGAGCACCGACAGTCCCTCTAAGATACGACTTTCCTCTGCCAAGGCCACGCGGGCACTATGTATACAGGCATACGACATTGCGGCCAACGCCTCGTTCACCTAACCCGGGCCGAGTATTTGCCTGGTCGCTCGGCCCGAGCTTTTGAAGAGTGCTCGGACCGAGGATTTGGGAAGTGCTCGGGCCGAGAGTTGGGCACACAACTGAGACCTTGAGTTCTCAACGTTGCTCGGGCCACGAGCATGCCTGATACCTCGCGCCGAGAGTTTGGACTGGTGCGCGGGCCGAGTGTTTCGTCATATTCTCGGGCCGGGAGTTCGGACTTGTGCGCGGGCCGAGTGTTTGGTCATATACTCGGGCCGGGAGTTCGGACTGGTGCGCCGGCCGAGTATCTGGTCATATTCTCGGGCCGGGAGTGCGGACTGGTCCGCGGGCCGAGTATTTGGTCACACTCTCGGGCCGGCACTTCGGGCAAGCATTCGGACTCGGAGCTGGGACCATGGGGCCTGACAGCTCGTCACAACCCTCGGAATATGTAGACTGTGTAGCCGGGTAGGTGGTACGATTACAAAGTAAATTTCTATCCTACCACTACATCACGACATTCGGCTCCAGGTACAGATCCCGCCATGCCACCTTTGCATCTTCACGCAGGCGATCAAACAGTGCGCCTTGTGCTCGGCAATGCTGGGAAAATCCTGGGTACTCGGCATCGGTGTTATTGGTCGCTAGTCCTCGCCACCGGCATGCTTCGTGGTCAAAGTATCGGCACACGGAGTCAAGCTCCCTGCGCAATATGGCGGCTTCTTCCTCCAATCTGTCGACCTTTGAACGGGCATGGAACCACTGTACCCTGTGAACTATGCGCAATGTCAGCGAGTTATTCAATGCCGCACCGCCGTCTCACGTACTGATTCCCAACTCGTCATTGCTCCGTATGTCGCCACCGACGTTAACATTCCATATCCACGAGGGGGATTGTGCCGTTGGCCGGCCTTGTTGGGCTCGGCAATGGCGGTTACTGTCTTTAGATCATCTGGGGTGAGCTGCTGATATTTAGCTTGATCCTCTGCAGACAGGCCGAGCACTTGCATCGCCGCCGGGCCCGGCGATAGATTGCGGCTTGAAGCTGTACAGCTCGGTCGAGTTTACCCAACTTGGTAAGGATCGGGTGCGCTTCTTGTTGCCATCTTTCCTCCCGTGCCGAATGGTTGTCTGGAACTCAAACGATTTCTTGCCGATGAGAATCCGAAGCTGCTGCAAGGCATCATTGCTTGTCCGCGCCGCAGAGTGAGCTCGTGCGCGGCCAACGTTGCAATCCATTGGCGGTTAGAGCATTCCGCGTGAAATTCGAAGGTAGCCCGAGTTTCGTATGTTCCGCCGCCTTCACTGGGTATGGTGCGGGCGGTTTACTGGGAAAGATGGACCATGGATTGTCGGCATGTGCTGGGGGATCGTTGGGATCTTCTTCCCACTCCGCAGCCGAGTCGTCATCCACTGCTTCCTCCTCTGCCACGCCCCAGTCATGCCTTCGGTGAATTGCAGCCGCTCGCCGGTGGAACCGCCGGATCTGACTCTCGAGAGGCTTCCTCCGTTTGGCCAGCTTTAACTCTTGAGCCCCCGTCACAGTGGCGCCCATCTGCTTTATATCTTTCTGGATTGCGAGTCTGCAGCAGGGCGATCAGAATTAGCTCGGAAAAGGAGGTCAAAGCACTGACTGTTGCTCTTCAAGCTTAAGGCCATCGGCAATCCAGTCCGCTGTGCCAACGCGGTCCCCGCCTCACCCTCTTCTTCTGCAAGCTTTATCTGAAGTTCGAGCCGCGAGGGCACTGTGACCAAATCAGACCAGAGCTCGGCATGGAGAGCAGAGTGTACCAACTAATTTGTTTCTTCGCTTGATACCTGTCCATTACCTTCACATCCCGCAGCCTTCGTCGTTGTACTATCCTGAGTTCCCTCCTCCACTCTCCCAAAATGTCGGCATCGACACTGGCCTCCTTTGCGGTGAGGTCGGCCTTCATGTCGGCCAGCAGTGGCCGATTGGCTTTGATTTTTCTTCTCAGCGAAGCCACTGTCCTCCGTCAGCCCAATGTGTGATGCCACAATCAGCTAGACCATACCCATGGTGATCATCTTCTTCCAATTCCAATTGTTCATGTGCCGGTCGAGGGTTTCCTGCCGGTGGGATGTTGACATTGAGCGGGTACTACCCGACACGGGATTGATCCCCGACCATTGGGTTTCGATGATCTCGCCGTCAGCTTCCCCGGCCCCCTCGGTGAAGGTGAGAGAGTGCCGGAGCTCGCACTCCGCCTTGTGACCGTGAATGTGAAAGAGGCCAATGCACTTGTATAGGACGAGGCCCCCCGGCATTTGAAGATAAGGATTGTCGTCAAATCGGTCATGGAGATGGACGTGGTACTGGCACATGATGTCGTATGATACATAGACGTGCCCAATACCTCTCGAGCGGTAGCCGAGAGCATTGGACAGGGAGTAGTCCATGTTCATCTGACGTTCGCCCTTCTGATAGTTCACTACCGAGTGCGGAAGGAAGCACCCGTGCCTCAAACAAGATGTTGCGCCGATCCCGGTGACAGCGAGCTTATGCCGGTCGGCGTTGGCCTGGGAGACCGCCTTGTGGTCGTTGCAGCTTGAGTGCTGTGGACGTGTTAGCCACACGTTCGTATGCCGGCTGTATACACCCTCACCATCTTCACGTCCTTCGCTACTCTCAGGTGCTCCTCGTATGGGCCGGGATGAACCATGAACATTTTCCCCGGCATCAACGGTACGTCGTTCTCGGGCTTGCGCATTTTCATTTGCTCGGCGTGGAAGTTCCCATCCATGACATATCCTCGGGCATATAGGTACCTCCAGAACAGTTCAGCTGGCGTATACCGGCGAACAGAGTAACTACTTACTTCCTATCATCCACCTCCCAGTCCTCGGGTATGTTCACTCCGGGCTGCGGACATGCCGGGCAAAAGTGAGCAAGGTCTCCGTTGCCCGGGGCCTCTCGCCACTGTGGCCCGTATCCAAACTGTTTCTTCGCCTGGAGCAACGCCCATTCGCGGCTCACTCTAAGCAGCTCAAGGTATCGATCCTACTCCATTTCAATCATGTGCTTTGCTGGTATTCTGGACACTCACTCACCGGTACTTCATGGGGAAAAGCCGGATTGGTGGCCCGTCGAATCCGTGCGTAGTAATTCATGGCGGTAGTCTTACACTCCAGATTGTCCAGCAGGAAACCGTCAAGTGCCCCAAAGGTGAAGCACGTACGAGCCTTGCGCTGGCTCGCCGGATACAACCCGGCATCGAGAAGCTGCGATGTGTGGTCACCGGCGTCGGGACAGCCGCACCACGTCACCGGAGGAAATGCACCCCGGTGGTGTCAACAATAGTCATCATTGCGGGCGGGGGTCGCGGAGGTGAGTCGGCGTGGTGAAGAGGGTCCGCTGGTACATCGCCATCATCGTCGGCCGCGCGATCGGTCGCCCGGTCCATCTCCACTTCCTCGTCATCCTCCACACAACCGCCGGCTGGGGGCATTCTCTGCCCCGGTGGCCGAGAGTGATTGAAACTCCAACTTGACGGAGCCATGAGGGCTCCCAGTATCCTCCGAGGTTCCACTGCTCAACCCGGTGGAATGGTGTTCGCCGGTGCTCGGCGAGACAGCAGGTCGGGCAGAAGATTGGATAACCAATGCACGACATGCACTTCCATACCCGCCGCCACTGTTGCAGCTCGAGCACATATAGCTCCCCTCGGCACTGAGCGCGGGAGGCTTGTAGTGGGCGTACAACGATCGCAGATAGTTGTGCTGGAGGGAATCCACTCTCTAAGCATCTCAGGTTGTGTCTGATTGAATTGGTGAGGCTCTGTCTACGATACAACATGGGCACTTGGTATACCTGCGGGGCACTCTGTCGAACTGTGGGGAACTCGCAGAAAGTCGTGTTGGCAACATCATCGGTTGGTGGCGTCCAGCTGGACTGTCTTGTTGTCGACCGAGCGGTTCGATGGGGTGTAGCCGGCGGAGTCTGCAACCCGCTATTCTGCACCTCGACAAGCCGTGACCTCACTCCCCTTGCAGTCCTTCTTTTCGTCAGTGTGAGTTCTACCACTGCAGGAGAGGTTGCCGTTGGCCGCAGTCGACCCATGGTGTTACCAGAGCAATCAACAGCTCAGCAGTTTGATAAGGGCAGAGTTCAGCTCTGTATTGCCATTGCTCACGTCAAAACTGCTGCAACCATTGCGATTGCCACTAGTGCAGCAGTATGCAGCGGGCCGGCCGCCCGTGTTCCGGGTATGGTGCGGCCGGGGCCGGGATCACCGACGTGGAGTCGCTAAGTGTTGCAGTTCGTCTAAATCAGACAGCATTTAGGATTCCATGATGGTTCGCATGAGAACGGGGCGCATAATGGCCCGGCCGGACATTAGTCAGTTGCGTATATAATGATGCGGCCGGCAAGATGTCGATCACAACGGTCCGGCCCGCCTGCCGGTCACGTGTCCGGTGCGCTGCGTTTCATCCAGTTAGACGAGGTGCCAGAAGCATTTGCTGGATGCTATGTTGGAGCCAGATCGGTTTCAGCCTGCCGTTGGCTTCCCGGTCGGGACGGCCGGTGATGGGTCTTGTCTTAACCTGGTAACCGGAGTCAGTGACCGGACCCGGCGGCGAGCGGGATCTGCGATACGCCGAGTACCATGGAACTGGAGAGCTAACAATTCACACCTTGGTGACTCGGTGGAATCCAATGTGGGTTCGCCCGTGATGCTCCGGCCGGAACCGTCCCATTCTGGCGGCCGGCGTGCCAGCACATCAGAGTTATGGTGATAAGTAAACAATGAAACGAATGTTGTGTTATGGTTCAGGTAGAATTTGTGTAGCCCGAGTACAGCCTGTTATCTAAGCTCAGAATCGAAAGGTTGTGGCGAACAAGGCTCGGGGTGTCACCGAATCCGTCACCCCGAGGCTACCGAACTCTTGCCATCACCATCTTCGTCGACAAATCACACCTTGCTCACCTAGCATTCTCACTTCACCAGCAACTCGCAATGGGAAAGGTCACCTGGCAAGAACCGGACCTAGTGATCCTGAACAGCAACCTGGAGGATTATCAACAGGCTTCCGAGGATCCACAGCGACGTCAGGAGCTCGTGGAGAACAGCATTCAACGGCTGGAAGAGCGGAAGAAAATCAAGTTTGATGCTCAGTTGCGAAAGGTATGCATTCGACGACGATGATAGAACATTGGTAGCTCATCTCCGGCAGCGCGTCGATAAGTGGTACTCTAACCGACGGGGGTCGAAGGAGCAGGTCAAGAAGGAGATGTTTAAGCTCGGCAAGGACATAACGTGGAGGACGGTCGCGGCCCGCGACCGGGAGGATGAGCTGGGCGAGATCATGGCGAGGATTGCCCGGGAGAGGGGGAAGGATGGGTTGGATGACGACGACGAGGAGGAGGAGGAGGGGGATGAGAGGGAGGACAAGGAAGGCAAGGCGATGCCGAGCCGCCAGATCCCGGCCATCTACCAAACCGCCTTGAAGGAGCTCTGCGACAATCTCTCGCCGGAGGACCAGGCCGACTACATGCAGGTCGCCAAGGATTGGAACACGCAGGTATGGCCGCCGACCTTCAACGGAAGCAGCTCGAGAAGTACGGCACCACCATGATCCGGGACTTCATGAAGATCATGTGGAGGAAATGCGGGGCAAGGTGCTTTCTCCTCGTCGGGATCCCGATGGCGGACGGGAAGAACGGTGTGTTAGAGTACGTGTGCCCACCGTAGTGCTAGGCTTCGAATCGTTGAATACATTGTCAGGTTTGACTTCAACGACGAGATGATACTTGAAGAAGATTCCCCGAAGGTACCGAAGTTTACTGCCACCCATGCCGAGTGGAAAACCGGCCTGCTGTATGACATGTGGAAGGCATACATCAAGACCGTGTTCGGTATGTGAGAGCTTTCGGCGGCGCGAGCGAGACCTAAATCCGGAGCAAACAGATGGGAATGGATTCGAAGAGGAAGGGGACCACGGACCGGCATCGGTCATCGAAAACATGGACTGGGAGGAGGACGAGGACGGGTATCCGCTCATGCCGCCGGCGGACCACGACTGTTTCAAAAAGACGAAATTGAAGCGTATGTTTTTGGCGACGTTCGTTCGGAAGACGTATGGTACGCGTGTCCGGGATTGATACGCATTCCATTGTTGACATATTATCAACAGTTAATTTCACCGGACGATCAACAGTCAAAGTGCCGTGGCAATCACTGTCAGAACTCTCGGTTCGTTCATCGACCCTGAGTACCTCCCCGCCGGCACCGTGCTGAGCGACCCGAATAAGATGCGCACCGGGGACCTCGACGCAATCCTCACTCATTGGCGGGAGAGGCAAGACGACCATCCGCAGGGTCCGGTGCTGCGGTTTAGGGCCTGGAAGAATTCCAAGCTGGAGATCGTCGTCCCGGAGCCAGTAAAGCCTAAACCTTCGGCGAGGCGACCTAAGCCACAGCGTAGGCAAGCCACGCCCGGACCGTCTCGCGCGCGCCGGCAAGAACCTGCCGGCGATATTGCTAGCGATGAGGCGTCCGCAGAGGAGAGCGAAGCGGAGGAGACTTTCAGCGACCTATTCAAAGCCGACTTGAGTACCGATGAGGAGGAGCAGCCAGCGAAACCGTCGCCGAAGCGGAAAGACAAGGGAAAGAAGAAGGCACAGTCGCCCCAGTTGACGGACGATGAAGCACCTCCCCACCCCGTAAGGACAAGGGCAAGGCTGCCGATCGAGGTGCTGCACCCTCGAAGGCCCGGCCCACTGGGGAAGTATCCCATGACGACAACCCGGTGCCGGCAGGGAAATCGGGCCCACCGAAGGGGATTGCAGCGCCCGCAGTGACGGCCCCGGAAGGTGGGAATAAGGCGGTGGGCATATCCAAGGCCCAACCGAGCAAACCCCGGCCCAAGAAGAAGGCCGCGAATCCCAGCAGTCCTCGGCCCGAGGTAGTCCCGGAGGGCCCGGTCCCCAAGAAAGCTGCAAGCCCGTGCCCGCCGACGGTGGGACCAAAGGGAAAGCAGAACAGAAGGCCCGTAACCCGTTGCTCACCTCCAAAGCGGAGGCGGGCCCCAGCGGAAAGAAAAGGGCTCCGGTGGAATCCAATGCCGAGGACGACGACGAGGTGATCATCCTACCAACTCCGGGTGAGTATAAACCTGCTTCGGCCTGGGTGGATTCTTATTCCCGTCCACTTTACAGTAAGGCCGAAGAAGGCCAAAGACACGCCGGCCGTCCGCACCGGTCGTCCTGGACCACAGCGCATGAGGAGAGCCCGGCCACCGCTGGGAAGAGTTGGGAGGAACGGCGCCAGTGGCTCCGGGAGCTCACAGCCGATGACGGGGTGCAAAACCTGGTCAACAAACTGCCCTACCTCGTGAGCTCCACCTTAACGTGCTCGCCACTGATGTTCTGACGAACCACATCTAGTCCGAGACCGGCGCATGGCAGTCCAAGACTAAGTGGGACTGGGCAAGTTGGAACTACCGCCGGGCCAGATGCACGCCGGACATTCACAATGACAAGGACGTCCTAGCACGGTTCCGTGCGTGGCTCACACGAATAGGTACCAGTCTTGCGGACACCCCGATGAGCCGAGAGAACGGACTTATCGTTACCTTGGCGATTGCCATGGTTGTGAAGGACATCGAGAGGAAGATCGATCACCGGAGCGACGAGGAAGACGAGATCCCACAGTACGTGCACGGATCACAACTTGGTTGGAGCTTCGTCGAGGAGCTCGGCGAACACTGCGAGACGATAGGCAAACTGTGGGAAGACATGGCACATAGGATGCAGAAGAAGCGGAAAGCTGGAGATGTGCCCGAGAAGTCGTCAGCGATCGGCGCCCGGATCAAACGGCCCAAGGCAAACCTATCTGAATCGCCCGCCAATGGTCAATCGTCAGCCCGGACGTCAAACACGAAGAAGTCTGCGTCGCCGGCAAAGGTTAAGTCTCAAAGCAAGACCACGACGGCGACACGAAGGTCAACCCGCCGGCGTTAGCTGTCCGTAGTCCCTCACATCAGAGTTATCGTAGTTTACATCACGTCGCCGAATCAATGTTAGTCTCATACTGCTGGATTGAATGCCTGCGTGGTATCCCGATAGCATTGCCTGTGTACATTTGCCCACTGTGTAATGACATGCCGGCCCCAATATTCGAAGACCATCCCGGGCCGAGACTTGACAAAACTCCCGGGCCGAGACTTTACCAAACTCCCGGGCCGAGACTTGCCCAACCTCCCGGGCCGAGACTTTACCAAACTCCCGGCCCCGAGACTTTCGAAAGCTCCCGGGCCGGGGATTGCGGCCGAGTCTCGGGCCGCGACTTGGGTGTCTGCTTGGGGCGAGACGTTGGCGTCCCGGAGGGCTTAGGGCATTTGACATGCCTGAGAGGTAGCAGAGTCAGGGGTTTGATATGCCCGCAATAGCCGGTGCCACTGCGGTGTGCAAGTCCCCGGCCGAGAGTTTCCTGTGAGGCTCGGCGCCGGTGGAATGCTTGGAGCACCGGGCCGAGACATTGGGAGTGCGCTCGGGCCGGGGATACGAGTATGTCGTCGGGTATATCCCAGTGGACATCTCAGAGGGTAGTGCTCAGGCAATATATTGTATACATCGATTTGCGCTATGGTACATTGATACGATACAAGTCCGGGCCCCATGATCTCAATGCCGTATCGCCGGCCCATGTCACACCCCGGGGCCATCTCCCTCAGCGACGTCCCCATTCCTCATCTCTTGCGACTGACCTTCTTTTTCAGGCCCAGGGCCCACATGTGGCGAGACAACATCCACGCTCTCCGGCGAAGTGGGGGGAGAGGTGGGGGTGTTTGCGCAGGGGGAGGTGGCACCCCCGTGATTCCGCCGGAAGTCGTTGGGAGAGCCAGCGACGTGCTCGGCGGGGGTGACTCCGTCCCGGGGACGGTGGCCTGCGACGGGGCCCTTCCATCTGCGCTCGTCTCCGATGGACCGACGGAGGACTCGGCCTGTGGCGCCGGGAGCTCCGGACGGTCACCTCGTTGGCCGGCGTCACTGGAGCTGCGTGGTGGGCGACGGCTCGGGAGCCACAACCGGGGAGCGGCCGGCACGCTTCTGGGTGCATTGGCCGCGGCGGCGAGGAGCTGGGGACCTGGCTAACATTGGCCTTGGGACGAATGCGCCGAGTCCGCCGGCGCCCGTACCGAATCGCGACTTGCCCACAGGAGACGAGGGGGCAGTGGTGGGGCACGGGGGCGTCCTGGTCGATGGTCCTGGGCCGGGAGCTGCGGACGTGGCCATCACGGGCACCGGGGCGTCGTGGGTGGATGTCCGGGCGGGGAGATGCAGAGGCGGCCATCGCCGGCACCTGTCGCATAGAACGTCAGCCT